CTCTTCCACCATTCTTACTATTCTTTGTTAAGTAAAATTGGATAATGATTTTATTTTTAATATTTATGTTCTTCTAATGAACATTACTCATCACTATATTAATTAAGATCTTAACCAGCCATCAAAAATAAATTTAATTTACTTTATTAATCTAAAGACTTTAATTTATCAGAATGAACTATTTTAGGTAATTTAGATTTTGTTGATTCACATAATGAAATTAATTCCACATTATCTGGAATAAATTCATTTTATAAAGGTTTTTCAAACACTTCTTATAGTTTTTCATCCTATTTAGATATAAAATTAATAAAATGCTCATCAAATTTCTACTTAGAATATATAAGTCTATATAAATTACTCTTTTCATGTAATAATTTATGCTATAAAAATTATTTATTACTCTTGATATCATCTGCTTTTTCATTAGTATAAGAATATTGATGGTTGCCTATCAAAATGATTAAGTTTTATGTATTCTTTAATTATTCAATATAATCTAATATTAATTCCTTATCTAAAGTATCAATAATGAATTCTGAGGATAGTACTTCCTTTGATTTCTATCTGTTTAAAATTCTAGCCATAGTTGAAGTATCTAATTATTCAGTTAAATAGTTGAAATTTAATTTAGAAATCTTGCTTTATTCTTTGAATAATTAATTTATGTATTCATCATCTGATAACCATACTTCTAATTTCTAGATGTAATTTAATATGATTTTAATAATTTCAGCAACAACTTCCTCATTCTCTTAAGATTTTTCAGTTAAAATAATCTCCATCATGTAATTTGTAAAAGAAGACTCTTCCATAAAAACTTCAGAGGAGAGTGAAATAATTAAATTTTACTCCTTTAGAAAATCAATAAGATTTCCATTTTAAATGATATAATCTAAAAATTCAATTGGTTTTTAATGAGAGAACTTCTCTCTTCCTTTAAGTTACCAATTTAATGTTAATTGATCTTTTTCAGTTTTATATTTGCATAGAAATCCAAACTAATAAGGAAATGATGAAAATTGTGGAGGTTATAAATTTAAATTCTTTATACGACTAAAAGGTTTAATTAATCGTTCCATTTCTTACAAATTAATTCTGCTCTATATAACCAAACTCATTATATTTGATGAATAATTTTATTCGAAAAAGGATTTTAATGCATTTTCAATTCCCTTCTTTTTAAAAACTTCATTATTTCCTAGACTGAATCTACTTGCAGGATGTTTAGGATCAGCAAACAATGTAAATAAATTTTATATTTTCCAATCTTCTGAAGATACATCTATTTCATATTCTGAATTCACTGCATTTTTTTCTCTTTCTATTAAATCTTCATTAAATAGAGGATCAATAAAAAAATGAGCAAATGTATCTAAAGCTTTATCTAAATATTGTGATGTAATTTCAAAATAATAATTAGTATTTGTAGCATCAGTATAAGCATTAGAATGTCCAGCTCCTTTTGCCAATAATTCATCGAAATAATCAGGTCTAGGATATTTCACAGAGCCAACAAACAACATATGTTCACAAAAATGAGCTAAACCAGGATATTCATTTGGTTCATTCCAAGATCCAGTTTACACATCCAGGGCTGCAGAAGCAATTTCTGAGTTTGGATCATGTATAAGCAATACTTTTAATTTGTTTTCCAATTCAATATATTTATATGATTTGGGATCTATTAAAGGTTTTATAATAGTCCCTTGTTACTTTTCATTTTCTAATTAAAGGAAACTATAATTGTTTGTTGCTTCGTCAAATGAAATAGTATTTTGTTATTAAGCAAAGGCAAGGATATTGGATAATAGTATCAATATGACAAGTGATAGCCTAATCTAATAAAAGAGTTAAGGCATTGTTATAATATTGCAAAAAACGATTATTATTATAATAAGTATAAATAAATTTTGATAAATAATGAATGAAAGAAAGAAATGGTGTGAAGTTTGCAAGATGTTAATACCTTATACTAGAGCTGCTATTCAAGATCATGAGAATACTGCTAAACACAAAAAAAATAAGGAATATCATTTAAGAGATTTAAACAAGAAGGCAAGAATTGAACATAAATAATAAAATAAAGCTTATGATTCAATACCAGAAATATCTAAAGGATATAAAAATAAGAATTAAAAAAAAGAGGAACATAATTATCATTAAGCTGTTGAAAATGAATATACAGGAGAAAATTAATAATAATAATCAAAAGTAGCAGATTAATTGGGATTCTTTGCGGAAGGAAAAGTATGGATATTGGAAAAAGAAGATGATACTGGAAAATTAAGATTTAGAAATACAATTACAGGAAAAATTAATTATGAAAAACCTATGGGATTGATGTTAGAAGATTATGAAGAAGAAGCTTGGGAAGAATATCAATAGAATCCTGTTGAAAATGTAGATAAAGAATTAGTAGTAAAGGTTGGTAATTGGGAAGTTGTTAAAACTGAAGACACATTTTTAAATAAATTTAAGGTAGAAACTTCTGAGTCAGAAGAAGGTGAAGCAGAATTAAATCATGAAGAATAATTAGCATAGAAAATTGATAAAGATATTAAAGAAGGCACAATCAAAAATTAATAAGAATTTGTTAAAGAAGTCTTAGTATTTGGATAAATAGGAAAGGATAAAAATAGAATATTATAATAAAAATTAATAGAATTGGCAGACAAAGATGTTGAATTAGGAGATATTTTACCATAGATGTAATAAAAAAATATTAAAAATGAAGAAATTAATACTTAAGGATTGTTTAATAAAAAGTCATTTAAAAAAACAAAAGTTGATTACTTCTAATGAAAATTGATTTTTACAATATTTCTATTCTAATTTTTAGATTTAAATATAGATAGTATTTTTATAATAATTAATTCGATTATATTTATTTAGAAAATCGTTAATAAGGAAATTTAATTATTTTCAAATAATGTTCTAAACCCGCCCTCATTTGCCATCTTATGCCACTACTTAGTCTGCTTATAGAACTTAATGTAATTGTTTTTTAATATAAATCAGTTCATAATAAAGCAGGAAGTGAAACAAGGAAAGCAATTGATCACTATTCCTATGCCATTAATGAAGAAATAGGAAGAGGATTTAGTAGTAGAGTATATAAAGGAAGAGATGAAAACACGGCAGAAAATGTGGCTGTTAAAGTAACTTAATTACTTAAAGTTGAGGTTATTGATATGAAGATGGTGAAACAATCAATTCATTCCCAGCTATTAAAAAATGAAATCAATGCACTTAAAGCCTTTAATCATAAAAATATTATGAAACTCTATGATGTATTTTAAACCTAAAATAATACTTATATCATAACAGAATTTTGTGACTCGGTAATGTCTCATATATAATTCAGGGTGATCTAAACAATTACATCAAAAAGAAAGGAAGAATAGATGAATCTGAAGCTATAAGAATATTGAAAGCAGTAGTTAGTGCATTAAATGAAATGAATAAGAAAGGTTATATCCATAGAGATATAAAACCAGCTAACATTTTACTCAATGAAAATCAACCAAAATTAGCTGATTTTGGATTTGCTGTTCCTGCTTATGAAGCTAGAATCTAAGGCAGAAACTTTAATGTAGGAACTCCTTTATATATGTCTCCTTAAGCTTTGAGATAGTAAGGACACACTGAAAAAGGAGATGTTTGGGCGATTGGTATTGTATTTTTTGAAATGTTATATGGTAATGCTGTATTTATATTGAGATAGGCAGAACACCTTATAATGCATCATCTGAAGCAGCTCTAATTTCAAACATCTAACATTAATAATTAGTTCTACCTTCTTCACCTATGGTCTCTGATGAATCAAAGGATTTCATCCGTAAATGTTTGTAGATAGATGAATTTAAGAGATGGCGAGTTAAGGATATGATAGAACATACTATTATGCAATCAAGAAATTTAAGTCCTATAGAGAAAAGAAAACCATTAAAACAAATTCAAAATATTACTTTGCCAACTGAAAACTCTCAAGTAAAGAAAATTAAAAGAAGTCAAAGTTAGAATATTAGAGATAATACAGTCAGAGATTTTAAACCTTAATAGATAGAGGATAAGCGCAAATTACATGAAGAAAATCAAAAGAGACTTGAAGAATAAATATTAAGATCTGCAAGTTAAAACTAATTGTTGCAACCTTAAAAAATAGTTAATACCACTGCTTTTGAAGAATAAGTACAACCTACTCCTACTTTATAAAAACAAAAATCAATTACTCTCGATTTTAAATAAAACAACGAGATTTTATTTTGTTAAATAAATTTCTGTCGTTTTCTTTATAAATTTTCATAGCATTTGGCCAGTACAAAAGTATTTCCAAATGATATTAGAGATAGATTACTATTTCTAATGGGTAAAAATATAGCAATAAAAATAAATAAATTATCCACAATTTTAGATAAAGAAAATAAATCAGAAAACATTTTTAATTTAATTGATTTTGAAAACTATAGAAAAAGTGAATCTTATAAAAGATTCTGTTAAGCAATCTCAGAATATCAAGATAAATATTTGAGACATTTTGAAAAAATCTTAAAATTAGCTAATAAAAATAGTAAATAATTTATTAATATTTCATTAGATTTCTAAAAAGATTCTATTATTGGAGTATTGTGTAATAATCACTTAGTTGAATAAGATTCATTCTACAAAACTACTTTATAGTATTTGAAATTGAGTATAACAGAAATTAAATAGAATTTCTAATTTATTAAATTTGATAAACAAGAATAATCTTTACCAGAAGATGTAATTATATAAATTTATAATTAGTTATAAATGCATGCATTCATCTTATAAGGATTAATAGCTTATTAAGATTAAATACAAAAAGTTTTAGATTATCCTACAGATTATAAATAATTTTAAAAGGTTTCTCAACCTGAACTTTATATAGAAAGAAAACCGGGATCTATTAGTTATAGTTAATTAGAACAATTAATGTGATATCACTAAGTAGATATGTAAACAATATATATAAATCAAATTTTTAATGGTAGCATCACAATCAAAAGATTTTCACCTTTTATTGTGATTCTTAAATTGGTTTCTTATACCAATTAATTGGCTTAATCCTTTGGTAAATTAAAAAAACAGTTTAATCTTTTGAAATAGCAGTTTCTAATATGGTATTGTTTAAAAGCGATATGAACGTCTTCTTTACATATTTTCTCTGGAACTTAATATAGAGCTACTTCTATAGGTTTATTATATAATGATATTTTTTCGATCAATCTTTGCTGAAAATTGGTTAATTATTTTCCCGCTAAGTTAATTGATTCATTGTTATTCTAAGTATATTGTAAAAGTTAGCTTGACTTTAAATACTCATCTCCTTCTATAATTAATCCTGCCTAAGTATTTTCTTTGTTTTTAATACTTTATTTAACTGTGTCTATCATTAAATTTAGTAATTAAAATTAAATTATTATTCTTGATCAGATATGATAACTTTAATTATGATAAATTATTTTTATTTATTTATTCATAAATCTTCATATTATCTCATCGAAATTTGTAAAAAAGCTCACTATATTTACTCCATAATCATTTCAAGCAAAGGAATTTAGGAAACAATAGATTCTATTAAATATATAAGTTATAAATATAACATTTAACTTTACTACTTTTATCCAATTAATTATAGATTAATAATTGAAACAATAAAAGAAAAAATAATCAGAAATTTTAGCTAAATTTAAAGCATAAAAACCTTAAAAATAAACAAATATATAAAATTATCTTTTAGTAAATGATCTTACTTTAAATGATAGTCAATTAATGTGTATATTAAAATTAATTCGGATATCTGTATATATTATTTAAAAATCTAGATATCATTTTCATAAATAATACTTAAATAGGTGTATTCTAATGATTTAAGATAAATATAATCTATTATGATTTATTAATTTTTCGTTTATCAATTATTCATTCAATATCTTTTGAATTATCATAGTTGATAAAATTTTCTATTTATTTATTTAGAAAAATGAAGTTATCTATTTTTTAATTAATTATGGAATTAATCTCTTTATTTTAACTTTATTATATAAAATAAATCAAATTCTATTTTAACAGAATAAAATATTTGCTCTATTATTAAAGATTATAAATTTTTAATGAAAATATCAGTATTATTATAAACACATTCATTAAACTCTAAATAAACTATTCGATTTATTAGATTTAATTTTTGATTATTCCTTTATAGTTAGAAGGATATATAAAATTGAATAAGAGTAACAAAGAATATCTAATTTTAACTTGAATAATAAAATAAACACATAATTTTATTTTGAAAAATGTTATGAAATATAATTTTTTTAACAAACAAATTAGAAGTTATACCATTCATTAAACCATAATTAGTCCATTTATTATTTTTAATGTACTTAATAAATTATTAATCACTTCTTCTTTCTTTCAACTCCAAGAGTTTGTCCTCCTCTACCAGTGGTTTTAGTATGTTGTCCTCTAACTCTTAATCCCCAATGATGTCTCAAACCACGATTACACCTTAACATAATTTAATTGTAATACTTGATTTTCTTCATTCTTTCTAAATCTTCTCTTAATTTAGTTTCCAATTCGTTTGTTGTGACTTAATAATTTTTGCCATCCTTGAAATCTCTTTGTCTATTCAAAAACCATCTTGGAATGTTATAAGCTTCTGGTGATTTGATGACTTCTGTGATTTTATGAGCCTCATCATCAGTCAATTCACCAGCTCTCTTTGTAAGATCAAGACGGAGGACCTATAGAATGAATAAATTAACATTAAATACCTTGCAAATTTAGATAGCAAATCTTCTTCCAATACCTTTAATGCTTCTAATACCATAAGCAAGTCTTTATTTTCCTTCAACGTTTGTGTTCAAAATACGAATAATGTGTCTGAATGAATCAGCCTTTTCCAAAACTAAAGACATTTATTTATATAAAAGATTTAATTTAATTTAAAATTTTTAATGACTACTCGTCACACCATAGTTGAATATTAGAAATTTTATATTGTATAGATTATAGCTAAACATTAAACATATCAGATTAAACCTCTGTTATAATTCATGAATAAACAAAATTTATTAATCAAACAAATTTTATTCGATTAATCATTTTATTTCTATAAAAATGTCATAATATTTGAAACTATATATATAATAATTCAATACTAATATATATAATGCTAATAATGTATTAATATCAATAACATAATTATTTTATTAATAAATCTTCTTTTAATAATTTAATCTTCTTAAATTATAGTAGTATTTTTATTCTTTATAAGTATTCAATTTTAAATAATAATGTTATTCTATGAAATGTAGCTTTTTAAATAGAATTTTGAAGATAATAATTTTGATAAATAAATTTTATAACAAAATATTTGAATGCATTTAATCAAATTTAAATTCATTTTCCGCTAAACTTTATTCTTTGTAGTAAGTAGTCACATAATGCAATAGGAATTCTAGTTTTTACTTCTTCTAGATTAGTCCATCTTAATTCTTGTTCATCTTTTAACATAATTAAGAATTCTATTTTTCCTTATATTTTTCTTGCTTCTTTAACAACTCCATTTTCTACAAGTCGCTCTCTATGAGGTATTAGTTATTTAGGTTAAGGTTTAATCTCTTCTAATTGCATACTATTCTTTTATTATTAACGAGTAATTTTTAATGTTTTCTAATCACTTTTCTCAATTATTTTTTCTTTCTTATTTGAATGCTGTATCAATTCCCATTAATTTACTAATTATAGCAATTCAGGTGTAAGTTCTGTCATTGGTTCATATGTAATTGTTCCAGTGTTCCATTTAATTTTATATTCTATCCTGTTAATAACTTTTTTTTTTATCACTTAAATGGGATGTCTAATTTACATTTTTAATAATATTTAGGAAAGGAATGTTTTAAAGTAAATCTATTATTAAAATTTACAACTTACTTTGCAATTTAAGGATATAATAATATAATATTATTAATAAAAACTTTAGAGAATTCTCATAATGAATATTCTTAATATAATAGATATATGTTATTATTTAGTGAAAATTAGATGTGTTTAATTATATAATAAATCATTTTTATTTATTTTTTTTATCGAAAAATCTTTATAATTTTTCTTCGATATCTTTATCTAACATTAAATTGTTTTTAATTTAAGTAATTTCTAACATTTATTATTGTTATTGAGGTTACTCATCATCTTTTTCAGTCTCTAATCTAATATCATCTACTAATTAAACATTTTCTGTAAAAATGATCATATCATCTGACTATTCTCTTCTTATCCAAGGAGCTTCTGGTTTATTTTCAACAGATAATGGCTAAAATATTAAATGAATTATAAATACTCCTATATCTTAAACTAATTTTTTATCAAATGTAATTGATAAAGAAGGAGGAGATAATTTTGGTAAACTAAACGATAATCTTATCTTTAATCCATCTACAAAAACAATTGGTACTTAAAAGCAAATAATATTCTCCTTAGGTTCATCATATAAGCAAATAACTCTTTAATAATCAATAGATTGCTAATTTCTCATAAGTATTTATTCTATATGCATCAATAAAATTTATAAACCCTCTTGTTTTGCTTCATTGATATTCTCTATTAATTATTTACATTTTTCTTTAGCTTTTTTGAATTACTTAAGAATAATTAAACATATTAATTCATTAAATTTGATTTCTAATATTTCTAACAAATCAGCATCTTCTTCATCTTCAGTTAATTCATGAAATTCTTCATCATTAAAAATATCTGATTAACTACCCCTTTATTTTAATCTCTTTTCTGTAATAGATAGTTCTTTTTGACTTTTAGCCATTTGAAAGTCTCTTAAAGCATCTTCATATTTTTCTAAATGAAATAAAAAGACTCCTCTGAATATATAAACATGAAACTACTAAAACAATTTACCATTCCCTCTACATATTTGAGTTAGACTATTAATTGCTTTATTAAGATTATTCTTAAACTCAGTTTATTCATTTTCACTTTCCTCATTAAAATATATTTGTTAATCATCTTTAAAAACTAATCTCAAAGCTTATAACATATCTTTATCAAACTCAGCAGTCTTCTCTTTAGTTAACTTATATAATCTATTAATATCCACTTAACATAAATTCAGATCACTTAATACCATATAACATTCTGAACGTAATTATAATAATTTTGGATTATTTTTAAAATCTTTATTATTTGAATAAGCTTTAATTGCATCTTCAATTGCAGCATTTGCAAATAAAAAATTACCAGCCCATACATGCATTCTTGGATCATCTTAAAGAATCTGAATACATTATTATAAATCTTAAAAAGCAGAATTTGAATCTCCACTTAAAAAATGGCATTTTGCTCTATTTAAATATGCATCAGCAAATGTTTCATCTAGAGTTAGACAAATGCTAAAATCATTTAAAGAATGTTTATATTGTTTTAATATTCCAAAAACCATTCCTCTTAAATAGAAATATTTTGCAATATTATCTTCTGACTTTGAGATTGCAGATTCTATATCTAGCAATGCTTCATTTATTTAGCCTAAAAAACACTTAACAATAGCTCGAACATAATATAAATTAGCATTTTAATCATTCATACTATTTGCTTTATCTAATAGTTCTAGTCCTTTGATAACATCTTTATATTAATCACTTTTTTTTTTTAAAGATTGATTAATAAAAGTAACAGCCTAATAAAATGTGGGTTCCATTTTCTTTTAAAATATCTTTTATGCTCTTTAAAAGAATTCCATACCAGCAGTATATAAACCAGATTATACTTTCAATATACCTTCACATAAAAATTTATTATAATGAACACTTGACTCAGCTGGTTAGATTTCTAATAGATATTTATAATCATCTAATGCTTTTTAATGATTAGATAAACAAAAGTATCCATAAGCTCTATAAGCATAAAATAAGGGTTTTAAAAAATCATTTAATTAATGATTATTTTGAATTTCTTAAAAGTTGATCATACTATCTTAGAATTTTCTTTTCATCAAAAATATTACAGCCTATTTAAATCAATTAAATTACTTCAGTAAATAATTTAAATTTCTCTAAATAACTCTTCTCTGTGTCTAACATAGATGATCTATTTAAAGTATGATAAGCTGCATAAAAATCTCTTTATTCAATTTTCATCTTAGCTATTTCGTATAATGATTTAGTAACCGCTTTTTTTGAATTGTTATGTTTAATGGCTTATTCAAAACATAATAAAGCTTCAGTTGGATTCTCTACAATAAAAATATCATATTACTTATTTTTAATCTACTTAATCCTTTGAAATAATAAGCTTCTGAATTTGTTGGATCAGTTTCTAATAATTTTGTTAAATCTTTTGCGCATTCTTCATATTATTGACTTTCATATAAAGTAATGGCTTTTTTTAAGATTGCTGCATTTCCAACAGCTTATTCACAATTAATAGCTTTTTAATAACATTTAATAGCTTCTTTATATTAACATTGTATTCTTAAACAATCTGCTTTACCTAAATAACCTAAACCTTTTTATGGACTTAATTGAATGGCGATATTAAAATCTTAATCAGCTTTATCTATTTAATTGAGTTTAGTATATAGTTTCCCTCTATAAATATAGGCATCATAATATCTAGGGAACATACCTATTACTTTATTAAGAATTTGAATAGCTTAATCTATTTCGTTCATCTTTTTATGAGCTATAGCTAATAAAAGGTAAATGTTTTTGCGATGAACTGCATCTTATTAAATTACAGATTAGAATTCTGCAATAGCTTTTTAATACATATGGGTTCCTAAATAGCCTATTCCTAAAAAATAATGGCCTTCTAATAATCTATTATCAAGTTCTATACATTTTTTTAATAAACTTTGATAAAAATAAATTATTTACTCAATTGCTTCATCAATTTACTTATCTCTTAATAGTTATTTTCCTTTTTCAAATAGTTTAATTGATCTAGGATTATATTCTTCAGAAGGTTTAGTTGTGTCACTCTAAAAACCACTATGATCCTAATAACCTTTGATTAAATTGTTTTCGAAACTAATATCAACAGTCTACTATCCATCCATGCTGTTGTTTATATTTGATTGCTTTTTTTACATAGTTTATGATAACTTTTATTTACTAGGAAGATACCAATTTTATCCTTAATTATTAAATGAGTATTATCTTTTTTGCTTCTTCCTAAATATAATTCATCATATTTTACATGGTGTCTTTACAAAAACTATCATTACGATTTGTATTATTGAATAATATATTAAACAGTTAATTTTTTGCTTTCTTTTCTTAACTAAAATTAGAATTTTAACGCTTTCTATGAAATTATTCTAGACTTTCACCACTCGACATATTAAACGAATTTTGTCTCGGAGGATAAGCCTTGTATTATTTTCTATAATGGGGTGTAGGATTTTCAGATACAAAGTGTTCTATATGTGACTTTGTTGGTGAGTAAGGTTGCTTTGGAAAGAATGACCCTGGTTAGTTCTTTACCGAATGAGGAAGTTTACTCGATCTATAAAACATAAATTTTGAATTTTAATATATTCCAATATTAATATTATTATTTATTAACTGATGGTGAAAGTAAGAGGAAATATTAGAATTTAGAAAAAATTATTAGTATTAAATAGAGATAGTGATAAATAAAATGAAAATACAATTTGAATACTATTATCATTCAATAATATAGAACAACTACTTAATTCAATATCTTTTTCTTATTGATACATTCACTCAATATGTATTTCATTTATATAGTTATAAATCATCTTAAATTCTAATTACAAAATGGTACTTTAATTTATAATTTTGAGATTGAAAACTAAAAGTAATTAAATTTGGAAAATAAGTTATTATAACAAATTGAAATGATCAATACTCAAATTATATTAATCTAAATAATTTGTAGGGTAAGCAAAACAAAAGTTTTATAAAATGATAAAATTATATTTATGATATCGAGAACACTTAAATTATACAAATTCTCAACCAAAATCCCTACAGGTGTCTTTGATTTTGCCAATGTATAATAAGGAATCACTGCTCCTTCTAGTATTATGGTAGAGGACTTAATTACAAGATTCTCTGCATATACTCCTACCAACATGTACAATTCATTAGATGAATACTCAAGAGAATTACTATTATATATAGCTAATGATTTAGTAAATATTGAATATTTATTAAAAAGAGTTGGGGAATGGGATGGGGAATCTTAGCAATATCAATGGGTATTAAGATTGCTTTTACACCTTTAATGTTTTCTGCATAATTAAATGCTTGTCGTATGAAATTAATTGAGCCTGAGAGTAAGAACTTCTAAAACATGATTTAACGAGCAATGAGAGCTTAGGATTACAAAGCTAGTAGAGCAGCATAAAAATAATTTAAACTTTTCAAAAGAAAGCATAACATAAATATGCTTATTCCAGGATTATCAATATTACAAATGCCTTTCCTATTCACATGGTTTTTATCATTAAGATATGTCTGTTCATTACCAGATAAATATGAAGGATTAAAAAGTCAAGGATTTTTATGGTATAAATTGTATTAAATAATAGGTTTTAAGATTTAAGTGAATATGATCCTTATGGAATATTGCCAATTATGAGTTCCTTTTTCACATTTTGGAACATCTCTTTGAATCCCAATATGCAATCATAATCTACTGTTCCATTTGCAAAATATTATCGATATGTAAGGTTCTTACCTTTCTTTTCCATTCCTGTTGTTATCTTTTTCCCAGCTGGTGTTAATCTTTATTGGTGCTCCTCTGCATTTTGTCATTTAATAATTACTGCTTTAGCTAGATAAGAGAAAATCAGAAAGTAAATAAAAATATATATTATAGAGTATTTGGTATTCCTAAATATTTACCTGGTACTATTTTAGAGAGATAAAATAATATGAATATCTAAACTATTGTTAAAGCTGTTGTTTAAGATAGAGCTGATTTAAATAGTGATGTTACAACAACAACGACAGCAACAACAACTCCACCATAAAAGTAAGTTTAAACAGATGCTTAACATATTATGCATGAAGCTAAATCTGGAGAATAGAAAGTTAAGATCTTTTCAAGCAAACCAAAAAAATAAAAATGAGAATTAGATACATTTAAACGATTATATAAATAATTGACAAATCAGACCAATTAATTAAAATTAGGTTTAGCTACTTTTCTTTTCTCTTTTAAACCACTTTCTACACAAAGCATTTCATCCCATGATAATGGAATCATTAATTTCTGTGTTTCTTAGTGTTTAGCAAATAGTACTCCTAATTCATCTTCTGCTGTACTCAAATACAATTTTAATGAATCTCCATAAGAAATCATTCTAGCTTTTATAATATCTCCTGGTAAATAACATTTATTCATTTCCAACAAATCAATTTCATGCAATCTTATGTTTTATTTTCTATATTTTATATGAATTCAATACCTTAATACACCCTCAATGTAATTATTAACTTTCACTCCATTTATTTTTAAAATCCTAACAAAAACTCTATCTTCTCTAATGCTATTAACTTATCCTATTATAATTGAACCTATTTTCAATTCAGGATCTTATTAATGGGATGGAAATATTGATATTAGTTATTCATTAATTGTTAGACTTCCTTACATAGATGCATATATTTTATCATCTTTTACATATGTTCCAATTCCACTTTATAATTCATTTTTATGTCTAATTAATTCACCTGGAAAATAAACTTTTTACATAATTAAATTTATATTAAATTATATTAATAAAATAATGATTTTGATTAAAAATAATATATCTTAGTTTTTTCTTATTTTCAATATATGAATATAGTTTATTAGTATTAATATACTCTTATTTGAATGGAAACTTAGTTTAAGCTAATTTATTAATTTTATTTTTATGTATTTATTTGTTAGATAATTTAATTCTAATATGATAACTTAGACTTTTTCTTGTATTGGTCATTTGATAGATTTAAATTTATCAATTTAAATGCTAATAAATTGGTCTATTCATCAATTTTAATTGATTATTTTTCAATATCTTTTGATATTTTTATTTTAGATTAGTTTAAAAAGTACTCTTTAATTTTTAATGTATTTAAAACATTCATTCAGCCTTTAATGATTCCTCATTCTATAAGAATTAATCTACTCTTATTATCTATTGAGAAAATACTAATGAAAATTAGATTTGTAATTGTCATCAAGTGTTTTTAATTATTGTTATTTTAAATAATGATAATTGAATTCACTTGACAGTGTTGTTTATTCATCTATTATGTTAAATTAATTAAAATTTAATATGCAAAACGAAAAAACTATTGGAGAATACTCTTATCTTATTTCGAATTAATCCAAAGTCGGAGCAGGATAATTCGGTCATGTTTATAAAGGATATCATAACATAACAAAGTAACAAGTAGCAATTAAATAAATTGATAAAAAATTAGTGAAAGGTATCTTTGAGTAGATGTTAAGACATGAAATTGAAATTCTTTAACAATTGAATCATAAATATATAGTAAAAATGTATGCACATTATGAAACTATTAACAACTTTTATATTATCTCTGAATATTGTGAAACAGGTATTACGCTATAATTTTTAATAGATATTTTATCAATACTGAAGCAGCAAAGATAGATAAATGAGGATTAAGTTATAATGTATATTCTATAGATATCAGAAGCATTATTATATTTAAATTAGAAATGTATTTGAATAAATTTATATAGAAATAATACATAGAGATATTAAACCATCAAACATATTAATTCATAATGGAGAAGTAAGATTGGCTGATTTTGGATTTGCAATCTAATAAGATAAGCTCAAATTTGAGGATAGAAAATTATAAGTAGGATCTCCTTTATATATGTCTCCTGAAACCTTATTATAACAAGAATACAATCATAAAACTGATATTTGGTCTTTGGGAATATTGTATTTTGAAATGATTTTTGGTATTGTTTTTAATTTATTTTAAGGGGTGGTGCCCTTCTTTTCAATGGAATTGGAGGATTTAATTATAAAGCTAAAGTAATATTAGTTAGATAATGTTTTATTTTTTAAACATCCTATTTCAGCTGGTAGTACTGAGGCAATTAGAAATTTATTAGCTTATGATCCTAAAAATAGATGTGATTTAATATAATTGGCTTAAATTCTGCAAAAATATCTCAGAAACAGAAAATCAATGACAAATAGTGCACATATAGAAAAAAGACCTACAACACCATAGATTTAAAGAAGAAATACTCCAGAGGTAACTCCATAGAATAATAGTATTATTATATCTGGGAGTAAAGGTCTTGTTAAAATTAATACTATTTCTGCATAAAAGCCATATAAATAAACAACATATTATAATAAAAATAATTCATAAGAATTAAAAAGAATAGGAGATCATATAAAAAATGATTCATTTACAAAATAGAAATTTGGTTTGGTTAAGTAAAAAGATTATAATGATATAAAAAATATGAATAATGAAGATTATTTAAATTTTATCATTGATAAATTGGAAAATTTAAAAAAGATTCAATAATAAGATGTATTGATTAAAAATCTAAGTGAATGCTAGTTTTTTATAGTATGATATATTTTTGATTATAGTATCAATACTATGGGACAGATCAATAAAAACTTAAATTTATTAAAGAAAAGTTATCAAACCTATGAAATATATTATTTTTTTTATATTTAATTATGTAAATTACGGATGAGCAAAAGAAAATAATGGCTATCATAGGAGTTGCTATATTGTTACTTGGAATCTTATATCTTATTGATTGCCTGATTGTATTCTAATTTGGATTACTAGGCCACTTTGTAATTCAAAATTCATTAATTAAATTTTAGATGTTTTTTGTTGGATTATATGTTTTCATAAAAAATACAATAAGATTATTTGTATTTCCAGGTTCTTATTGGTTATGGAGAAGGAATGTCGAAAATAGATATGCAAAAGCTTTAGCCAAAAGAGCCAATAAAAGAATGGAAGATTTATAAAATTTGATAAGAAAATTATTGTAGATACCTGAGTAATTTATTAAAGGTAAATTAGTACTAAAGAAATCTATGTTGAAGATTTAGTACCAATAAAAAAAACATTATAATCATTTTTAAACACATTTTCTTCATTAAATTGTAGAAAAGAATTGAATGAATAATAAAAATATCTATTTGGTTTGTGTTAATAATTAGAATAGAATTTAAAGGATTTTCTAATCGACTCTAAATCTCTATACGATCAATTAGATAATCCATAAGAAGTTATTAATTATTGTAAACTAACAATTTAAGTTGATTCTGAATAATGTTCTAATTTACTTCTAATTTTGGATAACCTTGTAAATTAATTATAAGAAATATATATACCTAAAAACATTATTTTAGAAGCTGAAAGATGGATCTTTAACAAGACTCTAGGAACAGTTGATTAAATGAGAGTAGAATTAGAAAATACTTTTAAGACAAGAAGATTTAAAGTGCAAGGATATGATGGAAAATAGATTGATTGGTATTTATATATTAGATGATTATAGTCTTTATATATATGCAAATGAAGATGATACAGAAAATGATAGAGCAGTTATATTTTGTTAGCCAAATGCAGGATATTATGAATATATGTATTATGAATCAGAATGGATTGATTATTATTTAAAAAGAGGAATAAGCATGTTTTTATGGAATTATAGAGGTTATTGTGAAAGTTAAGGATTACCAAATACAAAAGATATAATGAAAGATGCAGAATCTATTTGTGATTATGTAACATCTCAATTAAAAGTGAATTAATTGATATTTCATGGTGAATCTTTAGGAGGAATGGTTGCATGTCATTTGGGTAGAGTTAGATAATGCAATTTATTATTTGCAGATAGAACATTTTCAAGTATTAGTAAAATAGCTTAAGTTGGATTTTCAAAATATGCTAGTTTTTTATTTAAATTATTAACATCTTGGGATTATAATTCTGCTAAATCTTATGTTGAATGTTAAAGCTATAAGATTTTAGCATTAGATTAGAAAGATGAAGTTATTCCATTTCTATCTTCATTAAAAGTTGATGTAACAAAATAAATATTCTTAAAAGAATTTGGAGGCTCATATTAAAATGATGAGAATGTATTATTATTATTTTCTATTCATAGTTTAAATAAAGTGATCATAGATATACATTTTGTTAAAAACTATTAAGATATATACCTTGGATTCCAAAATCAGAGAGTACTATATTTTATGATATTTGGTATTCATAATTATTGAATAAATAAGAAATGTTGACATTTTTTGAAGCAAATAAAAGGTAACTTTAATATATTACATTTTTATATAGAATTCAATATATTATGAAAGATTTACAAACTGAAAGAAGCAAAAAGACCTTAGATGATTCTTATTCAGCATATATGAATGAATCATAAGATATTGAAAAGTCATTTTCCTAGAATTAAAGTTCAACTAATGATATTGATGAGGTATGAATGTTTGTAAATACTATGATCAAGGTTACTTAATTGGCCGGACCTTATACTCTTTCTGAAAAAGAGAAATCTAATGAAAATCTTCTAAAATTTGTAAATAAAGTTTATGAATGTTTTGAATCTTTTGAAACTGCTTCTATGACATTAAATGATGTCTTTTCAGCTTTTAGTGAATCATAATAATATGATGTCTTTCTGGATTACTTATTAAGTATATTCTTGTGGGGATCCTATATTCCACTTAAAAATATTCCAAAAAAGAAAATGAATACAGTTGTATGTCAAAAGTTAGCATTTGCAAGATTTACATCTAATATTAATAAAATTGAAACTCTCATTAAGAATGATAAAAATAATTTAGATTCTCCAAATGGAACTAGAGTATTTATTAATTACTAATGATTAGTTAATTTAAGATTTGGAATTAATTATATAAAGGTTAAAATTGATAAGAGAAAACTTTAAAAAAACATTGAAGAATTAACATTAACATCCATCACATTAATCAGTTTAAATTGAAATGAAAGATTCAGAAGAAAGAAAATCAAGTAATTTTTTATAATTTAAGTAGCTTCAAAAATTAATGAATCATTAAAAACATATTTAGGCTCCTTTATTCCTTTAGGATGCGGTCATAATGGAAATCTGAATTAAACAGAAGTAGAAGTTCTTGACTTTCATATGTTATAAGCTGGAGTTGTAAAATATTGAATTATTTTAATAAAATAAATATTAAGAGATTAATTTTATAATAATAATCCATTTAAATGATTATTATTATTACATCATTATTTCTTTGTAGTTCCAAATGATCTTATTCATTAGAACCATTAGTAAATGTTAATATGAATCTTAAATATATTTCAGTATTTTTTAATAACTTTGAAAAGTTTAAATTGTTTTAAATGTAATTTTGATTTGTTGAATTCTTTTGATCAAAAATTTAAATTATATTCTAATCTATTTACAAATTTCAATATACAATCCAATCAATATAATTAACAATTAATTCTGTATCACCAATATTTTTTATATCATAGAAATTTAAATTTCATTTATAAAATATGCTAAAAAATTCCTAATTTTCAGTTCTCTCAATTTAATGACTCATTTAATTCTAATTGGTTAAAATATTAAATTATTGAAATTGAATTTTCAAAAAAGATCTCAACATTTTGGATATTTTACTTTTATACATAAATAATATATATATATATATATATAAATCTTGAATTAACAATCATAAAATCTAATAGAAAGTTTAAAATACTATCTTTTATAATTTAGGATATATAGCAATTAAAATATAATAGATAATAAAATTAGAATAAAATCATAAGAAATCATATTTACTTTAACAATAGTAAAATAAAATGTTAATTTTAACAGAAAAATAAATAAAATTATTTAACAGCATATAATGAAAAGTGTATAAAAGCCAACTCAGATTTCAGGAATGAATAGGTAATTCTCTGTATCTAAAGATATGGGAAATTTTTCTATGTAATCTCCAGATAAATAAATCTATTGCCCAAAAACATAATCATAAGCTAAAATTCAATAATTAGGTCCATCCCCTTATATGCAATCACCTCAATTTGATGCTAAATAAGTCAGTTAGAATCATGTTATCATTTAACCATCTCCTCCTTAAAAATTAGAAAATTCATATTAATACAAACCTAGTATAAAAAATGGATCAATAACAAATGAAATTTTTAAACCAAATAATCAATAAGAAGTTATTAAATCTTAGAATGAATTTAAACCTTAATATGAAACTTATAAGTATGAATATAACAAAACTTTTGCTGGAACTTTTTAAAGTGATGCAAATAAAGAATAATTAACAGAAAGAAAAAGCAATACATCAAAAAAAGATGGAACAACCCTCATTGATTAAAAAGAAAATTACTAATAATTTTAGGCAAAGTCTCCATTCACAGATAATCATCCAACTGTTGGTAATAGTAGATTATCTTCACAAAATATTAATTTAATATAATCAAAACCTAAGATATAAACTGAAATATATCGAATTTCAGGTGCTTTAAGAGATTTAATGTCATCTGTATAGAAAATGATGGGTGATGGTAGACTACCAGATTAAATTAATGATAAAATGATTGAAATATTAGCAAATTTTAGAAAATTAGAAGAGATTGCTAATAATGAACCTATTAATGGATCTGATAATGATTCAAAGATATCTACAATGGCTGAAGATTATAATAAATTAAAAAGTATACTTGAATAATTGTAAATAAAAATGACTGCATTAGTTTAAGAGAATTAAAAAGTAATATATAAATATTTATTTATAGTTAAATAAAAATTTAATTGAATAGGAATAAAAAGTAACTGAAGAAATTAAGAAAAAATAATTAGCTGAAGAAAAGGCAAATCAAGCTAATAAAGAATTTAATAGAGTCTTTGAGTGTCTTTAAATAAATTAAAAAGAAAATGAAGAATTAAAAAATAAACTTATTTAATTTGAAAGTTATAAGAATTTATCAAGCTAAACTAGTAATAGATTATAATCTGATGAAATTAATAATTATAAAATGAAAAATCAATAACTTTAAAATGAAGTAGAATAATTAGAAATAAAATATAAGTAATTATTAACAGAGAAAAATAATTAAAAAGAGATTCCTAAATCACCATCAATACTTAAATCAATTCATTCAAGTAGTACAAAATAATCAGAATAATTGGAGCTAAAATTACTTTAATTATAAATAGAAAATGACAATTTAAAAGCTGAAATGGCTCATAATTAAGTTGATTCTAAAGTTATTGATAATAAGAATGATATGATTTAGAAATTGGAAGATAAAATTAAATCAATTTTAAAAGAAAAGAGTATTTCTGAGGAACAATCTATTTAAATATGTCATAATCTTGAAATAATGAATGAATAATTAAAAAATGGGGTTTAAAACAAAGAAATAGAAGTATCAAATTTATTAAAATAAAAAAATGAATTAGAAAGAGAACATAGAAATTAAATTAATTATTTAAATTAAATGTTAAAAGGAACAGAGGATAAAGTTTAGATAGCAAAACAAGATTATTAAAAATTATTAGATGAGTTTAAATAAATTGATATTAAAAAAGGTAAGTTATAAGAAGAAATAAGGAATACTGAAAGAAAACTTGATTAATTAAATTAAGAATTAGCCTTTACAAGAAATGAATTAAAGAAATCAACAGATAAAAATCATTAGCTTTAAACATAGCATGATCAAATGAATTAGTAATTATAGTAATAAGCATAATTATAATAATAATTACTTTAACAAATTGATGGATTAAAATAAAATGAATAATAAATAAGAGTGGAATATGAAAAACTTGAAAAACAAATGTAAGCTGTTAAATCAGAAATGAAATATCAAGTAACAGAATTAAATGAAATGATATAATTATAAGCAAGAAAAACATAGGAAAAAGAAAGATAATTAAATGAATTAATTGAAGAAATGGGTGGAATGAGAGATTAATATGAAGTCTAAAAGAAAGTTTGTTAAGAAAATGTAAATGATCTTGAAAGAAGATTAAAAAATGTAAGATTGCAATAAGAAGAACTTCTATAAGTTAAAGAATAAGAAATTTTAGAGTTAAAATAAACTATGGAATAATAAATTAAAATGTTAGATAAAAGAAATGCCCTTTCCTCATTTGACTATGATTAAAGAGAATAATAACTTTAAGTAGAATTATAAAGTAAGAATGATTAAATAGAAAATTTAAAATCAGAGGTTGAAAAAGTGAGAAGCAATAATTTTAATATTTAAGAAGAATTATTAAGATAAGGAATGCTATTAAATCAACATTAAGCTACAATTGCCAATTATAAAAATGAATTAATTTAATCTAAATAAGAATAATAACATTTGAGTGAAATGTTAAAAAAGAGAAAAGAAGAAACAGAGTAATTGCATTAAAATTTGGAAGAAATGAGGAGAGAATTATAAAGCAAGAAAATGTCTGATGATAGTAGGAGTACATATTTAAATTTATTAATTTATAGGATCAGTTTTGAGACAATAAGATCTTTAGATTGCTTTAGAAAATCTATCCAGAGAAAATTTAAGTTTACAATAAAAAATTAATGGTTTGTCTAATGAAATGAATAGAAAATCAAGAGAATTATCAGAAAGAAATGAAGAATATCAAATATTAAAAAGAAAATATGATGAAACTGTTGCAAATTTAGAAAGACTTGAGAAAAGATGGGGAGAAAAAATAGATTTACATAGAAAAAATTGAATTATAATTATTTATAACTAGTTATGATGCATTGATCAAATTTCTAATTTATCAAATAATTCTGTATTATAAATATTATTCCATGAAGATGGAAATGATTAGTTTTACAAATAATTCTAAATTATCGTAATTTGTTATTTCATCTTATTAATATTATTTGATTTAATTCCAAATTCTTCTGCAAGTTTTTTTAGATTGTTTGTATTATTAGGATCATTAAATAGATCTTTAATATCAGATTTATAACTAAAATAATTAAATAATTCTTTTTTAGTTTTTGTATCATTTTCTTAAAAATCAGAAATGAATTCTTAATAGTCATTGATTTGAAAGTTTATTTCTTCATCTAAAGTTCTTTAATCATTTTGAGAATCAATAGGATATTTATACATTGTCTTTGGAATATCTAATTAATCACTATGTTAGTAAAAGGAATTTTACTTGATTGATAATTCTCTCATTTTATCCTCTATCAACTATTTTTTTATCTCCAATTCAGATTTGGATTTGCAAAGATTAGAATGCTCTGTTCTTAATTAATCCATTAATTCAATTGAATCTTTAGTTATAACCACTAAGCTATTCCCAACTTTTTTGTATTTAAATAGTTTAGACATAGTATTTACTTATAATTATAAATTTATAATCTATTTTAATGGCTGAAGCTAGATTTTCAGAAATTGATAATCAATTTGCTGGAGGTTTAGATATTTAAAAAATTGCTAAATTAGATAAACTATTATCAAAAGTGGATCATGATTTCAAATAAAAATAATCTAAAGATTTGACGAAACCAAAATTAATGGAATTAATGAAAACAATGCATGAAATATATTAGATAGTTTTATATGAAATTAGTGAAATGCTAGAAGTTGCACACTTTAGTGAATTGAGATAAGCTTTGAATAAAATTTATAATGGCTAGAATTTGATTGTTCATTATATATTAAAGTATGTATTTGTTCACAAAATAGAATAAATACTAATTTTGAGGTACAACCTGATAAAATGCTTGAAAGTTTATAGAAAAATATGACATAAGCAAGAAGAAAATCTGTTGATTAATCTGAAGAAAGAGAAACTAATAAAATGGCTCATTAAATAGTGTAACTGTAACCTGTAGTTAAGAAGATGGTTAAGAAAGTGTTTGCAGAAAAATGGACTGATACTGGAGAAGATATGAATAATGCTAGAAATCAAGATCATCTTATAAAAAAGCAAAAGGAATTAATGGATATTTAAGATGATTTAGATGAAGATAGTTTGAAAATTGCTGAATTCTTAAAAAATAGAAAACTTGATTTAATGGCTGTTGGAGAATCAAAAGCATAAGCTAATTTAAAAGAAGTTTTGAAAGATTTAGGAAAAAAAAGAAGAATTACACATGAAATTGATGATGAGGCTGCAGAAATTGAGGAATAATAAAATAAGGAAAGAGAATAGATATTTAATTTAGAAAACACTCTTATGGATAGTATAAGAGGAGTTTAAAAATAAGCTTAAGAAAAAGCATTATAAGATATTAAAGCAGGTAGAGCATTAATGAAGAATGGATAATTAGTTTATATGGAAGGAGTGGCAAGTTAGACAGATAAAATGAAAATTGAAATTGAATTCTAAGAAAAGATGTAGTAACATAGAAAAGAAGGAGCAGAAAGAGAATCCAAGATTTTATAATTAGAAAGAAAGGTTAAAGATTTAGGTATTGAAAAAGATGCATATATTCAATAATTGAGCAATATAAATAATCAATTAACTAAAGCAAATTTAGAAAGTAGAAAATTATAGGAATAATTGAAATCAAAGGAAAAGGCAAATAATGAATAATAGGCTGTAATTAATAAAACAGATTCAGAAAAAATAAGAAAATTAGTTGAAGATAATATAAAGATGAAATTCAGAATAAAAAATCTTATAGATAATGTTGCAGGTTTAGAGAAAGAGTATAATAGAAGTTTAGAAAGGTTTAGATTATTTGTTTAAAATTCTAATATAAGTGAAGATCAAAAGAAATTGATTTTGAATTAATTAGATAATCTATTGAGGTTTGATTTTAATGAAAAATTAAATTTATAAGAGATGAAAGAATTAATGGTAGTAGATGATTTATTAAAAGATCCTATATTTAAATAAATTTGTGGATCTGATATTTCTGCAATAACTAGATAAGTCAAAAAAGATGAATTAACAAGAAAATAAAAATTAGCAAAAGTACCTTTTTATGATCCTTTGTTTGATCCTGAATATTTAAATCCTGGAGAAAAAATAATCACAAGAAAGGTNGATGATTTAGATGAAGATAGTTTGAAAATTGCTGAATTCTTAAAAAATAGAAAACTTGATTTAATGGCTGTTGGAGAATCAAAAGCATAAGCTAATTTAAAAGAAGTTTTGAAAGATTTAGGAAAAAAAAGAAGAATTACACATGAAATTGATGATGAGGCTGCAGAAATTGAGGAATAATAAAATAAGGAAAGAGAATAGATATTTAATTTAGAAAACACTCTTATGGATAGTATAAGAGGAGTTTAAAAATAAGCTTAAGAAAAAGCATTATAAGATATTAAAGCAGGTAGAGCATTAATGAAGAATGGATAATTAGTTTATATGGAAGGAGTGGCAAGTTAGACAGATAAAATGAAAATTGAAATTGAATTCTAAGAAAAGATGTAGTAACATAGAAAAGAAGGAGCAGAAAGAGAATCCAAGATTTTATAATTAGAAAGAAAGGTTAAAGATTTAGGTATTGAAAAAGATGCATATATTCAATAATTGAGCAATATAAATAATCAATTAACTAAAGCAAATTTAGAAAGTAGAAAATTATAGGAATAATTGAAATCAAAGGAAAAGGCAAATAATGAATAATAGGCTGTAATTAATAAAACAGATTCAGAAAAAATAAGAAAATTAGTTGAAGATAATATAAAGATGAAATTCAGAATAAAAAATCTTATAGATAATGTTGCAGGTTTAGAGAAAGAGTATAATAGAAGTTTAGAAAGGTTTAGATTATTTGTTTAAAATTCTAATATAAGTGAAGATCAAAAGAAATTGATTTTGAATTAATTAGATAATCTATTGAGGTTTGATTTTAATGAAAAATTAAATTTATAAGAGATGAAAGAATTAATGGTAGTAGATGATTTATTAAAAGATCCTATATTTAAATAAATTTGTGGATCTGATATTTCTGCAATAACTAGATAAGTCAAAAAAGATGAATTAACAAGAAAATAAAAATTAGCAAAAGTACCTTTTTATGATCCTTTGTTTGATCCTGAATATTTAAATCCTGGAGAAAAAATAATCACAAGAAAGGTCATGAAACTTGTTAAAAGATAAAACACTTAAGGAGAATGGATAGAAGAAGAAATGGAAGTAGAAGAGGAAGTTGTTGTAAATGCATAAGGTGAAGAATTAAGAGCTAGAGATAAACCAATTATGATTTAATAATCTAAATAAACTTAATAATTTTTAGAGTAATTTGGTGGATTTGCTATTGGGGGAGCTAAAATAAAGATTCCAACAAAACCTATTACAAAGGATGGACGTTAAGTATAATTGAATGAATGGTTTGAAGACAGTTCTGGTAAAAAAGTGAGGAAGGTCTAAGCTAAAGATGGAGAAGAGACATATGAAGTATAAGAAGAATATATAGATGAGAATGGAAAAAAATAAATAAGGATTAAATAAATGAAAGTAAAGAAAGATAAAAATGGTAATGATTATGTTGAAGAAGAATTTATTGATGAAAAGGGTAAAAAACAGAAAGTAGCTAAAGTATTTATAAAATAATAAAAAATTAGAGAGTAACTAAAGACAAAGATGGTAATGATATTATTGAAGAAATTACTATTGATGAATAAGGTAATAAAACAACAAAAAAATAAAAAGTTTATAAAGATAAAGATGGTAATGAGGTTGTAGAAGAAGAAATTACTGATTAATTTGGTAATGTAACAACAGTTAAAAGAAAGATAGTTAAAGATGCTAATGGAAATTAAGTTATTATAGAAGAAAGAACTGATGCAAATGGAAATAAATCTATTGCTACTATAAAAAAGAATCAATTTGGATAAGATATTATTCAAGAATAAATTATAGATAAAAATGGAAAAATATAATAAGTGGAGAAAAAAATGATTGTGGAAAATGGAATTGCTATAACAGAAGAAGTTATGTTAGATGAAAATGGAAATAAAATTATCAAAAGAACTAAAATTAAAAAAGATGAGAATGGAAATGATATTATTGAAGAAGAAACTATTAATCCTGATGGAACTATTACTATCAAAACATCTAAAAAGAAAAAGAATCCTGATGGTACATATACTGTAGAATCAGAAATCATGGACTAAAATGGAAATGTCACTGTTGTTAAATAACGTTAATATAAAGATAGAAATGGAAATATTATTACTGAAGAAGAATCTATTGATCCTTAAACAGGAGCAAAAATTATAACAAAAACAATGAAAGATTCAAATGGAAAAGAAATTGTCTAAAAATAAATTGTTGGGGCTGATGGAAAAATTACAAATACATAAAAACAAGTCTAAATTGATAAGGATGGTCATCCTATTGAAGTTGAAATTATCCAAGGGGAAAATGGATAATAACAAACTGTATAAAGGAAGGTTTATAAAGATAGAAATGGAAATGAAATCAAAGAAGAAATTATCACAGATGAATAAGGAAATAAGAGATTAATTAAAACAAGAATTATAAAAGATAAAGATGGAAATAACATTATTGAAGAAGTAACCACTAATGCTGATGGAAGTAAAATTACAGTAAAAAAAAAATAATATAAAGATAAAGATGGGCTTGAAATTACAGAAATTGAAACTATTGATGCCAATGGAAATAGGGTTGTAATTAGAACTAAAAAAGGATTAAATGGAGAATAAATTATAGAAGAAACTAGAATTGGAAAGGATGGTAAGGTAGAAAAAATAATAAAGAAATTTAATAAAGACAAGAATGGTAATATTGTTGTAGAAGAGACTAAAATCTCTTCAGATGGAACTAAGATTGTGAAAATAATAAAATTAGGTACTGAAGATAGAGAAATTTAGACTGAAGGGATCTTTGATTTTAGTGATAAATCATAGTCATTATTAGATTAAATTTTAGAGTAATTGGGTAATTTGGGATTGGAAAAAAGTAAGTAAGAATAAATTAGAAATTGGGTGATGCTTAAATAACAAATTTAGGTTAAAAGAACAACAAAATAATAATAGCAAATGTAATAACATGATTCTGATGAGGAAGTATTAAGACCTAGACCTTCATCTGCTTAATCTAATAAATCTTTAGATTCTTTGGATGAAGATCAACCAGAAGAAGATTAATCGGATAAACTTTATTAAAGATTAATGTAATCAAAAAATGGATAAATGGGGGAAATTCTGAGATAAATTAGAAACTAATTAGGCAAGCAAGGTAAATATCAATTTTATCCTTAAAATAGGAAATGAGTCAATTTCCCTTGAAGAATTTAGAGAGTATATGAAAAAAATGAGATAGATTCATGCTCGTTGTGGTGATAATTGTCCTCATTTAAGAAGGTTCTATGAAAAAATTGGTTTTGCTACAAAAAAATATAAGAGAAGGTTTTTAAAGATGAACTTGACCAAAATAGATGCAAAAACTAAACTTCCATAACTTTAAAATTTTAGTACAATAAAATGATATTAATAATATTATTATATAATTTCTATTCACTACATCAATACCCTATGAGATATCATTATAATATAAATATAATAATAAGATTGTTATATATTTTTGATTTAATAACTATAATATTTAGGAATGAAATACTATATATAACAACTATCTTTAAATTTTAATTATCAATAATGTAAAAATCCTAACTGATTAGAGTTTTAAGTGATTCTAATAAGTGCCCAACCCCTTTTTAGATGTCACGATAGTTAAGTTAAGAAACCCTAACTGGATTTACATAATGTTTAACTAATGATCGAGAACATGTTAGATTGACAAGATAAGTAAATTAGTTAAAAAAGGAGAATGAAATATTATAAATAAAAATAAAACAATTAGAACAATAGGATTTTAAAACAAAGATAGTAAGTCTAGAATAAAAGAATAAATAATTGGAAATATAATTAGATGCTTATAAAAAATTGCCAATTGATCAAATAACCTCTTTAATTGATGACAATGAACGATTGACAAATATGGTGGAGAATCAATCTAATAAAATAAAATAATTATTAACATAAATAGATGAACTTAAAGAAACTTCGTTTTAAAATGAAGGAAAAAATGATCTTATAATAGCAATGATTCAGGTATATATTATAATAATAAAACAAAGGAATTGGAAAATCAAAGACTCTATGTTTAAGATGAACATAAAAAGCAGAAAACTTTGAACTAAGAGAAATAAATACTTTATATAGAACTTTAAATAGCCAAACAATAGATTAAAGAATTAAATTAAGCAATAGAAAAGATTAAGATGTAAAATTTAGAGAGTAGTGAACCATGTGATGTTCTGCATTAAGATTACTTGAAAAGTAATGACGCAGTATTAAATTTCTTAAAACAATAATATTGATTAATAAAAAAAGATATAATCCACGACATAAATTAAATTTAAATAAATTTATGAATAACTAAGAAAGAACCTTCATCATGGTCAAACCAGACGGAGTCTAAAGAAGACTTGTCGGAAAAATCATTCAAAGATTCGAAGACAGAGGATTCAAACTCGTTGCCCTTAAATTTGTTGCTCCAGACTAAGGTCTTTTGACTTAGCACTATGCTGATTTGAAGGAAAGACCTTTCTTCCCAAGTCTTTTAAAATATGTCAGTTCAGGTCCAGTTGCTGCTATGGTTTGGGAAGGAAAGGATGGTATAGAATTGTATTATTTTACATAGCTGTCAAGACAGGAAGAGTCATGTTAGGTGAAACAAATCCACTTGCTTCAAAACCAGGCACAATCAGAGGAGATTTTGCTATTGATGTTGGAAGAAATGTTATTCACGGATCAGACTCTGTTGAATCAGCCAACAAGGAGATCAGTTTATGGTTCTAACCTTAAGAATTGGTTAATTGGAATACCAATGATCATGGATGGGTTTATGAATGATGAATGTGTACAAAATAAAATAAATAACAACTTAAAAGTCTTAAAGTAGTTTTTCAAATTATTCTATGCTACATTCTAAATATTTAATAAAGCATTAAATTATTATAAGTATATTGAAAATTATCAAATTCTTCTTAATATTTCATTTTATAACACTATTACATCACTAAGAATTTATTCCATTTTAGACATTTAATCAGTAAGATTTGCATCATCATTAACACTTTCAGGAAACCAAGTAATATCATCTGATTCTAATTTGGCATGTATCCAATATTCTAGACCAGTATATTCTGTCCATTCTTTTAATTTTAAGCATTTCACATAGAATATGTAATTCCACATATAATGTAATTAATGAGTATGTTCATCAAAAGATATATTCATCTTTTCTAAATCTGTTCTTGATGCTGCACAAATGAAACATTTATTTTTGATATCTTCTTCTATCTTTTACCTTTAATCTCTTAATTCAGCAAAAGTATCAATCATAATACCCTATATAATATTAGTAAAGAGCAATCCAAAGAAAACTGTAAATAACATATCAAAAAAGAATTTTAAAGGGTCCCAATTAATCATGCTATTACCAATAACACCTGAAGTAATTAATGTAATCATGCATGTAATTAATGAATTACAAGTTTCAGTCTATTCTCCTTAATAAATATCATCAAAATAAACATTAAAGCTTATCACAGAAAAGGCAAACACGAAAAGAATTCCCAATAATCCAACTACAAACAATTGTTTAGCATTATATGAAATAGCTTAGAATACATTTTTTAGAAGTGAATTTCTACTAAATATTTCAACCAAATGTATCACATAAAAATTTGAATTACAGAATACTCCATAAAAGGATATTATAACCAGGAATAATAAAATAAGACATGTATCTTCTTTAAAGAATACAATATAGGATAATAAACTATCCTTTGTTTTACGATTCTTTTCTATTGCTATTGGAACTCTTTATAAACTGACCATTATAAATAATGCTATTTATGAGAATAGCTGTCCCAAAGATAATAGATTTATTATTAGTTGATTTATTTGATTTGAATATAAAAAATAAGTATTCTCCTTGACTACAACAGTATAAAAAAATATCTAAAAATAATATATAATAAATGATTACCATAGCTAAATTAATTAATACAGCAAATGTTGATGCTAGATTTTATAATAAATCTAAATTTTATTAAGTAATAGGAATTCTAAAATGATTTAATTTATAATTGTGTTCTAATTCATAAAATAAAATTTCAGATTAAGATAACATTCCTACTAATTTATCCCTTTATGTTTCTCTATTTACAGTAAATAATAATTCTTATTTTGTTTATTCTGATAACAAATGAAAATAAGGATGAAATGGAAAAAATACTTTCATCTTTTTTCCTTAATAAATAATTTCAATTTTATGGATTAGATTTTATAATTTTTAAAATATTTTTGGAAGTTCTGGAAATTATTCCATTTTCTCTTAAAATTAAACAAGCCATTTATTATCAGAATGTTAAGTCATTTATTGTTGTATGATACAAACATTTAAAATTTTTTACATATCACTATCAAATATTTTATCTTATAATTATAAAACTTATTCTAAATCTTATGAATTTTAAATATTCAAAGATTCTAAATTATTTTTTAGAAAGTTTATTAAAAATTATGCTTCTAATTTATTGGATAAATCTTTATATATCTTTTCTTCATTTCCTTCTAAGACTGATAATACTGCTTATAGAATTTTATTTTAAAGTTCTTACAATTCTTATAAATCTTCAGAATTTTCAAATAATCTTTAAATTTAATTATTTTTATCATTAAAGAATTATGCCATATGACTTGCATCTTCAAAAAATGTTGTATTACATAATGTAATTTAATTATCAATACAAGGCAATTAAATAACTTCATTTACAAAATCTAACATTGATTATGGAATTACAATTATTGCTTTTGATAATATTTTAAAGTAAACTCTTAATTATACACTAGCAAATTCAATAAAATTAGTTGATAATATTTTTGGATTATTCTTTTAATCTGTTTATTATCTTATATATTTTTTCATTTCCACATTATTATTCTCACAAAATAATTGCATAACTCTAAAAAATCTACAAATAACATCTAAACACAATTTTTTAAATGCTGTTTCTTTTGCATCATCTGGATCTATAACATTCAATCTAATCATAGTTTAAGTATCAACATCAAAAAAGTCATAATTATCAACTGTCTAAATTAATTCTGAACTTTCTGATTATTCTTAAGTAATTATTGAAAAATTATTATTAATAACTTAAGTTAATTTACTAATTAAAACTCGAAAATTTGTTAATACTGTATTTTATTCATCTTTTTTAAGCTTCTCCAAAATAGCATTTTAAGCTTTTGTATTTCCACCTAATAAGAATGCTATTAAAAACAACAAACATTCACTTAATAAATCTAATCTAATCTCTAATTTCTATTCAGAAAATAAAGCTATTACTAAATCAGCAGCACCACAATCAACTAAAAAGTTTTAAGCATTTTCAATTTCTTATTTATAATCAATCCAATATTCACTAGGCCATTAATCAACTTATACTAATTAAATACTATTAGCCTAATTCTTTTCAGTTATTAATTTACTTATCATTTTTAAAAAGAATATTCTTAAATCATCTGTAAATTATGCTTCATTTGATATACTCATATGAATTATATTTTAAATGTAATGTTTTAATGATGTAACTTCAAATTTAGTTTAATAAGCCAACATTGATTCTTATCCAATTGATAACATTTTCTTACAAGCTTCAAGGAATTCTTCTTCTAGAAATATTTAAAATGAAGAAGATAAACTTAATATATTAATGACTCTTTTAAGTTTATGATTAATCTTTTCATTCAAATCTTCTGGTTATAAAGATGATCTCTTTGTATTTTTCCAATATTTAACCAAATTTCCTAAAGCTTATTTCCCTTGTGTAAATCTATCAACTGAAAAAATTGAATCAATTAAACTTTTTTTATAGTCTTCTTCATTATGTTAAAATCTACTTGTATTTTCAAGTGAATTTCTTATTTCTGAATCTATTGCTTCAGAAGAAATTATAATATTTGAAGAACTTAATTAAAGTGCTTTTTCATAAGAATTAATTTATTTTAATGTCAACACAAATAGTTAATCTCTAATTTTTAATACTTAAAGATCAAATGTTGAAACTATGCTATGAAGAATATTTAAAATTATTTTTGATAAATGTCCTATATTCTACTTTTAATAAAATCTTTCAATTAATATTAACTTCTATATTAAATCAAATATTTATAAATGGATTATCAATTTATTTTTACTCCTATTTAATTATAATTATTCTTCTAAATCTTCCAAAAATTCTATATTATTAAATACATAATGCAATGTAATCAATATTTCTTCTAAATATAAATAAATATATGAAATTAAATATTTATATCTAATTGGATTGATAATAGTAATTTAATTAAAAAATGAAAGACTTTGACTAGATTTTAATTCTATAATATTTTCTAAATCATCTAAAATTGTTATGAAATCAACTGAAATAAATTAAGTAACTACATCCCTTCCCTAACAATAATAAAGTCTATTTGTATATGCTCTTAAATATCTTTTCAATGGCCATACTTATTATGATAAAGATAATAATTTTATTAGATCTGGAAATGTATGGATCTTTCTACATTTTTTTTGATTAACTTTGTGTTATTCTTCAACTAATTAACTGAAAAGACCAAAAAATGTATACATATAAGTAAGTTCTGGACTTATATCAATTTAAATCTAATCCTTATTTAATTTTGAGTATTCTATTTAGTATTAATTTATATAATATGAAATTTGATCTTCAGTTAATATTAAATTCTCAATAATTGGTTCAGAAGTTTATGATGTAACATCACTAAAACTTTATTCAGAATTTTGAGTAGCCATAATATCTGAAGTGGCTAAATTTAAGCTTAAAATAAGATTTGCATATGAATTTTCTTATAAATTTTACAAAGTTAAAGTTTGATTTTGTGGTATGTATGATGAATTGAAAATTAATATAATTCTCAAAAAATCTAATAATTTTGATTTGTAATAATTACTCAAAGGTGAACTATCACATTATTTAAGAACCATTTATAAAACATTTGGAATCTCTCTTTAACTATAAATTAATGGTTTATTATTTGCAAATAAAGCTTTTAAGAAATCAATCATTCCAATATTATATTATAAATGAGGATACATGGATTCTTTATATTTTGATAAAGCTATTTTATTTTCCATATGATTCCAAATTATTAATGTTAGATAATCATAACAAGCATGTAATAATTTCCAATAAATTTCTGATAAAGATGGAACAAATATTTTGATAAAATTTAATATTGGAATATGTAATTCTTGAGCTATTAATAAAGATTGATGAAGTCTATAATTTAATTCTCTTTCATGATATATGATTCTAGATCTATTATCAGGATAATAATCTTCATAACTTAAAGATACTTATTGTTTTGTTTTGTCAAAATCTTTTTTTAAATATCTATTGAGTCTTTATAAATTTTAAATAAGACCTGCTTTTTAAGCTTCTTATTAATTCAAATTCCAAATTATATTTTATTTTTAAAATGTTGGACTATTTTCATTATACATTTCTATAAAGTAAGAATCTGTCAAAATATCAAATTTATTAAAAATCAATGAACTTAATTCAGATAATTCTTATGTTTTTCCTGAAACTACAATAATTATTTTTTCAAAGTTAGATATTAATTCTTTTCTTTAACCATAAGCTCTTTTTAATATTTCAAGTGAATATTTAGGCAATAATGGATTTTCATAGAATGACAATTCAGCAAATATTAATTCAAAAAATTCAACATCAGATAAAGATCTTTTTTGTAATAATAATTTAAATTTTGAAATCCAATTTTAAGGATCATAAAATACTTTTTCTTCCTCAGTAGATTTCTTTTTTAATTTATCAGCAATAGATTTAGCATTTGGTTTTGTACTTTCACTAGTAAATAATGTTTTTATTTTTGAATTTGATTTTATATTTCTACTACTTCCTGATTATTTTTATTCTATATTTTCAATAATTTTTAATTCAATTAATAGAGTTTTTAAAAGTTTAGCAGCTTCAAAAACTCTTATATTTGCTTCAAAATCAAAAATCTTTTGTATAATTTCACAAGCTAATTACTTGCATGAAATTTTAACACTATTTGATTCAGATAATCTTGTTGCTTTAAGTTTATGATCAATAAAACTTTATACATAAGTACCTTATTAACTTGATAACATAGAATTTTCTTTCTCATTTCCAAAAGAGAATTCATTTATACTACTACATATTTGATACATAAAATTTAAAATTTGTTATATTTGATCTAAATTTACATAAAATCCAAAATCTAATTGACATCCTATTATTTTCAATATTTCTTAAAGAGTTCTTTAAAATTCAATATTTTTCCATAAATTCTTATTTTTCTCCAATTACAATAAAACAAATAGATTAAACTCTTATAAAGGATGATTAGAATCTATAACATCTATAAATTGAGGGTATTCATCATCTAAAGCTGAAAATATCTAAACTCTTTTAATTCTCTTAACTTTTTCAAATGGAACATTATCTATATAAGCATATCTAATTAATTTTAATATAGGTCTCATAATACTAAACCTTGAATTCTTTTCTGCTTCTTCAAGAATTTTCAATAAGACTTATAAAGGAAAATTATCATCAACATATTTTTTAGCTTATTTATTTCTCTTCATACAAATATCACCTAATAAATCAAAATAACTTTGAAAATAATTCCATTATTAAAAAGAATCAACTTTTTGACTTTCTCTATAGAATTCTTCAAATGTACGGAATTTATTTATTTTTTAGATTGGGCATAATACTTATAATTAGTGTTATTCATCTATTTTAAATTGAAAACAAAAATCTAATTTTATTAATATATAATTATACCAAATCCAATTTTAAGAAAAAATTATTATAAAACTAATGATTAATTCTCTTTAACAGGTTAACCATTAGAAACACAAATAGAACTTAAAATTTTTAAGTATTTTTCATGAGGAACTTGAGATCCAATAATTTCAATAATTCTTATTACTAGATTTTAATTTAAGAATTTTTTAATAGCTAAAACATTATTATCCAATATTTCTGCTAAAAATCTTTAAATATATGGTTCACTCACCATTATATATTAATGAAGATACATTTCCATCCATTAAGAAGCATAGGTTTTGTTTGAATTATTATTTTAAATTAATTTAGTAAGTAATGAATAAGTTTCTGAAAATAAAGTTTTAATGAGTTATTTCTAATGTTTCCAAAATAAAAGCTTTTTAGTTCCAGATTTATAACATAATGAATATAAAATTTCTATCAAAATTTCTATATAATACAATTCTTTCATTATAATTTATCTTCTTGAATTAACAAAAGCATCTATTTCTTCATCTTCTTCTTCATCAATTTCTAAATTAATGATAAATTTGCTTAAACCAGCTAATAATTTTTCTATCTGTTTTATTTATTCTAAATTAGCCATTGAAGCAAAATATTAATGATTGACTTTTAAAGCTCCAGAGAAATTAATTAAATATTCTAGAGCTGAAAAAGCTTAAATAAGTTCAGTCTTTTAATTACTATCAACTCTTTTTATAATAAAAGCATCTGTTTATTTTTTACCCTTAAAAGCTGTTTTAAATAGATTCTCTTCTGTTTATGTATGTTTATTAAAAAATCCACCCAATGAACTTATATCTTTAATTTGACCAAAAGATTATTGAGTATGATGTTAATTCAATTTAATTAATGTTAATGTATTGTCATCATGAACTAAATTAACATATGAACCATCAACAAATTCTTAATCATGATTATTAGCTAATTGTAAATCAATTGGAGTTCCAATATCATCAATAAATGCTTAAATGCAATCATCATCATCCAATCTTTCTGCACATTTAATTAACTTTCCTGTTAAATAATGTCTAAGTAAAATAGTCTAATATATATGTTTATTTCTTTTTTATTTTGTTAATTATCCAACATTTGGACCTGCTCCAGCTGCAACATTTGCAGATGTTCTTCCAGAGGATTATATAGTACCAGGTAATCCAATTAAAGAAAGTGGCAAAGATACTTTAGTAGCCAATACTGATGGAAGTCTTGTTATTACTGGTTTAGATTAAAGTTAAGGAATTGTTTATTGACATTTTTATTCATTCTTTTCTTAAGTAAATGTTATCTCCCATAAACAATCTATAGGAACTTAAGTTTTTTGATCAATCAATTTTAATGCTAATGAATTCTTTCTTAAATCAATACAAAGATAAGAATTATTTTAAGTAAAGTTGAATACACATATATCTCTATCTTATATTTAATTTGATGGTTAGATATATTCTTCATATGATTAATATTGATCTATTTTCCAACTACTTGTTGAATTATGACTTATGATTAATTCATATCTATGTGATTCATTTGAAAGACCCTTTAAATCAGGTCTTAAATCAGATTATGGAGGTTTATGATCTAATTAAACAGGAGCCTTTAAACTCTTTTCTAACCAAAATTTTGATGAATCTGAAAGTATTTTTACTTATTCTTTAGTTTAAATTGGTCTGCCTGTTTTTTAATGACTTTTACAGGCCTCTAATTTAAATATGATATTGCTTGATAAATAAGGTTGGAGTTTTATTTTGAATGAGTCACTTCTTTGATCACTGCATTCATCTGAGGATACTAAATAATACCCAGATTCAATATGCTTAAAAATTGCTTCAGCTCTATTCTAAGATAATCTGATACCCAAAATATAGTTCTTCATTCATTTTGTTTTCAATCATCGCCAAATATTATTCTTTTTCTGATTTTACTCTATATAGTAATCCTTTATTTCTTTGCCTTTCATATAATTTAAATATTTACTTTGTTTTATAATATTCATCATGAATCTCAAAACTACCTCTAGGTAAAAGTTAAAATAAGCCTTCTCTGAAATTATTCAAATCATTCACATCTTCATAAGTTTGATAATACACTGCCTTGTCAAAGAATCTAATCTTAATTCCAAATTCTTTTACCCTTTAGCTGAAATGAATCCTTAACCTCCGCTGTCAGTTTTTCCCTGAATACGTACTATAGAGCCATATTTTAAATTTTATTATGGTTTCATTCAAAATTATAATAATAATTATAATATTCTGTCAAAAAATTCAATCAAATTTATGTATTTAGTGATGAATCTAAGTCAATGTATAAATAATATATATTAAAAAGTTATTCATATCTTAATTCTTATTTTACTTATTTTTTAAAAAAAACATAAATAATCCTTCGAATTTATATTAAATTATGTTGGAAATATCAGATAAAATTAAATAGAATTGCAAATTACTATAAATAAAAAAATCAATTAATATTGGGATACAGTAGAGTTTGAATTTTGGTTAGAAGATTTAAAATAAATATATATAAGTACTTTTCATTCATTAATTGTTGAAAATAGTTTCTTTTAATTAGCTAAATTAATTTACAAAGATAAAGAAAATTTTGATTTAAATTAAATGATAGATCTAATTTAATAGATTGAAATTGATAATTTTATTAAATTAACACTACAATTTCAGATGTTTAATATTGTACTAACATATGCTTCGGGGTTCGATAAGGCTAGAAATAAGAAAAAAGAGATATCTTTATTTATAATGAACATAGTATTAGAATATTATAAATATGTTGCTGATAATAGATTTCTTTGATCACTAATATTAAGATCATGTAGTCCGTAAGGTATTTGAAATCAAATTTCTTAACAGGATATGATGGAGAACATGAATATTGAATTGATTACTGTATGTATATTGACATACTTGATATAAAGAATAGATTAAAAGTTACATAGATGGAATAAATATAGAGTAAAGTTCTGTATCATCGTAAATATATATTTCTCATGCGTACTTCAATTACAAACATTATAACAAGTTTAATCAGGAGTATTTACTAAAAAAGATAAGTATAAAGTAAAATAAATTTTATATTGTCCTGAAGAAGATAAGATTTGTTGATTTCAGCTTTTAAATTGAAAAGGAAAGAGGAGAATATTTATTACAAATTACTTTAGAATCCAGAATATATATATATGATTAAATTAGAAAAAAGGTGAAAACATATCATGAGTATTATTTATGATGGATAATTGAAATAATTATTTTATTAAAATATGATTTATGTAAAATACATCACAAGGGTTCATAAATCAAAATATTGTTATGATAATGATTTATTAATAATCATTTGAGTCTACTCAAAATTTACTGATGAATGTTAGATGTATTTATTTAACTATCATAAAATTAATAAATAAAAATTATGTATGAAAATGATAATACAGATACAGCTGACAGTCATCATAAAGTATATAATTATTAAATAAAGAATGAGGAATTGATTGAAGAGTTATAAAAGTATTGGCGATTAGTGATTTCTCATATGGGATAGGACTACTAACATCTATTAAAATTGTCAAGTGATTCTGATGCACTAGAATTAGTTTAATCATTGATGATTTTAGAAGATATTCGATTTAATGATAAGAAAGTTCCATAAAATCATGATTTGGAAAACGAAATTATGCAATTTAAATAATAAATTTCTTACCAAAAAAATGAATTGGAATCAAAAACCAAACTCATACATGAATTACTATAAAAGCAAACTTAATTATAAGAGTAAAATCAAGAAATGCTTCTATAATTAATAAAAAAAGAAGAGGAAAATTCCAGTAAGATAGCTCAACTTGAAAAAGAAATGAAAAACAATAACAGAATTTAGAGTAGAATACCATCACAATTATAATCTGCTCGTCTACCAAATTAATAGTATAGTTAATCAACTAAAAATTCTCCCTAACCCAGAGAATTCAGATAACTAAACAATTATTATTAAACAACATTAAGTAAATTATTAAAAGTTTCAGGTACTCATAATAATAATACAATTAAAAATAATAGCAATATTATTTTTTAATGAAGAAATGCTTGATTGCTATAAAAATTTTTCTTCTGATAAATTTATTGTCTCTATATGAATTATAAAACTAATGATCAATCCAATTTAATATTTTTAAAATCTCCTCTTTTAGTTATTATTTCAATAGGTCTAGCCTCAATATTTTCAGTAGGAGGTCTAATACCCTAATGATAGAATATGTAATGGATACTTTATTAGACTATTTAGTACCAATAGCAGTTTTCTTATTATTAAAATCTCTCCATTTATTAACTCTTTCATCTCTAGTCTTTTCCCATTCTTCTTCAGTCAAAATTTTATATTATTCCAACATTTTCCTTCTTTCATATTCATCTAATTTATATCTCTTTTATGATTATTCTAATCTAGTAAGATGTTATTTTCTGTCTTCTATTTCACTAAATAAATTCTTGCATTATTTTTAAAAATCACTTTCAAAAGTATCAGCTTAAAAATAAATTCGAAATTCTACGTGGTAAAGGAGCTACTCCAGTTTTTTCTCTTCTTTTATTTTCTCTAAGTCTTTCAAATTCAGTTTTCTCTCTAGCTTCTCTCATAATTCTAATATAAACTTTTCTTTTCTCTGGTTCCATTAAAGTTTTATAAGCTTAATCAACTATTTACCAACAGTCTTTAGCTCTTGGATCTTGACATTTATCTGGATGTAATAATTTTGAGAAAGAATTAAACATTTTCTTAATATCTTCATCTGTTGCTTCCATTCCTAAATACAAAACATCAAAAGGATTATAAAATGTTTCTGATGATAATCTTTCCAATTCTTCATCAACCTTTAATACTTTTTTCAGAATTGGCTAAAATGGATTTTTTAGTGCATGGTTGATTTCTTATTATTACATAAATTATAAATAAATTATTTAACGGATGATTTCTTTTATGGTAATGTCTAACATGCTATCAGAACAATTAAAAAATCAATACAAGAGTAAATCAGTCTATTGGAGATAGGAAAAAGAAAAACTACTTTAAACTTTTCAACCAAGACAAAATAACTCATAATCATAATAAAGATCAAGAACTAGTGAAAGAAAAAGCATTATAAGGAACTTAGTAGATTCACTTTATAATTAAGGAACTCCTGAAAAAAACAAATCAATTTATTATCATTTCTAATCCTAAATCACTTAATAAAAATAACAGTAATAATATTAAAGTTCTGCCAAAAAATAACATACAGAAGAATTGACTTTATCTACTATTATCAATAAATATTAAAAATAAGTTGAAATATGTAATTAAAAATAAATAGTATATGATCCAATAGCAGAATAAATCATAGAATCATTTTAAGAACTCAAAAAGAGGTCTGCATAAAAATAAGAAATATAAAAATGTTAATCAGAATAGAAAAATATTGAGAATAGTGCACACAAATAAAATATATTCAGTAGAATTAATTAAATTAGAGAATTTATAGATTAACAATTAAAAACTAATGTTGATGAATCTAATAAAGATATTAAATATGATAGTTAGTATTAATCAGATGTTGATTAAAGTTCTGGTAATTTGAGAAATAAATCAGTAGAATTTAAATAATTCTTGGATTAAAGAGTAAGTGTAGGAAGAGATTCTACAAATAATAGATTAAATCACAGGATTAATAAACTTCGTACTATACGTAGTTGTACAACATTAGATATTGGAATATAAGTTTCATTATTAGATGAAAATACAATACAATTAAATCCATAAAGATAAAAACAATAACAAGATAGTTATCAATAATATAATGATTAAAATAATTCTTAGAATTATTAATAAAAATATTAATAACAAAAATCAGATAGAAGTAACAATTCAAGACGAAACCATTAAGAATAATATGAAGTTTAAAATACATTATAATAAACATCTCCTTAATAATCATAAAATCCATATTATTAAGTTGAATAATCAGTAACTTCAGAATATTAATTACCTTTATAATAAATGTAATAACAACAATATTAAAATGAAGATTCATTATAATAATCAAAAAACTCAGGAAGAATGAGTAGAAGAAGTGAATTTCTATAAAAAGCAAGATATTCAACAAATGCAAATGATGAGAATAAGGAAAGATTTTCTGTAAATATTGAAGAAATAAAAAAAGAAAGATTATCAGAAAATGAAAGATTTTCAGTAACTTCAAATGAAATTAATGGTAAAGATGGAATCTTGGTCAATTTAGATTTTAATCAAGAAAGATTTTCTGTTAGATCAAATGAATAATATACATAAAATAAAGTTAGGAATTCAATAAAATCAAACTTTGAAGAAGATTTTAAAGATAAATTAATATTGAAATTGAATAAACCTGATATTACACTTCCAGTTTAATTTAAATGTATTACAAATAATAAGGAGAATTTTGGAGAACCTTCTATTTATACATCTAAAATAAATAAATATGAATAAGATAATAAATTAGGGGAAAGGTTTGAAAGTAAATTAAATACTATTGAAATTCCAAAGATTATCTAAGCTTTAAATTTTGATAATATTGAATTAAGTAAACCTTATTCTGGAACTCAAATTTCTGTAGATACAAATAGATTCTAACTAGAAATTTAATAAATTATGGAAAAATAGAATGAAACTTAAGATGTCTAGTTGAAATAAAATGAGATGATTAATATTTAACAAGATTTTGCTTTAACTAGTAATAGATCATAATTATCTGTTCCTATTACAGAACCAACTTAAATTCAATAAAATAATTAGATTAATACAAACTTTATAAGAGTAGAAGAAGAGATTGAAGCTGGGTAGCCAGATATTAGAATAATTGAAAATGCCACAGGTATTACAGAATGTAATCTATAATATTCTGAAGATACAGCAAATTTAAGAATTCCTACTTAAATTAGTAATAATGAAGAAGCCAAATTTAAACCAGATTCTTATGTAACATGTGAAATTTAATTCTAATAAATTAAATAGGATTATCAATAATTAAATTAATTATAATCAACCTAATCAAATTAGATGAATTAATCATCTTTTGAATAATGGTTATCATAAACTGATTAAAATAAACGAATATTTAATTTTAATTGTTAATCATAATATTTTTAAAAAGAGAAATGTGATCATAGTACATAAATTAATAAAAGTGAATCAGATTCAGATGAAGAAATTCAGTTTATTAAAAAAAAATAATAAAAATGTCAATTTAATTAAGGAGTAACATTATTAGTTAGAAAAATTACTTCAATTTTAAAAATTAGACAGATTAAATCATTTTATGAAATTAAAGAGTATACTCTACATTAATAATAATAATAATAATAATAATAATAATAGTTACAATAATTTAAATCCTCTTTACATACTTATCAATCTCCAATTGAATCACAATATTCATCTTAGTTTTATTCATAATAATAATCATTAACATCTCTTCCCGTGCCTTCATCATAGACTTAATAATCTTAAATTGATTTCGTTCCTTAAGCTACCAAAGAATAGGCAGCTTAAGAAAAAATATCAAATCTCTTAAAAACAATAATTGAAGAAACAGGATCTGATACATTAAGAATGTTGAAGAATAAATCAAATCTATCACCAGTTGCTAAGACTTCAGAAAAAAAAAGATTAAATAGCAGAAACAATTCTAAATTAAGGATTTCCAAAAAATGTTCAACTGCTTCAATATTAACATCTATATAATCTCCAGTTTAAGAAATTAATGATAGAATTAAAGTTAATTTTATATAAGAGATGGGATTAGAATCACCAACTTAGAAACATACTGAACATGCAGAATTACATGATTGCAGTAAATATTGATGATTTTATTTTAGGTCCAATTGCTGAGCCTATGGAATTTTAAGATGTATCTGTTTTAATAAAATAAAGGAGAGAGATGAAACAAATTGCTGACTCGAATAATGGGAGTAACATAATAAATAATAGTTATAATGATTAAAGACATTGTTAAATTTTGTCTCATCATATTGCAATACAAAAAGCAAAGATTGCAAAAAAATTTCAGTAAATTCATTATAAAACAGCTGGACAACAGTAATTTAGAAAAGAAAATTATTAAATTTGATTATTAATAAATTTTATATATGAGATAAAAATTATAACTTAAAGGAGACAATTCACTTTCTTAATCAGCCATATAAAGAAGAAATTCAAATCAAAGATATAAATCTCCTATACAAGGAAGAAAATTATTTTTAAGTCATGTAATTTAGACTCCATTAAGTTAATAATATGGATAGACTCAGCAATAATAATAATAATAATAATAACAATAATAATAACAAATTATATAGGGAAGATCACATAGTTAATCAAATGTAGTATTTTAAGATGAAATTCCATAAAAATGGCCTATAATATAATTACCATTTTTAAAGAATACTGAGCCAACAATATTTTTTTAGTATCCACCAGTTTGTGAAGATAAAAGACCTTTAGTAAATGCAAGACCTATGACAGAAGAAGAAATTAAGAAATATTCATTAACATGTAAGGTATTAGGATCTGCTCCATATAAATGTGTATTAACATCTTTTGATTGGGCAGGTTTTAAAAGAATAGATGAAGAAGATGAAGATGAAGAATGGAATGTTTAATGGGGAATAGGAAATAAAACTACTTTGAGAAATATGAATAGATATTAGAAAATCAATCATTTTCCTGGATGTTGGAATATGGGTAGAAAAGATTTATTATGGTTAAATTTAAGTAAATTCAAAAGAAAATACCCTAAAGAATATAATTTTATACCAAATACTTATTTATTGTAATATGATTTTGATAGATTTATAATGGCTTAAGAATCTGCATAAAAAGATACTTTGTGGATTAAAAAACCATGTGCAGATTCTAGAGGAAGAGGTATAACAATGGTAAGCAAAAAGTCAAAGGTAAAAAAAGATAAAAACTTTTTAATAATGGATTATATTTATAATCCTCATTTAATAAATGGATTTAAATATGATTTAAGAGTATATGTATTAATATCATGTTTTGATCCTTTGAGAGTGTATATGTATAAGGATGGTTTAGTAAGATTTGCTACTCAGAAATATTCTACAAATTCAAAGGATCTAACAAAGAGATATATTCATTTAACAAATTTTGCAGTGAATAAATTATCACCCAATTTTGTTAAGAATTAAAACACTTAAAAAGATGACGAAGGATCAAAGTGGTCTCATCATGCTTATAGAAAGAAATTAGATGAATTAGGAATTGATTCAAGAGAACTATTTAATAGAATTAAAGATGTAGTTTTAAAAACTTGTATTGCAACAGAACCATTTATGTTGGATAGCAATGCTAAATCTCAAGAACATAGAAATGGGTATTTTGAATTATATGGATTCGATGTATTAATTGATGAAAATCTAAAACCATGGGTATTAGAGGTTAATGTTTCACCATCTCTAAATTCTAGTTCACCTCTTGATAAAAAGATTAAGACTTCATTAATATCAGATGTGTTACATTTAGTTGGAGTACCTCTTTGGGATAAAAAGAATTACAAAATTGCATCTCCTCCAAAATATAATTAAAGGAATATAAAAGAAATCCCAAATATCAATACTTCTAATTGTTTGAATAAATTATCATAGAATGATTTTAATATGCTTATTCATACTGTTGAAGAAGTCAAAAGAAGAGGAAAGAACTTTTCATGTGTATTTCCAAATCCTAAAACAATTCACTAATATATGGATCTATTTGAATTTCCTAGATATAATAATAAACTAATTGAACGATTTTATTAAGACAGATGTAATTGGTTGTCTAGATTTAATTGATTATAATATGAAATTCATTTGTTATCTATTGAATTAATATATTATCAAGTTAAAAACACTCGAACACATTCACTTATTTTAAATGTCTGTTTCGTTACTAGACAATGTACCTATCCATTTTATTATTCACTCATTTATAATAATGATTTCTAACTATAAACTTAATTATTTGGTAACATCATAGGTGGATTATTTTCATCCATTAGTTCTCCTGATATTCTACAAATCCAAGTTGATCCTAACTTTTATGTTGTCAACAAATCCTTTGATAATTCTTACATTTATTTATTACAAATAGGACATCTATTCACTTATTAATAATCAATTTAATCACAATATTATGTTTTTAATGTTGTAATTCCACATTTTAAAAAGCTTAATAAAGGAGATTCTTTTGGAAAACAATAAACATCATATAATTCTTATTTAAATTATCTAATCAATAAATCCCATCTTTTATCATCGAAATATTATTAGTATTAAGGAGGCATTGTCTTTTATTTTATAAATAACAAACATCCCATACATTTTTATATACTCTCTTAATTCATATAAATTTGATAATCTCTTATATAATTCAATGCAATATTTGCATCTTATTTCAAATATTCAATATACTATTAGAATACTAAATCATTTTAAAATGAACTATTCAATTTTTTTAATTTACTAGAATTCTATTGATACCATTTAAATGCATTTTTTATAGATTTACTTTTCAAATCTTTAATTATTGTATTAGCCTCTATAATAATTTCTTATTCAAAACTTGTTAGATTCTTTTTATAATATTTTTTTATAATACTTGGATTTAATAAGATTATATCAATTTTTATGCTGTTTTGAAATATCCTTCTCTTAATAGATTATCAATTAATGATCTTTGTAACTTTATTTCATTTCCACATTCTTCACATTTTAATCTTTAAAGATAAGATTCTACATATTGTTTTTCATGTTCCTAATTTTCATGTAATGCCTTCTAAATTGAACGAATTCTTTCTATTACCAAATCCGCCTTTTCTGATGAATTAATATGAGCAATCTAACTTAAGGTAATTGTTAGATCATGTTCTAATTATTTTCTTGTGCTCTTAAATTCTTATACTTTATAAATATTCATACATTTAACAATGACTTCGAATGGTAATCTAATATATGAGTAATCAATAGATTATTCAATAGCTAATGACATTTTATATTTTATTTAAAATAACAATAAGATTATAAGATAAATTTAGTCATTTTTGTTATATATAATATATAAAATACATACTAAATATCAATCAGATTACTTTTTCTTTATCTACCACACTTTCTAATTCTATCTAAATATATATTAAATAAGTAATTTTACTCAGTTAATTTAATTAATGGCTTTTTAAGAATGAAATAATAACTAAGTCCAAAACAAACAGTCAACAAAGCCACAATATCATAGGATAAAAGAGACAATGATAAAATTGATATTGATTCGGTTATCTATAATTTATTTTTATTATATTACTGCTCCTCCTAAATTATGAATACTATTTATCAAAGTTAAAGAAGTTGCTCCAACTTAAGGATCACTTATTCTATTGAATAGAGTCCCATGATTTATGAATATAGAGTTCGATAACAAACTTTATGTAATTCCAAAAAATATCTAGAATATTAAAATATAAGAGTACCAAATATAGATATTAATATATTGATTCATAACTTAATATATCTGGAAATAATTTAAAAATAGAGTATGTCAATATTGCCTCTCCAATCCTAAATATTAAATAATGAAAGAATTTCTATAATTCATTTCCTCTTTTGTCATATTTTCCTATTAAGGCTATTATTATAAAATTTATAGGAATCATTATTGTTTGGATCCATGCCATCACTTCTTTTTTTAATCCTTGAGCAATTAGTAAAGATGCTATTCATCAATTAATAATAATAATACAAGTAGATGTTAATATTGGTTAAAAACATAATCTAAATAATATGAGATGTAAAAATAAAAATTATAAATTCCTATTTAAAACTAATTCTTTAAGGTTTCTAAATACAGTTTTAATTTGATGTTATTCAATTTCATCTATTGATTCCTCTTTTGATTATTCTGTTGTACAAAATTATACATATAATGTAAGAGCAATCAAATATAAAGCATTAATCAAACAAAATAGATCTAATGATAGAATTCCAGTTTCTTATGGTATAGTGTAAATATATGAATTACAAAAGTCTTTTGAATTTAATGTTATGAATATAGTTGTACTAAATATAACTCCAATCATTTAACCAACTGTTTATGCAGTTGCTCCTAAGTGATTATGTTCAGAACTAAATGCAGTAAGAACCCATCCATCAATTGCAATATCTTAATGAGCTGAAAGTAAAATCAAAATAAAGCCTATCAAAGTTAAGAATTCAATATTATAAACCCAAGTTGAGATTTTGGTGAAATATAATAGTGTATAAATTATTGCCATCAGATATTAAATTGGTATAATATATGTTCTTCTCTTTCCAATAGATTTAATGTAATAAACATCTAAGAATGGGGCAGTTAGCATTTTAAATGAAAAGGGATAGATAGCAAGAGAGAGTATTGCTATAATATTTATTGATAAATTAATACCTAAATTTGAATAGGGCACACCATGTTCAAGTAAAATCATCATTAATGTAGATGACCATAATCCTAAAGGAATACCCTATACAAAATAGAGAAATATAAACAAGATGAAAGTGTTTTTATCTTTTGATGATATTTTTGTCATTAATTAATTTAATAAACTATGGGATAAGAATAATCAGTAATAATTTAGTTATAATCTTAGAATCTGCCTTCAAATAACTTAGTTGTTTAATTACATATGTAGAATTATGAAAAGTTAACAAAATTAATAGAATAGAAATTATCTGATTAAACATTTACAATTGATAAAAGAATTAATCAAGTATGAAATAATGGATCTTTTAATTAGATGGAGGATACTCTTCTCCACTATGCAGCTTTTAAAAGAGATAAAAAATTAGTATAATATTTACTATCAAAAGGAGCATCATCTAATTGCAAAAATTCGGTAAGTAAATATCATATGATATATAAGAGAAATCTTATGCCTATAGATGTTACAGATGATCAAGAAATAAAATTAATGTTAGAGAGTAAATGAGAATTTAATGAATCACACAAGAATAATAAATAATTAATCAAATTATAAAATAAATATTAAAAATTAATATGAGCGCTAAAAAGAATACAAATTAATTTGAGAAGGATTCAGAAGAGGAATAAATCAAAAAAAAGGTTAAGAAAAATGAAGAGTAAAAGAAAAATAATGAATAGAATTCTGATGAATTTGAAATTGACTCAGAATTAGAGGAAGATGAAGAAATTGAAGAAGATGGTAATTAATTCTAATAATTGTTTAGGTATCTAAACCTCTTCGCATTCCAGCATAGATTTATAAGCTTATTTATAATAAAGAGACTAAATTCCTGATAGTGATGATGATGAAGAAGAAGAAGAAGATAATGATAATAAACAAAATCAAAAGAAAAAAACTCAACTTAAATAACAAAAAGTATCTAAAAAATAGTAGGATGATGATGAAGATGATGAAGATGATGATGATGTTGAAGATGAAGATGATGAAGAAGAAGTAGATGATGAAGATGAAGATGAAAATGAAAATGAAAAACCACCTTAAAAGAAATAAAAAGTTTAATAATAATAGAAATAAAAAAAATAAAGATGATTTTTTCATTAAATTTATTTATTTTTATATTGCCTTGAAATAATAGTTCTTTAAATTTAGCAAAAATAATGTTATTTTGTTTTTAATAATCATTCATATTAATTCAATAACTATTATTAAATAGCATAGTGTTTAATATTCTATTATTCATCTACATCTCTTAGTCTCTATTAATAATTGGATCGTAAATGATTAGGTACTATTTGTTCAACACCTCCCCTTTATTCTCCAGTTAATATATTAAACCCAGTATTTCCTCTTGCGTCTAAATTATGAGCCCTCACAAATTATCTCACTTTGGCTTTGTCATCGTATTGTCTTAATAAATTGCCTTATTCGCTGTTATCATATTTTAAGGTAATTGGATTATAAGCAAGCCTGAACAAAACAATAAATTCCTGATTTACCCATTTGAATTTCTTTTCCCTTGAGTTAATTATTAAGTGTGACTCATTAATTTTACTTAATCTTTTGTTTCCACCTTCTCTTAATAATCCCATTTTCTAGTTTCTCTATCTAATCCCTCCAATCTCTTTCTTTCAACAATCTTCTCTCTTTACCAAACTTCATGTTCTCTTTGCTTCTTATCTGCTACTGCAAAGTCTTTATCAAATCTCTCATTTTCTAATATTACTCCATCTATACCTGGAACATATAAAGTAGACTAAGGAGGTGCTTGATGTATCAATGTTCCAACTCCTAATCCTCTAGCCTCAAATCCAACTGTTTTATTATTGTAGGTATTAATTACCTCTCAAATCGATCCTACTCTTCTCTATTCTATCCTTATCTCGTAAAGCTTCCTAATTATCAAATAAATTTAAGTACTCTTTCTTGTCTTGTCCTAGGTTATATGTTTATCATTAATATAAAAAATTATTAACGAATATCATATGGGAGGATCTTTATGTAAAACTGACAGCAGAATACCTAATAACGAAATTGAAACTCCTTCTAATAAACCAATATACCAAAATCTAGAAAATTCGAATCCTAAAAGTGAATAAAATACATCAAATAGGGAATTCAGAGCTCATCTTTTGAAACCAACTATCCAAATTCCAAAGCAATAAGTTCAAATTCCTACTATACATAATGGATTAGTGAAAGATAGGCTTGCTTAATTGGGTGAATATAAAATTCCTTCTTCGATTACAAATGAAGGTTTAGATGTTACGCCTCCTTTCTAATTTGATGAAGATGCTATTTATCTTGGAGGCTTAAAAAATGACTTATTTCAAGGATATGGAGAAATCTATTGGGATGATGGAACTCATTACTGCGGCCAATATAATAAAGGAACCAGATGTGGACATGGCAGATTGATATATCCTGATGGTGATGCATATGTATAATAACTAAACTTAATAAGGAAGGTGACTGGCTGGATGATAAATAACATGGATAAGGAACATATTATTATTCAGATGGAGGTAAATACATTGGTAGATTCCTAAATGATTTGAAAGTAAATTTTATTAAAATTATTTCTTTTTAGCATGGTGAAGGTCAAGAGACTTTGGCTAATGGAGAGACATATGAAGGAGATTTCTAAAATGGAACTAGACATGGAAAAGGAAAATTGACAATGGCTGATGTTTAATTTGAAGGATTATTTGAGAAAGGATAAATGATTGATGGTGAATACAATTGGAATGACGGAAGAAAATATAAGGGTTAAATATAAGGGATGAAAATGCAAGGCCATGGAGAATTTTGGTTTCCTGATGGAAGATAATACAAAGGTATATTGTATTCAAATAATGTTAGGTTTTTGGGTTGAAGATTAAAAGGAAGGATAAGGAGAATTCCATTTTTCTGATGGATCAGTTTATATAGGAGGATGGAAAAACAATAAATAGAATGGATTAGGTAAACTCAGAGATAAAAATGGAGTAGTAATAAATGGCTTTTGGGTTGATGGTAATAAGATAACATGAATATTATAATTGTATTTTATTAACTTAATTTATAAAATCAATATTTGATTATTATTTCATCAATTTATATATATATAAATTTATATAGATTAATTAAATAATTAAGTTTAATTTGTTTGACTTTAATAATTAATTCAATATCTTCTCTTTGGTGTATCATAAATTCTACTCTAAACAAAATTTATCTCTTCTTCTAATGCTCTCTCTCTTTCCTTTCTTTCAATTTCAGCCTCTAATTCTAATCTTTATATTCTCTCCTAACTTCTTTATCTTTCATATTCTAAATCTCTTTCTATTTTCTCTAATTATCTACTTCTTTCTAAACTTCTACGTTAATTTTCTAATTGCTAAATTCTCAGTTCAGAATCTCTTAATTATTCTATTCTTTCTCTACTCTGTCTCATTTCTTGTATAGTGCGTTCCTATTCTCTACTATTTCTTAAGGCTTCCATTTAGTCTATTCTTTGTCTACTCTTTTTCAACTCTTATATTCTTTCTTAACTTCTTCTCAAATCCATTCCATCTCTTTCTTTTTTTTATAATTCTAAGCTCTCTTAATAATTTCTCAATTCTTCCATCTTTTTTCTTTATTTTTAAAGCTCTTCAATCCTCTCTCTAGATTTTTTTAATTCTTCCATTTTATCATAATTTTTCCTCTCATATTCCATTTATTAAAGTTTTTCTCTACTTTTTCTTAAATCTTCAAGACGTTCTCTACTTTACCTTAATTCTGCGATCTAAGCCTACCTTTCTCTGCTTTTTTTTAATTCTTCTAATTCTTCTATTTTTTATCTACTTTTCTTTAATTCCTCCAATTAATTTAGTCTCTCTCTACTTGATTTTAATTCCTATAATATTTCTCTACTTTTTTTTAAATCCTCTAAACTTTCTCTACTATTTTTAAAATCTTATACTTTTTCACTACTATATTTGAGTTTTTCCATCCTTTCTCTGCTATTTTTTAATTATTCTAACCTTTCTCTGCTTTTTTTGAGATCTTCTTGTCTTTCACTACTCTGTCTTAATTCTTCAAGCTATTCAACTTTTTCTCTACTTTTTCTTAATTCTTCTAAATATTCTCTACTTTTTTTGAGTTCTTCAATTCTTTCTCTGCTTCTTTTAAGATTATTAATTTCTTCTCTTTCTTTTTCTAATTGTATTATTTTTTCTCTACTCTTTCTTAATTCATCTACAAATTATCTTTCTTGCTAAAAATAATCTGGAGTAAAAGTTATAGCTTCTAATAATTCAGAATAATTGATTTTTCCATCTGCATCTTAATCAACAACCCTAAAAAAAGCAATTAAATCATCAAAGGACAATCTAATTCCGTTTTATTTCAAAAAGTTTTAAAGTCTAAAGTAAATATAAAATTATCCTACGTTTCAATTGTAATGTATCCTAAAAATGCTTGATCAATGCATCTAAAAGCATCAAGAGAAGTAAAATCTGCACATCCAGTCAAAATTTCTTAGGCAGTAGAAATTGAACTATAATAAAAAGGACAAAAAATACATATAATTTTTAATTTCTTAGTAGAAAACTTTAGAAAGTCCCCATTCGACTTCAGTAGGTAATTATTTATTAATTTTATTAGAAGAGTACTCTCTTTAGGATACAATATGCCTTAATCTAGAATCTTCTTTAGGTAATATAAACTAAATAAAACTAGACTTATAGAAATATTGGTTTACTCTGGATATGTGATTCTACCATCTTTGTTCTAATCTAATTTCTTAAATAAATATTCAGCTTAAGAATTAGATGCATTTATTTTGTTTTCTAGTAAAAAATTAACCAAATCTGAAACGGTTAATTGTCCAGTTTTCTTGTAATCTAATCTTTTGAATGCTGTGTAGGGTTCAAACATATTATATTCAGCCAACACTTATCTGAAAATTTCTGTTTTCTTCTCCCCTTCAGCTATGGTAGTAATTAAATTGGCTAATCTTAATTAAGTTTTTTAAGAGAGGTACATGATCAATAAAATTTTATTATTCTTAAAATAAAAATTAAATGCTGAGCTTTGTCAATTCAATAAAATATATCAATTAATTAATTAATTAATGAAATTCATTAAATATTCATTTTCCATAGCTGCTAAGTATCGTTCTTTATCATTAACTTATTTGTCAATTTAAGATTTTTAATTATGAAGATTATCCTTAACTATTATATGAATTTTATATGACTTGTAACTTAAATTTATTATTCATAATTACTTTAATAATTCTTGAGAGAGCTTTACTCTAATGGAAAGTGCAATTTATAAAGCAAATGAACAATGCTTCACAGTAGGTTTCCAATAAATTGTTATTCTTTAGCCTTCTATATTAATAAATTCTTTTTAGATAACATCTAATTATCCTAATGTTTGAGGTATTTCTGGATCTCTAATATTATAAATAATATAATAGATGTCATCAATAATATTTTGCATTATTTAATTATTTATAATACCGTTAATAATTTGATTATGAAATCTCAACCATTGTAGTAAATTAACTTAAATACCAAGCACCAGAAAAAGAAGAGTATTAATGGAAGAAATATATATGAAATTGGGGGTAAATATAATTTTAATTATAGGAACACAATTTGTGGTCGATGAGCGCTATGAATGTCATAAGCAAATAGGACATGGTGCTTATGGAGTTGTATGTTCAGGTGTTGATTTAATTAAAAATAAAAAGGTTGCGATTAAAAAAGTATTAAAGTTCTCATTATTAGGTTTAAAATGCATTTGAGGATTTAATAGATGCAAAACGAATTGTGAGAGAAATTAAGCTACTTTAGTTTTTTTAACATGAAAATGTTATCAGCTTAGTTGATATTTTAAAACCTGAATCAAGAACTGGATATAATGATATTTACATAATAACTGAACTGATGGAAACTGATTTACATAGAGTAATCTATTCTAGATAAGAATTAACTGATGAACATATTCAATATTTTATGTATCAAACACTTAGAGGATTACTTTATATTCATTCAGCAAATGTAATGCATAGAGATTTGAAACCAAGCAATATTTTAGTCAACAAAAATTGTGATTTGAAAATATGCGATTTAGGGTTAGCTAGAGGTTTTGAAATAGAAGATGAAAATAAAACAGAGTAATCATCTATTATATATTTATTAGATATGTAGTTACAAGATGGTATAGAGCACCAGAAGTAATACTTTAAGCCTCAGAATATACTAAAGCAATAGATATTTGGAGTGTTGGGTGCATTTTTGCAGAGCTTTTGGGGCGTACACCTCTATTTCCAGGAAAGGACTATTTAGAATAAATTTAGAGAATCATTGCTGTTTTAGGAACACCATCAAATGATGAAATGAAATATATTACTAATGAAGGTGCAATCAAATATATTAAGTAATTCATTATTAGATTTTTAGATCTTTGCCTAAAAGAACTAAATAAAACTTCAGTACTTTATTTTAAAAAGTTAATCCAACATGTTTAGATCTTTTATCCAAGATGCTAACTTTTAGTCCATTTTAAAGATATACTGTTGAATAATGCTTGAATCATCCATATTTTGATGGATTGCATTCCAAAGATGATGAACCTCTTTGTGATTCTGTTTTTGATTGGTCCTGGGATAAAATGGAATTAAAGAAAGAAATATTATAATCTGCCGTATATGATGAAGCAACTTAATGGTAATAAAAGCACAAAATAAATTCTAAAAAGTTTTGACCAATATATAATACATCACTTTTGTAATCATCATCACAATATTATTAAATAAATATTAACATTTTCTTATTTGGGAATGAATCCACATTCTAATAAAGTTTTGATATTGATTTTTATGTTTAGTTCTATTACTTCAAAGAGACTTTATAAAAAATTATAAAATGAAAAAATAATTTTAGAGGATCTTTATTAATGATGGTTTACAATATAATTCATTGTTGTTATTTGGTTGATTTTTTAATAGAATTTTAGGATAAATTTTATCAAAGGTTTGCTTTAGAGGCAGAATCAGCCAGTATTTATAAAATTACAAAATTGATTCAAAAATATATTGAAAGAATTCCATTAAAACCAATTATTGAAATATAAGACAGTGTCCCTAATTAATTTACAGCTATTAATGAAATATGATGTGAAAATATGATAAATTATAGGTTATAAAATTTAGATTATTCATGGAGAAGAATTTAGTTGATATAGAGATGAAGAATCAATTGAGATAATTTGGAATATCATTTAGACTTTAGTATATAAATATATTATTTACAAGGGATCATATAAAATAGAGAGACAAGTTTCAAAATTTAAATTTATAAATATGGGTTTAAACATCTAATGATACATATTTTAAATTAAATTAAAAAGAAAATTTGTATATTACCTGAAAATGATTAAATAATAATAATAAAATTATTAAATAAAGAAAATTAATTAATTAATGTCATCCAAAAGTTATGATCGATAAAAAATATTGAAGGTTGAAGTTGGTGTTGGTCTGACAAAAGAGTAGTATGAAAAAAAATATTTATTTCATCGTTTAAAAGAGAGATTTTTACATAGCTCTGATTTATCATTGGAGACAATCACTCCTGAAGGACATGAAAATATTTATATTCCTATGGATATTCAGACTCCAACTTAAGCTGATGGTCTAAGTTATGAGGATGAATAAGCCCTCAGAATGCATGGAGCTTAAATATGTTTTCAAGCCTGCAATCACTTAAAATTACCCTTAACCACAGCAATTACAAGTTTAGTGATTTATCACAGATTCTTTGCAAAGTAAATAAATGATAATGAGCATTAGGAATTCTTTTGTTGATTATGATTACCGTGAAATTTCAATGGCTTCTATTTATTTAGCAGGCAAAGTAGAAGAAACAGTGCTAAAAACTTGGTATATTGCTAGTACTTTTAGCTCTGTATTTTAGAAATAAAAATAAACACCGTTGTAAGAATGATAAAGATATTAAATAGGGATATTATAATTAAATAGGAAAAATTAATACTTAGGGAACTTGGGTTTGAATTATTTAGAGTTTCAGATCATCCGCACAAGTTCATAGAATCATTTTATCATTTTATTAAGGTCGATAAGCAGGTAGCTCAAAAGGCATGGTGTTACTTGAACGACTCATACATGACTGATTTATGTGTACATTTTCCACCTTAAGTTATTGCAGCAGGAGCATTGTATTTAGCATTGAGGATCTGTAATCATCCTATGCCTACTTAACCATGGTGGATTCTATTAGAAGCTACTTTGGATTAAATTGAGTAAGTGGCTGCAACAATATATAATATTTATGAATTCGAAAAGATTGATTTTCGATAAGCCAGAAGAATTTTAGCAAAAGCCAATAGAGTAGCTTATGTAATATAACATAGTGAAATTTATGGTATTCCAGAAAAAATAGAAAAGCCATTAGAAGCTATTAAATAAATCTCTTAATAATAATAATAATAATAATAATAATAATAATAAGAATAATAAAATAATAAAGTAGAATAATAAAAATCACCTATTGATAAGAAAAGTATGAAAAAAAAAAGTAGGTCTATTGAAAAAAAAAGTAAGGATAAAAAAAATAAATCTGAGAAAAAGAAAAAGAAAGACAAAGATAAAAAGAAAGAAAAAAAAGATAAAAAAAAGAAGTAACTATATATTTACTATATTATTAGAAGTAGATCTAGAAGCAAGTCAAATGAAAAAAAATAATCAAAAAAAGATAAGAAGAAAGATAAAAATAAAAAAGATCAGGATATTTAAGATAAAATTAAAACTAAAGATTCCGAGATAGTAATCTAATAGGATAAAAATTAAGTTGAATCCAAAATGGAAATTGAGACACCAAATGATTGCAATAACAATATAAAAAGCAACAATAATAATATCTAGTAATCAAGCACAGGTAACGAATAAAAAAAGGATGACTTATTGTGCCAAATACCTATTGTTGAATAGACAAATAAAGAACCATATCCTTAAGCATAACATGTTATTAATGACGTTTAGTAGCCACAATAATTGCATGATGAAAAAGAATAATTGAAAGTGTAATTGCCTTTATAGAGTAAATAGGATTTGATTGCTTCAATAAAAGCAATTCTAAAAACTTAATAATTATAGAAGGAGAAAGAAAAAGATTAAGATAAAGAAAAAGAAAAAGAGAAGGAAAAAGAAAAAGAAAAAGATAAAGATGAAGAATAGTCTCCAGATGAATAAGATTCAGAAGAATATGAACAATTAAAAGCACTTAAACTAAAAAGTAACTTTACATTAATTTTTTTAGTGTTAGCAAAAAAGCGAAACGAATGATGAGCTCTGTAATATAAATTTAAAGAATATATATATTTAAGCTATCTTTATATCAAATTATTTTATTTAACATATTTAATTCTAATTATCATCCATCTTACTATTTGAATAAGATTTATATATATTTCCATTTTTATTCAATTAATCATAAAAATTAAAAAAAATATATTTAATTTATTATTGAATGACTGAATAAAAATGTAGATAAATGAAATTTGAAAGATAAAATAATTAAATAAACAAGGAGATATCATGTATCAACATTTCATCACGTTATTTAAAGCTATCATATTATCTTGATATTATTTGATATAATCAATATTTAATAGAAAAATAATTGATAAATAAAAAGTTAATAATTATTCTTAAACGAATGCTTATTATATGTTATAATTAGAAATAATTATAGTAAGCTTTTTCTTATTAATTTTATAAAATAGAATGTTAGATGAATAGATATCAATTTTAATTTTAAGTGATACTATAATTAAATCAAATCTAAATTTTATGACTCTCTATAGTATCATTTATTTATTCATTATATTTCAATAAATAACTTATAATAAATATATATATATCTTTTATTGAATAAAATTTAAAGAATAAAATAATAATTTAAGTTAACTTAAATATTGGTATTAATTTAAGTTTTGTAAATTCTTATTGAAAAAATTTCATATGAACTATTTTGAAATGATATGTTTTTATCTCGATCTTTTCAATGAACAAAAGGTCCTTCTAGAAAGTTGCTAAAAAAATTAATATTTGGTTAGAATGAAAATTTATTAATAATATTATTATATATTAATCAATAATGAAATAATTCGGCTATAAATCCTTTAAATAGAATATCAAAAATAAGATCGTCTGCCTGATTATTTAATTAAGTTGCTAAATCCAAACAGAAAATGATTCTTTGGATTATATTTTAGTAAATTTCTTATTTAAGTTAGAAATCAGAATATTGTTTTTCAATTTGCTCAATCTCATTTTATAGATAAACTATTATATGAATTTTATTTTATTAACTATTTTTACCTGAAAAGCAATGAGCTTTAAGTATTTATTAAGTTGGTACTTTCCAGAGTTTATTAAAGATTTTTTGCAAAAAATGTGTTCGAATTGATTTTAGATGAACATCCCATGATTCTAATTTAGAGATCATAAATTTATGCTGTTTATTTCCTTTAATTCTAATTGAATGATTAATTTTTTTTTAGTTTTTATCATTAATTTTAGGAACTTATATAATTTATAGATATATACTTGACTTGAATTTATTCAATTAGTATTTATTGGCGTAATCTAAGATTTTAGAAAACAAATCAGAACCTGCAATTACTTTGCTTTTGATTGAACTCTTAAATTCAAATAAAATGTCATATTATTATTACATTGAAATTGGTTTGAATTATTATGTTTATTATTGCCCTGTAGTAAATTAATCTTCCATTTCCATATTATCAATAAATGAGAATTCTTATCTTAATAATATGGTTATAAATACCAATAGGTAACCATTTATTCATCTCAAAATCAATATCAGAAAATGCAAAGTTATTAGTGTCACCGAAATTAATATATTCATCTTCAATTGAATGTTCTTCTGGTATTCGAAATTGATCAGCTTAAAATATACTTACTTCTGAATATTGTGTCATTCCATTTAAATTATGATTTACCAACAGTAAAAAAAAGCAAATTATTTGCATCAAAGTAGCTGAATCGAGCTTTTTCCCTTTTTTGCAATCTTGACTTTCTTTTAAATTTAGCATGTTATTAATTATAAAATAAAAATATTTTCTAAAATCATTTTTAAAACTTAATAAATAAATAAGGTTTCTTATATTATTATATTAATAATAATCTTAATTAATTTACAATTATTTAGAGGTAAGCAATAACTAATTTAAAATATAAAGATGCCTTAATAGTTCAATATTAAAATAAATAATAATTTAATAATCAAATTAAACAAATAATACTTAAATAAACATAAAAATTATCAATGAATTATATGCTTATTAAAATAATAATAAGTTATATTTATATTTATAAATCTCTTTCTTTCAAGAGATTATATATAATAATTATTAATATAATGATTATTCTTTAATAATTATATAATTTAATGGATTTTATTTAGAGAATTAAAACAATGAACTATGATTTAATAACAATAATTGAATGATAAATATTTAAACTAATTCTTTTTTTCATTATTATTAACTTTTAAAGTGTTCTTTAACATCAAATTTACAATTTGGACATTTACTTGCCTTTTAAAACCAAGGAACTATACAATCTTCATGAAATATATGATTGCATGGCAACTTCATTATGATTTCACCTTTAGACTTAAACCTAATCAATACCTTTGACAAAATCTTTAATGCAAATTGAACAATTTTTTGATGATTTTCCCATTTTCATTTTTTTGATTTATCCTACAAATTATTCTTCTAATTTATTTTCTTCATTTTTCATATCCTCTTATTCAAACTCAAATCTCTCAAATTCCTCAGACTAAATAACTTAAATTTCATATAATTACAATTAATTTATTAAAGGTTTCAAGTGACATTCCCTAAATGGGGCATTCTTAATTAATGTATAACTGTTACAATCCATCTTCCCATCATGACGATATCCATTATTGTATACGGCAGCCCATTCATTATTCCAATCGATAAAATCAAGATTATATTTCCCGGAAGGATTTATTTTAATTGGGCGATCATTACCTTTCATTTTATAAAATATTTATAATAATGAAATAAAAATGATAATATACCATTTATGAATTAGTTTTTTTCTTTTCAACTTTATATTTTATTGATTGATTTTTCAATTAAAAAAAATAAAGATAAATTGAAATATATGATTGTAATTATGAATTCTTTGAAATAAATAGAATATATAAGTGTTCTTGAATATTAAAATTCATCATTATATTTGATAAAATTTTTTTCAAAATAAAAAATGAATCTGACTGATAACTGTAAGTAGATTAGTTTATAATAAAACTACTGAATAAAATATATGTAATGATTTTCAAATATATTCTTATTTAATCAGAATTTAGAATATACTTTAGTTAATTTTATATATATTTATATAATTTGAAGATGACAGAAGAGTTTTTGACTTGTGCTAAGATTATTGAATTTTTCTGGTTACTTCTAGCATTTATTTTCTTCTTTTTTGCAGCTTATGCAAAATTCAGATTAAAAAAGGATATTCATTTAGATATTGAGAATTTGAATTCGAATCATACAGCAGTTAAATATTAAGTTCCTTCTTAATAAGCAGATGCATAAGAGATTCATATGGTAGATTAGAATGTTTAAAGTTCTGGATAGTTATAATCAATGCCTTTATAAAATAGAGAACCACCTGTATGTTTTAAAATAAATTTTAGACAAAATTAGAAGAATTTTACAAGAAGTCACTAATTATTACAAGTAGAATATTTCCATAATTGGCAATTGTTATAATTTGTATTTTAAATGGGGCAAGTTATGCTTTTGCAGTAGCTTGTGTTATATTATACTTTGTTTCTATCATTCTATTTAATATACTTTAAATTTAAGATTGTTTAGGGTCTTAAGGAATGAAAAGTATTTTAAATTTATTATATTTTGAGATATGTTTAAGTTGTCAAATAACATTTGGTTAGTTTGTCTATTCATAAATTATTTAGCTAGTTCATTATTTTGATTTTTATGATATATATATATATAAAAGTTTTAGATATAATTAATTAAATAACAAGAATCTTAAAAACATATCAACTTTTGTATTTAGTGTACCAAACCTATTGTTTTTTATCAAAGGAAACCTTTTTTATAGATCTCTATGATCCAGCTGAAATTGAAATATTTGAAACATCTTATCCACTCTTATTTTTAAGAATAGGTTTTTATCTGGAGGTTTCAGCAAATGAATTTTTTTGATCAAAAGAATTATTTAGATTGCCATTGTTTGAATTATTAATATCATCATTTTTTACTTTGGATACATTGATGGCTTCAATTGCAAAGTTTTTTTTAATCCATGGATTTTATTATTAACTATCCAGCTCTTCAGATTATTAAGCTGTATATTAGATTTATTTTTCTATCTACTTGTGACTTTATTATTGGATTATTTCTTTTTTAGGAGATTCTTCCTTCTCAACTTATTCATCAAATATCAAAACACTAATAATGGGAGTTGGTTTAAATAAATGAGGTGGTCCATTTAATTTATATGTACGTTATGAATTTGTTTTTACTTCAACTTAGGTTTATTGGGTTCCTTTTACACAAATTGATGTACCCATCTGTATTTGTTATATTTAAATTAAGAAATAATAAATTGAATATTATTTATAAGATGTTTCTCAATTTTTATTTATAGTAAATTCTTAAAGAGATTTCTTATTTTAATTTTTGATTATTATAATGATAATAAACGCTATTTCAAAATTAATAATACATTTAATTAACTAGACTTAAGAGAATTATTAAAATTAGATATCTTAGTTAACATTTAATAATTTTAGTTTAATAAAATATTAATCTATAAGAAAAATGAAAATGTTATTTAATAAANTTATTACAAGTAGAATATTTCCATAATTGGCAATTGTTATAATTTGTATTTTAAATGGGGCAAGTTATGCTTTTGCAGTAGCTTGTGTTATATTATACTTTGTTTCTATCATTCTATTTAATATACTTTAAATTTAAGATTGTTTAGGGTCTTAAGGAATGAAAAGTATTTTAAATTTATTATATTTTGAGATATGTTTAAGTTGTCAAATAACATTTGGTTAGTTTGTCTATTCATAAATTATTTAGCTAGTTCATTATTTTGATTTTTATGATATATATATATATAAAAGTTTTAGATATAATTAATTAAATAACAAGAATCTTAAAAACATATCAACTTTTGTATTTAGTGTACCAAACCTATTGTTTTTTATCAAAGGAAACCTTTTTTATAGATCTCTATGATCCAGCTGAAATTGAAATATTTGAAACATCTTATCCACTCTTATTTTTAAGAATAGGTTTTTATCTGGAGGTTTCAGCAAATGAATTTTTTTGATCAAAAGAATTATTTAGATTGCCATTGTTTGAATTATTAATATCATCATTTTTTACTTTGGATACATTGATGGCTTCAATTGCAAAGTTTTTTTTAATCCATGGATTTTATTATTAACTATCCAGCTCTTCAGATTATTAAGCTGTATATTAGATTTATTTTTCTATCTACTTGTGACTTTATTATTGGATTATTTCTTTTTTAGGAGATTCTTCCTTCTCAACTTATTCATCAAATATCAAAACACTAATAATGGGAGTTGGTTTAAATAAATGAGGTGGTCCATTTAATTTATATGTACGTTATGAATTTGTTTTTACTTCAACTTAGGTTTATTGGGTTCCTTTTACACAAATTGATGTACCCATCTGTATTTGTTATATTTAAATTAAGAAATAATAAATTGAATATTATTTATAAGATGTTTCTCAATTTTTATTTATAGTAAATTCTTAAAGAGATTTCTTATTTTAATTTTTGATTATTATAATGATAATAAACGCTATTTCAAAATTAATAATACATTTAATTAACTAGACTTAAGAGAATTATTAAAATTAGATATCTTAGTTAACATTTAATAATTTTAGTTTAATAAAATATTAATCTATAAGAAAAATGAAAATGTTATTTAATAAATATGTTTATGATTAAATAGACATTAATTTATATGAATAATGATATAATTAAACATTAATTAATAGATTCAATGCTTTTATTCGTCATCAACTTCATATATGGCTTATTATCTTTATTAATTGAATTTCGAGTATGTGAATTTTCTTTTGATAACACTTTATTAAATAAGTCGAGGACTATTACTAAAATTCAATCTTCCAGAATCAGGTGATTAAGTATCTGGTGTTAATGGATCAAAATCTTAAGTTGAAAATTTCTTAAAAACACTTTTCTTAGGAAATTCAGTTGGTGAATTTTCATTAAGAGCCAAGTTCTTTTTTTTTGCATGTTATGCTAATCTAGGACTATTTAAGGTTGGTACTCTAACTCTAGTGTTTTCTTCTTCTAAATTTTCATCATCTTTTTATCGAGATCTTTATTTGATTTCTGGTAATTATAATCTATCTGATTTTTCAGTTTTGAAAGTTGATGTTTACCAAGGTTTAATATTATTATTAAGTTACTTTTTAGATGATTAAAATTTCTATTTTCTATCAATGAATGTTCCAGTAAAAAATGGATGATCTAATGCTTACTTAGCTGAAATCCTTTATTGTGGCACTGCTTATAGCATTTAATTTATTAAATCTATTGCTGATTATGGAGTTTAATAAATATTAAGAGTATCTAAATTTATTATACATTTCTTGTTTAATTTAAGTATTTCATGATAGTCATTTCCTGGGAATAAATCTTTAGATGTAATTCTAAGGGTTAGGATAATAGTACAATTTATAGAATATACAGCCAACACTGAACATATCACAAATTTTATCATATTTAAAGGTAAGATCTTTGAGATTGGCAATTTCTGGTGCTACATATCCAGGAGTACCACATTTAGGAAAAGGATAGGTTACAGCAGTTTGCCATGTTGCTAATCCAAAATCTACTATTCTCAATCCATTTATATCATTTGGTTTCTTAAACATAATATTTTCTGGTTTTAAATCTCTATGCATTATATTCAAAGAATGCATATGAGCCACTGCAGTTAAGATGGCCTAAGAATATTCTTGAATTAATTACAAACATGATAGACTTGATTTCATCCCAACCCAATTAAATAATTCCTTTAGAAATCAAATCATGTAGAGAAGTACCTTTTAAGTATTCTAAAATGATATAAAATGTATTATCTCCTTCATAAACCTCTTCCAATTTTACAATATATTCATGATTAAGTGCTGCCATCAAATTTATTTCATTAAACAATGCTTCCTAATTAGAATATAAACATAAATTTATACAAATCCTCCATCTTCCTTTAGATATTTCTTTTCTACATTTTTTGATGCGAATTCTTGTTTGTCACATTTGTCTATTACTAAATAAACCTAATTAATTATATATAATAGAGTACTCTTGAAGAGCCTCCTCTTCCTAATTATTTCATAGGCAAATAGAAATCACTCACATCTTTATACATTACTCTATTTCTTAGTAATCTCTTTAGTTATTTAAATTCTTCACAGTTACCATCAAAATACTTAACTTCCTCTTTGTATTCAAATCCCATTTGTGTTATTTTTTGTTTATCTTGGTTCCAGTAGATTTTTTATTCAAGATTGATTTGAAGAACATATTTCGGTTATTAGGAATTAAGTTCCTTTACTATTATTATCTATGAAATACTTGACTCAAGATCAAATAATCATCTATAACATACAAGAAGTATGTGTTCTCTTATTGATTATGCTTACTTTGACAAACCATCTAGAATGATGCGTTTTCATACACAATGTCACTGATATTGTTCATATATTACGCTAAATTATATTAATTTAAACAGAATTAATATGGTAAAATATTTAAGAATTGCTTATTCATTCCAATAATTCACAACAAATACTTTATCATTTTAGTAATCATTTTAAGATTGTAATCTATATCCTATAATTAAAGGTTATTTCATTTATATTGATAAATAACTATTTATTCAACAATAGAAGATTTAATTCTAAATTACTCAACCCTAAAAAGAATAGAATAAAGATTGAAATTATCAAGGTTTTACAAAAAGATCTAATTTACTTATTTGATTTATAATTAATCAATAAAAACTATTAGAGAATAATAAATAGAAGTAATAACAATACAAAGGGATAGAGAGAGTAAGGATAACTGATTTGTTTTCATTTTAATTAATTGACAATTAATTTATATAATAAATTTTGATTTCTTAAAATTAATTGTGAAATTAAGAATGCCATTTTCAATCATTTTTAATTTTCTTTCTTTAAGCTTTCACGTAAACGAATTCTTAATATAATATACAAAGTTACCTTTCTTTGGCTGATCTTTCCATATCTCCAATTTCATCACTTCCTAATCTATACATCACAAATAATATGACTCCTGCAAACCATCCCATATAAATGCAAAAATAAAAAGCATTTTTCAATCTTAATTCTCTTGATTATGGTTTCAATTCTTCATCTAACTTCTAACTATAAATTAAATATTTTTATACTTTTAAGCTAATTATTCTCTTGTCAACTATGGACCTCTCTAAAAATCTTTATAATCTTATTTCTATCCCTTAAAATTGTATTTAGGAGGAGCATCTATTTTCTAACCTCCTTTTACTACATTTTCATAAAAATTCTTATAAATGTTCCTTAATTTTTACATTAATTATAATATATATATATATCTATCATTAAATTTTATTATAACTAAATGGGACAATAATGTTGTAATCCAAAAAGTGGTTATATGCCTGATCAAATTCCAATTAATATTTATTCTCCTGAATCAATGGATAAAGTGCTTTAAAGTTCAAAACATATTTTGGAAGAAGTCTGTTAAGATTTTGATGAAGATGAAAACAAATAAAATATAGTTGAAGATGACCATTTACCATCAGATGCAATGAAATTATAAGAGATTCCTAAATTAGATAATGAAAAAGCAGAATCTATTAGACAATAACTTGGCCCTATCAAACTTACTTTTAATTCTGAGTATCCCATTTATCCACCTGTATAAATTGTAAATTACAAACCAAATGGAGATATTGATTCAATAATCATCTATGAAGGTTAATGGTATAAATATAAACGAAATGGAGCAGGAACTCAATACTATCCTGATGGTTCAATTTATGAAGGTCACTGGTGTCATAATAAGCATGATGGATTTGGTAGAATTATTTATGCTGATGGAGAATATTATATAGGAGAATGGCGATTAGGTTAAACTCATGGAGAAGGCACCTTGGTTACTAAATAATTAACTTATACTGGAAGATGGGAAGATGATTTATAAGTAAATATATTATATATTCAGAATGGCTAAGGTTATGAAAAGAAAATCAATGGAACTATTTATGAAGGATTATTTAAAAATGGACGTAAGCATGGATCTGGTTTAGTAAAATATTCAGATAATTCTTAATATAAAGGAAATTTTGTTGAAGACCATTATGAGGGTATTGGAGAATACAAATGGAGTGATGGTAGAACCTATGGAGGAGAATGGAAAAACAATCTTATGAATGGAAAAGGAGAATTGAGATACCTAAATGGAGATAAATATATAGGTATTATAATTATATATTTTTTAGGACATTTTAAGAATGATAAAAAGCATGGATTAGGAAAATTTATTTAAGCAAATGGTAGATCAATTGAAGGTGAATGGTTGGAAGGTAAATTAAATGGAGAAGTAAAAATAACGGAACCTAATGGGGAATCATTTTAGGCAAGATTTAAAAACGATCAAATTATTTGAAACATTAGATAAATTATACTTTAAGTTATAACAGAAATATAAACTAGCTATTTTTAAATATATATAGAATGTAAATACATATATATAATTTTAATTGACTTTAAATTTTTTAGATTTTTATAATTAACATTTATTGTTGAAAACCATGTATATCAAACTATCAGATGAATGAATTTAATTGAAACAAGTTTTATATATTTTTTAAGCATGTATTTATAAAATACTTACATTTAATAAAAAAAGGATCTCATGGAGATAAATATTGAATATCATATTTTAAATCCATTGTTTTTTTCATTTAATAATGATAGGTTTTTAGTAATGTTATCCTAATGATTATTGAATATTAAAAAATCTTTTTGATCTCTTAACTATTTTAAAGATTAATTTTAAATGATTAATGGAATTCATATTTGATTAATATTATAGAATTTTTTTGATTTATATCTAAGATTTTGAGATTGTTAAATACTTAGTTTTTTAGAAAATGTTGTTATATTGTAGTGTTAGTTATCTTTTTTAAGTATATTTAGTTAAATCTGTTTAGAGTATTAAAAATATCATTAAATTTATTAATTCAAATTTGGATGAGCACCCTCTTTGTTAAATGTTTATAATGTAACCAAAGACCAGCAACAATAAAATGTCAATAGTGTAAAATAGGATAGGTTGTAAGATTATGCTACAGTTGTGATTCACAAGTACATAATAGATAAGGACCTATTAGTCAACTACATAAGACAGAAATCATTCCTTATTAAGGTAATAATGCAAATTTGAAATAATTTAGAAATGTATTAAAAAGCTCCACAATCAGCTGGATAAACTAATTAGGGAAATAAATTTGAAAATACTCAAATTGCTTAAAAAAAATAATAACCTTAACAGTCATAATAATCTTAGGGACAATTTAAATTTACAGCTACTACTAAATAAGAACCACCTTAATTTACTTAGAAGCCTGTTACAAATGTGGCAAAACCACTTTAATAACCTGCTACTAAGGAGATTAATTTCTCTGGCACAAGATCAAATAATAAGCCAAGATATGATTAAAAAGAAGAAGAATAATACAATAGTTCATAAAAAAACTCTGTAATAAATCAAATATTATATTAATTAGGACTAAAAAGGCTAGTTAAACAATTAATTAAAAGAAGAGCAAGATACATGTCAACAACTTAAAAAAGAACTTAAATAAGCTTAAGATTAATTAAATTCATTAAATAAAGAAGTTGAGAAGAAGATGTAAATATCATTTATCTAATTTTTGTAGCAAGGCATCTTAATAGGATCTTGAGAAAAAACTTAATGATTTAAAGAAGGAAGGAGCTGAAGAAAAGAAGAAAACTTAATAATTGACAGAGGATGTTAAGAAGTTGAAAGAATAATTAAAAAATGCTGAATAATAAACTTAAAAGAAATTAGATTAACAAAAAAAATAATATGAAAAATAAATGTTAGAAATGGAATAAACAATAAATGAGAAGCAATAATAAATTGATGAGATTGCTTAAGAATTTTAGAATTATAATTTAGAAGATATATAAGCTAAAATGGAAGAAATGGCAAATGATATCAATATGAAAGATTAGATTATTGAATAATTACAAACACAATTATAAAAAGGAGAAGGTAATTAAAATGATGGAGAAGAAGGTGATAAGGAAGAAATTATTCAGTAAATAGAGTAGAAGGATTAAGAAATTAAAAAATTAGAGGAATTGATTGAGAATTTTAAATAATTGTATTAACATATGTTAGATGAAAAATAAGTTATTATGGAAGAGAATGAAAAATTGGCAAATGAAAATAATCAATTCAGAGAAATATTTAGTGTATTATTAAAAATAAATTATATAGTAAAACTTACACTTGTTTGGAATAGATCCTAATTAATTGGAAGAAGAAGGTGAAGGAGAAGGTGAAGATGGAGAAGGGTATCAACAAGAGGAAGGTATTTATTTAACTTTATTAGGTGAGATAATTGAAGAAGATGAGACCAATGATACATCTTGATATTAAATAGTATCATTTTCCAAATATATAAATACATATATCTTATATTACATTTTTCTATTTATAAATATTTCCTAATCTTATAAATATTTTTATATTCATAAATATCTTATTAAAAATATATAATAAATTTAGAATAAAAAACGAAATGATATTATATCAATAAAATATTATTGTAGCTCCTTAATTCTATTCAGGTACTTTATTTGTTATTAGAGCTACTATTTTTTTATAGATATGAGTAGCTTATTGTTTTAAGTCGCATAAAAGGGAAAACACTAAAATTAAACTAAAACTTGCTATATGAAACCATCCTATTAATATGTAATCATCAACTGACAAATTAAGTTAACTTCTATATGCATATACTAAAAAGAGCAATGTATTAAAGGCTAAGAAGGAATCAGCTACCAATATTTTATAGTACTCATATATGTTATTTAATGGTTTTAGTTTAAAAACATAAATTAAAAATAATGTTTAACTAAATGCAATTACTATAGCTTACAAAGTTCCATTATATTCCATATAGACAATCAAAAAAATAAAAATTTATTTTTTAAATAGTAGAATTGTATTATATTATGTTACCCAAATATTTTAAGATTCAGTAATTCCATCAAAAAGGGCTGAAAATTATTCCTTTTTTTATACAGTGCGTTCTTTAGAAAATGAGATCTATTTAGTAAACATATAGGCGAAAAATCCCATCTATAAACAAAAAACAAGTAGAGCAGCATAAGAATTAATGCTCAATATTACTGATGTAGTATTGAAGTTGATAAGCTAAATAAAAACAGAAAAGCTTATGTCATAATAATTAGACATAACCATTCTAAGTATTCCATTGTAATAAAACTCTTATTTGCTTTATCTAAGTAGATTTCTTATAACATAGATTACTTTTCCTGCATAATAACCAGATAATGATATATGATATGGACCAATTCGATATAATATTTTTGTCATAAATTTTGCGAAAAAGTAACCAAGATAAAGGCCAACAAAACAAAATATAGAACTTTAAAAATTTGTATAAAAATAACCATTTATATCATCTGTTAGGAATTTTTCAGATGTTTACACAACTTAATTTTCATTTCCATCTAATAAACTAAAAATAGCACTAATTCCAGTGGCATTCATTATTGGCTATATAGATATCAATTTAAAAACCTCAAAATAGATATTTAAATTAGTAGGAAATTAGATGTTTACATATTTTATGTATGATAAATATTATAGTAAATCCATAAGATTCCAAAACATTTCAAAAGAGCCTGTCAAAACACATAGAGTTGACAATGCAATCATAAAATATATTATAGTATTTGTAAATGATTTTGCACTTTAAGATGATTCTAATACATTTTAAGATATCACAATTGGAGTTTTTAATTTTAGTTATTTTTCATTTTCAACAATTATAGTTTAATATTCTGAGACAATAGCAGTATTATTAAGAATAACAATTAGAATAGGATCAACAATGTTCTCATAAAATGTAATAGTAGCTAATACTGAAATGGTTTGAGCATTTTAAAATTGCGGTTGAGTTGAAAAATTAAACTCTATTAAATATTATTCAAAGACTAAATTTGTGATATTCCCTTAAAAATAATGATTTGCATCGAAACTTTCATTATATTTAAGGAGCATAGGCTAATTAAAAGTAATTAAGACTTCTTCAACATTCTCTGGAAATTAAGTAATTAATTCAAGTTTCATTTAAGGAGAAACAGAATAAAAACATGTACTAACCATATTCATAGTATTAATACAAACCCAATCTTTTTCAACTATGCAAATATCAGAACATCCATCACCATTATCAAGGTTTCCATCATCACAGCCTTCATGTACATACAAACCATCTCCACATAATGGTAAACATTAATTATTATCAAGATATCTTCCAATTTCACATGTATAGCATATGCCATTATTACAATCAATACAATATGAATCGCAAACAAGTTTACAATTAATGCAAGAATTTGTAACTTATGTACCATCATCACATTATTCATTTCCAACTATTAATCCATCTCCACAATATGGAACACAAATGAAATTTTCTACTAACCATCCTAATTCTTTGCATTTATAACATTTTCCATCTATACAATCATCACATATTTCCTAACATTAAAAACTACAATCATAACAACCATCAAATTATTACTAGTTACCATCGTCACATTATTCATAAGGCAATATAACAATTCCATCTCCACATAGTGGAAAGCACTAATTTTAAATCAAAGTCCATCCTTAAGTATTACATGCTTAGCAAACTCCATTGTTACAAAAAGTACATTCATTTTAACATTGAAATTAACAATTATAACAACCATCATATTGTATATCATTACCATCTTCACATTATTCATCTCCAAGAATTAGAAGATCTCCACATATTGGAATGCATTATTTATTTATTAAATCCCATCCAACAACACATGATTAACATTCACCCTCAACACAACTGGTACAAGAATCTTAACATTCAAAATAGCAATCATAACATCCATCGTATCTAATATCATTACCATCATCACACTATTCATAACCAACAACAAATTTATCCCCACAAAATGGTTGACATGTAAAATTAATAGAATTGACTTACCATTAATTGTTTTTACACTGAAGACAATATCCTGATTAACAAACTTAACAATTTTAGTCACAAGAATATATACAATTATAACATCCATCAAATGGTTCTAAGTTCCCATCGTCACATTACTCATTTTTAGAAATTGCTTTATTTCCACACAAATCAATACATTAATACTTATCAACTAAATATTCTAGTTAACAATCATAACATTTGCCAAATTTGCAATCTAAACATTCCTATTAGCATTAAAATTAACATAAATGACAACCATCATAAGGATTTTAATTACCATCATCACACTATTCAGATCCAATAATTATTTTATCCCCACATATAGATTAACATTAGAAATCTTACAATAAATATCCTTCTTCACATAGTTCACAAACACCAAAAACACATAATTTACATCCAATATTGCATGTATATTTGCATTGATTACATATTTAATCAATAAGATTAATTTAATCATCACATTCTTCTTATTCTACAAGAATACCATCTCCACAAACTTCTACACAGTGATTATTAATCAAAATAAAGCCTAATAAGCAAGCTTAACAAACTGATTAATCACAAATCTAACAATTTTTATCACATTAAAGTTAACACTAATAACATCCATCATAAATTGAGGAGTTAGAATCTTCACAGACTTCGTTACCAACTATCAATCCATCTCCACATATAGGAAAACACATGTTAAATTGCATATCTAATTTCCAATTTTGTTAACAATTTAAACAATATCCTAAATAGCATTCACTACACGAATCTTAGCATTCATACTACTATTAAAAGCATCCATCCATAGGTATAATATTACCATCATCACATTGTTCATCATTTACAATATTATCATCAAGAATTGACTCACATTATAAAGTAGATAAATTTAATATCGACCCTTTGGTATTACATTCTTAACATTAACCATTCAAACAATTTGTACATGAATTCTAACATTTAAATTAACATTGATAACATCCATCAAATATGACAAAATTATTATCATCACAATTTTCATTACCAACAATTTTGAAATCTCCACAAATAGGAATACATTATTATGTTTAAGAAATAAATTAGAATCCATTTTAACATTTCTAACATCTACCATCAATGCAGACATCACAAAATTCTGAACAACTAATAATACAGGAATCACATAAATCAAATGGATTGAAATTACCATCATCACATTCTTCTTGCCCATAAACAATAATATTATCTCCACAAATTGATTCACAATTACTTCCAGTTAAATACCATCCATTCTCTTAGTCACATTCCAAACATATTCCAAAATAACAATTAGTACAATGTTCATAACATTAAAATTAACATTAAAAACAACCATCATATGGATAATTATTTCCATCATCACAAGCTTCAGTTCCAACTACAATTTAATCTCCACAATTGATAATACATTAATGAATAGATTCTATTAAAATGTAGTTATCTTTACACTCATAACATTTACCTCTTTAACAATTAGAACATTCCTCTTAACATTAAAATTAGCATTGATCACAACCATCAAAAGGATTATCATTACCATCGTCACAATCTTCACCATCCACTACTTATTAATCACCACATATTGGTAAACATTATAAATTATATCCATCATCATAATAACCATCGATACATTTGCATTCAAATTCAAATATTGATCTATGAAAATCTGTAACACAACTATAACACTAATTACTATTAGAACCAAAACAACTTTCACAATATCTATCACATCCTAAATAATAAATAATGATTTTTACCAATACATTCTTATGTAATTGATAAAAAAGCTGAAGGATAACATTGACATTAGCCTTAATCCAAATAAAATTGATTAGTGTTAATGAATTCACATCTAGTACAAACTGTTGAACTTTAACATTCAATACATCCTAATATAATTGAACAGGGTTAGCAAGAATAGAGTTAAGTGCTTGTGTCAAATTTTAAATATTCATATGATTCACAATAATTTGTACTATTGTGTCCAGTATATACAGAATCACAATCTGTGATTAATGGTCCATGACAAAGAGTACTACAAAAAGGAGCACACTAATAATATTTGTAATTTGATACATAGTGAACAACCACAAAATATTCTGAAACATACATGAAAGCTTCTTCAATAGATGCTTTATTTGTATTTGCAGATAATTCTATGTCTAGCTAACCATTTGAGTGTAATTATTCAATTATTTCGAAATACTTAGTTGTCTCTTTCTTATTATCTCCAACTGAATTATATGTTCCTGTATTTGGGTTTGTTATTTAATTTGATTAAAATGAGCCAAATTTGTATTGAAACCATCCAGTATTTTCATCTCCATAAGTAAAATTTAACCTGTAACTTATTTTATAGTGAGGACGAAGAGAATAAAATGATTTTTTGAATGTTCCAGATTTCCAAACTAAAACACCTCCTAATACTGATTTTTATGGAACAAAAGAAAATAATTAACCAGTAAATGAAGTTTAAATATTGTTGGTGAAATCTGTAAAATTATCAACAATATTCCCAAGATTATCAAGTGTTGTATTCATATCATAAAATGCTTTAATCAAATATTGACTATCTTAATATATATAAATTAAGTTTACTTTCAATTAAATCTTCATAATCTTAACAAGTTCCATTTGTTAATAAAATTGAATGTATTGGACAACTACTTACACATGAACCTCTGTATAATTAATAACCAGAATCACATATCAAGCATCGTGAATAGGTTTCACATTCAGTACAATTATTTTAACATAATCCATAATCTATAGTAACATTTCTGAAAGCCCATGTTTCTGATTATAATCCTGTGACTGCTTGAAATCTTATTATAGAATTATAAGAATTTGTTTTTAAAATTGTTTCTATTCTTACTAAATCATAATTAAAACCCAAACAACTAATACTGTTATAATACAATAAACTTGATTAAGAATAAGTATAATTTGTAGCTGTTTTTTATATAGAAGCTCTTGAAAAAGAATCTACTGTAATAATTAATTAAGAATCTGTTTACCAACTGTTTAAATAAAACGAAACTCTTATTCTAATAAATTTCAATGCTTTATTTAATCCTAATTCTAATTATATTCCTTCATAATTATAAAATTATCCGATAAGATCTATTCCACTACAAGATATTAACATTTCTTAATTTCTATAGTAGAATGGGTCTGGTATAAATGTCCAAGGATAATAAGGTAATAAATTTACATTTGTTAGAGAATTTGATGTAAAATAACTTACTTTTGATTTTATTCCTAATTTATTAAATATTAATTATATACTTGGATCAAATTAGCAATGTTTCTTAGAATCTGCTAAATAATAATCTCTATCACATTCTTATGTACATCCAGTTAACAGTTATACATATTAATTGGCTTCATCACAAAGACATAATCCTCCTTAAAGTGTTCCTTAATAGCAAGTTAAGCAATCAAATTCTGTACTTTCAGAACAAGACAAACATGAGAAATGACATGGTTAAACATATATCAAAAAATTTCTTAATCCTATTCTCATGTCATTATCCTAATACATATAACAATATGATATATTAAAATTAGGTGTGTTATGAACTATTGAAGTTAAAACTATTGTTTTAATTTCAACTCTTTAATCATCTACATTACTACAACCACCACCACCTCCACCACAAGAGTAAGAACAAACTTTTTCATATGTTTATAAATCACTCTCTTAATATGGTCTTTAATATATTGGAGAAGAACCAAAATTGTCTACTAAAAATATATTAAATTCTGAATCTGCTCCTGGAAGAGATCTAAAAAAGATAACATCTGTTATTATTCTAATTTCGTAATGAGGATAGTAAAATTATTTTTCTAACTTTGTTTTATCATCTTTTAATCTCAAAAATTCTAAAGGATTTGTTCCACATTGTTTTATTGATGATCCTTGTATTTAATTGATTGAGCAATTTTATTTAAAATCCCAATCATTTGCTGAATTAATGCTTTCTGAGTAATAATTGCTATAGATCAATCTCCAATCACATAAGGATAATTATATGATGATAAATATAGTAAAAAGCATTTCTAAAAATAATATTTAATTAATCTTGATGAGATCACATAATATTATATCAATATTATAAAATTTAAATCAAACTTTTGTAATTAATTAATCAAATCAGAAATAGTCTGTCATAATAAGAGATTTAATTTTCAGGTTTGTATTTATTATATAATAATGTTAGAATTAGTAATATAAAATAATTATTTATCAAAAAAATTAATTATCTAATAATTTCTAGATTACAGTTAACCTAAGTAATTAAAAAAAGTAAATTACTCAGATCAATATAAATATATCTAATTGATTATTTATGATATCTAACAAGCTATTGAAATAATTATTAATGACAATCAACTGAATTATGAGAAAAACAAAAAATTAAAAGATTTAAAATAATTTTATTTATTTATTAGAAGATTCTAATAGTTAAGTAAATGATGTATTATAAATATATAGATCATAACACATTTCATTTTTTTTAAATAATTAATTATGATAATATATATTAACATTATTCCATTTTGAATATCACATTTCCAATATTCCTATTTAAAAGATTTCTTTTTCAAAATCACATTCATCATAAATATGTTCAGTTGTTCTTTTATTTAATTTTTAATATGGTCTCTTTATATAAGCAGTTTAACAATCTAATATAATTTTAAATATACATTGTATAAATCTCTATAATCTCTTGAAGTATAATTCCTTCCATTATGATTCAATATCTCCATGACCTCCATTTTCCACTAACCAAACAGAAAATAAATGATTAGTATTTTAAGCTAATTATTCAGCATGAACAACATTAATCATAGAATCAGCTCCTCCATGAAGTAAATAAACTGGGGCTGTCACATCAACTATATAATCAAGATTAGGAAAAATATCATAATATGATGTGTGATCAATTGTAGGGTCTATCACTCTTAGACCACTTGATAAACCAGAATGAATAATCAATCCTCCTACATTATGTCTCGAGGCTAAGTTAGTACTTGGTCCAGATCCTATACTATATCCATATACTATTATATTCCTTGGTTCAAATTACAATTGATCTACTAAAAAAATGTAAGCTGATTCAATATCATATAGTAAGTTTATATCAGTAGGATAACCAGTGCTTTATCCATATCCTGAATAATCATAGGAGAATAAATTTATTTTACACTCCATGACGATATCAACATATGTATCAAACATCAAACCGATATCTGTAGAATTGCCATGACTATAGAGAATAATCTATTCGCTGTTTTAAAATTCAATATAAATAGACGCAATCAAATTGCCAGAATTGGATTCTAAAACATAGCTAGAAATAGGCAATCCAGGATTATTATCAATCTCCATAGCTTTCAATTCATTGCTTATAAAATTAAACTCTTGTGAGGGATATTAACTTATGTATTATATTGTTCATACTGCTAATTCTTTGGATTTCTTAATTGTTACTAATATTCTATATTTTATAGAGTATTGTAGTATTTAATTCTTGGAGAGATTATAGAAAGATGTTCTTTCGTAAATTGATGTGACTGTCTTTTTGGCTATTTTACTTATATTAAAGGAGAATGTGGTTCATATAAAGTCTTAGATCTCTCTTCTTGCAATGGAGACATAATTTGTGTTTTTATAACTTCATTTCTGTTTCGTATTAAATAACCTACTTCTGGAGGATTGAATGCAACATACTATACTATAGTTGATCTAAGACATCTAATAATTGACAATAGATTAAACAATCCAGTCAAAATTTTTCGAAAAAGCAAAAGCATGTATGTATATCAAAATTATAAATTTTATCAAATCAAATTACAACCTATTTCTATGTATCAAATGATCATTATAAGTATTAAAACGCGTACCATCAATAAACAATTACCTTTGAAGATTGAATTTAACTGTCAATCATAATAATCCTTTAAAATATAAGTTTATAAATAATACTTCATAAAAGAGACACTTAATTAAAATAATATGTAGTCAGTTATTCAAATAATAAATAAACAATAATACTAAAAATTGAATTATAAGTTATTTTTATAATTAAAGATAGATATTATGAATAGATGTAAAATTAATAAACTATGAGAATGATTTGAATAATATAAATCAAATTATTATATTGAATAATGTATACTATAAATATAATAGATGTAATTACACAATATTTTTTAACATATATATATAATATATAATTTGTGTATATTTATCATGAATTTTTACTATGATAATGGGTTTATTTATTACCTTGAACTTCTTGATGTTTATGAAGAGTTTGATTTTCTACTTTCACTTGATGATTTCCTAGATTATCTTCTATTTTATCTATTTTTTTTGAAATTTCTGCTTCTTCTTCTAGATTTTGATGAAGATGAAGAAGATTTGGATGAAGAGGATGATCTTCTTCTTTTTCTATCTCTTTTTTATCTTAATTCTTTTGTAACATAAATTACCTTCTTGCATCACTAGGAGTTCTTGACATAGGACAATCTTTTTTTATATGACCTTTCTTGTAACATCTGTAACATGTTTCTCGCAAATCGCCTTCATATAATATGACACCTAAAAACCTTCCTTGCATTCATTTGCCCAATGGCCTTTGCGTCCACAATTGAAGCACACATCTCTGGATGTTGGTCCTCTTACACCTGAAGGTCGATCATCTTATCATCACACGATCAAATGTCATCCTACCTCTTTGTTTAACAGTGACACGATCACCACCTATTCTTCGCCCGTCCATTTATGATATTGCCTACTTAGCCTCATCTGAAGCTTCAAATTCAATGAAGGCATGTGTGCTTCGTAGATCAATATCCTTTATCTTCCCATATTTCTCAAATTCCTGTTATAAATCTTCCCGCCTTATTTTAGATCCCAATCTCCCTACATAAATTTATCGACTCATTCTACTATTGACCAAATGTAATTATAAATAAATATATTTTAAATAAAATTTATGCTGTCTTTCAAAATTTATTAAATCCACTTGGTCTGCTTTTAAATTTCTATATTTCAATCTACTGTCTTCCTACTACTTAATTTATACTTCTATCTTAACTCCTACTTGAAGGTAATGAAGCATTGTCCTTTACTCCAATTCTATTTTAATTATAAAGATATACCTCATTTAAGAAGTACTTTATTACTTTTTAGCAGATTGTGATGCCAACTTTGGGGCTGGTCTTTTCTTATATTTAGAATTGCTATCTATGCTTTGATTCGAATCACATTATTTTGTCATTTTTAAATTATTCAAATATTCTTATTAAACCTTTTCCTCTCTCTCTTGTAATTTTTTTTCATGAAATTCATCAAACAAGACTTGGTTCAACTCTATTTTAATGATCATTTCATCAACCAATTTTTATATTGTTGGTTACTTTAAACTTTTCAATAATTTGTATTGATTTTGATCAATTAAATAATGGTTGACATGTGGCAAGATTTTAATTAAATGTATTACAACATCTACTATTTTATCTACATATAAATTGAGAAATAAATTAAACTTAAATAATAGTAATTATACTTACATTTAAATAATTAAAATATTTTTTACTTATATGTTTTGATATAGCATTAATGAAAAACAAATATTTGATTTTTTTATTAGAATTTCCTTTGTAAAATTGTGAATTCATAGTATCTTTGATATTTTATTAGATCTCATAATCTTGACAGGTAAAAAAAAAATGAGCTAAAATCTCCATAGCTAAGTTTTCATTTGAAATGCATGTTTATTATTTGTATAGAATTGGGAAATAATATTTTACAAATTATTTTGGTTTAACAAATCTCATAAAATGTTTAATTTATGTTAAAAATTTTTCATTGATTATATAATTCTGGTTACACTTATCGAAAAGTTTTGCAATATCTTAAAAAATTACTTTAAATTATTTTTGCTTATAAATAAAATGTAAATATTACAATTTTATCTAAAGATATAAAATATCCCTCATTTATTAAGGTTTCAATAATTTTACCTAATTATATTTGAAGAATCAATTTCAAATTTTCAGTATTCAAAATACTTGTTAGAATAAAATATATTTAAGTTGAAATAAAGCTATACTTATTTATAAATTTTTTTTACATCAAAAGACTTAATCAATTCATGCAAGATAGAACAAGCAAAAATCCTATTCTCCTCATCATCTTCATCAATAATTACACAAAAAGGCTAGATTAATTATAAGTTTAATTGGAGATCTTTAATTAAAATAAGAAAACCTGGTAAATTATATAAATAATAGTATCTAATGATTTGACTCTAATGTTATCCAAATTTCACAAATAAATTAATCAGGTTTTATTTAAATTCTAAATTCACTTAGTCCTTTATTGCAAGAAAAGCAACACCACAATATGTCAGAGATGTAGTAAGAACATCTTCATTTTAAGTGGATAGACAATCTATAAATATTTAAGTAGCATTAAACTTATATCAAATAGAAAATATTACAACACACTCAATCGCATTTAGTTTCTAATAATGTAAAAATAATGTTTGAATCATTTATTTTTTTACTTATGGACAATTATCATATATAAGTGGTAAGCATTTATCTTGTAAATATTAATGAATAAGATAAGGACTTAACTTTTCAATCAAACAAGAAAAAACATCTCCAGCTACTAAAGATCTAACTTCATAATCATTATCATTGCATAATTATCTAACTCTATCTAATATAGGTCCTTAAATCTTATCCCCTAATAAATTTGCTACTTAAATAATCATCATAGCCCCTATCAATCTTCCAACTTCTGGTTGACGAGGCATAGACATTTCAATGATTATTTTCTCAATATGATCTTAATAGTCCTTATAGTTGAATTAATGAATAAGATTTCCAAATGTTGGAATCCATGCATCTGCATATTTCATATTGTATAATTAAATAAAATGAAGGACCAAAGGCATAAGTTCTTTGCTATGACATTTGATATTCTTGAGTGAAATTCCAGCTGCTACTATAAGTTCTTCACTTTATTCCATAATATCAGCTTGAACCACATTATATAATTCTTTGAAACCTTCTTACAAAAGTCTACCTAGATTCGAGTAAATCTATTTATTTTTATAATATAATACAGCTAATTTCTATCTCTGTTATCCATTAGTCAAAATAATTTAAGCTCTTTTAATCTCTGATAAATTTTCTTCAAGAATAAGTTTCTTAATTTCATCTCCTTTCTATAATAAATGTTTTCAATGTACATCTAAAGAGACTCGTATTTCAGTCACTAAAAAATCATAGGATTCAATAGCCATTTGGTTGATAAATTAAAATTATAATTAATCTGTTTCTAATATTTAAGAGAGATCTCATTTAAAAGTTCAAGCTTCTAATCAAATTATCAATTTTTTATTTCTAAAGATCTAACATATATGTAATTTATTGTAAAGGGAAGACAGAAGAATAATACTAAAATTTTAAAGTAAAATTAATACTTGTTTATTTTGAATTGTGTATTTTACATAAGAAACTCTTAATTCAATATATCCAAAAGTTCAAATATTTACATTAATAATAAAATAATGAAAATTCTGGTAGTCCTTCTTTAATCAACATTTTTGATAATATTTAGAAAACTGATATTTTACCTATCTCAAATGAAAAAAAGAGGAATAAATCATTGACATCTTATATTCAATCAATGAATACAATAGAAACCTATTTATTTTTATATTTATCAAGCTACTTCATTAAATCATTTTTAATTGTTATATATGGAAAATAAAAGCATTAAAATGATATTATAAGGCTTATAATAATAAAAGTATTCATGTATTAGAACAATTTTGATGTTCCGAACCATTTAGAGGTTGTTTTAGTTAACAATAGTATTCATCAGAATCTGTTCAATTCTGGTTATGGTTCATAGCAAAATAATTATAATATTGAGAAAGATGAATTATTTAAATTAAAAAACATGAATAATTAAGAACAAAAATAATATTAAAAATTTGATTGGGAAGAATACGAAAGAAAAAGAGCAATTGAAAAAGAGTAGTATGAAAAAATATAAAAAGAAATATAAGAAACTTAGGAAAGATCAAGATAAACTTTAGCTAGCTTAGAGGTTACATTCAAAAATCTAGATGAGGCTAAAGCTTAAGCTAGATAGACTGTTGAAAACATAGATAATTTTAAAAAATAATTCAGCGATGCTATGGATAAATTATTAGATAGTATTGGAAAGTCAATGGGTGCAAATAGTATTAAATCAGATGAATAAAATCCTAAAACTGCTAAAGAAGTAACTATAGAATAAGCATAAAAACTAATTACTAAAAATGTTTTAATATTATGTGGAGCTGGTTTAAGTTATGCTAGTGGTATTCCAACTTTTAGAGGCTAAGATGGGTATTGGACTAAAGGAACAGATACATATCAATGCTAAAAAGTATTAACGAAAGAATTTTTAACAACTAATCCAGATTTATGTTGGGAATGGCATAAAGACTTTTAAAAGATGTTAATCAATAAAAAACCTAATGCAGGTCACATAGCTATTGCAAATTATAAAAAGAAAAATCCTAATACTTTAATAGTATCATAAAATATTGATAATGTCCTCACTTCTATTCTACCTTAAAAATAAATCAAGCATGGTCATTTTGAATCTATCTATGAAATTCATGGTAATATCAAATATATGAGATGTTCTAAAGAATGCACACTCAAAAATGATGAGTTAGCTACTCTATATGATATGCCAGATCTCACTAAGAATTTAAAACCAAAATGTCCATAATGTGGGGAAGATGCAAGACCTCATATATTATTTTTTGATGAATCATATACTAATGAAAATTGTAGAATTTAAGAATTATAAGAAAAGTATGATAACTATGATACAATTATTGTAGTGGGTACAATGCTTGAAACTGGATGTGCTAAATCAACCGTTTGTAAATTCATTAAAAAAAAGGCCACTATAATTGAAATTAACCCAGAACCTATTATTGAAGTTGGAAATACTTATCAAATAAAAGGAAAATCAGAAGAAATCTTGCCAAAATTATTGAAATGAAATTTATTATATGCATTTTCTCATTTATCTTTAAAAAATTAAGATTTATTGCTATTTTGAATATCTGTATTATCTTTCTTTCATTATCCCCATTTTAAGATCAGTTTACTTTTCTTTTTGTAATATGATATTCTATGATAGTATTTAAAATCTTAAAAATACCATATGAAAGCTATATTGATTTAACTAAAATTAGTATGAAATTGTATTTAACTTATTTATCAACATTTTTTAATTGACTATTCGATAGTTAAACTTTTATATTGAATTTAGCAATAGCATTCTATAAAAGAGTTCAAACATATGGAATGATAATCCTTTTTATCGAAAAAGTTGATGAGATCATTTAATATATTAAATGAAAAATATTCTTTTAACAGCTTTATTAGTAGCAATAGTAGTTGCTAGTCTAAGAGGATCAGACCGAAAGGAACATAATAATCATAGAGATTGGAACTAAGAAAGAAAAGGAAGCAATTCATATTCTAGTGGAGATGAATATACTCTTTATGATAGTGATGATAAATATACTCTTTACGATAGCGATGATAAATATACACTTTACGATAGTGATGATAAATATACACTTTATGACAGTGATGATAAGTATACTCTTTATGACAGTGCCGATGAAGAATATCCTGTTTATGAAAGTGATGATAAATATACCCTTTATGACAGTGCAGATGAAGAATATCCTGTTTATGAAAGTGATGATAAGTATACTCTTTATGAAAGTGATGATAAGTATACTCTTTATGACAGTGCCGATGAAGAATATCCTGTTTATGACAGTGATGATAAATATACACTTTACGACAGTGATGATGAATATACACTTTATGATAGTGAATCTAGTGGAAGTAGTTCAGATAGCGAATCTGAGTCTTAAGAATTTAAACATAGAAAAAATGGTCACAATCAAAGACATAATAAATTTGGAAGAAGAGGACCTATGAGAGGTGGATTCCATAATAGAGATCAATAGAACAATAATAAAAAACATCCACATCCTCCTAGACCTCAAGATGAGTTCCCAAGAAAAGTTTTCTAGAATTTAAGAAAAACTGGAAAAGTTATTTTAGAAGAATGGAACATCACTTAGGATCCATCACTTAAAAATGAGATCAGAGCTGTATTAATTGCAAATTTAGAAAATTAACTACCTGTTGCTTAAGTTCTAACTCCTACAGAAGTTGTATCTGGGCCTGCTGAACCCATTAACACAATCTAAAGAGAACATAATCCTCATCCTCATCCACCTACTCCTCCTCGTCCATAACCTCAAGATGAGTTTGCTAGATAGGTTTTCGAAACTCTTCATTAGATTGGATTTGAAATTCTTGAATAATGGAGGATAGAGTAAGATGTGGAAGTTAAAAATCAAATTAGAGCCAATTTGATTTAATAACTTAGTGATCTTATTCCAGTTTAACCATTGGAAGTATCAACTACCATTTTAGATGCTCCTCTCTAACTTGAAACTGTCTATGAACATTCAGTCCCAAGATTAGCTGATGAGAATGGAAATTGATATTTAAATAATCATAATAAAAATTCATTTATATAATTTAAGAGCAAAATACTATAAGTTTTCATAGAACTTTATATAATTATTTAAAGCCCTATACTTTTATCAAAGATTCTAAAAAATTAAATATAAAATAATTGTTACATAAAGAATTAATATAAAAGTTTTTGGTATTTAATCAAATATTTTTTGTATATTTAGTAAATTAATCAATTATTAATTTATATAAATAAAAACATTATATAAATTTAATTGAAACCATTATTATTCAAATTATGGCTATACAAAAATTAAGTTCTATAATTTTACTAAAGATTTTAATTAATAAAGTGGAGATTTATAATTAATAAGGCAAGTATATTTATTTAAACTCTGTTTATTTGATTAATGTGGCATCCTAATATATAGAGGAAATATAATTAAACTATTACTAGGTATTAAAGTTCAACTTTGATTGATCATTTTATTTCTGTTGTACCAATTTTAAATCATTTTTTTATTGATTCATAGAACCTATTTATTATTTAAATTAACATTCTCAGTTCTTTTTTGATATATCTTTTATGTTCTTTCTGATTTCCTATTTCTTTGTTTATTTCTTATAATAACATCATTTCTCATATTCTTTATCATATTAGATAATTTATTTTAATAAACTTAATTATTGTTTTAGTATCTCTTAGAAACTAATTATAAAAGTATCAGATTTTGAACATTTTGAAACAGAAATTGTATTTTTTTGATCTTCAATTCTATTTATTTAATTTCAAATTCTGATTATGAAAAAAGTTGATATGAAGTTCATTTCTCTTTTGAATATTATCAAAGATCTTCAATATCTTAAATTTTTTAGCTGATATCTCCTCTTTAATGTTTTTTACAAAAAGTCAATAATATTATTTAATTAAGTATTGAATAAAGATATATATAAAAATAAAAGTAGCTTTTCTATTTATCTAATTAAAAATTAATGTTATATCATGTATATAATCAAGGGGATTGCTATTATAGAAAAGAATCTAATCTTAAAAGATAGCTTTAAATGAGATAATTAATATTATGATTTAATTTAATGGTGTATTAATTAATTATTATCAAATGATATAACTAGTTTTTATTTTATTTGTTACTTCATCCAAACAAGACTTTTTACTTTATTATTATTTTAATAATCTATTCTGAAAATTTTAAACTAAAGCAGATTTATTACTATTATGAATAGAAGCAGCTTGATTACAATAATTTAGACTACTAAATTATGAAAAATTTTCATCATTTCTTTTAGTAATTTGTTGACTATTAATATAAATTAACAAATATTACCTTATTCTTGGTCTACTATTTATATGATAAGTCTCTTCAATTCTTTCAACAGAATTACTATATGTATATTTGATTTCTTTCTATTCTTCTTTTTATTAATTTATTTAAAAAGCAACAATCAATAAAGTAACATTATCACTACTTTTTTTATATATAGCTTCTTTCAATACAGAATCAACTGCTGTTGATAATACTGAATGTAAATTAGATTTATTATTATTTTAAATATCTTGCCAAATGATATTAATTACATCTCCTGAAGACATCTTATCAAAAATACCATCACCTAAAATTATATTAATGTTACATACATCCCAAAACAATGAAATCATGATCTTAATTAATTTTAAATATTTTGACATCTGGTTCAGATATAACAACTTTTGAATTTCCACCAAATTATTCAAATTTAGCTTCTATATCACCAAAAGTTCTTGAAACTGATAAACGTCCAGGCATAACTCTAACTGGTCCAGTAACTTAAGTTCCTTCTTCATTAATTCCTTAAGTTTAATATATTTTGCCTCCTCCTCTTTAGATTCTCTCTGCTTCTGTTTCTGGTTTATGATCAATTGATAAATTTGTTACTCTTTTCCCTTTTTAAGAACTTAGTACAGCTCTACTATCTCCAACATTAGCTACATAGCAAACATCTCCAACAATTAAACAAACTATTGCACATGATCCACTTCTTTCTTGGATTCCTTTTGAATATTAATCTAATGCATAAGCTAAAAAATGATTTTCTGCTGCTTCAAATCCTTTTCTTATGGCTCCTACAGGATTCCATGGAAATTCAGGTTCTTTTATTACAAATGAATGTAAAGAATCTCTTAAAAAGTCAGCACAAGCTGCTCCTCCATGTCCATCATAAACTCCAAAAAATGAACATTTTGGCCAATTTTCTGTTGCTCTATTTTATGGCTTAACTATATTTAAAATTATAGAGACTCTATCTTCATTATAATCTCTAACAATTCCTTAATTTGTATTAGCAGCATAAGCTCTAATAATTCCATTTCGACCTGATGAACATTTTGTTGGTTCATAGTTAGGTAAAATAGCTTATTTTTTCATTGAATGTTCTTCCAAACTTGAGAAATTTAACTCTAATGTTTTTCTTACAGGTTATTTTATTAATGGAGACACATCATATTTTTAATAAGATTTGTTTTAACTCTCAAAAGGTCGTTTAGGATTTATATCTCTTTATAGATATTTATTCAAAAAGGATGGTGCATCGCGTGATTTATAATTCATTAGTTATATTAATAAATTTGAATTTATATTTACATAATGATCAACGGATAAATTCTAAATGATATAAACTTTTAATCATAATATTAACTTAATGATCTATGCTCTTTCATTTAATTAATATGATCATCAAATATACTTTCATTATAATTATAACATTAATGAATTTATATAAATAAATATCTAAGATCCATTTATTCAACCTAAAAAGATGTCTAATGGTAACTTAATATTTGATTAAAATTGATGGAATCGTAAACTAAATACTCTTTATCTATTATTCAAAAAGTCCTAATTTTAGTTTATTAATTTAATTTAATATTATATCTCATATCAATATAAAATGAATATGATGAGAGGAAATAATGGAGATAATTTTTGTAAATAAAATTTAATATTAAGTTGGGTTACCTAAGGCTAATTAAAATTAAAACATGAATTAGATTAAAAAAAATGAAAGAACAAATGATGATCAAGCAAATTAATAGATGTAAAAAACTATACAACAAGTTATAAAATAAGAGGATAATAAAGATAAAAATAAATGATGATTAATGATTTACATAATATATATCATATAACAATTGTAAATGGTTTGATAAAATATTTTTTCAAGCTTTAATCAATATATTTTATGTTGTAATTTTAAATTTCAAAGCTTATTGAATTACAATAATTTTTATCAATTCAAAAAAGTTACTATTTAATTATACTTATTTTTCAATAAATCTTTTATAATTTTATTAAATTAATGGAGATGGTTCGAGGTTTGAATGGAGATGATTGGGGTATTAAATTTTTTTAAATTAAAGATGACGAAAATGATAAGAAGAATAAATAAGAATAAAATAAAAATAATAAAGAATAATAAGAAAAGATGAAATAAAATGTTGAGAAAGCAATATAAGAAGTATAAAAGTAGGTTTAATTTAATGAAACATAATGAATTATATATTTATATTTTGCAATAATATAAAATATAATGATAATTTTAGAAATGTCTCAAAACATAAATCTATATATTATGTATTCAATAATTAAAATTAACTAAAATATTTATATATATAAATTATCTATCATAATGGTTTTACTTTAAGAACATTACCACTTCCTATAGTTTATCTAATTTAATAGCATAATATACTAATCATTGGTTAAGATCAAAAAATGTCCTAATTCAAAGAATACGTTATATTTTTCTAAACAAAATGGTTCTGCAAGCTTTCATATATAGTAAGTATCTACCTTAAGTTTAACTCCTCCTGATTATTTGGATTTTAAGAATTCTTAAGTTTATTTTTTACCATCTATATTTATATATTCAACATTGGTAATTTCAAAAAGAGTTTGAATACCATTAAAATTTAACAATCCTGAGAATCCACCCGTTATTATTAATGATTGTTTTTAAGTCTCTAATTAAATTTCAGCTAATATTTCTTTACTCAGAAAACAAGGCGCTTAATGAGGAAGTGATAAGATATCTCCAATTTATAATTTAGTATTTAAATTCATTACAATCTAATATTAGTAAGTAGTTTTACTTGTATCAGATCATTTTGAGCTATATTATATTAGATATTATTAATTAAATCCATAATTCCAATGACTTAAACAGCAGTTTTTTACATTATAGAGTAAAAATGTAATGGAATTTAGATTTAATTTAATTAACCACTTAAAACTTTACATTCATACGTTGAGTTACGTACTTTTGATATATTTAATACTCTAATTCTTAATATATTTTAAAAATTATTAATTTTCATAGTGGAAATCTCTCCTATCAAAGAATTTCCTTCATACCATTAGCAATCTTTATTAATAATATTAGTGAATGATTTTGAATCAATAGGAATAACTGTAAATTATAAATCAACAATTAAGGATTACAATTTATTTTAGATATATTCAAATCTCTCTTTACTCCAATTACAACTATTCATATTAGTAATAACAAAAATGATTTTGTAATTTTATTTTAGTAATCTTATAGCTTCTAAATTAAAATGGAAATTATTGTCTAGTTAATTTTCAAAGATTCCTATTTAAGCATTGAAAAGAAACATTAAAACTTCAAAATTTGGTGCTTTACTTAAGAAATCATGACCATAGTAGTTTTTTGATTCTTCAAAATATATATTACATTAATCTGAATTATATTAACAACGAGTAACTTAAGAAGAATATTAATCACCTTCAAATTTATCCATAGCTTCTTCTTCATCTTCTTCTGAATCTAAATCTTCATCATATACATTTTCATTAAGTTTTTGATTTTCATTTTTTAAAGCTTTCAATAATTCAGTTTTACCAGAATCACATAATCCAAAAATCAAAACATTGATTTTATTTTTTATTTGTAATTCTGGTGATTGAATCATTAATAAATATAATAAATAATTTGATTTTAATTTTTTAGATAATTGATAAAATAAGACATTGATTTTATTTGAATAAATATATGGTTTATTATGAATTCTCATCCTTTATGAAGGACTGTTTAAAATTTGAATTACTATTAACCGACAGGAGACTGGCTGCGTTGCAAAAGTTCAAGTGGTTATGTGTTATATTGTAATTGAGGCTATAAAACCAAAGATTATTGCCTCAAAGGGGATGTAACCTAAAATGGATTATATTTATTATTTACTTATGGAATTTATTATACTTATTAAATAGTTTATTATGGTTATATTTGTAATACAGATTATTGCATTTAAACATTTTATTATAATATAGGTTAAGTTTAAATAAACATTGTTTATTATTATTGTGATGGTTACAACACTACTTAAGGTTATTAAATAATTTGTTGTTATCTGATAGGTGATAATGCATCTTATTAAATTAATTGTGTATTTGTTACTATTTATTATTATACAGCCACTGAAGAAAACATCTCTTATTATATTCCTTACATTAAAACTACTGGTTAAGCAACAGAAGCTACTTATTAAGGTTAAGCAACAACTAAATTAGGTTATTAAGTCATCATTTAAACTGTTTAAGTAGTTGCATATTGTGGTTATTAGCCTTTTAATTATACATTTTGACTAATAAAATGAGGCTATTAAACTTGAATATGTTATTGTGAATATGTTTCAATCTTTTGGGTAGGTTGGACCATCATAACTTATTATAATGGTTGCATTTCTTAAACTTACACAACTTATTATTGTTAGATAACTGGCTATATTATAGCTTGCTATTAAACAAATTAAGGCTAGACTGTCCTCAACTATTGTTATACAGGTTAAACAGCCACAAAAGATGCTGGTTCTTCTTAGATGACAAGTGGTTGTCTAACACTTAAACATTATGTTAACATTGGTTATTTTGCAACCTAATTATTTATTAATTAATACTTGAACAGGTTCACAAGCTACAAATTTTGGCATAATAATGCTTCTTACTGAACTAACAGGATAAACTATTTATTATGGACTTTTAGGCATTAATCTTATAAAATCTTCACTTCTGGGTTGAAAATATCTATCTGGTGATTGAATTCGAGGAGTATTTTTGCTTTTACTTAAATCTTCTGGACTACATATCTTTTATTCTGAAGCAGGTTTCTTCTTTTTAGAAAATTCTTCTGGGTCACATGGCTTCTCTTCTGGCCCATTAGGTTTCTTCTTTTTAGAGAATTCTTCTGGATCACATGGTTTCTCTTCTGGTTCTTCTGGTTTCTTTTTTTTAGAGAATTCTTCTGGATCTTAAGGAGCATTTGTTAAATCTTCTGGTTTTTTTTTCTTAGGCTTCTCAATACATTCTGCCTCACAAACAGCAAAATTTAATCCTTATTTTGGTTTTTCCTATTCAACATCATCACATTTATTCTTATTAATTTCTTCATCATCACATTTTAATTTATTTAAATCTTCATCATCACATTTTTTTTTTGAAAGATCCTCATCATCACATTTTTATGGTTTTCCATCTTTGCCTTTAAAACCATAACCATACATTAGAAAAGATCGTTGTTTTACTGTTATTTTGGCTGATAATTAATATTATGCCTTTAATTCTGCCATAGCTTTCATTTATAATTCCCAACTTGCCATACCACCACCTATAGCTGCTGCTTCTTCTTGTCTTCTTAAAGCAGCAACCATAGCAGCTTCACATGCCATCTATACTTTACCTGCTGAACTATTAAATTATTTTTCCTAATCTAATTAATTTATAATAACCTTTAAAGAAGCATCTGAAAAATTATATTTATTAAGCATTAATCCTCCACCAAGTTTAGCATGATCAGCTTATAGATTATAACCACCATACTTATATTACTATAATATTTAATAATATTAATAAATACTGCAGATGCACTTTCATAAACTTCTCCTTCAACATTACCTTAACCATTCATCATTTCATATTCAGCGGCATCAAACTAAATTTATTAGAGTGATCTATACTTATCCTTAATCTTCTGATTGTTATATTCGATGTGATGTTGTTATCGTTTTTGTTACAATTGTTTATGTTTGATAGCTTGTTTATTGAGAGCTCTATCATAAGAATAAAAGAGTTACAGAAGATGTTTAAGCATGCTATTAAGATTGACTTTAGGTCTGCATTTCTCCTTCATAGGTATTATCTTCTTCCATTTAGTCATCTTATCTCATTGATTAAATCTGTTTTTAATATTATTATAGCACAATTTACATTTCCATCCGATCTTTTAGATTAATGATTTTATTCATTAGAACAATCAAATTTTATGCTTTCTAGTTCTCGTTTTCTTTGATCATTAATCTGATAAATTAAGACTCATTATACATTTTTATCAATATTCCCCCCATTACTCGAATATTACTATATATAATTATTCCCTTCACCGTTCTTAATTTATGTTTCCATTTACGAAAATTCTTCCTAAAAAATAATATCCAAAAATTTTACCTAAATTATCCTTTGATTGTTTTAGGATTGAAAGTTTTACGAAGAACTTTCAATTTGAGATGAAGTTTATGAGCTTAGATTTGTGATTTTACTCATTGGATTTGATTAATAGTTTTAATATTTTATATTTTTTGCAGATTTTAATCACCCTTTAAATACATAAAACCAATATTAATTTTATAAAAGATTATTATTATTCATTAATGAATATTATTTTTCAGAAAAATTAATTATTAAATTTATAATACTAAATATAATTAATAATGTCATACATTGAAACTAGACATCAATAAAATACTATTATTATCAATTTTATCAAAATAAACTTGGAATTTTCAAATGAAGAATTTTATTAATATAAAGAATCAAATTTTGCATAATACGAATTCTCTTTATATATCTTTCTAACTAAGTTTAGACTTGAAAAACTCAAAATCTTTAAAGGAATTTAGAAAATTTCTAATTTGGTCAATAAAACAATAAATTTTCTTATTAAATATTTTCCTGATGTTGATATTTATTTATTTTATATTAACAAGCTAAGAACTAAAACAAAAAGTGCTTTTTTAATTATTTTTCGACTTTTAAATTTTTGTTTTTAAATAATAAATTGTTAAAAATTTCAAATCATTTACGATTACAAAATTGGAAATGTGACAAATTTATATAGGAAAAAATAAATGAGTTTTATTTATTTATTAGTTAGCTTTATTTCAAAATTTGAGTAATAATAATTACAATTGAATCGAAAGATGATTTAATTACAAAATTTGATACTCAAAATTATTTTATAAAAATCTAATATTTAATCTATGAAAATATAATTTAATTATCTTTTTTTTGTTAAATAATATCTGATCAAAATTCCATTAAAAATATCTGATACTTTCAAACTTTATATTTATAAAATAAAGACTTAGAATTTTTATTAGTCATTTAAAGGCATGATGACAAAATCAAGTTATCAGAAGAGAACAACTCATAGTTTAATAAAAAGAATATAAATAAATATTCTATCTTCAAATATTTTTCAATGAATTATTATGAAATCTAAATAATAATCTTAAATAGTAGAGAAGGATTTTTAGAAAGAATAAATAAATTTAATAATTAAAAATATTAATTTTACAGGAAAAAGTTAATTTTAAGTTTTTCAGTCTACTAGGTAGGTATTTTCTACATTTAGCCATTCTTATAATGATTTTTTATTCATTATTAAAATAGAGACTATCAAACAAAAGTATTAGAAATGTATCTCACCTAAAATGTCTAATTAATTTCTTATTTTTTATAAAAATATTTTGCATAAACCAATAATATTCTCAATATATGAAAAATTCATCATAATGAAACAATACTGCTTTTAAAAATATTTAAACTAATTATATGGTACAGTTTAAAATATCATAGAAAATGTAGATAAATATAGGTTATCATCATTATATAACTTAGTCAAGATTAAATCTATATCTGATGATTGAATTTAATTTAAATTGACAGAATATTTTTTTTCGAAGTAATTGAGATAATATTTGGAAATTATAGCCATTTGCCTTTTCCATGTTGAATAAATTACCCTTGGATATTTATTATTTTAGTGATCATATAAAAAGTTAGTAAAAAATATATTACATTATTATTATATATATATCTATGCCATAATTGATATTATTGATTGTAGTAAATATGATATATTCAAATAGTTCAATCTATAGTTGATAAATTTTATTTGTCTCTCTTAATATTGAGTCTATGAAATAATTTTATTTTATTTTATTAAAATTATAAATAATAATAGAAAATCAGGTATTAATCCAAACAGTCTATAGATTCCTGAAAAATAACTTAAAATTATCAAAATAATTATTCATAAAATTTGAATAATTCCTAATGAATCTATAAAGATAATGATCTATAATTATATTTATGAAAATATTTTATATCCTTTCATTCATAGTGACTCTATGTAAGACATAGATAAATATGGCATTTTGTGATGATTACATTGAATATGATATGAATTATTTTGGAAAGTTTATTTCAAATGCCAAGCTTTCTAATAACACAGATGCAATCTTGGCTGAAAAAAGAGTGCTTATTATTGATGATGAACTTAATGTATTAAGTTCATTACCAATACCTAAAACTCAGACTCATAATTGCGAATGGATATTCCAATAAAGTTCTGATACTTTCTTTGTTGGATGTCAAAAGAATGGAGAATCTCCTTACTTAATTGCTTATAGAAGTATTAATTAGACTCATTATTAATAATTTGGGGACATAGTGTACTTCCCTAATTTAAATGAAACCATAATCAAGGTAACTGGAACCTTAAATACACTATTTACTATTTAATCAAAAAAAGTCACTTTGTTCACTTTAGTATTGTCAGCATCAGATTGGAGTATAAAGACAACTCAAAATGTATTGGATAAGAATTATTTTGCAAGAACAACTGAAATAAATATCACTGATATAACTCTAGCACCTTTTATATAAGATAACTTATAGTAATATAAATTGATTGTAGTTGAATACAATCTTGGAGCATTTTGGGTAGATGCAGTAGTAAGAAATAATATACTCTCACCGTTTAGAAATGGCCTCATAAATCTATATTATTTCTCTAATTATTAAAAATACTATTAATCAGCTGTTATCCATTCCACAACCTAAAATGTATCTCAAATTGTTTTTACAATTTTTTATAATGGGAATTATGATATAAGCATTAAAGTAGTTTATGTATCAACTTATACAACAGAAGTTTATGAAACTTATCAATTTAGGTCAAATGAGTGGGCATCATGGAATAAACCAATTCTATTTGGAAACTTATAAGGGATCCTTCGTAGAAATACATTAAAGTAAAGCATTTTTAATGTTTATAACATCTAAATCCCTGTTGCTAATGCCCAATACGAAAGTAATTTAACTTCCCCTGTATATGATCCAGTAGATACTTTCACTTCTCCTCCATAAGATTTTGCTATTTATTATTTTAATACTGGATACAGAGTAGTGCATAGTATAGAAAACAATAAGTTATAAAGTTGTGACCTTTACAATTATAAATTGCAAATGGAATGATTTTTTAAATAAATAAGTAAACAAAATATTAGTATCTCATCTAACCTTTTATAAAATAATGTGTTTAAATTAAACAACTATCTTATTCTTTGTCTATCTCTATATACCTATAAAATTGATTTTATATCTTTATATCGATATTATTGATGCTCTAAGTGTATTTAAAAATGATTAAAATTTGATCATCCTAATCAATCATTTATTTTCATTAATTCTTAATATCAACTAAAATACATTATTTATTATTCTACAACCATTTGATGATATGCATTCTTTTAATTTTTCTATTCTTAATTTCAACAAAATAATTAAAGATTAATCCTTAAAATTTAAAAAAATAAAAGCATAATATGAGTTTAATCATCTCTTATTAGTAATAATGAACTGAAGTGATTAAAAATGGGATGGTTGAACCCTCAATAAACAAATATTAATTAATTTAATATCTAATATCAAATAAGAAAAATAAATGATTCAGTATATTTATTTACACTATATAGTGAATAATAAGCTTATTGAAAAATAATTTAGATTAAATCTCAATATAGTAGTATTAATAATTTATTATATAAATTCCATGTAGGAATTTTATAAATAATATATTTATTTTTGAATATAATATGTAATAAAAAGAGAAATAAGAATCAAGTGATGAAGAAATAGAAGTCTAACCTTAATAGTAATAATAAGTAGTAGTAAAGAAAAATACTTAATATAACTAATAATTAATTGACAAATTAAATAAACCTCATCAGTTTTGGTAAACTCAACCTATGCCCAATATTAATGAAATGGATAAATTAAAACCTGGTCCCATTCAACTTGGAGTATTAGCTGAAGTTAGAAAGGATCCATTTAATTTAATTGACAAATTTGAATGGTTTAATGTTGATTTAAGAAATGAAGAATAAGCTTAATAAGTAAGTAATATATATTAATTAGGTTTACACTTTATTGAAGGAGAATTATGTTGAAGATGATGATAATATGTTTAGATTTGATTATTCAATAGAATTTTTAAGATGGGCACTATTACCACCTGGATAATATTCTGATTGGTTGATTGGTGTAAGGGTCAATTAGAAATTAGTTGGATTTATCACAGGTATCCCTGTAACACTTCATATTGAAAATGAATAAAATAAGGTGAAAATGACAGAAATTAATTTCTTATGTGTTCATAAAAAAATAAGAGCTAATAGATTAGCTCCTGTCTTAATTAAAGAAATTACTAGAAGAGTACACATAAAGAATATGTGGTAAGCTGTTTATACAGCAGGTATTGTTGTTCCAACACCAATTTCTTAAACTAGATATTATCATAGAAGCTTGAATGCAAAGAAATTGATTGAAGTTGGATTCTCATCATTATCAGCAAGATAGACAATTTCAAGATAATAAAAATTATATAAATTACCTGAAGAACCAAAGACTCCTGGAATTAGACCTATGAAAAAGAAAGATGTTGCTTAAGTTACTAAATTATTAAATGAATATTTAAAGTAAAATTAATTCTATCTATTTAGAAATTTCAAATTATATTTTAAATATACAGATGAAGAAGTGAAACATTGGTTTTTACCTAGAAAAGATGTGATTAGTACATATGTAGTAGAAAAAGAATAAGGAATTGTTACAGATTTTTTATCTTTTTATAATTTACCAAGTTAAGTTATAAAGAATCCTAAATATACCCACTTGAGAGTATTTTTTGAATCTATTTTTAAGGCTGCATATTCTTATTATAATGTTGCAACTTAAACACCCATAGTACAATTAATGTATGATGCATTGATTTTAGCAAAAAATGAAGGTTATGATGTATTTAATGCATTAGATATAATGGATAATGAAAAGTTTTTAAAGGTATATTTGTTATCAATAATTTTAGGAATTAATGTTTTGTCCAGGAGATGGATAATTAAATTATTATCTATACAATTGGAAATTAGAAAATGATATGCTTAAACCAGAAGAGATAGGAATTGTTCTTGTATGAGTTATAAATAAATATACATTTATAAGTTATATACTTTGTTTATTAAATATAGAGTAGTTCCAAATATTCTATTGAAAATACATTAATATATTTTTGAATATAATATTTCACATTATAACTGTATTTTTGTTATAGATGTTACTTGTAATACCTCTATGTGGTAATATAAAACTTTGATTTATATAGACTTCATCTTTTACTTAGACATCTTCACCACAAACAGAAACACCTTCTATCCTAACCCATTTTCCTATAGTAGATGACCATCCAATAATAGATTCATTAATCCAACTATTTGCATTGATTATCACTCCTTTCAAAAGAACACAATTCTTCAATCTCACTCCCTCTTTAACTTAACAATCTGGTCCAATTATTACATTAGGTCCAATTACAGCATTAGGATCAATTTAAGCAGAAGCATCAATTAATACATTTCCTACAATGTTGTTACCTTTTGCTAATACATCAGGTGTATGTGTTTTATAACTTTCCAAAATGAGAACAGTTCCTGCTAAATAATCTTTAGGTTATCCCACATCCTTCCAAAATCCTGGTAGTATGTATTGATATAATTATCCTTCCTTAGCCATTATTGGAAAGATTTCTCTTTCTATAGATGTTGGTTTTAACTAATTAGATATTGATATTTCTTACAGGAATCCTATCAATCATGCTGACATTAAATAAATAAAGTCCAGAATTGATCTTATTACTAATAAATTCTTAAGGTTTTTCAATGAAATCCTTAATTCTACCTGTTTCATCAGCTAATATGACTCCATATTTTGATGGATCATCTACTTCATTGACAAATATTGTTCTATAAATATAAATATTTTAAAACCCTTCATGATTATGCTATTTGTGAAATTGCAACAGTTTATCAAGTGGAAATTCACATATTATATCACTGTTAAGTACAAAGAACAAACCATCAGGATTATCCTTGATAATATGATCTTTAGCAAGTCTAATAGGACCAGCAGTTCCCAAAGGTTCAGTTTCTTAAGAGCAGATGATTTTGACTTTATAGAGATCCTATAATTTATTGATTTATTCCTTCATAGTGTCTGGTTGATAATTGATGGCTAAAATAATTTCCTACACTCCAACTTTTACCTAAAGATTTAAAATAGATGTACTAATGCTTCAATCTAATGCATAAGAATGGGTTTATTTGCGAATTCAACAAGAGGTTTGGGACATTTAAATGTAAGAGGTCTCAATCTAGTACCATATCCTCCAACAAGAATTAATGCTTTCATGAGTTAATTAAATTATGATTTATTAATTCATCAAAATCCTAATTTGAAAAGGTGAACACTTTCTGATTGTCATATTTATTGGCATTTATATCTTAATCTATATGTAAATCTAGGATTGTCGAATATCAGTGAAATTATTAGATGGTTTAAAATCTGATTAGAAAAATATTAAACTACATTCTTTATACTTTAGAAAATGAGTAGTACTCATAGAACTAGATTATTTTAATTAGCTTAGAATTTATAACCTATTCCATCATAAATGAGATTGATTAAGAATGATTAATATTCTAATTCTAGATGATAATAAAATCTAAATGATAATGTTCAATATAATCTTTAGAAGTTTAAAACTTACAAATTATTTTTGATAATTATAGATTTAGATAGGTGATTAGAATATATATAGTTATATTACTAATAAATTGATAAAATCCCGATGGAAATTAAATCAACGCTATACCAAAAGAAAATTAACAAAATTAATTATATATAAAAGACTAAGATAGACAATAAATTTAGAACTCATTATTGATTAAAAAAAATAGACTAATAATATTTTATGTATTTGAAAAAAAAATTATTTTATTAAAAAGTTATCACATAAAATAGATAATAGTAGTAGAGTAAAGATTATAATTTACAATTACATGCTAATTTATTGAATTTTTAGCATATTATTTTCTAATATTATGCTTTTATACAATTTTATTAAGATTATAGAAAAATAAAATATATTATAACTGTTTTGGGAAAAATGAAAAATACTTGTGTTTAATAAAAATTGATGTTAATTGGAAATTATTATGTTGATTTGATTTAATATATAAATTGAAATATTCTACAAATGGATAATTTTCATAATGCTAACAATTTAATAATTATTATACTTTAAACAAAAGAACTCTACTTGATTACACAAGTATCAAGAAGTTTTGTAAATGAAAATTCAGAATATTTATTTTTAAGAAACTTGAATTTTCAAAAGTAAATGTCAATACATGAATTAATTTCCAATTTATTCTCTTTTATTTTTTTATTTAATTATTTTAGAAAATATTGAAATTAAAAAACACCATTTAATATTTAAAAAAACATAACATTAGAATATAAATCATTTGAAGCCTATGATCATTATTATTCAATCATTATAGGTAATTCTTTAAGAATTTATATTCTAATCTTTAATAATAGTAATTATATAGATATGTATATAATTATTCATTTTAATATATAAATTATTACGTTTTTCAATCTAATTTTATAATTCTAGTTAGAATCTTTAGAATAATAATTGATTTGTTATTTGTACACATATAAATTTGTATTTTAATTTGCATGTCAATAATATAATATATTAATTTTAAAGATGAATTAGGAGGAAGTATTTTTTAAAAAATAATGGTTTATTCTTTCCCATCAAGGGAAAATAGAGCAGTTTTATGATATCAATTTAAAAAAGGTTGTTTTTATATTAATTTAATAGGTAATTGGTTCAGGTACATATGGAAGTGTTGTAAAAGCTACATTGAAGGGAACAAAAAATTAGAGAGCAGTAAAAGTTATCCCCAAAAGCAAAGTAAAGAATCCAGATAAATTCAAAAAAGAAATAGATATTCTGATATAGCTTGATCATCCAAATATTATTAAATTATATGAAACTTTTGAAGATTAAAGAAATGTTTATCTTGTTATGGAGTACAACATTTTATATCTATTAGATTATGTGAAGGAGGAGAATTATTTGATAGAATTATGGATAAAGGATGCTTCAGTGAGTATGAAGCATATGAAATATTTTTATAAATTATGCAAGTAAAAATAATCATATTGAAATTAGGCTTTAAATTATTGTCATTCAAATGGCATCTGTCATAGAGATTTGAAACCTGAAAACTTTTTATTTTTAACCAAGGCTGATGATTCACCAATTAAAGTTATAGATTTTGGGTTGAGTACACTATTTGAAGATCCAATTACTTCAAAGTAGACTGGTTAGAAATTAACAATGAAAACAAAAGCAGGAACACCTTATTACATTTCTCCAGAAGTCTTAAAAGGGAGTTATGATGAATTATGTGATATTTGGAGTGCAGGTGTTATCCTTTATATCTTACTTTCTGGAGTCCCACCTTTCTATGGAGACTCAGATCCTGAAATTTTGGATGCAGTACAAAAAGGAGATTATACAACTGAAATTCCAGAACTTAAAGCTGTAAGTGAAGCAGCTAAAGACTTGATTAAACATATGATTATCTCACCTGATAAAAGATATAAAGCTTCATAAGTTCTTAAACATAAATGGATGATAGAATCAAATAAACCAACAAAATGTTTATAAATTTATATTTTTATATAGAATTGAAACTAAATTTTGCTTAATTAAAGAATTTTAATGGTAGTAATAAATTGAAAAAAGTTGCATTAACATTTATTGCATCTTAATTAAACGAATAAGAAATTACTGATTTAGGCAAGTAAATATTAATAATATTATAAAACTAGATTATTTAAATAATTGGATAAAAATGGAGATGGTGTTTTAACTATTGATGAATTAAGAGAAGGATTAATTGGAGTAAGTGATTCTTAGTAGAAGGATTTGGCAACTATTATTAGAAGTATAGACACTGATGGAAGTGGAACTATCAATTATACTGGTATCTAATTCTTATTTAAGAATAGAATTTTTGGCTGCTACAATGGAAAAATCTTTATATATGAAGGAAGAAAAATTATATTAAGCTTTTAAGATGTTAGATTTGGATGGAAGTGGTAAAATAGATAAACAAGAGCTCTAAACTGTTTTGGGAAGTAATTAAATATAAACTACTTATTATAGAGAGTGAAAAAGTCATAGATGAGAAATATTGGGATGATATGATAAGAGAAGCAGATAAAAATGGAGATGGAGAAGTAAATACTAAATTTATAATTATAGATTGATTATAATGAATTTATTGAAATGATGGATAAGTTTAGTTTGATTAATTGATATGGTTTCATTATAAAATTACATTAAAAACAAATTGGCATTAATATTTGATACTATTTCTTATAATTGAATAAATAATAGGTTTATTATATTAAATAAATATTTTAAGATTATGAAATTAGATATTCTTTTTCATTTAAAAAATTAAATATTTAGTTTCAATTGTATAAGTTATAAATAAAATTTTTATAAATTAAACTAATTATATTATTGTATAATTGTAAATTATAGAAATCATCAATTTGGATTCTTGGATTAGATTTCTTAAGATTTCGAAAGCAAAGTTTCTTAACTTGCCACACCGTATTGTAGTATAGGGGTAGTCAAAAAATATTAAGGAATATAAGGCATTCTCAATTAAGGGGGATAACAATAAATTAAGTTAAAAGGTTATAAATTAATTTAAGTAAAAGAACTTGGTTAAAAATTAGACGAGAAATATTCTAATTTTTCTTTCTGAAGTTTAGCCTAATATTAATCTTCTTATTGTTCTTCAGCTTTAACCTGATTTTAGGATTCTTATTAATTTTCTATTCTTATTTATTATTCTTCATATTTTTTTTCATTATTTGGGTGTTCTTAAAGTATTTATTCTTATATTTTATTTTGCTCATCGAATATAGATTCAAATTAGGATGTTTAATTTTATTATTATTATTTTTTGATAATCTTAGAATTAGTTAATTTTGAAAACTAAAAATAAAATTAATTTATTACTTTCTTTTGTTTCTAAATTTTTTTGACTTTATTTTGCTCATTTTCCTAATAAAACGAATTAGATAATTCTTAATTTAGTTATGGAATAACATAGTATGGATTATCAATTTTCAAATAATGCTTACGAAGATATGAATAAAACCGATTTTTAATGATATTTTCCTTGAAATATAAATAATTATAATACCGGTCTACCTTAGAGCATCTTTGAGATTTTGCACCATTTCGACCCGAAACTCTTAAACCCTTCAATAATAAGTTAATCTTCAGCTTCTGTGAATGGCTCTTGATTGATTTCAGGGTTTAACTTGTTCACAAATCTTTCTCTTACTTATTTACTTGTTCTATTGGGTATATTTCTTGCTATTTCAACCCAATTATGTTAATAGATTTATACAAAGTGCATTAATAACTAATCCTCTTTTTTTGTCCATATTTATCTTTTACTTTACTCCTAATGTTAAAAAAAATATTTTACATTTATTGGCTTTATCCTTTTCCATCTTTAAGCACATTGAGAAGGATTTCTATTTTATAAAGCTGATGCAACAGTCAACCAATTAGTGCCATACAATTTTATAGCATACCTTAGTTAATTGTCCTCCTTTTAAGACCAAGCTCTTCTTGAAGAATTGTTTGTTTTTAATACTCTAGATTGATTTTTATCAAGAGCCAAAGGATTGATTTCTGGTAAATTGCTGTTTTCAAAAGATTAGAAGTGATTCATAAATATTATATTTAATAATAATTCAAATAACAATGCATATCAATCTCCAAAAAACTTAGATATATATATATTATGCCTTACCTATCTATTGTTAAATTATAACTAAATAATATTATAAAGAATTGCTAATAACGTGTGTTAATTTTAATGGATTAATTTAAACTCTTCGACCAAACCATTTTTTATATAGTCAAGCCATTTTCATAAATTATCATTCCACATCAATGGAAATCAATATTAATTTGATTTATTGTTTTAACTTCTATAGATATAACTTATCATACCCTTTATAAAATTAATTGATTTAAGTTTATTAAATTAATTCTTTATCATTAGTTTGAGAAAATTTAAAGCAAAGAAATTGTACAATTTTAAATATTACTTTTCAAAAATATCTAATCTTCCAAATTTTTAATTAAGAAGCCTAAATAGACTAACTGATGAGTGAAAAATCATTTGGCCCATGTCTAATAGATAATTATTTGTTTTTTATAATTAATTTTATTATTAATATATAACATATATAAATATTGATATTATTGTTTATTATGCTAATATAATTGTTGTATATATATTAAATGTTCAAGAAGAGTGAGATTTACAAAAAAATTAAAAATCAAATCCTTAAACTAATTTTATTAGATGATTTACTAAGTGTTTGATATTATTAGCTGATTTGATATTATTAAATGATTAGATGCATTATTATTAAAATTGATTTTCATTTTATCATTTATATGGTCAGATTCATAAATTTATTTAATTGTTAATATAAATATATTAAGGAAGAAGGTTATTAAAGTATATAGAGAATTTAATTTAATAAAAGGATCAGATAATTTTATCTATAAGTAAAAACTATTTTATAAAATATCTATATATGAAAGTACCTCAGAAAGTATTGATTCAAAATAGTATTTCGTAGTTGAATTAAGACAGATGATGGATTGTGCAAAAAGATAATTCTTTTAAAAGCTATAGAGATCATTAATTTTCATTAAATATATTGAATTTGAACAAAAAGTGTTTTTAATTTAATTTATTTAGTTTATTTATTTATTAATAATGTTCTATAATAATGAGAATCATTTTATATATATTTTTGAAGGTATTATAAAATTAATTAATAATGTGGAATTACACTCCTGCTAGTAAAATTTGTCATATGAGAACATAAATGGAAGTAAAATAATTACTTAATTGCAGGCATATGATAAACATTTATATAGTGTTAGAAATGCTAAATCGATAGTTAAAACAACTACTCCTTATAAACCATATTTTTTGTCAGTTTGTAGTCGATATCAAAATAAATATGAGTAAACAATAATAATGATTCCTTATGATATAGAGAAACAATGAGATTAACAAATGCAATTCAATATTATTTGACAAAATACTTGATATTGATATTAGATAAGGAGATTTAAGTTAATCAAAAATGAAATAAAAATTTAAGTTAAATAGTACAAGTCGTTAATCAACTAATAGAAACAGAGGTTTATCTATAGATCTAGAAAATAGTGTATAATGAATAACTAATAATAGAAAATTAGTGATAGGATTCAATCAGCAAAGAGTTAATATTCTAAATAAAGATAATTAAGACATAGTTCATAATTTGAAAGATATAGTAAGAATATCTCTTAGAATGCAAGTTAAATATATATCTTATAAATTAATAGGGAGATCATCTCATTATGATTTCAAATAGCTATTATTATCAAAATCTTTTGAGCATAAACTAAAGAAACCTTTACTTAGATCTTCATATGTATCAAGTCAAAACTAGTATTCAGAACCAAGTCCATATTATTCAGAAAACCCTTAGGTTTATTTTTGATAATTTATTAACTGCTATTTCTTTAACAGATTAATTTTATAAATTATCTTATTCAAAAATATGGCTTATTATAGAGAAGAGCCTCTTTAGAAAGGTGATTATCATAATCGAATCCCTAATCATAATAATCATAAAACTATCAAGCCAGTATACAATGATGATCATAAGAATAATGAAAATTATTTGTAAAATCCTAAAAATTAGTAATCTTACATGGAAATTGAAGTTTAAGATAGAAATAATAAATAATAATATTAAGGTAATAATAATGATGATGATCCATTTCCAGATAATCCTTATTACAATAAAGCTGCTTTAGATAAGGTTTGTAATAAATCAATAATAACATATAAAGATTAACCAAATAGATTTTAAGATGATCTAAAGAACAATGAATTATAAAGAGACAATTATAATTAAATAAATTAGCAATAATAAAATGAACCAATTACTAAATACTATAATAATGATTAAAGAGATAGGTATTAAGAAGTCAAAAATTACTATTATAATTAAAATCATTAGTAAAAATCTATTTTATCATCAAAATTATATTCTCGAGATCATCTCGATTAGTAATAAGAATAATAAAAGTAAACTTAAAATAAACAATTAGTTAATTAATAATAAATATACTAATATACAAATGAAGATCTTTAAGAAAATCCATCATTTGGATAAATATAAGATTATTAATAATCATAATAGAGATAATAATAATAAGATTATTAATAACCATAATAGAGATAATAATATTAATAATAATATTAACCAATCTAATAGTAATTCTCTTATTCACACTAATCATCATAAGAATTTAAGAATTAAAATACACAATAATACATATCAAATTCAACTAGATAATAAACTATTAATAAGAATGAGCATCCATCTTAAAGAGAAGTTTAATAATAAAGATAATGTGTTACTTATCAAACATAATCTCCTTAAAGATTTCATTAAGATCTTTCAATTCAAAAACAATAACAATATTAATAAAGATTCCAATATCTAGAAGAATTGAAGAGTAGAATACCTAAAGATGATATGTTTTATTCATAAACTGATAAAAGAATGTCTTAAACTGAACAATATTAACGATAAGAATAGAATGAAAGAATAACAAGAATAAATCCAATTGCTGCTGTAAGTAGAATCTAGAAACCTAATTAAATTAATTAAGATAATCAACATTATTCTAAGGATCAATATTAACAGTATTAATAATAAAAAAGAGAAGATTATTTAATATAATCAAATAGAAATAATTCTAATTAATATCTTAACCTTTATAAATCTAATAAACATTATGATAATTATTAGAATGTTTAAAATTAATAGATTAATAACTATAATCAAAAGACTAGAACACCAAATCATTATAGAGAAGATAGTTATGAAAGAGAAAGGTAATAATTTATATAGTAAACTTCTCATATCAAAACAAATTCTTATACTAACAACAATAAAAGAAGATGAATAACTAGAATTCTATATAGTATAAATATTAATATCATCATATAAAATAATAATATAATAAATATTCAAATGTAATTATTAAAGTCTTCATATTAAGATGCTAAGAATATTCAAAAACAAATAATGATGATCAATAAAATCATTTTTATCAATTTAATTATATTTTGTAACGATGATAATTCAGCACATCCAGAATTCATTGGCCATGGTACTTAATCTATCAATCCAAAATCACCTTAATTATATTAATTTGATTATTGTCTTTTTACCCATTTTACTAAAGTTTGATATACTGTCCTATTTGAACCTTCAGGGATTGTCCATTTAAGAGAAAATGATAATTAGCTTACAAAAAAACTAAATTTAATATCTAAATTTACCAATGTGAAATACAACTAGGAGCAAAAGAGCCAGTATTATAATTTTTAATCAGTGATTCTTAAATTATTTGATTAAATTTCAAGTAAACTAGATCAATTAAATTCATTTCATTATTTTAACAATTTTTCAATGTTTAATCTTTAATACATTTAATATCGAGATAATTTTAAAGAAATTTTATATCATAAAAGGGTTATATAATAAATACTGGTCGTTAAATATAAAGTATTAAATTTTAGAAATACAAACATTTCCAATTTTAATTTGGAAAATTGAAAGCACATTTTTTATGAGGAACTTAGGTTTCATTATTAGCAATATAATTCATAATCTTCAATGATTATTATAATAAATTAATTCCATCTATTGTTTACATATCAAATAATATGCTTGAATCAGCTACAAATAATATTGAGATATTATTTGGAACTAATGAAGTAAGATACTATTCCCATTAAAGAGCTGCAATTCCACCAATTGAACAACCTGATAATATTATTATTTCAGCTTTTTAAAATTTAGTCTTAAAATGGTCAAAAATGCTTCTTATAATTAATTCACCTCTAAAATACATAGTGTGTTTTTAGAAATAAACTGATTCTGATTTATAACCTTGAAAGCCTAATAAAATTTTAATTATCAGAACCAACTCCATCGCAATAATTTATGTGGATTAGATTCCAATTATGGAAATAATAATTTTTTTGTTTATCTGAAGATAATATTCCATCCTATTCTAATGAACTAGCTCTATTTAGTGAACTTCCTTGTTATGTTTGCATCCTTAATAAAATTCATATTTAAACTTTTCAACAGCATTCATTAAAAATTCTTCTTCAGTATTACCCAAAATCAACCTTTTGTAATTATTTATACTTACTCTCCTCCCTCAAAAAATACAATAAATTTATTCTAACCGCCTTCAAATCCTTCTTGAAAGTAATAGGACTATATTTATTTAGTCAAAATACTCCTAAGGTACCATCTAAACATTTTGCTCTGTCATCTTCAACAAATTATAACATGAGTGAGAAGCAGCACCATAGTAATTGAAATAAAATTATAAGCATTAATTATAAAAATTAATTTAAATTATTTCATATTATTTTTGAGTTAATGTATCATTAATAATCTTAATTTAATTTCTTATTACTATATTATTTTCTTACAATTATATTTTAATACAAATTATTTTTAATTAGCTATTTAATCCAATATATCAATAAAATTAACATTGTATCCCATATTCTTATATAGAATTAAAAACCATTCAGACTTAATTAATTAATAAAATCTATAATAAAGTATAAAGATAATTCCTATTAAGTAAAATAATAATATTATCATAAAAATTAATAAAATAAAACTCTGATATATATAGTTTATTAATAATTATATCATATCATTTATTATCTTGTTATATATTTGAAAATAGTTTTGCCGAAATGTTATTCTTAAACTGTTTTTTCAGGATAAATTTAAGGTAATGACTAAGATCTGGCTCTTCCTTTTAATGGTTTAAGGCTAACATCAGTATCATTTCTAGTATCCTAACTCAAAATGGTCCAAGTCTTTACAAATTTAACTCTTATTGCATCAATCAACATCGTTATAAATAAATAAGTCAACATACAAAATGCAGGAATACAAACAAATACTCCAAATATGTATGCATATTAATCTTTACTTTTCTTTATAATCTATGTTATAAAATATATTCCCAAAGCAAATAGTATTAGAGTGAGCATCGGAAAAATGAAAAAGAATAGTTTTTAACTAATACTCATTTATCTCAATCTTGAACACACATATTTATTAGAGAAGGTTAATTAACACTATAGAAAGCTATTACATAATTCACATTAAGCCTAAAACTCAATTTCTTATAACTTTACTATCAATCAAATTGTCTATTGAGAATTTACTCAGAAGCCATGTCTTCAAACAATCCATATGAATATATTTAATAGTACCATCACAATTACATGGAGATATTAGTTTATCTAATGAATCTTATTCGAGACAGATTCTGCAAGTTGGGTTCAACTTTTTATGATAAATTCATACATCAATTTATGTATTTTTTATTCTTTCTAATACAATTTAAGGGGTTTCAATGTATCTTTTAACTTTTTTAATGGTCTTTTTATTTAGATTCACAATAATTTATTTCTTTTGAGAATTCTTAAGTATGTATAATTAAATTTACCTCCACTATTATCATTTATTCATCTATTTAATTTTATTAATTTTTAATATTATTTGATGGATGATATACATTTAAGCCTAATTCATTAAAATCTTAAATAATATCATCAGGTTAAGGACATATTTGTGATTTACTAACATTGATTGAATTTTGAAATGTTTAGCTTGTAGTATTTTTATATTTCGGCCTAATTTTAATTAACATTTATATTAAATAATTATAATAATAATATATTAGGTTTTGAGATATTTTAGCATCTTGACTATGAATTTAAGTTTGCATTTTTATTTATCATATTTATCAAATCATCTTAATCTTCTAGCTTCTCTTTCACATTCCATGAGTTCTAAAGTATCTCCTTTTCGTACAGGACCCATAACATTTCTTATTAATGTTCTTTATTGTCCCACTAATTGCACTTTTACTTATGTTATACCTCCTCTAGAACCTGAATTATTTATAACTATTCTTACCTGTTCTTCCTATTATTTCAATGACTGTAGCTCTAGTTCCTTCAACTCTTTCTTTTGTTGAGTCCATTAGATAGTTTTTATATTTTTTATAAAATTGATTTATAAATTAAATGATGCAAAATACATATTATAATAATAATAATTTTAAATTCATTATTTATAATATCATAAAAGTTAAATCTGTAATATATCAAGAATGTAGAAATTGTAAATAAACTTATATTTAATTATGATAAAATAATTTTTAATAAATTACTCAAAAAAGGTGTAATAATTTTTCATATCCTTTCCAAATAAGACTAAGAACTTTACGTAAACCTTCTGGTAATATTCTATTTTCACTTAATTTATCAGCATACCATACTCTGATATATGCTTATGCATTTATCATGTTTATATTAAATTTAGTTTTGAGTAATACGTTTTAGAAAATAATCATAGCATGAACAAATGATGTTTTTCTTATGAAGATTCCAAAAACAGAGTATAGGAATAAATAGATCTCTATTTTCTATTTTGTAAGAATTATTTCAGTTCTATTATTTTTAATATAGTTGGCTATTTTCAAAGAGATGCCATCCTCATGATTAATTTATTTCCAAAATTCTGCTGCTCCAACCATAAAGTGTAAAGCAATTGGCAATTAAAATGCAAAACTATCAATTGTAAATAAACAAAAAATATAGAAAATATTAGATGTAAATTCAAGTTAAATTATTTTATGAATATATTCTTAAATATGATTTCTCTTTGGTAGCCCTTATAATCTATAGATACCAAGTAAGCATATAAAAACACTTCCAAAATTCAAAAATTTTTGTAATTAAGGTGATAGCATAAATAATAATGCAGGAAAATATAATACTTTAAGCATTCCTTCTATTATGGTACAAATAGGAATTGATGATAATTATTATCTATTCTAATTATATTATTATTATTGCTAAGATTATTATGGTTATTAATAAGTTTCTTATTTTTGTGGTTTTTGATTTTATTATGATTAGGTGTTTTATGAAGGATTTTAAAATTCTTAATTGATATCAAATTCTGGATCAATATATTTTTTATACCATTTGCGTTTAATTTTATCTAAATTTGGAGGCAAGGGATATACATTTAGTAGATATTGTTAAAAATTTTCATTTCGATCAAAATCGAATTTGCTATATGCTTCCATAATTAAAATAAATAATATGACAAATTAAGATCAACTTGGATTTATACTATCAATTGACAAAGATTGGTAGAATTTAGTTGAAAAGTGTTAAAGCATAGACAACAATATTAAAAATATGCAAACTAGACTTACATTTACTATTGGATAAATGAATAAGGAAATTGGGAATAGACACATTATACCGGCATATTAAGTAGAAGAAGAATAAATTAAAGAAGAAAGTCCTTTGCCTCAATAAGGAGATTCCCCTATAAAGAAACCTATAAATTTGGTTAAACAAGCACAAGTTCTAGCTCCAGTTTATTCAACTATAAGTGAAAGATTTTAGATATGTAAATTTTTAGGAAAAGGAAAATTTAGTGATGTTTATTAGGCATAAGATAAATAATCAAAAATAATTGTTGCATTAAAAGTTATTCCAAAAGCCACAATATCAAAATATGGTATGGAAAAATAATTGGCAAATGAAATTAAAATTTAAGGATATATAGATCATCCTAATATTCTCAAACTTTATGGTTATTTTTAAGAATGGTCAAAGGTAGTTTTGATTCTAGAATATGCTACTGATGGTGAACTTTTTAAATTATTAAAAAAATAACCAAAAAAAAGATTTACAGAATAAATTGCCTCAGGGTATATTAGATAAATAATAGAAGGAATTGGATATATGCATAGCAAAAACATAATTCATAGAGATATTAAACCTGAAAATATATTAATCACTCACTCTTTACTGAAAATAGCTGATATGGGATTATCAACTTATAATCCTGCAAATCAAGTTAGACAATCATTTTGTGGAACTGTAGATTATATGTCTCCTGAGATTGCAGCAGGAAGAGATTATGATCATACAGTAGATTTATGGGCTATTGGAATTCTGACATTTGAATTATGTACTGGAGAAACACCTTTTTATGAAAAAAAGAAAGAAGATACTATGAATAAAATTATCTATAGTGGATTCGAATTCCCAAATTTTATTAGTGAAGAATGTAAAGGCTTTGTCCGTGCTTTAGTTTAAAAGGATCCTAAAAAAAGATTAAGCATTTTCTAGATTATGTAACATTCTTGGATACAAAAATATGAAAAAGAAAGCACAATTTTTAATAGAGATTTATTAAATTCTATGGTTAAACTTTTAAAATGATAATAAAGATCAATTTTGTAATCAATCATCAATATTCAGCTCAAATTTCAAATATAAGTCTTATTCAATTTTTATGAATTGTTATTATAGAACTGATACTTCATAGAATCCTAATAAAATTTAGTAACATTTTTAGACTTTAATCTTAAGACCAACAACGAAAGAATTTCCTTTTTTTTATAGATTATTAATAATCAATTTATATTTATTATTATAACAATTTCTGAACCCAAATACATAATTTCTGATAAAATTTTTAATAAATACTTTTGTTATGTTTCAAAAGCATCCAAGACTTATATTGTATAAAATTATTTAGTTTTAGAATTTGAATATATTGAAAAACAAAGATAAAAACAGTATCTAATATTAATTTAATTTTTAACAGCATATTTGAACTAGAATTATTAATTAATTAAAAATTCTAAAATAATAAATATATATTTAAAGATAATCATAACTTATTATTATTAGTCATACATGCATAGATTTTGTATTAAATTTAACTTTATTTGCTGATCTTTAATCAGTTTTTCTTTAACTCTTATTTGAAGGTGAAGTAGCACTTAATAATGGACTTTTACATACAGATCCTTTAGATTTTAATGTAGCAACAGAATTATGTTGTCCAAAAGGCTGCTTTTACTTTGGTTTAGTTTTTGCATTCATCTTATATTTCAAAATCCCTTATTCTATCATTTCAATGTCTTTTTTTATTTTATTAGATGTCATAGATTTAGAATCTTTGATAGTTGAAATTGATAATGATCTATCAAATATTGATTTGGTCTCATTTGCTTAAGTTGCTATTCTTCTGTTTGAATTATAAAGCGTTTTAGTATTAATTCCATAATAATTTTGATTGTCTAAATTCAAATGCTTTTCTAAAGATTCTAATTTGATATATTTATTTTATCCCTCAATTCCAATTTTGAATAGTTGTTATAAATTTTACAAAATTTCTTTTTTATTTTATTCTGAAGCAGTCTTCTCTTTACTTATCCCTGTAAACATGATTTAATTCTAATTTTCCTCAGACATATAGATTTTTAAGCATAATTCATCTGATTCTAGTTTATCAATCATCTTAAAATTTTTTTTTATAAGATATTCCATTTAAGGTGGTTGGGCTTAAGGTTTGGGTGTTTCAACAATGCTATCATTTCTTTTTAACATTCTAAAGTTTTCAGTAGAAATGGCTTTGCTTAATTAAGGACTTTCACTTAGTTTTCTATCTGTAATTAATCCAATCTCTAATTTCTTCTTATCTCCTTTACAACTAGTTCTTAAAGATGAATTTGGAAGTCCAGGAGAATTAACTCGCTAAAAGGAACCTAGTTCATTTCGATTAGAGCGATTTGAATTATGACTTGAGTGAATCAAATTTTATTGGCAAACTTAGCTCATTTTACAAAATAAATTCGTTAATAATTAATGATTAAAGAAAAACTTAATAATAAAAATGCTAAAACATTATTGTAACTTGCCTATGAAAAATTATTAATTCAAACCATTAGATTATTATATAAATGATCAATTAATCATTATTCTTTTCAAATAATTCAACTTGATAATTTTCATGTAAAATATGAATAATATAGAAATAAAAATTAAAGATTGTGAATTTATATTTATATTTATGTCATTTTTAATAATTCATATTTAGTCTAATAATGAATATAATCACTAATAAAATTAATGACCCTTAACAATATAATATTATATCAAATGAAAAGTACTTCAATAATATAAACTAACTAACAGGACCCACAACAACGGATACTAATGAACTAATATATGTTAAAGGGAATAATTGATGTCCAATATCATCTCCGAAAATCTTGATTAAAGCAGGCCCTGTTACAACCAATGCTCCTTTATCAAACATCATCGTAATGACATAAACAATAAAAAATGAAATTTTATCTGTAGCAGAAAATGGCAAAGCTATAGCTCCTATTCCACTTACAAAATATATAATCACAAAAAGTATTTTAAAATTTATTCTATCAATTAAAAATCCCCAAAGTATATTAGCAAAGGATGATGCCAATAAAGCAACTAAATCTACAAATGTAATAAAAAAATCTTCATTAATTTTTGTTAGGAAATAACTTTTATAATTTAATCCAAGAGTCAATAAGAATAAAGTTAATACACTCAAACAACTAACAATAGTAAGAAATTAAATTGATTTTATTGCTGCAGATAAAGATTATTTAATTTTAATTTAAGGTCTACTAATTATAAAAAAAATACAATCCATGATCTGAAGCAATTTCAAGAGGCAAATCATTTACAGCAACTGATGAAGGATCAATTTCAACAGATGAATCTTATTATCCTTCTTTTTCATTTTATTTAGGTGTTTCCTCTTCAAATTATTATATCTTCTAATCACTAACTCCTACTTAATTATAGTTAGCTGTCTCAACATATGGACGAATTAAGAATCCTCCAATTAAACAACATATACTGGCAACATAACTCACTATTTAAGCAGCTTATTATGCATTTTAAGCTACACTTCCTGAAAAATATTTAATTGTTTATGTCTTATGCTCAGTTATAAGGTCTGCTTATTAATTATTGGGATTGCTGATATAAGTAATTATTATGACATAGATTACTGATGCAAAACCATAAGCTCCCAATAAGAGACCTGAAACACGTCCTTCAGATTTTTTAAAATGACTCCAAGTACATGAAAAAACAGGAAATGCAACACTTGAATATCCGATTCCATAGAAAAAAATATAAAAGATTAAGAATGTCAAGTATGTAGGCATATAAGGAGCAATTAATAATGATGCACATTATATTATTGTGGCTATTCTTATGTGTAAAATAAATCCAACCTTCTTTGCTATTTTTACTGAAAATATTGTAATAAGAGCAATTGGAAGTGCCATAATGGCAATTGGTAAAGTGTTGTACTAAAAATAAATTAAGAATTTACTGCTATGGATAAATCAGGTTCTGTTTGCTTGTAGAAAGAATAGAAATAAACATTTGTTTTTCCCCAAGTTAACAATAATGCTGATCCTATTTTAATTAAAACAGCGCCAATCAGACATTTTTTTGATTCGGATAGGAACATTTATTTTTGATTTATTTTTATAAAAACTAAAAGCACATAATTAATAAAAATAAAGAATTTATATCATTTTTTTTTTAAAAGTTATTTTTAGATTTCCAAAGCTTATGATTGAATCAATTTATTGTTTTTAAACATTTCTATAACTTCTTTTAGATTTTAAAAACATTACAATCTTAATAAAGAATTTTTGTATGTTTACAAATCATCTCTCAATTCATAAACTAAAATAATTAATTAACTTAGTAAAGCTAAATGGATAAGATATACTTCTACATTTCCTTGTTTAATTATTACTTTGTTAATAACATTTTTATGAAATGCTTAACTGATACCTTCTAATAGATTAGCTTTAAATAGAATAGCTTAAACCTATTTCTCTTAAGCAAATAAACATAGTTATTTCATAATAGAATAAAAAATTTGTTAATAAAAAGGGTTAGGTAATTGATGAAATTATTCATTTAAGTTAAATGAGGATGTGTCATTGAGTTTTAAATAAATTCGATGATTCCTCTATTTAAAGTTTCTTAAAATTAAATCAATGATTTTTGTACTAAAAATTCTTACAATCCCCATTTAATTCTAACTAGAAAGGAACTCAAATTTTTATATATTTTCATTGTACATTTTATGCATATTAGTTAAATTTCTACATATTCTGGGTAAATATGCAATGTATATTTTAGTTAATTTTTCATTCATGGGTTTTTTATTAATTCTTTGAATAAGATCAATAAGAATAATCTAACAATTATTTGAACTATTGTCTTCATATGAGCTTTAATATAAGGCTGTTTGTGTAAGGGAATAATGATGTAATAGTTTTTCAAACAAAATATACTAATCATCTAATAGTTCATCAAAAGCATAATGATATTCAAAATTTTGCATTGATTAAATGATGTTCTTTAATAAATTACTATTTCTATAAGATGTTATTTCATCATTTTGAGTTTCATATTTTGCATATTCCTCCTTCATTATTGTATCCACAACACTATTTTCTTAATTTGGATAATATACAAACAATTTAGCCTAAGATGTTGGTGTCTAATTTAAATTCATTTATCTATTAGTTGAACTATTATCTATATTTATTTATGACAATAATTACCATTCACACCAACCAGACTCATATATTAAGGTTGGTCAGATCTTTTACTAATTGTTTAAGCAAGAATATTTTCAGAGAATGTCAAAGATTTTTGTTTACGTTAAGTATTTTTTAAAGTTGTTAAATCTGTTATAATGTTTGTAGGTTAAATATTTAAAGATGGAAGTTTAATAGAATTTTATAACTAAATGATGTTAAGGGGAGGTTCTGTGATTTAGGGTCTTTAAGATCTCTATTCAAATTATATATTTTTCATTCCTTCTGATGCTTTTTTATATACATTATATAATGTGGGAGTATCAGCAGGAGTACTATTTTCCTTATAAAATTAAACTACATCCTATAATCTATCTATATCTCTGCCTTATTAATTTAATTCAGATAAATCAATATATTCTTAAATAATAACTTTATTGATTTATCTAGTTAAACTTGATAAGTCTGAACCTCTTCTAAAATGCGAACTTAAAAGCATTTTCCTTTCCATAAGTTATTTATTTTAAATTAAAGTTTTTCCTGAAATTAAAGGACCTAAATATTGATCTATATTGCTGCTAATAGAATAAGTTATTGCAGCTTAATCATCATCTTATATTAATTGTAATTTGTAATCATTGATATGTTTTAAAAATTAATACGCTTCTTTTGTAATATCTTTCCTTTTATGAAATACTCCATCTTTTTCCTTGTTTGTAATCTTACTTACGAGAAGAGTAATATATCCTTAACGATTAAGGAATTACCAAATATAATTTCTTAAATCCTAAGGAATTTTTGAATAATTTGGATCCATAAATCTCATTAGAAAATCTAAATAGTGGGGATTATCTTATATAATGAATATTAAAAATACAAAGATAATCCAAAAATTGTTGATGAAATTAAAAGTAGAGAAAATTGTAAATAGTTTCTTTTAATTCATATTTTAAGTAAAATTAGAGTAGACCAATAATATGGGTCAAATTTCCACTTGATTATTGATTTTGAAAGAATCCAGATATACTTCGAACTAATTATTAATTTGATTAATTACAAGCAATTTGCATAGTATGTTAATTAATTTACATAATCATTTAATGATTATGATAATCTGTTAGAAATAGCATAGCTTTATAGGATCTTAAAGTAGTCAATTTATCTGGTTTAATTATATGTTGTTTGTATTGATTATCATCACAAGGCTATTGAATATCATTTGCTAAGGCATCTGTTGCAAAGATCAATCCTGGTTCAGTTGCAATAGGATTAGTAATATAAGCAAATAAGTTTTATAGAGCATCTATGTCTGCCAGATATTCACTTTATTCAGAATCAATTCTTGGTTTATTTTAAATTAAAATTTCATCTAGATTTATTTCATTTCCCTTAATGGAATCATCTGAATTACTATTATTTAAGTGATCATTATTGAGTTATTACTTGGAAGGCATTTTGGAAGATAATGTTTAAGATTATAGAATATTCATTGCCATCTATGACATTTTTGGTTTTGAACTTTTTCTTGCTTAGCTACCTTTTTCTTATAATTCAATAGCAACATTTTAATAATGAAATTCATCTGTATTCTTTTAAACCTCTTCTTGGTATAATTTTAATACAGCTATTCTTTAATCAAATAATTTTAATTACTTTCTTCAATTAGCTAATTTAGTTGATTTGCAGATTTCAATCTATGTCCTAATTATTATTAGATTTATCCTACTTTTTTCATAATTACTCTTACCAATTTCTCATTTTCAGCATGTTAAAGAAATATAATGAAAGCATAACATTTATCATCAACATCAAAACTAATATTAATTACTTATTTTATTACTCTAATTCTGAGATTTCAATTAAAACAGTTTCTAAAAATTCCAAGGCTACATATTTTCCATTTCCTTGATTGGGAAGTTAAGCATATTCTTCAATTGCTTTAAAACAACCATTAATCCATTCTTTGGAATGCTTAAATATATTTAGTAATGAAATTAATATCATATCTATAGTGTCTGGTATTTGACTGTGCAATTATAGTAAAAATCTAATAATTCTAGGTTCATGTATTAAACTATGCTTTTAAGGAAATGGTATAGTTTAATTGATGAATTTCAAGATTGGTAACACTTTAGATAAAACATCGTTTTGTTTTAGAGCCAATTCAAAAGATTTCACTAAACTCATTCTAATATTAAAAATTGAGATTTTTGAAGTATTATTTATCAAAATATATATGCTATTATCATAGCTGAATAAATATACATAAAAATATTAGAAATCATTTTTTCCTCTAGGTTGATGGTTTTTTTATTTAAATGGATTCTTATGGTATTTGAGCATAAGGCATTTTTTCATTAATTAGATCTACACTTTTGGCTGTAGTAAAATCAGCAAGCTCTAACAATTAATTTACAATTTTACAATCATTAATTGCATCTTTTCCCTTCATTAGTATACCTCTAGGTAATCTTTTATCTGGACAAGCACCTTTTAATTATATTATACTTTCTCTCTCTTCTCTAAGTGTTCTTTACATTTTCATCATAGTAGATACAAATTTGATTTTATTCTTCAATTTTTCAGTGTCTATTTATAATATATATATAAATAATTTACTTTTTTATGCTCCTTATGAACTACCTGTTGTTGATTATTTTTATAAACCAGCCTATTTGGTCAATTATTTAAATTACTATATATCTGATTCACTAATTTATTCATCATCCTCTCCCTAAATATCAGTTTATAATATATGATATAACATTTCAGTTACTAAAATTATATTATAATATGATATTACTTTTTTCAGCCACAAATGGAATTGACCATGTAAAAATATCCATAAAGTTTGGTAATAAATATGGATGAGGTGTATATTAATATTACTGAATATTCAAAGTATTATTTTCAAATTTGATGACTGCTCCTCTGTTATTATAGACATCACAATAATTTGGAGCACTAAAAATAGTAATTACAACTGGAAAGTCTTAACCACCATTCCATCTATGCATTTTATATCCATCCAATTAAGCCTTATATTATTAATTAATTTTACTTCATGAGCTCTGATAATAGAAATTAAATTATTCCTTTATAAAAACTTATTTGCTGAATCTCCACCAAAAAACCAACTGCATCCTCTTACTTCATTTGATTTCCATGCAGTATCTAAATAACCCTATTCTTAATCAACTGGATCACTCCATAACAAATCACAAAATAATCCTTATCTAGGAGGTTCATGATATCTTTCTATCTTTTTGATATCTTCTATTGATTTTAAATCAGGAGATATTCCACCATGAATTGCAATAAATTTAGAGTTTATTATGCATGCCAATGGAAATAAGTCAAATGAATCCATCAACATCTCATAAGTCTCTTAATCATATTTATATAAACATTCTTCTTTAAAATTGAAAAATGCTGTCAATTATCTACATTCGTGATTTCCTCTTAAAAAATATACTGAATTTTGGAAATTCAATTTTATTGCATACATCAATATTATTACTTCTATTGAGTATGAACCTCTATCTACAAAATCTCCTAAAAAGAGATATCTATTATTTTTAATATTTTTCAAATTTACTTTGTATTTTCAGGATTTCCTCCCACTTTAGGCTCTAACAATTTCAATAAGTCATAATATTAACTAAGATTGAATTTCAAATTATTACCCATGAATATCACCTACAACAGTTAGTGGATCTTACAAATATATTACATTCCCTTCATTTTCTAATAATAACAATAAATTTATACTCAATAATTTATTACAATCGGCAACTAATTTAAATAGATCTTCTTTTGCAATTCTACCTTCTTTTTATAAATGATCACGTAACAATTTCCAATCAGGTTTGTCTATTGTTAATGTTTTGATTACTTTTCAATTTATCTGGAAACATTAAATTCCGTGACAATGGACGATGAGGTGGAGGCTTCAAAGTTTTCACATATCGATCATTGACAGGATCTTTCAGAAGGTCCATATATTAATTAATTTATAAACAAAGAAAAATTAATATAAATCAATAAATTATAAATTATATAATCATTTCTTACATCTAATAATTCTATGTCTAACCTTAAGAGAATCTATTAATTTTAAAAGATCTTTATTATTCATTTTATATTGATTATTCATAATTTACTCTAAATGTAATGTTGTGTACTTTTATGAATTAGTTGTAACTTATGAATAATTATGTTGAGAAAAAGATGCTTAATTAATTGATTTTGCATTATTTTATTGTATTTTCTTCTAATTTAAATAACTCAAAGGTTTTAAATGAACTTCTGATTTTGGAATAACGTCTTTTAACATTTTATTCATATATTATGAAACTTAACTTTTTCTAGGTTCTCTGGCACTATTTACTATATGATGAAGAAAGGTTTCTTCATCAGGAGTTGTTTTTATTCTTTTTTTTTATTACAATTATTACCTTTATGATTATCTTGAATGAGGAATACTAATCATAGGTTATGGTTATAAATGAGTAGATGCAGTAATTTAAGATTTTTTTAATGTTGTTAAATTTCTAACTGCTCTAAGTATATGCATTCTTTTTCTGAATTTCTTAATAGCCTCCACTTTATATGATAAAATAAAAATAATAGCATTTATTGCTGCTTTAAATCTTTTTAAAATCCTTTTTCTTTTCTACCATCTTTAAATTAATTAATTTATTACCTTGTTTCACAGAATGGATATTGTTTTTTTATTGTTTCACTAAATTAACTACATTTTCCACATTCTGTACAATCACAACTTAAATCAGTTTTTATATATTCTTTTTCTAACATTGCCTAATTTAAATAGAATTGAGTTTGTTTTTTTTGTTGTGAAAATTTGGAAGGATTATCTTTTAATGTTCTAACATGTTTCAATTCATAAAAGTCATTTTAAGATAGAGAGCTTTCAGACATTTATAAATAAATAAATATCCTTAAATAAAGAATTAAGACTTAAATTGAATTAATTCAATCAGATTAGATATAGTTTATTATAATAAAGATTTAATATCTTAAATTAAAATTAATTGAAATAAGTTTTTAATGATAGTGTGAATTATCATCAAAATTTTATAATAAGTTCTAATTTAAATACCTTTACTTTTTGGTCTTTCTAATTTAAATCATCAGTAAATTATAAATCTTTTTCCGACTTATAATAAGAAAAATATTGAGCATTCAAAAAAATTTATTTTAGTAAATAAAAGTAAACTACAAAATAGAGTATAATTATTATGATAAATAATAAATTTACTTAATGATTATAAAATAAAAACAATAGACAATCTAAAACTGAATTCTTAAAGTAATCTATGCATTATTTTCATTTTTATGATGTATCTTTTTTAGAAACTTCTCATTCTTATCCCATAAAAATTCAAACTAAATTATGAATTAATCAATTTATTTTTAGCTAAAAAGTTTCACATTAATGCTTTAATTTACACAAATCCTTAAGGTAAAATTAAAAGAGTTAAAAAATTATTAAATTTTTGAATTTAGATATATTTTGATTCTCTATATTAAAAGTCTACTATCAATAAATTAAAATGGGCTATTTATTATTGTTATAATCTTGATGTATTCTAAATTTTTTTTAATTTGATTTCTATTTAATTTTAATCTATACATTTCTTATAGTAAGTGAAATGTTATAATCCTATAAATTGAGGACCAATTGTAAGAGTTACTAAAAAATAATAAATATTTAAAAAGACTTTGATTATCTGAATTTTTATCATTAATCAAAAAATATTTAATTAATTATAAATTATTAATACATATTGGTTTTGGCAAATTCATCTTTTTATGAATAAATTATTATAAAGTTAAACATAAATTATTAATAGTTCATTAAAGATAATCCAATTCTTCATCTTCTAAATTTCTACCAATTATTTTACTATGATATAACAATTAAATTACTCGAAAATTTCAGATTCTAAGTATTATTATTATTATTATTACTAATTGGCATTGTTGTTACCAAGAGTAAATTATAAAACACTTCGGCCTACTTGCATTTCTATACCATTTAATTCTGGTATTAAAGGAATTACACTTTATTGGATGAGAATTAATGTTCCAAATTTAGATTTATTATCTGTTAAATATATTTATCCTTCTATCAATTTTAGTATTCCATGATTTCTACTAACTGATATGTCATTTACTCGAATCTCAGTTTCATTTGCTCTTCCTATTTTTAATTCATTAGTTCTGATATTTTTGACTTCTCCATTATTATTATCAAAAGTTATAATATACACTCCATTACATTAATTCCATTAAGTATCTTCACTCATATTATTTTCCTACATTTCCTATATGATTATCAGATATATAAATACTTCATATCTTTTTTGAGTAATTTCCATCAAAATATATGGATATTCTGTAGGTTTACTCAATTCTATTAAATCAAATACACCTTCATCACTTTTAAAAATGGGTGGATAATTAAATTTACATAATTCACATTCTAAATTCTTCCACATATATATGATACAATGATCACTTTATTTAGTTTAAAATTTAGACTTTAACCATTTTTTTAAACAGTTAAGATGAATATATTTAATAGAACCAGTACATTTACAAGGATTTACAAGTGGATTTGATCTACTAAATGCACTACTACAACATACTCTGCATGTAATTGCATCAGATTAACTAGATTTTGCAGAATCTGAATCTTATCTTTTAATAACATTATAAATATTACATTAGTTATCTCTAATTTAACTGAATTTCTCTTATTTTGAATTTTACTCTACCCATTTTAATGACATCTCCTTCTTTTAATTTGATTCCATTATTACTCATCATTTATTGGATTGATCTTACCACTAACCATAATTTACTTCCTTTTTCCATTAATTTAGTATTAGTTCTCTAGCTCATACTGATTTTTTAATGATGACTATATTTCTTAATTATATCATTAGGCTAATGAAATTCATCCCCCTCTAATTAATCTAGATTTTCAGATTATTAAAAGTCTTTATTATCACCATGATATTTTGTAGTTTATTCTTATTTGTCGTCTTCATAATTTTATTTACATTCTCCTCTTTTATTTATTATACTGAAAATTCCATCATTTTTATCAATTCTAAATAGAATCTATTCTTATTTAATTACACTCTTATTCCAATCTACATCATCATCAATCCATTATAATTCATTATTATTTTTAATTAAATATCCTCCCTTACTTATCTTTTATAATTAATCCAATTACTTAAAAGTTCTATTCTTTTAAATGACTCTAGTTTTCATAATCAAAAAGTGAAAATGATTCTTTTTGCCAAGTTTTTATCTTTATAAACAAATCTTTAGCTGCTCCTTCTTAATTATTAACCCTATAATCATCATTTGTTGCTATCTCTTGTAAATGTGTATTGGAATTAACTTATTCAGATTCACAGAATTTACGACACTGGCAACTTCCCATTATAAATAATATATAAATTAATATAAAATATGATATTCATACTATTAGAGCAAACCAACTTAAGAACAAATAAAATAGAATCACTGGATAAAGTGCTAATATTCTTTTCTATTCTGGAATTAATAATTTCATAAATCCAACTGCAGCTATAAAATAAATAAAATAATAGTACAATAAGTTGACCATAGAAAACAACCAATAACCAAAAACATTTTCAAATAAAAGAAGGAAAAGAAAAGAGTAAATAATGCTCCTAAATTTATTGGAAATACACAATATCCCAACACACAAACTGATTGAAAAAATGATCTTAATTTTATTTCTATATTTACACTTTCCCACCCAATAATTATGCATTTAAAGTAACTACAAAGGATCCAACCCAAATAAGTACAAATATTGTTGCAAATATACCTGGACCATCATCATTATTACCACTCAAACTTAAAGTTCTAAAAGTCAAACTAAAATATACAATGCTAACATCAAACAAAAAACTAATGGTCCCCATAAATCCCCTAAAATATCAAAAATAATTCAATTACAATTTCTGAGTTCTTTAGCATTATCAGTTGACATTGTTGGTACTAAAACGCATCGCAATTTTACTCCTATTTATCTTAAATCTCGAAGCTTAGTTTTATATTGATATATACTAATGTGACTGCTACACTTTCTTCTAGTGTACTTGAAACCTAAAGGTCTGTTTATTTAATTGGGATTTCTTATTACTATGCTTAGACTTAATTCACTTATGGTTAAAGATTTATAATTCCTTATATTGAGTTATTGGCTTAATTTTCTTAAACTTCAAATTCCATTTTATTTTATATAGATATAAATTAAATATAATCAATATCATCCACAACATTACTTCTTTTTACTGATAAGATTCTAATTTAAATGATTTCTCTATATTTTTTATAGATTAGAATTAGTTAATTTCAAGTATTCATAAAGTAAAATTGTTTTCCTTTAAATCTAACTGTTTATCTGTCATAATTTATTAATAATTAAGTTGAATTTAACTCTTACACAAAAAAATCTGTTTTAGTTTTCCTTTTCTACATCATCCAATAATTTCTTAAAACAATGATCACTTAATTTTTTTCTAAGTAAAAATTATAATTTAAGTTTTATTTAACTCCACCATTAAAATGGAATGTATCAAAGTAATCATTTCGAATTAATCAAAATTTAAAAAATATCTTCTTTAATTTTTATTCTAAAAGAAAACAACTATCATAACTATTTTAATAATTTATTTTCTTATTCGTTTTCTTAGCACATTCATTTTTAAATTATATTCCATTTATTTTCAATATGAGTTTTATTAGGCTCTCATTTCAAAAACATAAACCCTGAAAAAATCAAAATGAAAAGATTAATTATAGTATTAAAATGTATTTAATTAGAAATTTGATTTATATTAAATATACAAATAAATATCAAAATATTTTTAAGATTTGATACTAAGGATAATTTTATCTTTATAGAGATATGAATGATTTTGAGAGTAAAAATAAAAAAGAAATTTAAACACCGTCATTTTATTCTTAAATAATTATTTAATTTTAATAGATTTCCTTGTTTATACTAGTTTTACCTTCACTTTCTTCAAATTATAAAGGAAAAACTATAAAATTTCATTATATAGAAAATTATTAAAATAATAAATAAATGAATAACATTTTAAAACATAAGTTATTCACATCACCTGATTACAGTTATTAAAAATAGAAAGAGGAAGATGAAATAGCTAACCCAATGGTTGACTCATTTTTTTCATAAAAATCTTAAATTACCGTGAAATCAAATTCTAGTCCATAAAAAAATATTAAATTAATTCTTAAAAGTGATAAGAAACTCTAATTTATAAAACCATAAAATTATTAAGTAAAAAGAGAAGGTTTAGATATCAAATAAAAATAACAAAAGAAATATTAACAGTTAGACTACTTGATTCCTGCAATTAAATTAGTTTAAGTAAAAGAGAAACGAATTGAATGCTGTAATGGTGAAGAGGTGACAATAGATTAAAAGATTTACTTTAATAATAATAATCAAATTAGGAATATTTATTAGATGACATAAATTGGTTATAAGTTGGATATTGAAGAAGAAGAAGATGAATAAAAAATTTTAATGGAAAACAGCATTCCTATCTCTGAGAAGATGATAAAATCACTTAGAGCTAAGAAATAGTTCTAAAAAGCAAAGAATAAAATATCTAACATAAAATAAGCATTTGAGATTTCTAAGGATCTTCCAGATGAAATTAAACGATAGAAAAAAGATAGAGAAAACTCTAATCACATTAATTAATTGTTAAATGATCCTAATGTTAATGTTAAAAGTGAACATCAATTAGGAGAGTTAATTGGTAAAACCAAAGTAGTAACAACTTATAAAAATTTAGAAAATAATTAAACCTTTCAATAACCAAAGGAAATTGTTATTAAAAAAGAGAAAGTAAATATTTTTCTTACAAAAACCTTAATAATACATATATTTTTTACTCTTGGAGTTCTACTATTAATTTTTATTTTAGCTTATGCAAAAACAATAAATGGATATCAATTCTAAGATTAAGATTAAGATTTATGAACATTTATTTATTTTATTTTTTGTTTAATTATATATATATAAGAAGAGAATCATAAATATTTTAATTAAAAGTATTATTAATAAGAATTCTTCAATAATGAATACATTAAATAACATGACTAATCCATATAATATGCCAGCTATGCCATATGGAGGTATTTTAGATCCAGATGGTTGCAGAATGCTTGCAAGAAAAATCTTTTCGACTTATGATAGTATAAAAAAGGAAAATTATATATAAAAGTCTCCAAAAAAGGATATATAGATGTTGTTGATATTGGATCCATGTTTACAGATGCATATAGAGCATAAAATATTACAATTAAACCTAAAGTTAATGAGACAAATGGTTTTATGAAAGCAATTAATAGTATAAATATAAGATTAATGGTTAGAGAATTCTTAGAATAGAATAACATTATAAGATGTAGAATAGTATTGTTTAAAGAAATTTTGTGGAACCTCTTATTAGTATAAATAACAATAATCAGCTAATAAGTTGATATTTAATTAACAATAGATAACCTAATTATATTGAAGAAAGACTCGAAGTTGCAAGAAGTCTTTTCAAAAGGCTTGATGCAGATGGCTCTGGTTATATAACTGAAGATGAAGTTTATGAAATTATTCGTGAAACTTACAGATAAATGGGTAATTTTTAATATTTTAAAGATAGGAATGAAATATGAGCCTACTGTTGATGATGTCAGAAGTTGGATTCATATGACAGATTCAGATGGCGATGGGAAAGTTACTTTAGAAGATTATGAAAATTTGGTTTTGAAGTCATTGCAACAATAAGCAATTTCATATAATTTAAGTTGATTTATTATTTTTATTAATAATATGGATAATTAAGAATAGGTTTTAATAGTTAACGCTACTTAATTATAATCTGTTCAATCCTAATTCGAATCTATTAATGAAAAACTTGCTTAGCTCATTCCAAAAGTAACAAATCATTATAAACTAGAAAAAATATAAACAAATCTATTAATTATTGTCAAAATTCTTTGATCGTTATGATCATTCTAATTAAATTCATTTGAATGACAAAATTTACTTTTAAAATATTCTGCTTAAAGCTTTAAATAAGATATTTTATAAATGTATATTAAAGGATATGTCACGTAAAAATATTATCGACATTAAAATATGGAAATAGAAAATAGTTAAATATTTAGAAATCTATCCTGTTCTTATATCTAAATTAACTTCAAATTTTGATATGGTCTAAATTGAAACTAAACATAGTTTAAGAGACTAAATTAGAAACTCTATGTTGAAGGATAAATTATAATAGCAAATTCATATCACTAATAATAATAATACAAAACTTAAATTGAATTAAATAGTGACTAATTTTTGTTTAGAATAAGAATATGATAGCTATTTATAAAATATTATGGTTTCTTTTAGACTTTTAAGTTATTAGGATTTTAAACCATAAGAAAAAGGCAAATATGCAAAATTGTCTTTTGATATCAGTAAAATTTTACTTTAAGGAAAAGGAAAAAGAGCTTCAAAATTATCTCAATACATTTTATGTGCTACTAATTTATTAATTAAAAGTTTTGAGAATAATAATGATATGGTTCATGAAATTTTAGAAGAAGTTAATTGCTCAATAACTATTAATTATTTAATATATTTAGTATAATAATAAGATGCAAATAATGATTTTAAGAGAAAACTTAAATGTAAATGGAAATTTATGAAATTATTAAAGCCATTAACTTGGTTTTGGATGCAATCTATATATTATTATTAATCAATTTTTAAATTTGAAAAATGTTAGGCTATAATGACATTATTGAAATGGTTAAGCTTTTATTATCTTCTCTAAAATGATGAATTAGCTAATTATATTTAAAATGTATCCTCATTAACATATTCTAAATACAAAGAATTTATTATATTTAATTAAGTAATAGAATCTGTTTGTTTAGATGATGATGTAGGAATGCCAAGATTAAAAAGATTAATGAGAGAAATTTAAGAATAAAATTAAGAAAAATAGTAATATAAACAATCAGTTAATTATTATTATAATGTTAATGATAAGAATACTTCTTTTTAACCAGAATTTTATTACTGTACTCCTTAAATCAAAGTTTAAAATTAATAAAAAAAAAACACAGATGCACCATTTATTGATGTTCCTATTGAAAATCTAAGTTCAATGGACACTCGTTAATCCAGTAAAACTTTAAAATGTCCAAAAAGATTGAATACATCATTTAATTAAAATGTGTAAAAATCATTTCGTGGTTCAATATCATAATTCTCAACAAGTTTTTCTGAGAAAAAGAATTAGTCTTTATGTGGAAATAATTAATAAGGTCAATAAATTTAGTAAAATACAGTTCCTATGCTTGATAAAATGATTAAAAAATTAATTGAAGAAAAAATAGTTCTTGATAATATAGAGTAATTTATTATTATATTATAAACATTAGAGATAAGAAATTTCAGTCACAATAATTATTAAGCAAAGAGAAACTGTAATAAAAAGAAAATGATTTCTATAAAAAGTTATTAAAATACAAGACATAATTTTCAAAATTTGTATCACCTGTCAAAATGAAATCAAATTAAGAAGTGATTACAAAATAAGATCTATAAATGAGAATAATTGATAGATAAACATTAGTTGATTCTAAGAATTCTTAAACTCTTACATTTTAAACAAAATAAAATGATTAGGATACATCCTTATTATCCTTTGAAAAACCAGGAGTTTAATTAGGTCCACTTTAAAAATTGAAGAAAATCATATTTAAACATCCTGAAGTATTTTCTCTTCAAAAATTAAGGAATAAACTTAAATCATCAAAAAAATGGTACAATAAAGCAAATTAAACTAGAATATCAAATACAAGTATATATTTATATAATATATATATAGGAAGATCAGTAATGTCATAAAAATCAAAGGATTAACAAACTACAGATCTTACTTAATTAAGAGATAGATCTTAGACATAATTAAGGAAAAAGTTGAGTGAGACTTAATTTCAATTAGAAGCATTAGATAAGGAAATGAGGAGTTATAGTGTTAAAATAAAGTATTCTAGATAAAATATGGATTAACCTTTGTAATTAGACAATAAATATCAAATTTTAAGTAGATCTACAATCAAATAAGAGATGAGTAAAAAATAAATTTGATATATTTTATTGATATTTTTCCTATTTTTTTGGAATTTGAATTTGAATATAATAATTAGCGGAAAAATATTATTTCAAAAGATGGAAGAAGATCAAAGTACATATATATTTAATGTTCATTAGACTTAGTCTCATTATCATTGCTCAATGATGAGTAGGATTAGAAATTGTTAGAAAAAATTTCTAGTAAGAGTAAAAAAATTTTCAAAATTGTATACCCAAATAAGTATTTATTATTCTAAGTATACTTTTAGTAAATAATTAATCAAATACAAGATATATAATAGGAAGGAAAAAAGTTTAGAGGAATTGAGTAAGAAATTTGTACGTTGTCTGATTGATTATGATGAGAAAATTATCTGTTTGGATTAAATCACTGAAGAGTTGGGTAGTGTATTATACAAATATAGGTGTTGAAAGAAGAAGAATATATGATATAATTAATATACTTGAAAGCTTATAAGTAGTAAAAAGAAAATGTAAAAATTAATATAGTTGGAGTGGATTCAAAACTATTTATTAAACAATAGAACAAGTATTTTATTATATATATAATAGTATGCAAATAAATAACTAAATTTTGATATAACCTCACATAAAAGGGAGAAATCATTAGAAGTACTCTCAGCTGGCTTTATTAAACTATTTATGTAATAAAAATCAATTTGGACTTTGGAAGAAGCTGCTAAATATCTCGGAAATGAAGTTGATTAAAATAAATTGAAAACAAAAGTAAGAAGACTATATGATATTGCAAATGTGTTAAAATCTATTGGTTTAATTAAGAAAACTCATTTAGTATCATCCAAAAAACCTGCATTTTAATGGGTTGGTAAGGAAGGATTAAAAGTATTTTAATATAATTTAAAATAACATGAATCAAAAAACTAAATTTAAGAAAACAAGGAGAATATAGTTAACATACCTACTCCTTAAGTCTAAAATCAAAATAAACCAGATAGTTTTAATTCTTACAATTAATATGTTGGTAAATGTATTGATCTGTTAATATAACAATAATTAAATGATAGAAAATAATAAACTGAATAAAAAATTAAAGAATAGAATTAAAATCAAGTCTCAATTATAACTCCAAAACTAAGAAAAACATACACTATTATTGTAAAATATAAAGTCTAATTTAGCCTCCTAGAGTAACAACTCCTAAAAAGGCTTTGTCAATCACTCCAAAAAAAAACCAATCGAATAGTCATACTCCTAATAACAATAAAACTGTAGTTGGTTCTCTTATTGGGAAGTTTAATTAAAACATATGATTCTTTTTAGAGATCTATATTTTTCATTAAATTATTTATCATAATACTCTTCTCTGTCTTTTCTAATGAGAAGAGATCTTAGTACTTAATAAAGTTAGTAAACTGTTGAAAACATTCCATCGTTAGGAACTACGTAATGAAATTTACATATTTAGATTTCGGTTTGAGCAGGCTAATTAAATTATTAGCTCTGTATTGCTGTCCAATTCTATTTATGCAATAACAGTCTTACTATTCAGTTTTCAATTGAGTTTTGATGGCAATATGCTATCTGTTATTTATTGTATCGATTCAAAATTGTTGTTACAATTGATACATTAGTTGTATTTTTATCGAATATTTCTACATTTTAACATGTATGACAGTCTTTATTAATAAATTAGAACAGATAAACATACTTTACTAAGATTAATATCAACATTAGTTGAAGGTTCTTATTTACTTGTACTTAATTTATATTAGATATCTGGAACAAGAGATTTACTATTACTTTCAAACATCTTTCCATTATTAAATATATTTCTTTCTGTGATTTTAAAATTAAATGAAGGAAATTAGTACTTTAAGCAATCAATATCATAAATCAATATGTTTCATGTTTTTAGAAATATTGTCTTATTGATAATCTCATTATTTTTAAGCTTAAAACTTGAAGGATACTTCGATATACAATGGTTATACGCTTTGTGGATGTTTTGGATACTTTTTGGGGTTTCTGCTTCAATAGTGATTTATTACGTTTTTGTAGTTTTGGCATTAGGAATACAAAGAATTTTAGAATAAAATAGTAGACTTAAAAATTTAGGTTTAAGATTTATCTATATTATTAGTTATCATAAATTTCTGGATATTATTCTTTATGATATCAAATACATCTATACTTCTTTTAATTCCAATATCAATATTAAATTTTCATAATTTAGGAAATTATGGAAATATTATTGAAACAACAAGGATTATTTTAATTATTAACTAAGTCATCTTATCTTATTTTACTGCTAGATTTAAACCTGAATTGGTATTCAGTTTATAAACTTATCTATCCTTAAATGATTCAGTAAATCCCCTCAACACTCTACCTACTTAATAAGGAGAGGCATAACTCTAATAATTTAACAAATAAGATTTTGTAGAGAGTCGAGTATCAGAACCTCATATGTAAATTCCAAAAGTTGTAAAGAGAATATCAAAAACTTATTTTGGATTTGATGATCTTCCTTCTGATAAAAAATCTGAAACTTAACTCTCTGGTAAGAAACCAACCCACCATAAAGCATTATCATCATAAATATAAAGATGTTCAGATGATCAAAATGACAAAATTAAATTATCATCCTTAATTAATATTAAGATAAGTGAAAGACAAAAGAGCATAATAGATATAGAAAATAATTCATAAGAAATTGAATAAGTACTTTCTATAATCTATTATTTCTTTAATAGGTTAAAGTGCCAAGATCAGTATCTTTATCCTCTATAAATTCTTGTTGCATTTGTTTCGATAATGAACCAAATGCATTATTTATGTAATGTGGTCATGGAGGAGTCTGTTATAATTGTGCCATAGATTTGTGGAAAAATAAAGAGGAATGTTATTTATGTAGAAATGTAAATTTTACTAATTATTTTAGAAAATTGATAGAGTCTTGTAAATCAAAATGATTTAATAATAAAAAAATATTTATCAAGTAGTTGCTGCTACTGAATTGAATTAGAAACTTAAATTAGAGTAAAAAATCTTAATATAGAACTAATAATAATGAGTTACTGACTTAAATATAAAGAATTTAACCAAATGTTCTTTCTATATTGTTATTTCACTAATTTATCTATTTCAATTTATATGAATCAAACTTTTGAATGCTAATACGCTAATATTTCTGATTTTTAAATTAAATGTTATTTTTCTTTCTTCTTATATTTTAATATTTTACATAATTTTTGATTATATCTATTACAAATTACTGAAATCTTTAGACATATATTGTTATTCATTTCTAAAATTTCCAATTTTAAGTACGAATTAATAATTCAATAGTTAGATTCCAATACATTATTTTATCTAATCTCCTTCCTTTTCATTTATATACTTTTCCATAATTATCTTTATTTATTTCTAATCTTTAAATTTGTTTTAGTAAATTTCGAAAATCTTTCCTGAACTTTCAGTACTTGAAATTTCATACAATCTAATCTTATGAACAATTATCTTCTTAATTTATAGTTCCATATTTTTTAATGAAAATATGATAAATTTATAACTATCCTTTTGAATTTATGAGGATTTCCTAAATTATATTTTAAACATTTTAGAAAAATGATGATCATTATAATTTATCTATATTATTTGTATTTTTTTTAATTAATTTAATAAGGGTTTATGATCTTATTTTTTCTAAATGATATTTAATATTTACTTAATACTTCTTATATCTAAGTCGTAAGAATAATAATAATAGAATTATATAATATATTTAAATATGAAGATTATTATTATTTTATATATATAAAAAATAAATAGTATCAAGATTTTAAGGTTTCTTTTCTACTAGAAATAGCATATAATTCTTCTGGAAAAACAGCATATCTATGATAATTGGATAATCTTGAATTTATGGTTTACTTTTTGGTACATTTTGGTTCTATTTTAGGGAAGACTATTGAAACATCTTAATAATCTTCCCTCCTAGTAATAGATTAACTTTTTATTGTTTATTATAGGCTTCCTTCTTTTTATGATTTTTCTGATGTTTTATTCCTAGAAATTTTTATCTCTTTTTTCATTATCTTTTGTTCTTATCTTTGTAGTAAACTTGTGAAATTTTGAAATTCTCTTATAAAATTCATCTCATTTATATTCTTTTATTTAATTTTTGTTATTTTCTCTTTATTTTCAATTAAAGTTATATCTTATTATTATTATTTAAGCTAAGAATATTCAATATGCTCATTTATATCTTTAAGTTGAAATTACTTTTATTTTGATTAAATGACACTATAATTTTAAGTATCATTTTATTCTTTTATTTTAGAATTATTTAAACTATTATTTTGAGTTCTAAATCTACTAGTCATTACAAATTCTTAATTAGATTATTCTGTTCTTTTTTTAAATTTAGGTTGTTAAAATTTGATATCTTAATTTTCTAGACACATAATTGAAAATTTTACAGGTAACTAAGTTGATTTACTACTACCATCAATTATACCAGATTAAGGAGATATATCAATAGATTTTTATTGTATAAAATTTTATATAAATGACTTATAATCTTGTTAAATATCACCAAATGATGAATTAGCCTATTATATATGAGAACTATCTTATAAGCTATTCTAATTCAATTATATTGAAACTTAATTTCTTAAATATTTTTATTAAGATATTAATTCTGGACACATCCAAATAAAATTTTCTATTATACGAAATTTTTGATTAAAAAATTATAATTGAATAGTTTACTTATCAAATTTAAATTTCTATGCTTATTAATTATTTAAGCATAAAATTACTTAATTTTATTTTCCTTTATATAATTATGAAGTCTCTAATATAGGTATTTGTATTTTATAAACATTCTAGATTTTCTAATAGTATTTATTTAAAAATATAGTTTGTTATTAATGAGTACTTTCCCAAATATTATCACCAAGCATAAGAATACTTGTTCCATTAAATTTAAATCTATAAGTAATCAAAGCCAATGCAATCATCCTGTATTTGGCTTCACTAGTTGAAATATATGTGAATTTAATGTAATCTCTATTGTTGATATAGTCAAAAGATATTGAAGCTCCAAAATGTAGTAATCCATAGAGATCAACTGGTTTTTCATATTTGAGTTCTTTTAAAGATTCTTTGTTCTTACTTAAGTATTCTCTGTTTCTACAATTCCATTTTGTTGATATTTATTCTTATTTAATAATACTATAATCGATAAGTTTTTCTTCATTTATGTATACCATTTAAATTTCTTTGATAAGCCAATTAGGAAAAATTGGAACATTTAAGTGATCAAATAAATTTAAAGATTGTACATAAGTTGATTAAACTTAATCCTCAAAATTATTAGATTTAAATTAAAGTCTTACAGTTTCATTATCTGCCACAATCTTAATATTATTATAGTTATACCCTATTGTATTATTCTAAAAACTTTAAAGAATGTTATTAATTATTAACAATAACTTAAATTTTTGAATAGGTTTCCATATCAAGATAAAGATTTGGCGTTGGAATTTGTGATACATAAAATGAAATTTCTTTAAAGAAATTGTTTCTATGATTCCATCTGATTCTTCTAAACCATCTTTAAATGACATAAACAGCCCTAGATTGATTAATCAATTTCATGATATTTTGATATTTCATACCTTTCTAAGAAATGTTTTTCTTTGCTCTAAAATACTTTTAGATTCGACATACAGCTGCAATCTCTCTTAATTAAAAATCAAAAAAGATATGGAGTTATTTATTTCTATTTTAACAATTATATTAATAGATCTTCTTCAAAATATTTAAATTATCTAATTCTATATATTTTAATAGATTATATTCTTCTAATTAAAATTTATCTAATTTTTAGAGTAAATTCTTATGTCTCCTGAGTTCCTAATTAGTTAATTCAAATTATTTTTTTGATAATTTAACTTTAACATATTTAATAAAATTATAAAGAAATTCATACTTTATTACATCTTTATTAATATTAGTTTCTCCAAAGGTTTTTTTTAATTAGTGAAAATTGAAAAGGATAATAGCAGATTTAATATTATGAAAAATTAAAGGTATAAGATTTTTATGTGAACAACTATTTTAAATGTGTAACCTTATGGTTTTGATATTTACTTCTTTTGCTTGTAAATTAAAGGTGTTTTTAAATATTTACTCTTACTATTTTAAAATATAAAATCGCTTAACTTTATTTTAATTCAAAAATTATCTAAGATGCTTGACTTTCCATAAATTTATTTTCAATGCTTTGTAAATTAAATTAGATGCGTTGTTGATAATGTATTATTAAAACCTTCTTCTTTTTAATTCCTTATATGAATTAAGAACTCTTATATAACTTTATTTGTATTATGCGATGAGAATGTTCCTAACTTCCTTTCGCTTATCCACAAAGCTTCGCCAATGATTAACAACTTTCTGTGCCAATTAAATATTCATAAAATTACAAAAAATATCAATCAATCATTCATAGTTTAATTTAACTTTTTGTTTGTGATAATAGTTTGTCCAAGCACCTCCATTATTTGAATAATAATCCATAGGATAGATCTATTTCCAATCAGCTTCTCCTAACATAACATAAGTTTCATAAGGGGTTAATAATGGTTTTTTAAATTATACCCCCCAATCAATTGAGAGTCTTGGACAAGCAATTTATATAAATACATCTACTTCATTTAATTAATTTAGTTATTCAAAATTGATTTCACTTATCAATAAAGTAAAATATTGAATCTAATGTTTTTTCAACAATTCTTCAATTCTCTACAAAATCTAAGTACTTCCCTATCTTCCAAGTGTACTCATTATTATGCATACTAATTAAGGTTATATTTTTTAGCAATGCACAATTTATTAATATCTTAAATTCATCATTTTTGGATTGTCATACTTTTCAATTGTAAGTCTGTAAGTGTATGGATCATATTAGAAGAATTCAAATTATGGATTTTGTATCATAGTTGATTCCATATGAAATCTTCCATCACATACAAAAATGACTATATTTCTACTCTCTTAGGATACTTCTAACTTAGGGGAAGTACATCCCAAGACTTCTCCTGATGATCTAGGTTTTTCTTGAGGAATTGTAATTTTATAACCATCTTCTTCTAATTATTTCTTGAGTAAGTGTATATAAGTATTAAATTATATTGTACCCATCAAATAATACTTTATATTTTTATCAGAGAAGTTCTTTTTAATTGTTTCAAATAAATGTGTTGTATCAATATTAATTTCAACAAAAACATACAAGGTTTTAACTGTGCATTCATTAATTGGAACCAAACAACTATGACCATAATGAATTATGTAATCAGCTTGCATTTCATCTGCTGTCAAATCATCAATACAACATGCACCATATGTTACATCTCCACTGATAAAGGTTTCACAACCAGTAAAGGTAGTTAGAATATCTGATATCATACAAGAATATAATAATAATCCTTCTGGAAATTATAAATTGATTAAGATGTTTTGTCTTTATAGTCTCTCTTAAGTTTCAATAATTCTGCTTATTGTTTTATGAATTTCAAAATTATAATGTTTGGGTAACTAACTTATTGCATTATTCAAGGCTTAATTATTTAGAATGTATTCTGGTATTTGATTTAAGAGTTTAGGTTTATTCTACACATTTTAAATCATTATTAAATATTTTAATATACCCAAAAAAATATGAATTTTATGACTGTTCACTATTCTAATACATTTAATTTATCTTAATATTTATGATGATATTTCATTCCAATTTAGCATCATAAGTAAAATCTTAATATTTTTAACCAATGCTTTCACCTCCAATCGATAACGAATTTGGATCATGTGATTCCAATGGCTATTCAGTAAATTCTGGATCAAAGTTTGAAACATCTACTTCACTTTTCACTAATGGGATAAATGGTGGCTTATATTGTTTTTTTAATAAAGTTTCCCAATTTACATTTAAAAACCAAGGATGATCCTTAACTAAACAAATAAGAATTAAATTTACTTTCTTAAGCTCCCTTACTTCCCAATCTTTTATCTGGATTCTTAGAAAATAATCCTTCTAATAAGGATTTACATGCTGGTGTTAGACTTACTGGATATTTTAATTATGCAAATTTAATGCTTTCAAATAATTCCTCTCTATTTTAAGTATAAAATGGAGGAAATCCTGATAACATCTCATATATGATTGCTCCTAAAGTCCACCAATCAACTGGTTTACCATGACCAGATTTTAATAAAATTTCAGGAGCCAAATACTCAGGAGTACCACAAACACTTTGAGCATCTTTGGTTCCTTTTACATTTCGTTTAGACAATCCAAAATCAGTAATTCTAATGTAACCTTATGCATCAATCAAAACATTTTCAGGTTTAAGATCTCTATAGATGATATCATGATTATGTAAGTGTTCAAGAGCTAAAACAATTTATGCTGCATAGAATCTTGCCTTAAATGATATTTGAATATTATACTTGATCTTCTGTAAATACTTTACGCTTTTATAATAAATTAAATAACTCTCCTCCTGAACAATATTCAAGAACAAAGTATAATTTTACATCACTTTTAAAAGCATAAAACATTTTAATGATAAATGGATGCTTTACTTCAACTAGAATATTTCTTTCTCCTAAGACATGATCTTCTTATTTTCTTTTTTCAATATTTTTTTTCTTTAAAATCTTCATAGCATAAATTTCCTTATTATCCTAAGTTTAAGGAATTAAGTCATACATTCTTTTTCACTAATACTACTTTAGCATAAGACCCTTTTCCAATCACTTTTAGGAGTGTAAAATGATCGATTGTTAATTTCTCCATTTATTTATAATATTTGTAATGAGTATTTCAAGATATGTATATAGTATAATCTAAAATTTCTTAACATCGGTATTAATTATTTTTAAATTAATATGGATTCAATTTTTGGCTTATAAGGAGGTGATTTTGTGATTGTTGCATGTGATGGTAGCATTGCTCATAGCATTCTAAAAATAAAGGAAACTGAAGACAAAATTCTTAAGCTTGATGATCATAAGATTTTTGGTATTTCAGGTGAAGGAGCTGACAGAAATTCTTTTGGTGAATTAGTACATAAGAATCATTCTCTTATAAGATATAAAACAGGAGCATATATGAATCTTAAAGAAACTGCTCATTTTGTTAGGTATTGTAATTAATAAATCATTAAGATCCATGTATGCTTAAGCCATCAGATCAAGAGATGGCCCTCATTAATGTAATGGATTATTAGGAGGAGTAGATTCAGATGGTACACCTTCTCTTTATTGGCTTGATTATTTGGGATCCCTATAAAAGATTACAAGAGGAGCATAAGGATATGCAAATTACTTCCTATTAGGTTTGTTGGATAACTAATATAAACCTGTATTTAATTGATTATTATAATAAGAATTTAACAAAAGAAGAAGGAATTGAAATAATTAAGAAATGCATTAAAGAATTATAAACCAGATTTCTGATTGCTTAAAATAAATTCATCGTTAAGATTGTTACCAAATAAGGAATTGAAGCATTCACATTATGAACATAATTACAATTATAAAATGTTATTTGTTAATAATTAATATCTTTTCTAATGTAAAAATCATTGAATATATTAAGATTTAATTGTATTAATGATTTTATATAATTTCATATACTAAAAGATCATGAGATAAAAAGTAATTTTTAAATTCTTTTAATAAAAATAGAAAACCAGAACTAGTAATTCAGAATAAATTAGTTTAATTTAAAAATATAATTTAAAATAGACATAATAAGCGAAATAATAAATACTATATACATTTATTCCAGAAAATTGAATTGATTTTTATTAATAAGGATATTATTTACTCTAATATGTTTTGTGATGTATTATATGAATATGATTTATTTAAATGGTCAAGAGTTTTAACCCAATAATTCTTGGAGTCTTTATTTTCTTTACTCGAGTTAAGAAGTCTCTTCTCTGATCTTCCTAACTTCTTCTTCCAAGAGTTCTCTTGTGATATGTGTCTGTAGGAATTGTTCACCTCTACTTTAATTAAGGAGATTGTTGTGTCCATACAAAATGATTAAACCCTATAGATTATTGTTATTATTCATACAAGTGCTCCAGCTAATATAAAAATCAATTCATAAAGTGGTAATTCAACATTATTTTATTATGTAAGGGGCTTGAAGATATAAATAAAAATTTACATCATCCATTACTAAATAACCATGAGGTAAATTTGCCAAAGGATCAGTTTCATCTGCATGGAAATATGGGTCAGACCAATAGAATCTCTCAAAACTAGTAATATGAATAATATATAAAACCTGAAAAAGGGAGCATCTACTAGATGTTGATATGGGTTTGTATTATCATGGTGAGGATGATCATGAAGATCAGTGAAACCAGTAATGCCAATTAATTTACCACTCTCATTTGAAATCCAATTTTAGACTGTGTTTAATTTAACATGGTGGTGATGGCCATGTCCACCTGATCCAAATCTAAATAAACTCAAAATTCTTTTCATAATTTTATTATTATAGATAATAATAATAATTAATATTAATAGATTATTATAAGTATCAACAACAATTATTTCCATTAGGAGTATCTATTGTTTTCAACTAAACAGCTTCTTCATAAGTGTTTATTACTTTTATTTCTTTATCCTTTTTTTTATACTATCCACCAATCTTAATACCTGGCTACAATAAAATAAGATCATTTACATCTTATCCAAGTAATATTTTTTAATCATCTATTTCTTACAAGATTCTTTATGTAGATTAATAAAATGCTGATTAAACATTGATGCCCTATTTAGCTGATATCTCAAGAAATATCAATGATTATGATTAGGCATATTACCATCCTTCTTCATATGTTACTGCTCGTCTCTACATAAAATCTATGTTAATTACTCAGATTCCAAATCAATCTTATTACCACATAGTACAATTATCATATTGGCATTCCCATTATTTTTTATTTCTTCCATCCATCTTTATAGATTATGAAATGAATTTCTATTTGTAATATCATAAACTAGTAGAGCACCTTCAAATATAATTTTCCAGTACCAATAGCTGATCTATAATAACTACGAATAATAGATCTAAAGTTCTCTTAACCAGCAGTATCCCATATTTACAATTTGATATTCATTCCATTTACTTTAATGATTTTAGCTCCAAATTCAACACCTATAGTGGCATCATGTTATTCTCTAATTTCATTTTCAATCAATTACAAAAGGATACTTGACTTTCCTACTCCTAATCATTATTTAATTATTAAACCTGTATCCCCTATGATTATATACTTAAACATCAGGCTATAATTAGACATCTTTTTGTATTTAAATTATAATTTTATAAACAATCACATTTTTTTTTTTATTCTTATTTACAAATTTTCCATTATAGAATCTCTCCTAAAACAGTTCCACCAATCACATTATTTTTAAAATGAAACTTTAATAATACTTAATTTATCCTTTTCCTACTCCCTAATTATTCAAACAAAAACTTTCTTTTCAATTCTATATTTTGATCTTACTCTCTCAATTTATTATGCAATTAACATATTATTTGTGAATTTTTCAATTCAGCTATTGTTTGTCTCTCATCTCCCCAGATTAAGCTGTATTTATAACCTTTATTGAACCATCTCTATAATTAATATTTTTATTTTCTTATTTCCACTTAAAATTGTACAATATTACTAAATGGCCTAAAATAACAATATTTCTAATTCATTTTACTCTTTAACATACAAAAATTTCTTATAATTACACTATCCTCCTCTCCACTTACAACCATAAACTTAGTCTATTATAATACTTATAGATATAAATTAGGTTTTGTATGACCATTTAACATATTCTTGTTGATATTTCCCAAATCTTAATTTTTGGGTTATAACTACCTAATATAATATGTTTATCTTGTTAGAGTAATCCTATTGCTTTATATACTTTGCTGTCTTCTTCTCAAAAAGTTTTTTCTTTAGACTTCAAATTGAAAATTACTATAGTTTTGTCATCACCAGAGAATGTTATTATATAAGGATAATTTATTAATAATATTCATATTCATAATTATCTTGAGTACGGATATAAGTAGATTAGAGTTGGAGATGATAGTTACAACAATTTAGTTGGCAATTCTTTGTCTTTTTTATCATCCAATTATAAGTCAAACATTTTTCCATATAATCCAAATTATACTCTTATAAATATTTATTTTATAACATAACTCTTAAAATTTTCTAATCAGTTTATCCAAAATATCTATATCTTATATTTGTTATTCAATCTTCACTATTTAATTACATTTTTGAATCCCCAATTCTAGACACATATTAGATGATTATTACGCACTAAAACAAATAAATCATTATCTTAAGAAATACCTTTTAATTTCATAACTTCTTTATTTGAATTTTTAAGTTTAGATAAATTTAGATATATAAAGTGTATTATATCATCTATAAAACAGAAAAGAAATAAATTACTCAATATTACAAAAATTAATACTAACTTATTATTCCATCTTTTCATGAAAGATTTATTACTAATTCCACAATGATATTTTATTTAAAATTTTATTAATGATAATAATCTAATAACTTATTGAAAAAGAGAATATCTCATACTTGCATTTCTACTGCAATATGATTATCAGTTTACTTTACAATTTCAATTTATGATAGAACTATTATGTTAATGATTCCACTATTTTATGCTTAATAATTCCCTTGAAAAAACAAAAAGATTAATTTGATATTTGCAAATTATTCTAGGATTCTAAAGGGATTCAATTCTTCTTATAGCAAATTATATTGGTTTTTTTGCATCATTTTTTCTCTTTTAAGACTTTTGAATTCTTAATTAATAAGATCATAAAATTAATTTAATTAAGCTTCATATTTTTAATCTAGTTTATTAATAGATGTATTAATTATATACATTTTAGAAGTAACTTATAGACTTAAATCAATTTCGAAACCAAATAATAATTTAACAACTTTGTTTAAATACAATTACTTCCTTTTCAGTCAAATCTTAAATTTCAACTTCAATATTTTGTTAAGTTTTATTCATTATAACTTATTCATACTATCCTTCAGTTAAGTCACTATAAATTCAATGAAAAGTGGAATAAATGGAAATATGAGTGTAAAATAATAGGAAATCATAAAACGATTATTTGTCAAATAGTATACTGTTAGAGAGGGCTTATAACATAGATGAATACTGAGACTCATAATTATAAAATATAATTAATAATTAGTTGGAAAGAGAGAATTAGAGATAGTATGTTGTAAATTATATAAAGATATAGTATTGTATATTTATCGAAATATAAAAATAATAAAAGGTTCAGGAAATATAAATTAAATTTAATTAATTTGTGGTTGAATGTCTATTACAGTTGAAGATTTGGCAGCTAATATCGAGACAGTCTTAGCCTCTTTGGGTGATGAAAAAATGTATACTTGTCTTCATCTTGTAGGGTCAACTGGGAAGTGGTTGAGTAGACTGAACATAACCTAATGAAACATTTTGATTAACTATTTGAGAGATTATATACACTCAAAGATTCATTATAAAGAGTATTCTTAATAAACATCAAAAATTTGAGATAATATGATGCAAAGGATTTAGTCTAAAAAGTTAAAGATAAAAAACTAGAACCTGTTGTTTTAAAATCATTAACTCAATATGCCTTTAAAAATGATAAGGATGAATTATTACTTAATCCTTCACTCATTAAAGGATAGGTTAACAGTATTGTTTTACCATGGGTTGGAAATAATTTATCAGTTACTGATAAAATTAAAGAAACTAATGAATGGCTTGATTAAAAATTAGCTGAATTAGAAGTCTTCAAACCTAAAGAATCTTAAGAAACTACTAAAATCTAAGATTTATAACCAAAAAATGAGGGAAATGATAAAAGTATCATAATTTATTCTAATCATAAGACAACTACACATTCAAAAGTGACAAATTAAATGAAATTGCTTCATAAATTTAAACTATGCATATTCCAAATACAAATAACATGATTAGCATTAAGACATACACTTAAATAGTTGAAGGTAGTGTTGAGTTGGCTGAACCTGAATTTATAAGAATTACTTTGGAAAATAGAAAGGCCAGAAGAGAAGTTCTTTATTCTGATGGAGCTAAATATGTTTAATTATTATTGGATTATGTTAATGACATTGAAAATCTTCTAATGAAGGCATAAGAAGAAATATGTAAGAAAATTGATATTTCATAATAAACACTTGAATAAAGTGAAATGTTATTAATGGAAAGAGGACTTGGATAACATGTATTTATGTTACAAGCATCAGCAAGATAAAGAATTAAGGATAAGCTACCAAAATAGAAATAGGTTTAAATGAATGCTACAAAAGAAATTATTAGATATTAAATCAAATTACTAAATGAGAAATAAGATTTCTTAAAAAATATGATTGATAAATTACCTACAACTTATGAATCAGGATAATTAGTTCCTATGGTATTAAATTTAGTTATGGGAGATATGATATTTGAAGAACATAGCTATGAAGAAGAAGATTATATTTCTAATCTTGAAAATCCATGTAAAATAGTTTAAATATTTTAGAATTATTCTAAGATCCAGATATGATGGAATTACTAAAATCAATTGAAACTGGAGTTGTTTAATTATTAGGAAAAACAGCATTCGCATAACCTTAAGGTGGTATGATGGGTAACATTCCTCCACAAATGTTATAGAAATAATAATAATAATGATAAATGTATATTTTACATATCACAAATAAATAAATTTATAAATATTGTCTTAAATTTAATTTAGTAATATAAAATAAATTCAAACAAAATAAACGTAATAATTATATTTCAAAATTGTTTGAATGAATTAATCTAATATGACTAGCAATTAACTTACAAATGGTGTTTTAGATAAATCTAAACCTCTTTTCAATTAAAAATTACTCAAAGAGAAAATAAATGAATTATAAAATACTATTCTAAGAACAGAAAAAGAATATAGTTAATTAAATCAAGGAAGTAATAAAACTAATACATTCAGTAAAGCAAAATAATCAATAAATTCTTTTGATAAGCTATAAAATTAAAAAGATTTATAGATTGAAAACTTGATTGTTGAAAATCAAAAACTTGTTAAAACCATTTAAAAATTAGAAACTAAAGTCAAGAATATAGTTTAATTATAAAATGAAAATTAAATCCTTAAACAAAATTTTTAAGACCTAAAATAAGAAATTGAGTTATAAACATAAAAAAAAACGTTAAAAAACGATACTAATTTATCATCTGATGCAGCTTTAGGATTTTTAGCAGCAAAAAGAAGTTAAGAAATTTAAATATTATCTAACGAAGTCAAAGAAATAAAATAGAAGAATTAAAACCTATAAGAAAAATTAGATAAACTAATATTAGAGAATTAACATTTATAGTCTATAATAAAAAATTCAGAAAATTAATAATTTAGATCTGATTCATAAAATAATTCAATTAAAAAAAATAATTTGGTTGAAAAGTTGTCTGATTAAAATTAAACTAAATAAAATGAACAAATATTTTTACTCTAGTAAGAACTAGAAGATGCAAAAAAAACAATAATGTAATTACAAAAATTGAATAAAACAAACCAATATACTTAATCATCTTATAATTATAAATTTAGTAATTCTAATGAGAAGATATCAAAAAGTTAATCATTAGAACCATCTCAATTTGATTAAGATAAAAGGATGAAAGAATTAGAATAAAAGATAAAAAAACTGGAATTTGAAAAGGATAATCAAATTTATAATACAAAATTAGAATGCGCTTAAGATTTGAAATAATTTTAAGAAAAATTAAAATAGGAATACAATTAAAAATAATAATTTGAAAATGATTATGATAAACCTACTTAAGATAAAGTTAAGAAATTAAGTGCTGAAAACAATAAATTCCAAATAATGCTTGAAAGATAGAATAAAGAAATTATGAATATGGAGAAAAAATTGACAGGTATTTATATTAAATATATTATTCTGTAGACTTATTGATTTAATAAGAAGAACTTTAAAAAAATTTATAAAAAGAACAATAATTTTAAAGTTATCTTAAATAAGAAAAGTCTATGTTATAAAATTAATTAAAAGAAAAAGATAAAGAAATCAATGATTATAAAGATGATATCATAAAACTATCAAAAGAGAGACAATAATTAAAAGATTAAATAGAGAAACTAAAATTTGAAGTCAAAATGAATTAAAATAAAAGTAGTAATAAACCTTAAAGTCATCAAAGTGAAATGAGTAAAAGAAAAAGATGATTATAATAATCTAATATTGGTTTATTATTTAGATCTTATAAATATATATATAATTCTAGATAGATCTCTACTAAATTTTGGATGAAAGTTTATAATTTGTTAATTTGATTAATTTTATAATGAGAATATTAATTGTAAATGGATATGGAAAATCAGAAACTGGTAAACAATAATTTGAAAGATATTGTGGATAAATAAGAAAAGTATGCTTCTAAAATATAGTATAGTTATTTTTGAATTAAAAAGAATTACTGGACACAGAAACAGAATTTTTTTCAAGAGATGCAAATGATTTAGATGAATTCCTTTATGATTAAGACTCTGGCTATTCTAAATAAGAAGCAGCAAATTAATTTAATTTTATAGATTTTGTTTTTATTGAAATAGATGCCAATCTTAGACCATGGTCAAAACATTTAAAGAAAGTAAAAACATTAATAATACATTAGGTTATGGTGCTTATTAGAATGTGCTTAAGAACTAATAAAGTTTTATTAGCTACTGCTGGAGCCATGCAAGCATTGGTGTTTTTTGTGGCTACTAACTTAGAAACTGTAAGAATAAATTATAATATTGTTAGCCAGTTGAAGTAGTTAATGGTCCATAAGGTGGTCCTCTTGGTGATATGAGTAAACTTTAAAAATCACTTGATTAAATGACAAAGAATGAATATTTTTTGGATAGCATAACAGGAGATCTCTATGGAATCTACTTTGATAAGATTGAATCAGCAAATTGTTGGATTCCAATAGCCAATTGTGGTATACATTCTAGAAGAGCTGTTGAAGAATTTAATACAGTTGGAAAGTATATGTTACAGGCTCCAGTTTATAAACCTTAAAAAATAAAAGAAATTTATGGACTTTATACATCTACATAGGATGAGGAAATATGCATGATTAAAAAGAACTTTGTCTAACATTACTTATTTAAAGATATTATGTAAGAGTTCTTAGTTCATTCTAAACATGCATGGGATATACATTCATTTAATGTATTAAATCCAAAAAAAACATTTGTTATTTTAGCAGATTCATCAAAAGGACCTTAAGTTATAACAGTAAATGAAAATATTGTTGGTTTATAATTTGATATTAATCCAAAATATCCAGAAACATAATTAATTCTAAGAAACTTCATTATTCATTATTTGATTTAAATACGATCATGCATAAATATGCCATTAACTATCTAACAAGCTAATAATGATTTAAGAAAAAATAAATTAGATTTAGAGAATATGACTAAATAATAAGCAGAAAGTTAATAAAAAGGTGAAAGAACAGCTTTTAATTTTGAAGTGTTGACTAAATTTAAGCATGTAGGATTTACAGGTAAAAAAGCAAAGAAATTGGAGATTGTTATGAATAATGCAATAAATGATTAAGGACAATTACAAGAGGCTATGAAAACTATGAGATAGAAGTAGTCTCCAAGAACTAAATAATCAACAGAAGAGACCGATCTAGAGAAATCTAAGTTTGCTAAGTTTTCAACTAAATTAAATCATGAACATAGGGATACAACTGAGAAATTTAATAAAACAGCTGCTGAAATTAGATAAATGTTGCATCCAAATATAGATGAATAATTATTACCTGAGAATGAACCTTTGTGGGTATATTTGTTATTTAATATTTTATAGGTACCTGGAACAATGAATACTTCTATGTTAGCTAGTTCTGGACAAAGAATTAGATAAAGACCTTAATCTACAACTTAAAGTCGTACATTTAAATTAACTAGAGTTCAAACTGCAAAATCTAGAGTATCAAAGGGTACTGTTAAAGAGGATTATGATTTATGCAGGGAACATCCAATTGTTAGATGTTCATCTCCATATATTACAAATGTAGAAAGAGATAGATTGGATCAGAAATAAAAAGATAAATAAATAATTGGACCTAGAAGCATTAGGACAAGTGTTGTAAGCACCATTAAAGGTGGGACTCCCTTTATTTTGTATGATAATCCATATAGCAATCCAGCTGATTTCAAACATAGAGATGAAAACAAATGTAAGTGGGTAGGTGGCCAGAATTTCAGAGTTTGTTGATTTATAACTATAATATTATAATGGATTAATAAAAAAGTCTAAGTGATTTGAAACAAGCCTTGACTTATAGAAATAGAAGCAAAGATATTATTGATATAATTGCTAAGGGTGTTCAAGATCTTAAATTCTTTAAAGAAAAATAGTAATTATTTGATCCAGCATTATATTGTTAAATGCTAAAAAAGATCTAATTGAGAGAATTCAAAAAAGGAGAAGTCATATTTCATTATGGTAACATCATTTTGATTGGTAGGTTCTAATAATGTTGAATAGTTTTATGTAATTCTATAGGGATAAGTTGCAATTTTATGTCCAAATGATAAAAGCATTACTCATCAATAAGTTATTGAAGAGTATTAAAAAGGAATAGATTCTAATCCATCTTAACTTAGAAGATCATCTGCAATCTACAGTCCTCGTTTGTCTGCCTTTAACAATAGAGCTCTTAAAGATATAATCATGGCACAGGCTTATGGCAATTTTTTAGGAATCAGTAATTATTCAATTATATAGTTGATTTTTGTAGATATTCAAAAAGTCGATTAAGAATCCTTAATTGAAGAATATACTAATAATCCCAATCAAATATCGATTGATAAATGGTTAGATAATTTGGTGAAAAGACTATTTCCAAGCTTGCATATAGTAAATATGTGTTGTACAGGAGATTAATTTGGAGAGATAGCTCTAATAGGTAATGTGACTAGAACAGCAACTGTATTGTGTACTTAGGATACAGTAATGATTACCTTAGCAAATCCAGACTTTTAAGCCATTTTATAATAATATCATGATCAAGTTAAAAATGAAAAGATTTCTTTACTTAGAAATTTTGAACTCTTTAGCAAATTATCTGATAAAAGATTAAGGGGTATTTTAGAGAATATAATTGTTTAAAAACCTTCAATGTTTAGTGTTATTTATATGGAAAATTCAATTCCAGAATATATATATTTTATTAAACAAGGAGAAATTGAATTACTAAAAGTATTTCCTAAGAATAAAACAGTCTCAATTACTTTACTTTAAATGGGTTGTGTCTTTGGACATGAAGAAGTTTAATAATCTATTCCAAGAGAGTACAGAGCTATTTCAAAATCATCATAATGTGAACTATATTTATTGCCTGTTGAAACTATATAATAATTTGATAAAAAAAATTCATAATCAGTAGAAAAGAAATTTCATCATGAAAGATTAGAAAGGTTATTAAGTGATAAAAAATCTTAGAAAACTAGTTCATAAATCACTTAAACTTCGATTGAATTATATAAAACAGTGTTTGAAAAAGATTATTCAAATCTTTTCAGTCATGCTTTACTTTAAAAAAGGTACTATATTAATTTAAATTAGAATAATATCACCTAAACATAGAAAAATGTTATCAGAACCATTTACACCATTTTTTGATATAGATAAGAAATCTTTCTCTTCTAAAAAGTAATTAACAGATAGGAAAACAATTAACACAACTACAACAAGATATAATAAAGAAAACTCAACAAGACAATTCAGTACTTAAACAACAATCAATATACACAGACATTTATTTAGTCCTAAAGTCAGTAAAAGACAATTAGACACAATCATGCCCTTCAAAAAAATTTTGTAATGAAAAGAACTGGATTTTTATATATATGTAAATTATAAAGAAACTTGATTTTTATTGTTTTAATTTATAACTTTAATTTAATTCTTCTATTTTTATATTATTGAAAATATTCACCAAAAATATTTATTATATTATTTGATAAATTTAGAATAAATAGGAAAATGTATAGAAATTAAATAAATAAATCTTGAGTTAATTCCAAATTAGATTAATCTATATTTATTAATTTATTGTTATAAAAATTAGAAAATTAGATCTGAAATTCTACTGGCAAAATGAAATAATTCATAAATAAAAAGAATAGGTTTATTTGAATACTAAACTATTTTATTTTTTGATATATATATATATATATATATAGATGAAAAATGGTTAAGATGATAAAATTGAAAATTGAAGAGGATGGAAATTAATAACAAGATGAAGATGTTGATTAATAATTTAAGTAGTAATAATAATGATAAAAATATTCATTATAATTCATTATTTATCTAATCAAGTAATTTATCATTTATTAGAGTTGTTAATGGACTTAATTTGATATCAGAAACTACTATATCTGGATTACTCTATTAAAGTTAATTTTTTAGATCAATAATTTGTTAAATGTTATATAATCCCTCAAATGATATTTTATACTCTGTATTATTATCAAATAAATTTTATGTTTCATTTTCAATTTAATCAACTCCATTATATGTTTGAACACTATTGAAATAAGAGTTATGAAATGTAAAATTAGCAGCCACATCCATTATCTCTTTTTCTATTCCAATATTAAGTATAATATTGAATAAGTATAAAATATGTTTTCTTTATATTAATGATAATGTATATTTAGTAGGAAATTAAGTAGGATTTGTTGGAAATAATACTGATAATGGTGTTTCAATACCTAAAACAATAGATTCTATTTGTTTTTATTCTAAAAATTATGATTTCTATAATTATTTATTTAAAGCATCTTGTCTTGTTATAAAAAGACAATAAGGTATTTTTTAATTTGAATATGAAAAAAAAGCCAAAAATAATGCATTTGAAATCATGAAATAATTATTGGGATTTTTTTTATATTCTTAAAACACATTAGTTAAAGTGTAAAATAGTTGTGTTTTATTTGATAGTGTTGATGATGATTTTAAATTTAATAGACTCCATTCATTATCAGCAATTTTATTTCTTTTATCATAAACTTAAAATTGAGCGAAATGTTCTTGAAGTGACAAAGATTTAAATTTAGTAGTAGAATTAAAAGTCACTTAAGTAACAACAGCATATTTGGTTACACCTTTTTCCATTACTTAACCTAACTAATCTTTTCTAAATTGATAATTTCAAAAATTACTTTTATTGATTTACTTTTCTAACAGGAGTACGTGGATAATAAGATTGAAATATTTATGAAAATGAATTTGAATTTGAATTTGGGGATGCAATTGGTTAGATTACATGTTTTGATTTTGGTGTTTGACATTATGGTTATGATGCTTATTATTATTTTTTTTTCATATAAATTGAATATATGAAATTATATATATATAAAATATTAAATAAATCAATGAAATAATACTAACCTTTGTATCATCTTTCATCGCAGATACTATTTTACTTAATATCATTATTTGGTTAAGGTTGATGTGGATTTTAAGAATTATTAATGATAATATCACCAGCAGTAAGTTCATCATGAGTCACAAATGAATCTTACATTTATTCTTATTGATCTAATTAAGGTTTTGTTTCGATTTAAATTAATACTACATTATCAGGATGTTTATAAGCAGGTTTTTAATTTAATTTTTTTTTTTAAACACATTATAAAAGAACTCTCCCAGTTTAAAATAAGATTGGAGACTTCCCATCTTCTGGTATAATAAGTAAATCTTCATCTTGAGCCAACACCAAAGTACCAAATTTACTTTTACAATCCTAAACTCTTATTATATAATCTGGATTCTCAACTGTGTGTTTACTAGTTGGTATTAATTTCAACATAGCATGAGATCGAGAAACGGAGATATCTCTTAATTTAATATCACAATCTGGAATTCTACCCTAGATTTATTAGAAATCAATTTATTACAATTTTCAATTCCGTTTTTTCACCTATTTCAACAACATATATCATAGCTTCTTTAGATTTATCATCATTTGTAATTTTGAAAGTTATATATGAAGATTTTGGCTTTGGTAATTTCAGAACTGAATAACTCTTATCTTAATATGTATAAGTATTTCTAAATGTGAACTTACAAATTTCACAATCCAATCTTTTACAAAGATATTAGATAAAATGTTCACCTTATTTAATTTTCAATTATATTCCTATCCATTTTTATAAACATTCTAAATGTATATATTTTACTGATCCCTCACATTTACATGGACTTATCAATGGGTTTATTTCACTTGCCTTACTTGAAAAGCATATTCTACAACTTGCAACATCATTAATTGTTTAAATATCATCTTCTTATTCATCTTAATATTGAGTTGTCTCATCACATGGAGTCATGAATGCATATTCTAATAAATGCATTTTAACTCTTCCTAACTTTATTATATCTCCTATTTTTAAATCCCAATGCTTTATATATATTAAAACTCATACATCTATTGATTAAAACTAATTAGCTTCCGATTTCAACACTGCCCATAGTTTATGATCTTGTTATTAAGATATACTGTTAATAAAAGCTTATTATTCATTTAATGTAATATTTGCTATTTCAATCGAGTTACGAGCCCATTCACTTTTTGTTAAAGCAACAAGTTCTTTATCCACTGTTGCTAATTGAGCTAAAATAATAGATTTTATATCAAATTACCTGAAAAATCGACTTCAATCTCTTTTACCGAATACGAACTGGACTCAAAATCAAATAAGTTGTGCTAATTCTTTGGCCAAATTATTGCCATTATGTGAACTCTAAATAGATATTCATTAAATTTACTTATATGGCATTAATGTTCTTACTATTTCATATCTTTTTTGCTTAGTTGATGTACAAGCTCCCATTAAATAATTTATTTATTAATTATATTTATATATCAGCATTCTAAATTCTCACCTATTAATATCATCCAATTATTTTAAACGTCTTATATATATATATATATTTATAGAATCCTCAAATCAATTTTTAAATTCTAAATCATTATATTTTATATATTATTATTTTAATTCAATATTTCCATATAAATTGCTTCATCGTTAACAAATTTTTAGATAAGCAACACTAATAACTATCAATTTATTAAATATGTTTTAAAATCCTTAGAGACACAATTAAATGATATATTTAATAATAGAAATCATGAATCAACTTATAAATTTTGTCAAATTTCTTTTCTTTAAACCAAATTACGTTGGGTATCATGAAATTTCTAATTTAAAATTAATTCCATTTTTCTTAAAATGTTTATGTATCATTTGAAGAAATTAAACTAGTAATATTATTTCTTAATTTAGGATTTCAAAGTTAGTTAATTTGTGAATAATGAATTGGATTTTATAAATCAGAATTGACAAGTATTCTATTTAAAAAGAATAATTTCAAATTTATGTAAAAATCTGTAAACTTGTGAATTGATTTAATTTATAACACACTACTAGCTACTAGTTTTCTTTTAGAAATGACATCATATTTCTTGATGAAATTTTATTTATTTAATTAATTAAGACTATTAGCAAATTAACAGTAATTCCACTATTCATTAAAATTTATCAAATCTTTTTCTTTATTAAAATAATGGCTTAGTTGGGACAAATTTGTTAATGTTATCTTAATAGTTGAGTGGGAATTTTAAATTTAAACTTAAATCTTCTTATTTTCTTTTTTATTTTCTAATCGTTTTTTTAATTCTTTATTCAGGTTGTTTATTGATTCAAAATTAGAAAAATTAATTAATATTTAAGATATTTTCTTAAAAAAAGTACTTTTTATTTAAGTATTTTTAAATTGACAAGATCGTATTAAAGAATTAATCATTTATTGTGAAACTTTATCAAATAAATCTGTTTAAGTAAATTAAAAATTAAAAGGATATTTTAAACTATTATATTTTAATTCAATTATTTATTATTAGTTTAGCTGGTAATTCTACTTTAAATTTGAATATTTAATAAAAGTCTATTAGAAAAATTTACTATTTAATGCTTATTTATAATAAAAAATTTATTCTTAATTGGAATAATTAGTTATAATAAATTTAATATATAGTTTAGTTTGCTATTTTATAAACAAATCATTAGCAATTTTTGCCATTTATTACTTTAAAAATCTGAATCATTTTTATCATGAAATGAATTAAATCAATCAGATTACAATAATTTCTTTGAGAATAAGCTAATAGAATTTACTCATAATTCTTGTTATCTCTTTATTTTTCCTTAAATAAAAACATAAGAATAATAGATATTAGGCAATCCATTTTAAACTAAAATTATTATAAATTTAGGAAATATTTCATAAATGATACAAATATAGATTATAACTTAAAGGAAAATATAAAAAAATGTAAACATATTAATACTGTTAATATTTTATGGACTAATAAAAAAGTGAATTATATGATACTGCCCTATTTAGGAAATTTCAAGAATGCTTAGAAAGCTAAAATGAACTTGAAATATATCAAAATACTCATACTGATAAATTTTATAAAGCAATGCCTTGCACTATAAAACTTAGAAAAATAAAAAACAATCCTATAATTATGGCATAAATGCTTGTAAAAAATAGTCAAATTGAATTAGTCCAAAAAAATAGTTTATAAGGAATAAAATTAGTCAATAGAAATGAATTATTAGGAAAGTAATAGAAGTAGAGGATGTACAAGATTTTCATCTCCTAGTAGAAATGATGAACGATAACAATAAATAAGATCTTTAATTATTTCAAGAAGAGAAAATTAAAGATGTCCTAGCATTAAATAAGATGTATTAAAAAAAGCAAATGCATAATTGAATCACAATATTTTTGATTTACCAAAAAAAATAAGAACTCCTAAATATTCTAGAGCAGAACTCTATTTTAGTTATCATTTAAGAGATAGCCTTAGAACACCAAGAAATGGAATTACAATTCCTTAATATTTAGCTAATAAAATTAAAAATATAAAATGATGGTGGTCGCTTTGATTTTTAAATATTTTATAAATAAAATATTTCTAAATTTTTATACATAAAAACAGATTAACACAATCATTTTAACAATTGATTTCTTATTTAAGGATCTAAAAATTATATACTAGTCATAACTTGAGTAATCTTTTAAGGAAATTATTATTTTGTTTATTCTAATACAAATTTCCATGTATCTACATTTGGATGATATTCTGTCAATTTAATTAATTATACAAAATCTAATTTTCTTAATTTATGATATTTTAAAGGGCAAAATTATTTCTACTTTTCCAACCAATTAAGAAGTTATTATTATTATTCATTATTTAATAAAGGATAATATTCATCTAGGAAGGTCTCAAATAATTCAGTTTATCCTAAAAGATTTTATTTTGCAATATCAAATGAAAACTCTTTTTTGTATAAATGTACTAATAATAGTAATATTTCAAGTAAATCTTTTTTATTTTTTAATTTAGAAATTTCTTATACATTTATTTATTCAATAGATAAATAACCTTTCTAAACAAGTTAAATTTTTAATTTTATAGGTTTATTTTTTATTTCTGTTAATAGAATTGATTATAATTCTGGTTATTAAAAAGCGAGTGACCAAAAAGTATCCAAAGTATTTGCTTTATCTTTAAATAATTATAATAATTCATTTTTGTAATCAACATTTAATTCTTTTAATTTATCAAATACTTCAATATCATTTTAATTTTCTATTAGGAATTTTATTATTTATTCTGAATTATTTAATTATTATGTTTAGCTAATTTCTTCAGCTAATTCATTTTAATTATGTCTAAGTAAAATTTTTTTGAATAACTTTCTTAATTCAGAATTATCACAATTTTCAATTGCTAATTATATAATTTATTTAATTCCATCAAGCTTTTTTGATTTAATTTGTGTTATTGGTTCTACTGTATTTAATGGTAAAAATCCATCTATATTTTTGATTTCATCATTCTATTCTTATCCAATTTATAATTGATTCAATTCGAAATCTAAATAACTTCCCCATAAATCTATATTTTTATTGTTAATTCTTAAAGCTTAGTAAAATATTTTTCTTGCTTTAATTGGATTATGAGCTTTTTCTAATTCAAAGAGAGCACCTGCTAACCATAGATCAGTATTATATGGATTAAAATTCAAAGCTTTAGTAATAACCTTGAAGAAATGTTTCTTTGATTCAATGATATAACAAAAACTTAAATATTGTTTCCATAAATCGATATTGTATCGATATTTATTCATTATCCTATCCCAAATATATATAATTCTTTTCACTATAGCATAATCCCTTGTAGTAACCTTCTTTACTTAACGTTCCTTATTTCTTTATCTTCTGAGTCTTTCCAACCCATATTCATAGTCAAGTAATTACATATAATTGCTTAAATTGTGTGTTCTACGCTATAACATGTATTCGAATTCTTCCCTTTTATGGAGAATGTCTTTGACTTCATCCTTAGAGAATACCTGCTTTTTTTAGAGAGCCAAGAGATCAGGAATAAACTTTTCTAAAGTGTACCTAATTTTGTCAGCCATTAATTAAATAAAATATATGATTGCAAAAAAATCGGAAAATATACTTCTCATAATTTTAAGGTATTTTCGTGAAGGGAAATGCTTAGAAGCAATGAGTTGTTTGAAACGTATATTTTCTGGAAAAGAATAAAGTTTATTAGGATTAGATATAGAATAAACATTAAAACAATTAAGATTAGAAAATGATTCAGAAGCATGTAAGAAATTAAATGATAATGCTCGTTTAAGTCATCCAGGTTGGGTTGATTTATTATGCAATTTACTCTTATATTATGTAGAAAGAGAAAGAGGAAGTGCTAATGTTATAGATCATTTTGAAAATCTTTTTAAAAATACTAAATGGCTTTTAGATGAATAACGTTCTTAAATATATTAATTTTTATGTAAACAGGTTGTTACTGAACAATATAAGATTGTATAAATAATGAAAAGAAAAGCAAAAGATTCTGAAGCAGTAAAAAGGGCATCTCATGCTTAAGAGACTCTTGAAAGCAAAAGTTTATAAATATTTTAAGAAATGGGAAGAGAAGTCAATATTAAGAATATGTAAAAACTTAAATTATTGAATGCTAATTAATAAATGAAGATATATTTTAAAGGTTTTAAATTTGATAGAGCTGCTGATTGTGATAAAGTTGAAAAAGAATAAAATTTACTTTTAACATCACCTAAATAAGATTAAATTACTTATCATTATTATAAAGGTAGAATTCTTATCTTTCATTCTAAATTTGTAGATGCATCATAACATTTAACTTAAGTTTTATAAGAATGTCCAAGAACATAAAAAGGAATATCATGTGCTAGATAAGTCTTAAAATATTTAATACCTATTAATATGTTTATGGGAAGATATCCAAAAAAAGAATTAATTGAATAATTTAAAGAATATGATTTATTATGTACAAGTGTAAAATAAGGAAATATTGCAGGATTATAAGAAGCAATTGATAAATATAGATCAATTTGGATTAAGAGAAGTCTATTAATATTAATGGATCAATTGAAAGTGCTTTGTTATAGGAATTTATGTAGAAAAGTATGGCTGATTAATTAAAAGGTGAATAAAATACATTTGAATCAATTTTAAAAAGTACTTTAATTACTATTTAGTAAATCAGGCATTTCGAATATCACATCCTCTGAATAGCAACCCTACTATATCTGAAGTATGTTGCATAATAGCCAATCTAATATATTTATAATTAATTTAAGGCCAAATCTATTTGAATAATGCGAAAGAAATTTATGCTATCACTCTCAGTTAAGATCCTTTTAAAAATAGACCACATGAAATTAATTGGTAAAATTGATATCTGTATTATATTATCAACAATCACATCCAATCAATTTGATTTCTGTTTTAAATAAATCTGTGAATTGTTTCTCTGTAAATTATTTCATCTTTCTAACTTAACTTTGTAAATCTCTTAATTAATTCTATAATTTAAATTATTCAGATTTCAAATCAGCTATTTTATTTTATGAATGAATAATATTTGATTCACTCTTTTTTATTGAAATAGCAAATTCTTCTAAATTTTTAATAATTCTTTATTGAGTTCTATAATTAATATAATTATTTACTTAACAGATGATTTTAATTGTAAAAGTTATCTAAGCCAAGGACTAATCAATTTATCTAATAATTAATGTAAGATATTCAAATAATTTTACAATTCTTATGATGATAATTCAAATAATTTATTTTAAGCATCAAAATTAACTATTGATTAATCTTATTTTAATTATTCCAATCTTGCTGAATAAAATCCAATTAACTAAATTATTATTATTATTATTATTACTTCATTTAAATTTATTATAAGATTGCTTCTAAATTATGTATTCAATAGTTCACTATCAGGTATATTCACTTGCTAAGGTTATATATATTTCATCCAATCAATCTCTTCTGTTTTTGGAGCTTCAATAATTTCCCAGTCTAATGGTTTTTAATTCCCTTTCAATACAAAAGATTCTAGATGTGTAACTATGTTTGATTTATCTAAAGAAGGATTAGTGTAAATAGAAAATTATCTGTAATATTCAATGCTATTTAAAATCGTTTAATTATTTAAGGCTAATTATTCAATTTCTTAAAATAAAGGTGGAATTTGTAGTATCATATTTGGAACTTCTTCCTCTATATTTTAACCTTCAATTCCATGCTTCTTACATTGTTTTTCAAATTATAACTTATGATTTTATATTTAAACTTGAGAATCAATAATCCTTTGTTCTGTTGATTATAATTATTAATCATTCAATATTAATTACTTTTTAATTCCTGGTCTTAAATTAAGTAAAAATTTACATGTCATATGTCAAAACTTAAACTAGAGCCTAACCCATATTAATTAGGTGTAGATTTTCTTTTTAATAGAGTTTAAGTAAATTCTCCATAGTTTTTATAGATTTAGATGAGAAACCTCCAAAAATCGTTTTTTGAGCACCTTCATCTGAGTTCTTTAATTTTTCTAATTCTTCAGAACAATCTTGAAAAGTGTATGTACTCTTGCTTTCACCTAAAATTTCTAATTGTTTTAATTGTAGAGCTTTATATTTTTTTGACCATTCCTAATTTAATTTATTTCTTTCCTATAACCATTAAGGAATTCGTTTATAATCAATTTCGATCATAATAATTAAAATAATTAATGTATAAAGCCTTAAAATTTATTCATATAAAAATGATAATTGTATTGATTATTGTAAAAATTAAGAATTTAGAGGATAAGAAATTGTAGATATTATATAATTATATTTAAATATGATATTGAAAACACTTTATCTTTAGAATTAATAAATATTTCTATTTTATTTATGAATAAAAAAGAGAGCTTGATGTAATGAATTTATATATATGTAAAATTTATTTTAATGATTCAATCTTATTCAGATAATTAAATTAAGTATCCCTAGTCCCATTTACCTTTGATGACTTATCCATCAAGATTTGTGAATTCACCTTCACCATGTATCATTCCATCTTCAAATTCTCCAAAATATTATTCTTTATTTGTTAAAATCAATGTTCCTTATCCATGCATCTTCCCTTGGTAAAAGTTTCCTATAGAATATTAAATACATTTTTACCTTCATAAGATGCCCATCCATTACCAATAGTTGTCATATTATTCCAATCAATTGGTTCTGTTATTTCCTCTGTTTGAAGATTTGTCAATCTTCCTTATCCATCATATAAGTTTTCTTTCCAATATCCAGCATATATTTATTGTCCTTCAGAATCTGTTAAAATACCAAATCCACTTCTAGTCTATGGTGGATAACCTTATCCTCTATAAATAAAGCCATCTTCATATTACAATGCCAACTCTAAAAATATATTTAAATTTTACCTTAGAGTTCGCCATCCTCTGCTTCTTGATTTTCTTAATTAGTTTAACGACCTTTACTACCGGAATCATCTGCTTGATACTTTTTGATGATTTCTTCTGTGCTTTTGAGAGCATTTTAATATCTCTTATCTAAATCATCTTCTTTTTTAGGTGGTTAGGTTGGCTATTATTTTTATTTAGAAGCTGCTGGTTGTTATTTTTATTAATTTGGCTAAGGTTATGGTGTATCTAATGTAATTGATATACAATAAACATTATTTTTGATTTTAAGGTGCTTAAGGTTGCTACATTTAGGCATTGCGTATACGTTCTTATACTTATTCGTATGTAAGATATTATCTATTTGGGGATTGCAACTAAGGAGCAGGTGATTTAGGGACTTGTTGAGATTGCATCAACATATTTCTGGATGGGGACTATGCTCCTTTCAAACGATCTGGTGATTAGAATTATCGTTAAGGGGAAGCCATAATTTAGCTTAACATTGGTTGTGGCTAGTATGTAGGTGGTATGATAGATGAAGTGTATGGATTGTATGGATAAGTTGGCGGGGGTATTCTTAATCCTGGATATGGATATTATGGAGCATTATAAATAGGTGGTCTCCATTACTATGGTACTTATGGACGTACACCATAGGGTTAATACCTATATTATGGATATACTTAAGGATAAAAGGACTAAGGATAATACATTATATTTAAAATCTTAATTAATGAAATAGATGAGAGATCGTTCATCATCTGAAGAAAACAATTATGTTAAATAATCTTCTAGTGTGAAATAGTTATAAGTTTAAAAGAACAAATAGAGTAACTACACTTTTGAAGATGGGCAGTATTTTTTTGAAGTAATACTGATTTTTTTTACTAAATTTTAAGTTAACTTCTTTAAAAAAACTATCTGTTTCTAAGTTCAAAGGCAATGTGATGATAAGTATAAGAGAGTATTTTAATAAGGATGGGTAGTCCTTACCAACTAAGAAAGGAATAACATTGCAACTCGATAATTGGGAGAAAGTTAAACAATATATTGCTGAAATTGATGAATGTGTAAATAAATTAAAAAAATGAAAACTGATGATATAATATAAATATAAATTAAAATTGCCCTTAAAAATTAAATTTTCTTAGAAATAAGATACATATAAATATGATTTGTAAATAATCAATTATAAATGATTTATTAATATCCATATGATTTCATTTTTATTGTAAAATATTAAAGAAATATTCCACCTCTAGTATGCCATCTTCTGGAAGATCAGTACAATGTATAGCATTCTTAACTCTATCAATTCCAAATTTAGCTCTGATTGTTTAAGGTCTTAAAGTTTTAGCTATTTCTGGATCATGTGGTCCACATAAATCTCTAAAAGCTTTGACCTAATAATTAAAATTAATGTTTACAGCATTTTCTTATCTAATTTCCATAGCTATACAAGGTCCAGATGTTAAATGTTCTGACATAGCTTAAAATTCAGGTAAAACACCCTAAATATTTGAATATGTTATTTATACTTTATAGACTTCAAAGAATTCTTCACTAGTAGCTCTATCTAAATAGAACATTTGCATTGCTGATATTTCAAAGCCTTCACTTAATATAATATCAATAATTTATCCAGCTCTTCCTTCTAATACAATATGTGGTTTTATAATGGCACAAGTACAATTATTAAATACAGCAGTTGATTTTAGATTAGATTTATCAGAGAAAAAGAAATCTAATTCTCTTTATGCTGATCCAGCTATATAATTATAAAATTAATAACTTACGAGCATCACTACCATGACAAGCATTTCTTACTCCTTCTGTACCATACAAAGCTCTCATTGAATTTGGTGCTTCAACTCTAGCAACTTAACATTTAGTTGGTCCAATCAAATCTCTCCATTTTTTAACACTATTATCGGCTATCAATTCCAAACCAACAATAAAATCACTGCAGATAAATTATGTAAGTTCATCAAAAAAAGGTTTTCCCTATTCAAATTTATTTATTATTTACTCTATGTTCTGCATAGAATTGCTGTGCATCTGCAATTGTCATTCTTGTCATTTTCAAATTACCAATTACGAAACCGTTTCTTTCAACTGCAGTGATTATCTTACCAATATGTGTATATGCATCTGGTTTAATCATACCAAATGTTCTAACATTTATATAATTTATTTACTTTCCTCTTTATACTTCAAATTTAGATCTAGTAAATACATCTGCATAATCCACTATTTTTAATTATCTTGAATAAACTGTTACAATTGATCCAACATATAAATCTTTCAATTATATTGATGGGTATTCACATCTTTTCAAGAATATTCTTTTATTTTTCAAATCAAACTAGATTCCTTAATTAAAATTATACCATTTCGATAGTCTTATCTGACATAAAGTATATGAGGTTATAACTCCTTATTAAAGATGCACTAGTGTCAAACCATTCAACTATGAACACATATCTTTCATCATTTACTGCCATCTGTTAATAATAATAATCAAAATATAATCAATAACTCAATTTTCATTTTTACTATTATAATTCCAATTCTAACTACTATTTCTCATACTCATTCTTTGCCTTTTCTATTTTATTTTTATATCCTCAAAAATTCTTAAGAAATCTTTAAAGTTTATCAAAATCTTTTTAGGAACTTCATTTCATATCAATCTCTAATAAGATAATAATATTCTTCTTATTGTTATCTTACTCTATCAAATGAATCTAATAATTATTTATTAAATATTCTCTTAAATCTCAAAGACTGATTGGGAGATATCATCAAAAGAATAAAGAATTCAATTTTTATTTCTTTTGCATCCAGTTCTATTTCTGCTTAAATGTATTCTTATATGATTGTATCCATTATTTAATTCATAAAGTGAATAAACTTGTTTCATAATGACTCATAATCTTTTGGGAATCTCATTTTCAGATTTATACTCTATTAAAAATTCCCAACAATTTTATGATATTGATATGAATACATAAAACTACTATATAAATTAAGTATCTAGTACTAATTGAACTGATTTTTGCATACATTTATTTTTTAAAATGAATGATAAGTTCCTTTAATTAAGAAATAATTATTGCTATCAATACAACAAGCGAATTATTAAAAATTATGAATAACCCTAATATTCTTAAAGATTGAAAACTGAAACTCCTCCAATATTAAAATAATATAAGTATACTTATCATTCGCCAAGGAAATTTATTTAAACTACTTAAGCATCATTTTTTGATCATTTTAAAAAGTTTCCAACTCCTAAACCAACTGCTTATTAGACTTATCTATAAACATTACTAGAAAATAAAATTGAAATTTAAGCCAAATAAAAATAGTAGCCATCATTCACTATGCATAATATTAATGGCCAGAAAATTAACACTTATCGGCAAATAAAGGATACAATAAAAAATCAATAGAAACATCATCATTAAAATAAATCCGAATTTAAAATACCATAAAAAGTACACCAACAAAATAAATCCTAATTTAATTCACCTCAAAAACTTTAAGAATAAATGAAATAAATATCAATAAAAAAATTAGATAAGATCAATATAGTTAGAACATCAAATGAAGTTTAAATTATAAGAAGTGATAGAATTCAGACTTATGATGATAATTTTGATGATATTGAACCATGGAACACTTCTGAAATAAAATGATAGTGATTTATTAATTTTAATAATTTCATATTTTTTCAATTTAATAGTTCTCTAAGTTATGAAATGATGAAGATCTAGAATTATTATGTTGAGAATATCTATATTATATAATTGGGCCATTGGAAGATTCATAATTTTATATTACTCTATTATCTTATTAATTTAATACTTCACATATTATTAATTGGGTTACTGTACATATAACTATTGATAAATGAAAGGATGTTAATTTTGAAAATGATTAATTTGTGAATTAGGCTGGGATTTCTTAGATATGATTTTTACTGGAGTTGTATTTATCTTTGATTAGTTATACTAAGTAATTTATTATATTTTAGGCTAAGTCATTTTAGTTGGTGGTAAAAGATTAAGGCATTATATTTTAAGATTTTCTTTATTATTATTGTTTGATTTATTGAGTATTTCTTAACTTCTTTTTTAAATATCAAATTCATTATAATGTTGAGTTTTCTCAATTTAAACATTAGTATTGTATATATTTTAAGGAAGAAATTCCTTAAAATTAATGTCAAATGATGTTGATTCAATATGATGATTAAATGATTAACTTCTCATTTTAAATGGAACTTTATTTTATTATTCTATTATGTTCTAATTGTTAGTTCCAAAATTAGTAATCACTTTTTAATGTATTTATTTATTTTCTTCTTAAATTATTCCTATTTTTTTTAAATTCAATTTAGGTATTTTTGGATCCTTTTCTACAATGATATCAGGTGGTATTATTTTTTAAAGATTGTTGAGTCTTTAGTTTATGTTTCTAAGGGCATTTTTAATTGATTCGCAATCAAGATCTGGTCTTAAATGATTATATATTCTTACTCTTAACGAATTTACATTAAATTTATAATAATATAAAAGTGATGATTAAATAACACAAATAAAATAAATGATCTTTAGAAATTTGAAAAATCCATTACTTTCTAAAACTTTCAGGTCTCAAATACCCAGTTTTGGAGTATTGAATCATGACAAGTTTCAAAAGAAAGTTGAGGGAAAAGGCAAAGTTACCAAATTTCTTTATGAATTTTGGGAAATCCTTTATTAAGTATTAGTTTAAACTTTTATGTTAGGGTACTTGGGATTAATGTGTAGATGCTAAAATAATGTGTAAATACACTTTTACAAGAAAGAAAACTGCTTTTATGCTTTCTGAAATTACACGAATTAGAAAAGATTTATTAAAATTCATTCCTTTCTCATTCTTTCTCATAGTCCCAGGAGCAGAGTTGCTTCTACCTCCTTACTTGTATTTATTTCCTAATGCATTTCCTACTACCTATTTATTTGATGATCAATTGGCAAAGAGATATATAACAAGAGATAGAAAATAAATGAATTCATATAGATATCTATTTTAATTGATGAAACAACGCATTCCTTCTATTGAAAATATAAGAAACAATTAAGATTATAATGCTAAGGGTTTATAAGAACTTGTTTTAAAACACTCACATCTATTCATGACAAAATTAGATTACTTAGACTTTAATTCAGAACAGTTGGTGCATGTAAATTAAATTTATTGAATGTTTAGTTAAGTAAATTTTTAGGAATGGAGTTTTTTAGAGGAACCTATACTATAATGAAACTCACTAAACTTTTTGTTAATCTCCCTGTTTATTTCACTAATCTTTTTTATTGGTTAACTAGAAATCCAGAAAGAAGACCTTTAAAAAGTGTTCTAAAAAATTGGAATTCATTACTTCCCTTTCCACTTGAAGATTTAAAAAAGGCTTTGCTTTTAATGTAAATCAAATCTCATCTCAGAAAAGTATAAATCAATTAATAATAATAAAGTTGGAAAGACAAGACAAAGCATTTAGATTAAATGGATTTGGAGATAATAAATTTGAAAGTATAAGGTAATTTGCAAGAGAAAGAGGTATTCCAGCATTAGTAATGCAAAAAGAGAATCCTGAATAAGATTTTGAATAGTAATTTAATTATTTAATAATCATTTAGTTCTAAAAAATAATTTAAAAGAGACTACAATGATTTCATCCATAAAGAGTAAGTTTTTGAAAATTTAAAAATTTGGTATGCTGTTCTCTACTATGAGAGATATCATAATAGAATAGTTGAAGAATATGAAGAAAGAGTCAGAAAACATTTACTACATTGATATGTTTCCATTAAAAATTATAAATAATGATTTATTATTCTAATTAAATTATTAGATTTCACAAAATTCTATCTAAACTATTGATATAAAAACATACAAAAGATGAAAATGATTTTTATATGTAATTTAATTTCTATTTGTTTTTATTAGTATTCAATATTAATAAGAATGTGATCAAATTATGAGTATTAAATTTCAACAGTTTTAATTAATTATTTCCTTAGTATTAAATTATAATGATTTGATTTTAAGTTTTTAATATATAACAATAATTATATCAATGATAATATTATAAATTGTAGTCATTGTATGGTTTAATTCATTGATACAGCAATTAGTTTGTTCGCGAATGTTAATAAGATAAAGAAATATAAAGATTTGCATTAAACAAATAATTATGGCAAGATATAAATAAATTTTTTAATTAATAAATGAATTAAGAAGACATATTCCTAAAGAAATAATGGTTCATTAAGTCTTGTGAAGGAAAGATAGAATAATTTTATGATATAAATCTCAAAAAAGTATTGTAATTTTTGATAACGTTTAGGTAATTGGTTCTGGAACATATGGAAGTGTTGTCAAAGCTGCATTAAAAGGCACTAAATAATAACGTGCTGTTAAAGTAATTCCTAAGTCTAAAGTCAAAAACCCAGAAAGATTTAAGAGAGAAATTGATATACTTAGAGCTTTAGATCATCCAAACATTATTAAATTATATGAAACATTTGAAGATTAAAGAAATGTATATTTAGTCATGGAGTAAATTTGCAATTAATTTTCTATAGATTATGTGAAGGAGGAGAATTATTTGATAGAATCATGGATAAAGGATATTTTAATGAAGCTGAGGCACATATTATATTTCTTTAGATTATGCAAGTATTTTTATACTTAAATTTAGGCATTGAATTATTGTCATTCCAATGGAATTTGTCATAGAGATTTGAAACCAGAAAACTTTTTGTTTTTAACTAAAGCAGAAGATTCTCCTCTTAAAGTAATTGATTTTGGATTAAGCATTCTATTTGAAGAAGGACCTTAAAAACCTGGTACATAAAAGGTTTCGATGAAAACTAAAGCAGGGACACCTTATTATATTTCTCCTGAAGTATTGAAAGGAAATTATGATGAATTATGTGATATTTGGTCAGCAGGAGTAATATTATATATTTTACTTTCCGGTGTTCCTCCCTTTTATGGAGACACTGACCCAGAAATCTTGGAAGCTGTTTAAAAAGGCAAATACTCTACAGATATACCTGAATTTAAATTTGTTAGTGATTCTGCGAAAGATTTAATTTCAAATATGATCACTTCTCCAGATAAAAGATATAAAGCTTAACAAGTTTTATAGCATAAATGGATGAAGGAAAAGAATAAACCAAATAAAGAACTCAAGTTGAATTATGGGGCATTAAAGAATTTTGTAGGCAGTAATAAATTAAAAAAGGTTGCCCTCACATTTATTGCATCTTAATTAAATGAATAAGAAATAAGTCATTTAGGAAAGTAAGAAATTGATTAATTTAGATTATTTAAATAATTGGATAAAAATGGAGATGGAGTTTTAACAATAGAAGAAATTAGAGAAGGATTAATAGGAATGAGTGATGATTAATCAAAAGAATTAGCCAATGTCATTAAAAGTATTGATACTGATGGAAATGGTAACATTAATTACACTGGTAATAATCAATTTCTATTACAAAAGAATTCTTAGCTGCAACTATGGAGAAATAGTTATATATGAAGGAAGAAAAACTTTATTAAGCTTTTAAAATGTTAGATTTGGATGGAAGTGGCAAGATAGACAAAAAAGAGTTACAATAAGTGCTTGGAAGTATTTAATTTAGTTATAATTTAGAGTCTGATAAAATAATTGATGAAAAATATTGGGATGATATGATTAAGGAGGCAGATAAAAATGGAGATGGAGAGGTATATTTAATTATATTCATATAATAGATTGATTATAATGAATTTATTGAAATGATGGATAGATTTAGTATTATGAATTGAGATATTATATTTTTTAAATAAAAATTAAATATATTGATAAATTATCTTCTAATCTTTTATTAATCAATAATTATTAATAAATATAATCTAAAAATGGACAATATTTCTACAGATTAATAAGAAAATCCAGATAATTCTAATAATCAATAATAGGAAGCTTAAGAAAATTAGCAATAATTTGAATAAATTCAAAAAGAAAAAGAAAAATGTTTAGAATTAAAGAATAAGGCAAGCTTATTATTTACTCAATAAAAATATGAAGAAGCTGCTGATATTTACAATGAAGCTATTGATTATTGCCCATTAGAAGATGTAAATATGTTATGCATTTTAAATTCAAATATTGCTATTTGCTTAATGAAGCTATTGGATTTTGAAAGTGCCTTAGAGCATTGCTCTAAAGCACTTGAATTTAATCCTGAATTTATTAAAGCTTTATTGAATCGAGCTGAATGTTATGAAAAAACAGATAAGTTAGAAGAAGCATTAGAAGGTAATTGTTCTAGAATAATTTTAGATTATAAGAAATTAAAAGAATTATAACCTAAAGATAATACTATAATAAAAAAATACAATTAATTAGATTAAAAAGTTTAAGAATTACAAGAAAAAAGAAAGAATGAAGCTTTGAAAGGATTAAAAGATTTAGGTAATACAATATTAAATAAATTTGGATTAAGTTTGGATAATTTTAAAATGTAATAAAATGAAAATGGATCATATAATATATAATTTTAATAATGACTCAAATAATTTATTTCTTTATATGTTTTGATTAATCCAATTTTATAGGAACTCCAGATAATATTTACATTAAAACACTTTAGTCTTAAAACTATTCTGCAAATTCATTCTTCTCTATATTTATCCAAACCTTTCCAACACTTGTTAAATCTACTCTATGATAACTAAAATAGGATTCTGTGAGATTTGCAAATTCACTAACATGAACTGTTTATAATCTTGGAGTCCAAAAGGCATTAAAATATTTAATTTCTACAAAATCACCTGTTTTTAATAATCTTAATTCATGAATAGTTCTTTTTGAGAATATTTTTAAGAAAATTAAACCTGCAAAACCTACTACTGTGCATAAAGTATATGAGGCACAATTCCAACCTCCAAAAACTAATTTAGAGTTGTAAAATTACTTGGCTAAATGTATTCCTATGAAGCTAGAATACAATTTAATGCTGTAAAAAAACTCAATCCTCTTAAGCTCCATTATAATTAGTTCTAATTTAAAGTTTAATATTTACTTCACCATTATGCATTCTATAAATTAGACTTTTGTTTGTTTTATCAAAGAGTAATTTTTCAGCTTCGACAATTCTAAAGTTCTATTTGGCAAAATTAAAAACAATTTTCTTTAAAATCATATAATTTTTATTAAATTCACTTTTCAATTTTTCTTATTAGAAAGTATTTGATTTTTCAGTTTCGATTAATTTTCATTTACTTAAACTGATTAATAAAATTCTATCTTATGAACTATTTGCCTATTAAATTTCTTAATATTTATATATTAAAGTCTTTTAATTTCAAAATTTCTATTTTTTTAATGCAAATAGAACAAATATTGCTTAGATTATTATCAACAATGAATTGTTCAATTTATATATTAATAATTATATATCTTATTTTAGTTATGTTTACTTAAAAATATATTTGTATAAACTATAAAATTTTGATATGCTTTAATTATTGAAAATAGAATTATAATTTAATTTAAATTAGTGAATATTAATTATAAATCATCTATTATATTTCAGAAAAAATAGTATATTTTAAGCTAATATAAAAAATAATAATAAAATGATAGCTTTTAAGAAGATAAAAATAAAATTGTAAATTGAAGATCAAAAATTTTCAGTTATTGAATATAAATCAAAAATTATCATTCAAAAAAGTAATTGATACTTAATTTAACTTGAATAAAATATACTAATTATTTACCAATAATGATGTAATATTTTAATCCTAATTAGAAATAATTTTTTTTAACTTCAGATCAAGATGATTAAAAAATAGAAATGAACCCTTTTTTTCATTTAATTATAATATTTTTAGTTTTAGAACTATTTATTAATTATTCTTATAAAAATGCAAACATTAATTGGGAATATTATTTTTAAAAAAAAAGTTGAATTGCCATCTTATATAAGGATATTTTAATTTTATGTAATAATTTTTATCCTTTTTGGGAAATTTCATATAATTCATTTAACAATCATTTCTTTAATCTGTTAAACATCAATTCTAAAATATATTTGTAATTATATCAATTTTTTCATAATAACAATTAAAAGGGTAATCAATTGGTTAAAATCATAAACTAAAGGAAATTATTTCAATTTTGAATTAACACATGATCATTACATTTCTAAATTTAAATATTATAGTCGCATTTTGAAGATTTTCATCTTTTCTATATGATGTATTTTCCAAACTCATTATAAATATAATTATTTTTTATTAAAAATATAAGATAATGTTTTCCAACAAAAATATTTTGATAATGGCAGGTATCTCTGAATAAAATTAATTTAAAAAATTACAAAAAAAGGCACAGAAAACTTCTAGTTTTAATTAAATTAAACGAAATTGATTAACATAAATGAGTGATAATGATTTTATGAAATTATAAAGAACTTATCAGATGAAAATTTTATATCGAAATTGTGTAAAAATTTTCAAGTTATTATATTAAATCTTGAAATTTCTTTTTAAAAAAAAAATGGTAAAAGCAAAGATTAATGATTAAGAAACTCCATAACGAAAAATAAAAAAACGAAATTTCATAGATCCTCAATTAAAACTTGGTCTGATAAATAGTGTTGTTATTGACCATCTGCCAATTTATTAAGTTTTTAATTTATTGTATTCTCTAGGCAGCAATTTTACACAAAATCAAATATTCTTCTGCCAAGCACATAGTTAGAAATTATTTAAGTGATACAGATAATTTCTTATCAAGACAGAAAAAAAGAGGTAGGAAAATTATTTAAAACAATTTAAAAGTTATAGTTGATGTCAATTCTGGGAAAATCAAAATCGTAAAATCTACCCAAACAATTTTGCCAACAAATTAATAACAAAATAATAATTAAACAATTCTTAATAATATCCTTTGTGATTTATCATATAACTTATTTAAAGAAATAAATAAATCACTAAATAATCACATTAAATATAAATAGTACTAAAAAATTGAATTCCCTATGTTGAATCTATCATTTGAGTAATAATTATCAAAAATTAAGACGATACTCAATCTATAATATGAACAAATGAATTCAAAATGATTATCATATAGATTTATTTATATAAGATTTCATATTGTAATAAAACATTAAATATTAGTAATTATAATAATATCTAAAATTATGTCTCTAATTACATTTTAAGTAATTTTGATATCAATTTTAAATTTCTATTATGTACATATTCGTAATAATGTAATATTAACTTGATCATTTTTTACTCTTATTTTTTATAATTAACTTGTTGAAAATTCTATTATTTAGGGCTGTTTTTATTTTATAAACATTTTAATGATGATAAGAACTAATTATTAAAATTTTGCTTATTATGAATATAAAAAACACTCCCAAAAAATATTTATCAACATTATGGATTATTTAATATCGATTAATTAAAAAATAATTAAAGATAATTTATTCCTCATTATTATTATTCACGAATGAATACTTAAAATTAAATCTTAATAATTTTGCATCAAATTATTAATAAATTATGAAAATAAATTCCACAGGTTCTGAATAAAGGAAGAATGATTAAACCTTAAAAAATACAAAAATGGAAGGTCTTAAACTAAGTTAAAAGAATTAAACATTTAAAGCAGATGAAGAAATCTTTAAAAAGAAAGAAAAAAGAAATCGTAAGTTTTTTTTAAAGAGATCTATTTCTTTGTTATAGATTTGTAAATAAAGTGGATAGATAGAATTTAAAATAGGATCAGATTTCCTTCATATTGAGATTATGTAAGGAGGACATTACCCTCTAAATTAATATAATTTAAAGGATATTCGTTCTGAGATCTATCTAAATGATTCAGAGTTTTAATAATCTAACATAACTTATAGTCTAAATAATGCTTCTTAAAGTATTCTAAAGAGTTGTCGAAATTCTTTATCAGAATAAAATTGCAAATCTTTAACATAAATTTAATAATAATTAAAAGAAATTAATGCATTCTGCTAAAATATTTAAAAGCAGAATAATAAAATTTGTCAAGTTGATCCTTAATAACAGGATTCCATTTTGTTCAAGTAAAATGACTAGATTCTTTAAAAAATTAAAGAAACACAATAAATTTTATTGGTATAGCATTAAGCTATAAAAAACATTTTATAATGTTGAATATATAATTTAGCATTTAATTATACTTTTTTAATTTTTTTTTTCTTATTGGTTTTCATAGTGTGTTAAAATTCAATCTATTTTTTGTTTTTAAATTTGTAATAAAGCTTTAGAATTTGAAAAAAACTCTTAAAGATAACTATTCCTTACAATTTCATTTAATTTCGAGTATTATTATCCAATGACCTAATTGCTGTTTTTTTAGTTATTTACCTAATTAGTATTAAAATAATGTATTTGTACAATAAATTTAATCATATGATTCAATATTTTATAATTGAATCCAAGCCTTATATATATATAAATAAATTTACTTTTACTGAATAAAATGAAGATGCCATCATGATTCTCCAAATTATGGATTTTGTTCTAACATATAATAATCGTTACTTATAATAATTATAGTTGATAATTTACCATCTTTTTTAGAATATCCTATTGTAATTATCCTCTTCATTCTCTATAATTTATAATTTATGATCATTTGATGTAAAAAATTATAGATTAATTTAATAAATCATTATTTAATATTATAGAAATGGTAAACCTTGAAAAACAATTTTTATTTAACTCTTCAGAGTTTATTAAAGTAAAAGAATGCACTTTAGTAATTTAATTCAAATTGAAAGGTGTGATAAATTTATTAAAATAAATCATATCAAGTAAAATAATATAGTATATTTTCTTCTATAATTTTATTTAAAAATTAACTATTCTATAGAGAGGTCTAAAATAAAATTAAGCTCAACTCAAGATTTTTAATGTATGATAGGTTTTAATATTTAAATTATGTTTGGATATTAACTTATATTACTTTTAGATATTTGGAGTATTGGTAGGTAAAATAAGAAATTCATCTTTAAAAAATCATTAATACCTGCTTAAATAATTAATAATTTAAAATAAATATGTTTATTTTTAATAATTGATTATTAGGATAAAATAAGAAACACATTGATTTATAAAATTAAAGCTTTTTCTAAATTATTATGAGAAAATCATATTAATGAGTAAAAAGTTATATTCATTCAATAATTAAAATAAAGTTTATCAAAAAAGTTTACTAAAATAATTTATTTAATAATATTAGATATATCATTTAAATATTGTTCATTTATGTGTCTTAACCTATACCTTATTTTAAAATCTAAAATTTATAATGGTGACTGAAGCAGAATTGATTTATTATAACTTTTATGTCTTAATAAAGTTGATCAACTTGATAATAATTTTGTTTTCATAAATATAATAATTCGTAAAGATGAATAAAATTTAATTGTTATTTTGAATTAATTTAGCTACACACACTTAAGATAAATTCTAAATATATTTAAAATTAATTAATATATTAAAGAAGATTTTTTCTAATTAATAGGCATCTTTATTCTCAAATGGAAAACATTTAATTTAAACTAAGTAAATTTATAGACAACATTGTGATGAATGAATAGGTTGCCCTCTTGGCCAAGTGGTTAAGGCATCTCCCTAGTAAGGAGAAGATCGACGGTTCGACCCCGTCAGGGGGCTTTTTTTTTATTTGATTAATTTAAAGTATTGTTTGTATTATTTTTTTTACAGAATAAACTCTTATAATTAAAAAATGAAATCTGAGCCAGATCAAATAATGGAAAAAAGTCCAAAGGGACGATTTATTAGAGTATTAAAATAACAATGCTAAAAGGCAGTTTAATGAACAAATCGGGAAAGGCACATATAAGACTGTTTATAGAGGATATGATGAAGAGTCAGGGTGTGAAATAGCTTGGAATGTTATTCATTTAGATCAATTACCATAGTGTATTATTAATAAAAAATTTTATATTAGAAGAGGAAAGGAAAAGAATATCTGAAGAACTAAGTATACTCAATAATATAAAGCATCCAAACATTATAAGTTTTATTAATGCTTGGGTAAGCAAAAATAAATGTGAGGTTATTTTTATTACAGAAATAGTTCATGGAGGATCATTAAAGAAGTATTGATATAATTAAGATTAGACATTTGAGAAAAATATAGCGACCTAGATTAAAAATACTCAAACATTGGTGTAGGGAAATTTTAAAGGGTTTAGAATACTTGCATAGCATTGTGCCTTATCCAGTAATACATAGAGATATTAAATGTGATAATATCTTCATTAATACTCACAATAATTAAGTCAGAATTGGTGATTTTGGTTTGGCCATAAAATTAAAATAATCAGATTTCACATAATCTGTACTTGGTACACCTGAATTCATGGCTCCAGAAATATATGAAGAAAAGTATGGTCCTTCTGTTGATATATATGCATTTGGTATGACTTGTTTAGAGATGGCTACTTAAAAAAGGCCATATGAAGAATGTACTGCTCCTAATCAAATTTATTAAAAGGTAATGATTAAAATAATTAAATAAGGTTATGAACAGAATAAAACCAAAATCTTTAGATTTAATTTAGAATTAAGATTTAAAAGATTTTATATTAAAATGTTTAGAAGATTAAGAAAAAAGACCAACTGCTGCAGAATTACTTAATTACAAATTCTTATAAGAATAAGAGGATGATCATTAACATGTAGTCATTTTAGAAGAGGAATAATTAGAAGAGAATTTGTAAAATGATGCACTTAAATATAATCCAGTATTTAGAGAATAATTAGATTTTAATAATTCAATTTTGATTTAATTAAATGATGGTGATGAAATGCATATAAAAATTACATTTGTTGATTAATCTGCTTATAATTAAGAGTTTTAAGAATTCACAAAACTTGTCGTTTAAAAATATCAAGATCTTTAAGATAATGAGTAATTTGCATCATTTTAAGAACAAAGTAAGAGGTTATATCAAATTAGTTATTAAATTTGGTGGAGTTGAAAAGGTATTTTGGGTTAAGCCAAGTGAAGAATCAAAAAAGATAATGAAGACTTAATTTATGTAGTCGCTCGAATCATTTTAATAAGTAAAAAAATTAATATTTATATAGACAATATCACCTCTTTTATAGGATGTTGACATAAATGAATGGGAATTGATTGAATAATAACTATTAGTGTAATTTTAACAATAAAGAAAGTAAATCAAATAAAAATAGGCAATTTGAATTAACATATGATATATTATTCAAAAAAGACAATACTCAATATAGTATTTATCATACTTGAAATTCAATGATCATTTTCTAATATTTAATTTAATAATTATCATATAAGTTTAGTTAAACAAATTGTTTTTCATTATTAATCAATATATTAATTCTTTTAAATTTCTAGTTATTATTATTATTATAAGATTATACAAATTCACTTATTTTATCAATAAATATTAAAGATTGACTTTTATTTCAATAGAAAAATTTATTATCATTAATATTATTTATATAATGAGCAATAAAAATCCTATAATGTAAGACAATGCCTAAACTAATAATTCTTTGATTAAAGAAAATGATTCAAAAGTTATGAATAATAAAAGTTAAGTGCAGTAATTAACTGAAGAATAGAAATAGTAACAAGTATAATGCTTAATTCCATATTTAAGATGGATTAATTTAAGAAATTTTTACAATAAACAGGCATATCAGATGCATTTTAAGTTATTTTTGCTGAGATAATAGATAAAAAATTAAAAGAGGAGGATAGTTACAAATATACAGCTGATAGATTAAGAGAGATTGGAAAAGGTTTGAGTTCAGAATAAATGGTAATTTAATTATTAATTTTAAACTAGAAAGCAAAAGCTGAGATGTAAAAAAAAGAATTAGCAGAAAAAATGAAAAAAAAATGAGTGACACATATTTATCATTCTTATTATATGTTTAAAACTTATAATAAATATTTTTTATCATATACAATTCATCTTATATCTAGTTATTAGTATTTTCTTTATTCTAAACATTAAATCATATAAATGAAACTGATGTATTTTAAAATATAAATTATTTCTAATAAAATTATGTTTATATAAAATATTAACTTCAAATTAAGTCGATCTCTTCATCAGAAAAAGCTTAATCATATGTAAATGGGGATTATTTCTTCTTAAAAGATAAAGAACTTGATTTCATTAGTTTTTAATTTGATAGAATGAGTTAAACAATTTCAAGTATTTGTTCATAAGGAACATTTTATTCATTAAAATGTAATGAATGCTAATCATATAAAAAAGATGTAATTTTATCAGCATCGTTGATTTGAACCATCTCATTAAATTATATCTTATACATTTTCGTTTTATTGTCTGGTCGTCTTCTTTAGTTGAACATTTTTACTTATACACTAATCCTAAAGCAGGAGGGTAGTATTGACATACGATTTTACGAGCTTGCAAAGGTTTCTTTGGTACAAAACTCATAGCAATATTTATTAATTTATGTAAATAATTTCAAAATTCTAGATATCACGTAATCGTGAACATTTTAAACATATAAGATTTATAATTCTTTATATGAATAAATACGAAATAGTAGTATATTTCTTTTTCAACAACACCACGTTTCAGTTCTTCTGGATTACTTAAATAAATCATCTTTCAGTTTTGTATTTTCTTTTTAAAGTTATTAAATCATCAAGTTTAGCATATTTATTTCTTAATTTTCCTAGAGAATGTATTATTATTAACTTTGAATTCTGGAATAGGGTAATTAAGTCTATTATTCATACATTTAACTTTGGCATTGTTTATATTATTAATAATCATTGTATAGTTTCCTATAATTTTATTATAAGATTTCAATCTCATTATTAAGTTCATCAATAAATTGATCATATTTAATATCATGTTTATTTTATAAATTTTGGATTTCATTTTTCAATTGTTTGATTGTATTATCAAACTAATCTAATTAACTTTATTTTTATTTTAGCTATAAATTTAAAGTATCAATTTCATCTTGCTTTTCTTTTTAAGAGATTTTTGATTCTTATATCTCATATTTCAATTTCTCAATTTATAATTATAAGATTGAAGCATTCTTTTCATAATTTTCTTTATTAATTTATTTCAAATTCATTAATTATTCTCTTAATTAATCACATTCCTCTTCTCTATATTGTATTAATTAGCATATTACTTTTGTTCAAATTTGAGTCTCCATTAATTGATTGAAGACTACATTCCTTCAAAATTCTTTCTAAATTGTTCTTAATTTATATTATCTTATAATTATTCTCTAAGTCTTTCTATTTCAGCAGCCATTAGAAACATTACTATTTTACAAAAGTCTATATCTTAAAAGGATAATCTCTCTCTCTTATATTATTAATTAGATTCAAAAAGAGATATCCTTTAAGTTAATGAATTGGGTCTGCAATTTCTTTGTTTTTCAATTACATCATATTCTGGTTATTTTATGTGTCTCTAAGAATTTTAATGAGTTTGTTTTGTATATTCTAAAAGCTTATCAACAGCTTAAAAATCTATTTCTTTTTGTTTTGGTTCTTAAAATGAATAATTAGAGTTTCTATACATAAAATTTGCTTTTTTAATGATTTAACTTATTTTTTAATATTATTTTACCATTTAATGTCAGCTAGACCTTCTGGATATTAAAAATTTAAAGATGAAGAAGCATTTGTAAGTAATCGACAAGAGAAAGCTGTTGATGTAAGTGCAGGAGTACTTGGAAAGGGAGCTGGAGCTGCAGATTTCCCTATTGATTAAATACCTCCTAATTTTGAGTTTGCAGAATTACATAGAGTACTATTATGATATTAATGATTAGGAAGCATGGAATGTTGGTACAACTAAATTATCAAAACGATAAAAACGAAATCTATAGAAACATTAAAAAACTTAATCAAATAATATTGAAAATGATATGATTGGAAAAATATGTGATTGTTGTGCAAGATAGGTTCCTAATCATTTACTTTCTTTAGGATGTAATAACAGAGATTATTCATTTTTAGGAGCAGGTAATAAATATTTTATTCTAGGCATGCCCTTGTATTTTGAATATATTAAATCTTGTATCTTGATGCTTTTAATTATATTTGTAACTTCAGGAGACTATAATATAATAACAAATATTGCTTTTGGTAAGTCATGTTAAGTTTTGAATAAAGAACTATAAGGTTAGGATATAGATGAGAAACAGTTTTGTTAACTTTCTTGGGCAACTTAAACATCATTGGCTAACAAAAGAAATGGAGATTAATTTATAGATTTGTAATAAATGTTAAATCTAATTTCAATGATTACACTTATTCTATTATTCCAATATTTCCGTAAAGAATAAAGAGCTTTTGATGCAGAAATAGATTCATAAACATAATATGCTTCTGATTTCACAATTCTATTAAAAAATATACCTACTGATCCAACAGGTTTGTAAAATGGTGATTTTGATGAGGATTTAAAAACTTTTATGGAATAATATGTTTAAACTTATCCAAAATTACCTGAAATTGTTGATTATGAACAAGAAAGGAAATAATATTAAATATAATCAAAAAAACCAGTTACAGATTTAAGAAGAGTCGTCTCAGTTAATTTATGTTATAATTTGGATGAATAATATTAGCTTGAACAATAAAAGTAATAGAAAATAGTATAAAAGCAGAAAGTATTTCAATATATATATAATTAGATTCTTTCATCATTATATAGTTAAGGTAAAGAACCTTTAAGTTAAGAAGTTTAAAATGATCCTTAATTGGTTTCAGTTGATGCAGAGATATCAGCTATTGAATCTAAATTAGAAGAACTAGAAAAGAAATTTATAGAAGGTCAAGATGTTAAAAACTATTTTTTGGGATAGGCATTTGTTACATTTTAATGGGAGAATGATGCTTAATCAATATTAAATGAACATAAACTTTCTAAGTTTTAAAGATTAATAGGAAAGAAAAGCAAATTAATCTATAGAGGAGTGCCTTTAATTGTAGAAGAACCACCTGAACCAACTGATGTTTTTTGGGAAAATCTTCATATATCAACAAAATAAAAGATTTTAAGAAGATTATTTGGTTATACTATTACAGCAATCATTTTAGCAATATGTGGAGGACTTATTTATTGGTTATCTGCTATCTAAGCTGAAAGTGCAGAAGAATAAGCAGAAGCAATTAAAAATGGAGACTTAAAACCTAATATGAAGGTTAAAATAATAGCTTAAGTAGCATCAATCTCAATTATAGTCATTAATGCTATATTGGCAATGATTATAAAGAATGTATCATAATTTGAAAGATTTTCAACATAAACTGGATATAATATTAGTTTGGCAAGTAAATCAAGCTTAGCATAATTTATCAATACTGCTGTTATAACTTTTGCCATAAGTACTTGGGTAACCAAAAATATTTATGGAGCAGGAGGACTTGTTTATAATTAATCATAAGTTTTTGTACTGAATGCTATCATACCTGCTATTATTTCTTTAATTGATGCTGGTACAATTTCTAAATGGTTGTTCTAATATTTGGAAAAGAAAAAAGGAAATAAATCTGTTAAAACATAAAAATAATTACACGAGTATTATTATTAATAATAATTTTAGATTATATGAAAGACCTGCTTTTGATATATCAGTTGCATATGCTACTATTTTAAAAAACATGTATGTTGTTGCATTCTATGCATCTGTCATTCCATTAGCCTTGATAATTACATGTTTTGCATTGTTATTACATTATTGGGTTGAAAAGTTAAATATTGCTAGAAGAAGATCAATTAAATATAATTATAGCTCATAAATGTCAATAGAAATGATTGAATAATTAGAATTAGTCTTGCCTATTTATTGTGTATATATTTATTTTAATATAGGGAACTAATTTATGGTGGGAATATGCATTTCTTGGATCAATCTCAACTGAAGCTATTATAGGAATATGCTTAGGTATTGGAAATGCAATTCTACCTATGCATGAAATAAATGAAGCAGTATTCCCTATGCAATCTGAGGTAGATGAATATCTTCCAATATAAGAAGCTGAAGCAGGATTTCTAACTGTAATTAATATCCAATATTAATTATATAGGATTATTGTAGAGAAAATCCTGCAACTGCTGAAACTGCAAGATAATAATATAAAACCAGAGTTGAAAAACATAAACAACAAAAGTAAAATATGGATAAAATGTTTGGAGATGCATGAAATAAATATTATAGAAAATATATTTAAAATATAAAAATATCTATAAATCTGTATTATATCTACTTAATATATAAATAATAAGATATTTAATATCTACTGGTGAATATATTTAAGTATTTCATACTCCAGAGATGGAAATAAAAATATATTAGTAATTATTTAAGCTACTCTAGAATTATATATGAAAAAATATTCTAGATTATCATATTTAAATTCAGAAAATAAATTTTATTTATAAAATTTTTACTAACTTTAATTTTTTGTTTATTATTTATGAGAATCAGCTATTAATTATACAATTATTCTTATTATTTTGAAAATATTAAAATAATTATTATGATTGTAAAAACAAACAAATAATTAATAAATTGATGCTGATCAACTTTTTATTCTTAACTAGATGTATTAGATTTAGATTTAAGATATCTTATAATACAAGAATTACTTTAATAATGTCATTTATATTTAATTGCTAATCAGATGAGTATTAAGGGTCTAAAAGTCTTTTTAATAGTTTCAAATTTTGATTTAAGATTGTCTAACTCTATTGTTGGTTCTATAGAGTCATTCTATTGAGGTTTCTTACTTTGATATTCAACTTTTAGTATTAGAGTATTTTTTACTTTTCTTAAAGTAAGGATGATACACTACAATACCATCATTAGTTGTTTGGACTTTTTAGATTTACTATTCACTTTATCTTTTTATTTGTTCTGGGTTTTAATTGAGATTGTTTAATAAGTTTTGAATTAAAGACATTATCTAATATTATAGAAACTTGTTACTCCTTCTTCAGTTTATTCCTTTTTAGGCTTTTTAATGGTTGGTTTTTTAGGCTTTAATACACAGAATTAAATTTCCAATTTAAATGTTTATCCATTATCATGTGGATATTTGCAATCAAGCCAATCAGTCGTAAATCCNTCCAATATAAGAAGCTGAAGCAGGATTTCTAACTGTAATTAATATCCAATATTAATTATATAGGATTATTGTAGAGAAAATCCTGCAACTGCTGAAACTGCAAGATAATAATATAAAACCAGAGTTGAAAAACATAAACAACAAAAGTAAAATATGGATAAAATGTTTGGAGATGCATGAAATAAATATTATAGAAAATATATTTAAAATATAAAAATATCTATAAATCTGTATTATATCTACTTAATATATAAATAATAAGATATTTAATATCTACTGGTGAATATATTTAAGTATTTCATACTCCAGAGATGGAAATAAAAATATATTAGTAATTATTTAAGCTACTCTAGAATTATATATGAAAAAATATTCTAGATTATCATATTTAAATTCAGAAAATAAATTTTATTTATAAAATTTTTACTAACTTTAATTTTTTGTTTATTATTTATGAGAATCAGCTATTAATTATACAATTATTCTTATTATTTTGAAAATATTAAAATAATTATTATGATTGTAAAAACAAACAAATAATTAATAAATTGATGCTGATCAACTTTTTATTCTTAACTAGATGTATTAGATTTAGATTTAAGATATCTTATAATACAAGAATTACTTTAATAATGTCATTTATATTTAATTGCTAATCAGATGAGTATTAAGGGTCTAAAAGTCTTTTTAATAGTTTCAAATTTTGATTTAAGATTGTCTAACTCTATTGTTGGTTCTATAGAGTCATTCTATTGAGGTTTCTTACTTTGATATTCAACTTTTAGTATTAGAGTATTTTTTACTTTTCTTAAAGTAAGGATGATACACTACAATACCATCATTAGTTGTTTGGACTTTTTAGATTTACTATTCACTTTATCTTTTTATTTGTTCTGGGTTTTAATTGAGATTGTTTAATAAGTTTTGAATTAAAGACATTATCTAATATTATAGAAACTTGTTACTCCTTCTTCAGTTTATTCCTTTTTAGGCTTTTTAATGGTTGGTTTTTTAGGCTTTAATACACAGAATTAAATTTCCAATTTAAATGTTTATCCATTATCATGTGGATATTTGCAATCAAGCCAATCAGTCGTAAATCCATATTCATACACTAAATAATATTGAATATATACTACCTTTCTTTTATTCTTATACTTTCTTTTGTTAATATTTATCCTATTTTTAATCTGATTTCTTGGCTGATGGTTTTTGTTCCTTGATTTCTTAAAGCATTTCTTTAAAGTTCTCGGTCATTTTCTTTTATCTTGATGATTTACGAACTAAAGAATAACAGAACGTGTTACCTTAAGCAGCTTCTTCTTGTTTCAAACTCATTTACTTCAATTTTTTTTATTTATCAACTCAATCAAAAACTAACTTAAATAGCCTCTCTCTTCTTAGATAATATAACATATTATAATATATGATCATTCTTGTTGTTAATTCTATTGATTTTATTCCATTAATTATTATTGTTCCTATTAGATTTACTCTCTCCTTCTTTATTCCAAATATTTTCTATTAGTCTCCTAAAGTTCTTTATTTAATCTTTCTATATCATATTTATATTCATTGATCTATAATTAAATAAAAACATCTAATACCTAAGCTTAATACATATTTAACTCAGCAGCTAAACTTTTCATCTGTCTAGTCTTGGCTTTCATTTACTCTTATAATTTTGAGATTTAAGTTGCCTCTTCCAACCCTGGTTACTTTCTCATAATATCTCTCAATTCAAGTATTTATTTTTCTTTCTATTGAATAAGTACTTCTTTCTCTACTACTTATTCAGTCTTATAGATGAGTCTTCTTTACAATGTTTTTATTTTTTATTTCATTTCATAAACATCTGGATCACTCTAAAATTAATAAAAATAATTACTCCTCCTAATTTCTTGCATCTTTAAGGATTTAATGGATTTTCTAATTCTTCACTTAATGCTTTCACTCTCAATTTTTCTTCTACTAAATCTTTTTACAAATTGTTTATCTTTTCCTTTAAAATTGGAGCTTAACCAGCCTTCTTTCTTTTTATCTTTAATTCTCTTTATAAATCAGAGATCTTAAATTTTAATAATTCAATATCACTAAGTCTTTCTCTATATTATTATTCACCAAAAGCTAAAGTTTCTTATTATACTTTAATTTTTTCATATAATAATGCTGATTCATCATTCCTTCTAATTAATTAAGTACCAAGAATATCTCTTTCAGATACTACTGTTTCATATTCCTCTTTTAGTTTCTGTCTCTTTATTTCACTATCTTTTAAAACAAAATGTAATTTAGATATTTCACCAACATAATTTTTGATTGTTTCTTCTTTCTCCTCAATTTCTTTTCTGTTCTTTTCTAGAATTCTACAACATTCCTCTATAGTTTTGTCCTTCTTTTTATGTTCAAAATGTTCCTTAGCTAATGCTACTTCTTTTGCATCAATTTCTTCTTTTAATTATGCAATTTGATGTTAAACTATTTTATGTCTTCTTTTTATAACAGCAATTTCATCTTATGTTTCTAATAAGTTTTTAGAATATAAATTTCTATCTGATCTTACTTCCTCATATAAATGTTATTATTATTTTAATTTATTATCTGTTTCTATATTTTTCTTTTAAAATTCACTTATTAAATTATCTTTCAATTTAATTTCTTCTTAAGAATGTAAAAATTTTGCATTTATTAAAGCAGCATCCTTTCCAAATTTTTCCTTTTTCTTTGTATTTATTACAAATTACTTTTCTCTCTCATCTACTTCTTCTTATAGTGATAATATTTCTTTTTCATATGATTCTATTTCTTTATCAATTAAATTAATTTTCTCATTTAACTTACTATTGTATTCTTCTGATTTTGCTTTATGATTAGCAAAATTAATATGTGCTTTTCTTAATTCTTCAAGTAACTATTAATCTTATTCATTAAACTTCTTTGTATCTGTAACATGTCTATCTAATTATTATATTGAATTAATTGCAACTTCCTTATCCTTTATAATTTTATCTCTTTATTTTTATAAATCAAGTAATTTTTTATTTAAATTATTGTTTTTCTTTTCTATTTAATTCAAATGAGTTCTAGCATTATTTTTCTCATTCTTTAATTTAATTAATTCAGCCTCATTACTTTCTCTAATATCTTCATTTTCTTCTTTTTTATTCATAATTTCTTTATGTATTTTTTTAACTTCAGCCACTTAATCTCTTAATTTTCTGAGTTCATTTTCTTCAATTTCTTTATCTTCATCCTTTTTCTATAATGTTTCTGTTTATTTCTTTAATTCAATTTAGACTTTTGATAAATCTTCTTTCTATTTTTCATATTCTTTTTTTGTTTTAATATAGTTCTACCTTAATTATTCTAATTCTTCATTAATGTTATTTCTTCTTTATTCATCCTTATCTACTTTCTCTTACATTTCTTATAAATTCTTTTTTAGTTATTAAGAACTTTAATCAAGTATTAATTTTTCATTTTCTAACAGTTTCAATTTTTCAATTAGATTACCTGTTTCTGATCTATTTTTAATTAATTCAGCTTACAAACTGTCCCTTTCTACAATATAATATATATCTATACCTTTCATTAAATCCTCTTTCTAAGTTTAGAGTTCTGTGATTTTATTAGTTTAACTCTATAGAGCATTACCTTATTCAACCAAATCTTATAAATGTTTAATTTCAGCTTAAAAGTTTTCAATTTTCTATTTCAATTTATCTTCCCTCATTTATGCCTATTCTATAACTTTATAAGTGTTATCAAGTTCAGTTTTTAGTAACTTAATTCTCTCACTATCTTCTTATGAAAATTTGAGTGCATTTGTTACTTTGCCAGCATTATTTAAAATATCACTATTGATATCTCTTAATTTTCTAAGCAACCGTCTTTCTTAATCATAAGCGTTTCTAAATGCTTGATGTAATTTTGTATATTCTTATCTAAATCTCTCTAAAGCAGGTTCATTTGCTAATTCATTGATTATCTATATAATTAAATATATCTTACTTCTTAAAATTCTCTTTCTAAAGCATCTCTGTCTTACTCAGAGAAACCTAAATCTTCCATTTATTTTAAAATAAAATAATTATTTAATATGAGAAGTCATTAAAATAGAATTTTATGTTTTCAATAAAATACAGCCAACAAATAAACTCAAACAACATTTTAAATCCCTATAATTTTTTGATTAAAGTAATAAATGTTTGCATGATGAAAATTTTGATTTATTTTTAATGGATAACGAACCAAAAATCATCAAGAAGATCTATGTTTATCCTGCAACATCTATACAACAAATGAAATAAGCTTAAGAAAATTAATGGATTAATAAATAATTATATTAAGATGAACATATTTAGAAATTAATGGATATGTGTTTATCTAATTAAATGTAGTCAATCCTTAATCGATTTGATTTTGAAGATATTCAATAACCATTAAGAGAAGTTTAATTTTTTTTAAAGGATTTAAAAGGTAAATTCATATAGTAGCCTAAAAATAAAATTAAAGAACCTTTAGTATCTAAAATACCTAATAAAAAAACTAATTATCAATAAAAAACTTAACTTTTAGCTTCTATTTAATAGAAACTAACTTAAATGGTTTAAGAATGTAAATTATTTCCTTCTTTAATAAACTTTATCAAAATTGAATAAGATTAATAAAATTATCAATTCAATTTTTGTAAATTGGGATTATTAAATGATGCAGCTGAAATTATGCTTCAATGTGGTCCTTTTGGTATATTAAATCCATAAATAAAAAGTCCAACAAATTTAACAATTACAGATCTTATTTTAGAATTATTTAAATCTTTGAATCATTATAATATAGTTGAAGACAAAGATATAGCTGAAGAAGTTTGGTTTTCATTTAATAGGGCAAAGAATAAAACTCATCTTTCTGAATTATTAAGTCATGAAATAGCATAGAATTTTTCTTATAAGGATATGGAAATATAAAGAGAAATTTTAATTTTATAAGGGACTATTTAAAAATTAAATTATAATGCATAATTTATTAATAATCAAAGAGAAAAAATAATAAAAGTATTAAGAAAAAGAGTTTAGGTATAATTATATCATGAATGTTAAGTAAGAAAGATAGCTTAACCTGAAATTTTACCTAATCTTACTTTATCAATTAAATAATATAGATCAACACATGGAGTGTTTTGTGGTTGTGCTCTTTAATTTCCAATAGTAATGATTAAGAAATTTAGTATTACACCAGGATTAGAAGATGTATGCAAGAATCTTTGTTTAAGTATTCTTTAGAATTTAGATACAATAAATTTTTGTTTAGCAATTACATATGAAAAATACTTATCCTCTAGATTATATAAAGAACATAATACATTTTAAGTAAGAAAAATAATTTAAAATGCTTTAGAAGATATCATTCAAAAAATGGAAACAGATGTTAATCTTTGTAAATTCTTAAGATTAGCAATATTAGATTAGCAATTTATTAAATTTTATAATTTATTACATCGATATAATACAATAAATTAAAATGACACAAGTATTCCAAATGATAAAAGAGATCAGACAAATTAATTAATTTTGAATGCTGTTCATTGTATTTTAGATAAAGTAAAAAATCTATAATTAGAAAACAATATAATAGAATAGAAATATGAAATAACACTTCCACCTGAAAAAATAATAAAAGTGAATATGAAAAAACATAAAACAAATTAATCAGATAAATTACTTTTTTATATTAAATTAATAGCTAGTGATCTAATTAAATTAAAAATTCCTTTATTTGAGATTATTTATTACATTACAGCTATTAATAATAGAATTTAATTTAGAAATGATTTATAACCAAAAAGTACAATTAGATTTTTTACATATCCACATATTATTTATTATATTGAAGAACTTTATGGTGTAAAAACAATAGTAGAATGGGAATCTGATATGTCATGTGAAATTGATTATTTTAGTTTAGCTAATTTAGATTTATCAATAGATTTAGATGATGAATTTATAATTGAATAATAACTTATAATAATGGAGAGATGTCTTAAAAGAGATAGAGTTAGATATTAATGGGCACTTGAATATTTATCTTAGAAATGTTAGGAATTATTGTTGGAGACCAAACAACTCTAGAAAAGTAAAATTAGAAAATGTTTAGAGAGTTTGTATATGGAAGTCAAAAGATAAAAATGATTATATCATTATAAATAAGTTAATTTTTCTTATTGCTCTAAATAATGGAAATTTTAGATTGTAATTTAAATATATTTTAAATCAATTTAAATTCCAAAAATATTATAATTGTGCATATTGTATTTATGTTTGATCATCATAAATTAATTATTTTAAGACAATGAACAATCGATCCACATTCTTTATAGCTGTTTTATTAGAAGTTTATACAGCTAAATTAGATAATAGTTTAAGTAGTATACGTAATGTAGAAGAAATAAGAGCATAATGCTAACTGAATCAATTTCTTTTAGGAAATAATTGTTATGGTAAAAATGAGTTTGATTTAGATTGTCATTATAGTTGTTAATAATGTATTGGAGATTAAGTAAATAATTGTATTTAATGTAATATACTTTAAAAAAGAATATTAAGAGATAATAAATGCATATGTTTATAATCTTATTATGAATTAGAGTAATAAGTAATTTGCTAAAGTAAATTTAAAATTATAAATTAGAGTGTAATAAATCTTGTTTGACTTGTTAAGGAGGATTAGAAAGTGATTGTTTAAGTTGTGATAATAAAAGTATCTTAACAATTAATAGATGTATATGTAAAGCAGGTTATTTTATTGAAAATAACAATATGGAATGTTCATGTAAATAAATTAAATTATTATAATAAAAGAATGTGATTTTACTTGTGAATATTGTTTCAATTCTTTATTTAATGGTTGTATCAAATGTAATCAATCAACTTTAAGATAACTAGAAAATAATGAATGTAAATGTCCAATAGGTTATTATTCATAAGAAGGAATATAGTAATGTTAAAGTATATTATATAATATAATAATTTTAGAATGTGATAATATTTGTAAGAGTTGTGATACATACAATTAATGTTTGAGTTGCAAAGAAGATAAAATATTAATTATGAATACATGTGTTTGTTAAACAGGTTATGTTTTAATTTATAATGGTCAATTAAATTCATGTCTAAGTTTTATTAATTTAATTATAAATAGAATGTCATGAATAATGTTAAACATGTTTTGGAATTCAAGCTTATGAATGTTCTTCATGTAATTCTAATAAAACCTTATTAATTGATAATACATGTTATTGTAATGATGGATATTATTTATACTTTAATGATTGTTTAATTTGTGATACTAATTGTTAAACTTGTGTATATTCAAGTACAAATTGTTTATCATGTACATTTGGATATATATTATAAACTAATAATAAATGTTGTCATATTTCAAATGTTTTGATAAACAATTAATGTTAATGCGCTGATGAATTTTACCTTGACAATTCAGGTATTTGTTAAAGTAATATATAATAATTGTATTATTTTATTTAGTTTGTCCTATGAATTGTATGAAATGTGATGAATATTCTAATTGTTCAGAATGTGTAGATAAGTTATTTATAGGAACATAATGTAATTAAAATTGTTTGTCTATAAATTGTGAAGCATGTGATTTAAATGGAATATGTATAAGATGTATACCAAATTTTTAAATCAATTTAAATGGTGATTGTATATGTGTATTAGGAGAATATTATCTTGATTCATCAAATACTATATGTATATGTATTTAAAATATTATAATACATTAGAATGTTCTGAGTAGATAGATAAATGTTAATAATGTGATATTACAGGTTGTTTAAATTGTGAAAATGGTTATTTCCTTGTTAATGGTTTATGTAATTAATGTATGAATAATTGTATTTCTTGTTAAATCTTATCTATGTGTGATATTTGTAAGGATGGTTATTTTGGTTCATAATGTGATTAATGTCATGGAACTTGTAAGAATTGTTCTGGTTCATTAATCAATGAATGTATAGAATGTAAAGATAATGCAATTTAAAACAATTTCTAAATATCATTAGATAGTAAATCAATATTTTAATGTGAATGTGACTAATAGTTTTATTTTGATTCTAATTTTAATTGTTAACTTTGTGATACTAAATGTAATAATTGTGATGGAGGATCAAATTTTGATTGTTTAGATTGTTTTTTAAGTTAAAATAGAATAAACCAATCTAAAAATTGTATTTGTGATATAGCAAATAATTATGTAGATTTAGGTGATGATAATTGCTATCTAATAAATTGTGGTTATGGTTGTTCTGATTGTCAATTTAATGGAATTATTTATTTATGTTAAACTTGTCATAGTAATAATAATTAAACAAATAGAATTAATGACCCTTAATTAGAGTGTCCTTGTCAATAAGGTTATTATGAATTATCTTAAAAGAATTGTTTATGTATTAATATCATTTATGTAGAATGTCCATCTTAATGTAGTACTTGTATTTCAGATGTATTCAATATACCATATTGTACAACTTGTTCAGATAATAGAGATATTAATGATAATTGTAACTGTCTAATTGGATATTATATAAGTGGATAAACTTGTCTTAAATGTCCAGAAACTTGTTTATATTGTTTATCTGCTGATAGATGTGTTCAGTGTTAATCAAATTTTGTACTTCATGATGGAAAATGTATTTGTCCACTCAAGAATTTTGCATATAGATCTGTTTGTTAATGTTATTAAGGGTATTATATGCACTTAGAAACTGATAAATGTTTACGTACTTTAATAATATATATTCAATAGCATGTCATTATAAATGTAAATAATGTGAATTTACATCTACAAATTGTATCTTATGTATTGATAATTATTATAAACCACCTGATTGTAAATGTGCTTCTGGTTTTTATGAATTGGATACTAAATGTATTCCATGTACAAATAATTGTCATCTTTGTAAATCTGATATAGAATGTTTAGATTGTTCTAATCAAATGAATTTAATTAATAATTAATGCATATGTTAAACAGGATATTTTAATTATTATGGATATTCAGATTGTAATTAATGTTCATTATAGTGTTTGGAATGTAAATATCATTAAGATAATTGTGTACTATGCAAATATAATAGAGTATTACCTTAATTATGCATATGTCCAGAAGGAACATATGAAATTGACTTAATTTCTCCATGTTTGAATTGCAATTCTATATGTTTCACTTGTGAACATGATTCAATTAATTGTTTAAAGTGTTCATTAAATAGAATAGATCCTCCTCTTTGTAAATGCAATATAGGTTATTTTGAAGATGAAGATTTATTATGCTAATAATGTAATTCAAGATGTAGATTATGTGAAAATTCATCAGAAAATTGTTTAACATGTAAACTATATTCTACAATACCACCTAATTGTGATTGTTTAGATGGATATTATTATGATATTTCTAATGGATGTATTAAATGTCATAAAACATGTTTAACTTGTAATGGATCTGAAGAATATCATTGTTTAACTTGTGATAATGATAAGTTTTTATAATTATAAAACAATAAATGTGAGTGTTAATCAAATTACTATTATTAAGATGATAATTGTTTAATCTGTTCTATTGATATAGAAATCTGTTAACCTAAAATATGTGGAAATGGAATTAAATAAAGGTTTGAAGAATGTGACGATGGAAATACAGATAATAGAGATGGATGTTCAAAAGATTGTAAATTAGAATAGAATCATTATTGTTAATTAATTCCAAATTTACAAATTCATAATTCTATTTTCATTTCTATATGTACTAAATGTACATAATAATGCAAAGTGTGTAATTCTAGTAGATGTCTTCAATGTCACACTGGTTATTATATGACTTAATCATTTGAATGCAGTCAATGCGAGTAATATTCTATTTCTATTCTTATAGTAAACATTGCAAAGAATGTTCAGGACCATTTTAGAAAGATTGTCTATCTTGTATTAAAGGTATTGATTATGGTTTTCCATAAAAATGTGCTTTTTGTGAAGAAACAATAGGTTTGTATACAAATGGACTTCAATGTGCTTCTTTATGTGGAGATGGAATTAGAAAGAGTGATGAGAAATGTGATGATGGTAACACTCTCAATTATGATGGATGTTCTAATATATGTTAAATTGAATAAGAATGGGGTTGTCAATAATAAATTAATACTTTAAGTGTTTGTTAGAAATTAAATTTATCTATTGCTACTTTAGAATTTAAAAGAGTTAAAGATTTTTATTAGTCATCTAGATTTGGATTAATTTAATTTAGTAAACCTATGATCTTATTTAATTCATCTATAATCTAATTATGGAAATAATAAATTGTTAATTATATTGATCATATAGATTTTGACATTAATTCAACTACTCATTATAATTAAGATGGTCATTTAGAATCTATTTCAATTGAAATAATCTTGCATAAAAGTATTGATTTTATATAATATCAAATTAACTTTTCAAATTATATCATCTATGATGCAATTGATTAATATTCTCTAAAATCAACAATTTTATAAGCTGATTTATTGAAATATAAATAATTAAGCACACAAACCTTAAGTACAACTAAAGCATCAAAGTAATTTGGATCTACTGTATTATTTATCTTAGGTGGTATTGCTGTTATAGGATTATTGATGGGAAGTTTGGAATTTTATTGGAATGTATTAGATAATCTATAAATTCTATCATATATCACTTATATTAATGTTAACTTTCCTTATATGCATAATTAATTTTTGGATATATTTAAATTTGCAAGATTTGAATTTACAAATGACTTTTTCAAATTTGATATCATAAATAATTTAGATTATCAATAAAATAAGGATTATCCTTTAATTGTAGAAAGAGAAGTTGAATATAACTTAGTCATTAATTTAAGTTCTATCTTAGTTTTATGGTTTACACCTTTAATTTTATTATTCATTTCTAAATTTAATCTATTTATTATTCACAGATTGTTAATTAAAAAATTTCAAAATATTAATAGAAAACAAAAAGTTAACAGTCTTAAATTTTTGGGTTACAAAGTAATATCATTCATTTAATTTATAAGTTTGAAGTATTGCTCAAGTTTTTACTATACTATAATATTAAGAATCTATTTATCAAGTTTATATGATTTGAATTTTTCCATATTCACTTCAGCATATTGTTGGTTATGGAATTAAAATCCAAACCTTATAGATTAAATTTCATTTATTATTGCTATGACATTACTCCTATTTTAATTTACTATTCTATTTATACTTTCAACTTCTCTAAAGGCATTCTCCTATTAAATCAGTTCAAAGAATTATTTATAAAATTTTGGATCTTTATATGAAGGCATAAAATCAAATAAATAAATCAATCGTTAAATTTAATTTCTCTAACCCTTAAGAAAAATTATGTTTATGGGTGCTTTATTATTATTTTTTGATACTGCAATATATCAGATCTCACTTTTAATATCTATATAAATTTTATCATCACTTATTTTAATCTCTCTTAATCCTTATATGAATATTTTAGAAACTATTAAAGGTGTTACTTAAGAAGTTGGATTAAGTCTTTCATTATCTTTAATCTTATTTTATTATGCACAAGATTAATTTAAAATAACAGACTAAGATACTATAGAAAAACTATCTTATATTCATGTTGGAATCTATACCATTATGTTATCAACAAGTCTTATTATTGATTTATATTAATAATTTAAGACTATTACCAATAAATATAAATATTTAAAGTAGATTAGTTAAATGTGTCAAAAAAAGAAATTAAATTAAACTCAAGAATCAAATAGAGATTTATTTATAGATTTAAGTTAGTAAAATTAAATTAGATTAAGTAATAATTAAATTTGCTTCACTAACTTAAGGATATAGTGAGAATAATTGATATTCATATCACAAATTTATAAAATCAATTTAAACCATTATTTGGAATATAAGTCACTCCTCCAAAATCTTCTTTAAATTTCTCAACCAATTTTGGATCCATATTTACTACTGAATTCATGGCTTCTAAATAATATTATATACAATTTAATTACCCTCTCTTGTAAATTCTAAATCAAAATTTTATACATCTAATTTATCATATAATTTAGGGATTATTGGAGGTTATATTTTCTTTTCTAATAAATCTTAAAATTTATAATCTTTAAACCAAGGATGCATTTTAATAGATACTCCACCTCCATTATGTCCCAATCGTTCAAATGGATTCTTTTTTAAAAGCTATCAACATAATAATTATATCTATACTTTAGTTATTAGATCTTTAGCATGGTTACTTAAACTTAATTATTATGGAAACACTATATCTGATTCTATAATTGCTCTAAATAATTAAGATTGACTTTATGAAAAAAATGGAGGTCTTCCAACTAACATTTCATAACTAAATTAATGTTATATTATACATTAAAATTCCAAAAGACCACCAATCTACTTCAAAACTATGTCCATTCTATTTAATAATTTCTGGAGCCAAATATTCTGGTGTTCCAACAAAAGAATAAGTTTTTTCACCTTATTTTAAAAATTTAGCTAATCCATAATCACTCATTTTAATATATCCAAATTCATCCATTAATATATTTTCAGGTTTTAAATCTCTATAAATAACTGAAATTGAATGTAAATGTTCTATTCCTAATAAAATTGATGCAGCATAAAATTAAGCAGTTGCTTCTGGAAATCTTTTTTTATCTCTTAAATGTTTAAATAATTCACCTCCTCTAATATTAAAATAATATCTTAATAATACCTCATAAATTTCATAACAAAAAATAATTTCTCTTATGTTTAAAATGCATATTCCAATGATATTAAAAAAGGATGATCAATTTCCTCTAATAATTTTCTTTCGGCCTTTGTATGTTCAACTTGATTCTTATCCAAAATATGTTCTTTCCTTAATGATTTAATTGCAAATAATTCTTTTGTATCTTTTTTCTCACACATCATAACCTATAATTAAATTAAAAAATACTTTCCCAAATGCTCCTCTACCAAGTACTTTAATTAAATCAAATTGTTCAATAGAAATAAGTGAAGTACTATATTATTTTTACAATCCAGGTTTTTTATAAATTAATTGTTATGGTAATGGTTTATTCTTTTAATAATCTTGAAATTCAACAACATCAAGTTCCTAAATATATTGAGTATATTACAATTGGTTTTTCAATAGGATATCTTTTGATCCCTTTTTTAACATCTTTTTCTGTTGTACAATATTATATTAATGTGAAATCATCTTTAAAGAAGAATGGCATTTTTGATATTGTTAATGAACTATAGACTATTATTAATGTTTCAAGAATTGTTTTTCGACTAATTTATTAAAAAAGTATTTACAAATCGCTTGATTAAAATCTATAATCATATTCTTATGGAATATGTAATACAAATTCTGTACCAATATTACTAACACTAATTGCAGATATCAATTAAATACGTATTTTCCTTTGAATTTTAATTGACTTACCTCATGATTAAATAATGTTGTTACCAAAAAATTATAATATTTTACTATCCGATTTTATATTATACACAAATCTATTTGTTAATAAGAATATTCTTTCCTATTTCTTATTATTTTAGTTCACTTTTATAATGTTTGAAGAGAGTATTACTTTTTCTTGAAATTAAAATTTAAAATACCGCCCTCTTCAAATTGATTCTATAAATCTTTACTATTGCACATCTATAATCTATCTAATCCATTAACATTTTAAATTGAAGAGGAATTCATCAATATAATTTTATTTGTCAAAAAAATAATATTATATATTCTTATTAATAAAAAAATATAAAATCTTAAAAATTACTATTATTGATTTATAATACTATTGGATTCTGATTTTTAAATAAGAATGCTGTATTATATCAAAAACAAACCTTTTAAAAATTAAATAATTATTTAAATATTAGATTAATGATATAGGAATTATTATAATCAATTCTCTAGAATAAATAATAAAATTACCTTCTTCATCCTACTCATATTATTCTCCTTCTTATTCACCTTCTCCATCTTCCTCTTCCAATTAATTTGGATCAATTCCAAACAGATGAAGATTTTACTAATAAAATTAAACTATAAAATACACTAAACAATTCTCTAAATTGATTGTTTTCTGTTTGTAATTTTTCATTCTCTTCCATCATTGCTTACTTTTCATCTTACATCTATTAATATAATTATTTAAAATTTTCTATTAGTTCTTCTAATTTCTTAATTTCTTCATCCTTTTATTCAAGTTATTAAATTAATTCATCATTATCTTCTCTTTTTTCACCTCCTTCTAAACCTCCTCCTTATTCAAGTTAATTTTTCAATTCTTCTATGATTTAATCCTTTTCATCTATTTCATTTGCCATTTCTTCCATTTTAGCTTAAATCTCCTCTAGATTATAATTTTAAAACTCTTCAGCAATTTCATCAATTTATTATTATTTTTCATTGATTACTTATTCCATATCTTTAATCTATTTTTCATATTATTTTTTTTAAAGATCCAATTTTTTTTAAGTTTATTAATCTACACTTTTAACTTATTCAGTTAATTTCTTAACTTCATCAGTCAAATTAGTTATTTTTTTCTTTTCATCTGTACTTTCTTTCTTTAAATCATTTATTTTCTTTTCAAAATCTCTTGAATTTTGTTATCTATAATATTCTCAATATTATACATTTTCTTATCTATTTCACTATTAATGTTTTTTATTTAGTCTTTAGTTTATTATATCTCTCTCCTAAGTTCATTATTTTAATCTTATTCTTCTTAGATCTATTCTTTTAATTTATTGTTTTAATTATTGCTCATATAAGATGCAGAATTATTTTGCCTTTGGATCTCTTCTTATTTAGGTTCTACTTTTTGTTTGGATTAAGATTAAGGGTAAATATAATTATTAGTAAACTTATTTGGTAGAGATTACTATTAAACCAATTAAACAGGTTCTTTAACAGGTTTTTAATTATTCAAAATTTCTTCTTTTTAAGGTACATCAGGCTTGATTGATTTAAAGTTGTTCGAGAATTGTTTAGATGAAGCCGAGGATTGAGGTTTTGCTATACCTTGTGGTTATTGTTTTTGTTATTACTATTCAGGTTTAGACTACAAAAAATTCAAAAATATATAGTTACTTTCAAAGAGGAATCTTTCAAAGCTGAGGCAGATCCTGCCTTTTGATACATTTCTTATAATAATAAAGATAGTTTTACCTTAATATGGGATAATCTCAGTTTTATGTTGTTCTTCTGAGGGATTGTTTTTATTGTGTACCTAAGAATCACAACTATAACACAATCGATAAGTTTAGCCCAATTAACATTAATTACACTTTATAGTAGCTGGTCTTTGTTGGCAAACCATGCACTTAACAAAGAGAGAACTCATAATTCAAAATAAATTTATTTGAATAATAATTAAGATAAAACTTATATCTTCAATAATGTCAATCGTTAAATTGTTATTAACAATAAATTAAATAAATTATTATCCTTTTATAATGATCATTAGAATAATTCAAATAATGCTTCCATATCATCATCATCAGAAAAATCACTATCCTCATTATCATCATCATTCTTTTGTTTCTTTGGAATTAAAGTGTCAACAAATGGACAAGCCTTTTTGGATTCTTTGAAAATTTTTCTCAAATTAATTAATCCCTTAGTCACTAACAATGGTCTTTCTTTTTATTCTATAATTTATAAGGAGACTTTTGCAACATCGTCAATAACTGATATGCATTAATCAGGTAAAACAAATCCTAAGACAGATTTAACTTCTTCTCCCCAGCAATTTGTTATTACAGGTTCCACTAAATGTGACATTTCAACTAAACTATCAACAAGAATATCTGAGAATCCATCTTCTTCAAATTCATTGTAAGATTTATAACCATTACTAGCTAATTCAAAACCACCTTTTAAACATACTCCTATTTTTTATTTAAAATTAGACAAATCAACTCCTTCTGATCCAGTACAAGATTTTTTTACAGCAACTAAAGATTTTAAAATTCCAATTAATTCCTTAATACTTGAAACAAACTTTCTTTCATTTACATTTCCATATAATTAAGAAAATCTTGGAGTGAGTTTTGTAACTTCTGCTGTACATTTAGAATTTATGGAAATAGCACTTGTTGCAACAATCAAAAAGATGACAATAAAAAGCTTCATTAAAATTAATATAAAATGACGTCAAACTATTGATAATCATTAAATAATTATTATTTTAGTGAATAGATTCCCTTTTTTAAGACAATAAAACTCTTATAAAATTTATTATATATAAATATGTATAAATTCAATACATTAGATAAATCATAACTATACAAATAAAATTTGATGTTAAGTTAATTACAAAATAAATTATTATTATCGTATAAAAATTATAAAGGTCATAAATTTTGTTGGCTCAATATTTGATTTTTCTAAAGCTACTATAAACAACTTTTGATTTTTTATCAAATGTGACTTTTTTTATTGATCGTTAAGACCCTGAAGTTTAAGAATCTTTGAGTTAATTTTTAGGACTCTAAGGATTTGAGGTATTTTAACTTTTGTGTTTTAAAATTGGTTTGTGTTTTGCAATATCTTATTAGGAGTCCTTAATCTCACTATTTCGATCATCCTTTGAAAAACTATTTTAATCTGGTGATTCAGGTTATTCTTTTAGTATGAGGACTTCTTCTACTGATAATTTTACTTCAATGGGTTTTAAATCTCTATCTGAAATTTATAGTAATGCCTGATCCTCTGAATGTGGCATTTAAGAGGAATAACATTGTTCCTTTTCGTATTGGTAATTAAAATCCTCATCTGAAAATTTCAATATTTAAATCGGTGATGGTCTTGTAATAGAGGGAGGACCATAAATATATGTTCTTCCAAATATTATTTCTTCTAAATCAAATTCTTTATAAGGCGAAGTAATTCTTTAATTGCAGATACTACCCATATTTAAAGTCGTATATTAATAAAAGGAATTAATTAAGAAAATAGTTTAATATATATATATATGAGATATTAAGATGAAATATTTTTTAGTTTCTTCAACTTTTCTATGTCTAAAATAATCGGCTTAAATAGATCAAATAATTATATAAAAATTGTATCAAATGTAATTCAACTGACCAAACTAGAAGCCAAAGGTTAGAATTGTATAAAGTTAAGTCAAATCTATCGATATATAATTAATTATTAATTTTAATTAGTTTATTTAAATTATCTCTAGATAAATTAGAATCAGAGTAGAAAAAAGGTAGAACTTACCATATTAGAGTTCTTTCAATGTTTAATAAAACATTAATCAGGGATTATAAATTCTATGAAGATTTAAATCAAATAAGAAAACAAGCATGTTTTAAAAAAAAAAAATGATTTTTATTTTTATTTTTATTGTTTCTGATTATATTTTATCTGACATATTAGGCTTATACTTAAAAAGAAATTTACCTTAATAACTATAATAGATAGATATAATTTTTAAGAATAAGTAATAAAAATGTTGAACATATAATTAATATTAATTTATAAAATTTATTTATGTTTCCTGAGTCCTGTAAAAATCGATCAATAGGATCAATTAATTAATCTTGTCATGATTCTCATCGTCCTAGACAACATTTAATCAATTCATTTGGATTTTTGTCTAAACATGAATCAAGAAATTCTTATTATGATAAGGAAGATTAATAAGATTAATTATTAAAAATCAAATAAGAGCTTAATTAATTAAGAATAGAAAATACATAACTAAAGTCTTAAAATATTTATTATTAAGTAAGTATATATTAATATCTAGAAAGATCTTGAAAGCTTTCATCAACAGTTGTCAGATGATGAAATCTAATTAAAGACAGTTCGAAACAATTAGAAATTCAAACATTTACTTAAATTATTGTAAACTAAAGAAATTGAAATAGAGACTTTAAAAAAAAAATTGAAAATGGATGAGATTACAATTTATTAAAAAAAAGTATCTGAACTTTAAAATATTATTGAACTTCAAAAAGAAAAACTATTAGGGAATCAAAGAAATATTTTAGGTCCATAATTTGCTATTCTTGATGAATTAGAATAAGATAATATAAAATTAGTTGAAATAGTAAAAGTATTGGAAGAATAATTAAAGGATTATGATTAATTGAAAAAACATATTGTAACATAATAAGTCAAAATTTAATAATAAAAATAACTCATTAATGAATTATTAAAAGAGATTAGATAATATAAGGAAAGAGATTTATTATTTGCAGTTAAACATAATTAAAAAAGTAAATAAGATCAATAAATTAAGTATTATTTTTATCTCATATAAAGAAAACTACTCTCAGATATTCATAAATTAAGTTAAAAAAGATAAGAAGATGAAGCTTATATAGAATAATTATTAGATAGGCATAGATAGGAAATTAAAAAATATGATCGTAGAATTATGGAGAAGGATGATGAAATGCAATTGTTATAAGAAAGATGTGAATCATTAAGTAAAGCTTTATAGGAAGAATAGATATAAAAAGCTAAACTTAAAAAGAATGAAAAATCTAGTTCTATTGTCAAACCATCTATGTTTTCATAACATTAAATTGTTGGTAGAGGTTCTGGAGATTTTTCATTAATTACTTCTTAAAGATCTTTAAGTGGAATTGGAAAATCTAAATATTCTAAAATCAATAAGCAAGATCTTTGTTAAATTGTCAAAATTATTAAATTTTCTATGATTATTAATAAAATTACTTTTGATGAGTTAGATATTGTAATTTATTTTTTACTTATAATAGTACCTATTTAAAAATTAAGAAGAAACTACATTAGATGCACTTAAAGATTCCCTTTAATAATAAATTTTCAATTTAAATAAAGAACAAGCATGTACTTTAGCAAATTATTTATTCGATTAAGAAGATGAAATTAATATAGACAAACCATAAAATAATTCAAGAATAAGGAGCATTTTGAAAACACTATTAGATAATTTTCGATTACCAAATAATACAGTTTTTGATGAAATTAAGACTAATTTGAATGCTAATAATCTTGAAATGATTTGCAATTAACTTTAATCTAAATTTTAAAGTCCTAGAAAAAAACTCAATGTGAATGTATATTAAAATAATAATTTTAGGATTTGTTTGATCTTTTTAAAGAGAATGACATAAAATTATCAAAAGCATCTCTTGAATATATAGAATCCTACTTTTTTTAATTAAATCAGCAATTAATTGTTTTTGAAATAGATTAATTGAAACAATTAATTGATAGTATTAGTAATTGATTGCTTTTTAATACTAAAATATTTATTGAAGTTAATGTTATTTTTGTTAAATATAAATAAAAAAATTGATTAGTATATTAATTATCTCCTATTGAATATTAGGCCCACAAAAAATAGATAGGAATTACATTCTTTCTTAAATATAGATTAATTAAAAAAAAAATAATATTTAATAATAGAAATAATAATTTTTAGAAGTTAATAAATTTACTGAAAAATTTATAAATTGTTGTTGATAATTTACTTTTTGAAATATCTAATAATATTTTATTAGAGTAAGTAAAATGTGAAATAAATTTATAAAATTTGTTATAAACATATTACAATATAAAATTGAACTACAATATTCTTATTAATAAAATGTATTTTAAGAATAATAAAATTTTCTTAATGAAATTAGGTTTTTATCAAAAGTATAAAAAATAAATGATGGTTCAAATTTCAGACAATCACATTTTTCAGATGTTTTTCAATGTTATTTATTAATTTTTCAATTATTATGATGAAATATATTTATATTGATATAAAAAATTACAATTTGCTACTGAGTTATTTCAGTAATGAATATCCAGTATCTAATTGTATAAGTAAACAACAGTAAATTTAGTTAGATTAATTTAATTTTATATTAATACACATAAATACAAATTATATTTATGCAATAGTTTCCAACATAAATTGAATTTTAAGAAGACTTCGATTTTAAAAATTCATAATTGTTAGGACAAGGAACATTCGGAAAAGTTTACAGAGCAAAAGCTCTAAAATCTCTTCCTCCTGGAAATTATGCCCTAAAAATAATTGAAACAATTTCGTATAAAATTATCTTAACTTAAGCGAATAGGCTTATGAGCTTGCAATTTAAGAATTGAACTTATATCAAGTGATCACTTATCATTAAAGCGTAATAAAAGTTTATAAAGTTTACTCATGGATAGAGGATAAGAAATATATTTTAGTCTTTGCTATGGAATTAGCACATAATAGTTTAAAAGCTGATATTGAAGAAAGAAGAAAGGCTTAATAAGAATTTGGAGGTAATATTAAATATGTAATATTGTTAGATATTATGCTAATAGACATCATGATTTAATGTTTGAAAGCATTTTATTATCTAGCAAAAAATAAACATTTGTTTCACAGAGATATTAAACCAGAAAATATATTAGTGACTTGTAGACAACCATTTACAATTAAATTAGCAGATTTTGGAGCAGGAAAAGAGAACTTTAATGGTTAAACAATGCTTAATACATTGGTAGGAACACCTTTATTTCTCTCTCCTAAACTATATTTTGCTTATACAACTAATTAGCCAGGAAAAGTAAAGTAAATTATTAACTTAAATTTAGACATGATTTAGAGAAAAGTGATGTATTTTCATTAGGAATTACATTTCTTTAAATGATTTTACTTCTAAGTGATAAGGATCTTTCAAAATTGAATGATCCAATCATATATGAAGAGAAAACTGGAAATGCTATTGATACTAGTGATGATCCATTAAAGAAAAAAGATTGTTAAGGTTGGAAGAAATTACAATTTCATATTAGCAATATTAAAAATCCTTAAATAAAGGTCTGTATCTAAGGTATGACAGAGTTTAGTGAAAGAAACAGATTTACATGGCTTAAAGCTTTAAAAGCATTGAACCCAGATTATGAAGATGAGTAAATAATCTATTTATTCTAGTGAAAAGGATTAATTTGTTCATCCAGCTTCAATTAATGATTAATAGGCTAAAGCTATTAAATTTTATTCTAATTCAAACACAACTTTAAGATATTTAGGAACACTTAATGATATATCAAATCATAAAAAGATCATTTCTGCAGGTAGTTAAATATTAGCTTATTCTAATGATGGAATAAGAATAATATCCTTACAAGGAGTATCAGAATGCATATTTACTTAAAGTATTAAATAATCTTAATGCAGATGTCTCTTTTTTATCATATATACAGACATTAAATATTTGTGTAGGGATTACATAATAAGGAGAGATTTTTGGAGTAAATTTGAAAAGCAAAACTTTTTATAGTGAAAAAATTACACATTTTTAATATGATAAGATAACTGTAATTTTATATGATAATTACATTAGGTGATGAAATATATGAGAAAAGATTTATGTATTTTAGGATCTTAAAATGGAGAGATTATGATTTTAGCATTTGATACTTAACCACCTTGTGTAATTAAAAAATATAAAGATGTGGAAAGATCTGTTATTGATTTGATTTATGAGGATGAAAATAAATAGATTATTTCTTCTCATGAGAACTTTATGATTTATGGAAAATAATTAGTTTATGAATAATCGTAATATTCTAATCTAATTTTAGGGCTAAATATCAATATGATTCTTAAATCGATAATTTACAATTAATTTCTTCAGAATATTTTGCAGGATTAAGTAAGAACCTGGCCTAAATTCCTATTTTTCACATTAAGGATGGTATTTTATGTTTCTTATTTTAGGCATAATTAATATAGTTTAAAAATGTTAAATTACTGGAAATAATATACCGTTGGCATTAACTTTATCTGGTAATTATCTTGTTTGGGTTTGTGAAAAATATATTGGATCAATTTAAATAAGCACAAAATTGAATTAATCAAAAGAAGATAAAAATGATGAACTTATGGTTAATGCTTCTAAGCCAGCAAAATTATTATGTTTTTTGGAAATTGATAGAACAATAATAGCAAGTGATGGAATTAAACTCCATAAATATTAAATTGGAAAAAAATCATAAGAAAAAACTGTCTGTCAAAACTGCTAAATTTTTTGAATATATTTATTTATTGAAATGACAGCACAACATTCACAATTAATAAATATTTTATCAATTACATTAATTTTATATAATTAAATTAAATTTAATGTATAGAAGTTTAGGATTACTTATCAGAACTACATCAATTGTATAGATGTGTTTAAAATTAGTATAATTAAATGTGGATAAGAGGTCCTAAAAAAGCAAAAGTAGAAGCAGTTGCTACTTCTGATGATTTAATAAATATTTGGAAAGATAGAAAAGACCCAGAAATCAAAGAGATTGATGAGTATCCTTTATGGTTATTAGAATTGGCAGTACCATTAGACAGCATAGATGTAGCATCTATTTAAATTGCAGCAAATGATAAAGCTTATGTTAGCTATATTTTTTATTTAGCACCCTCCAGCAAGTCATGTAAGGAGTATTGTTAGAAGTATTAAAAGACAGAGAATTATTTTAATGAATAAATATACAGCATTAAATAGAGATGGAGATGTCATTGGTGATGATGATCTCAATGATTAAGAAGATTAATTAGAGCATATTTAATAAGAGAAATTAGCAGAAGAAGCTGCAGCTGAAGAAGCAGCAAGACTTAAAGAATTAGAAGAAGATGATGAAGATACACCTAAAGGTATTATATATATATTATATATTTATATAGCAAGAAAGCCAGCTATTAGAAAAGAAGAAGATGATGATGATAAACCAGCAGCTGGAAAGGCTGGTGATAAAGATAAAGCAGCTAGTGGTGCAAAAGGAGGTGCTGCAGCAACAGGAGCAGCAGGTAAAGCTGGAGATAGTGCTAAGGCAGGCAAAAAAAAATGAGGTGTATATTTATAGAGGATTTATTTATGATTATAAACCAATTTTTAATTTTTAACTCATCTATATAATTTTATATTTCATGTAATAAAACATATTTGTAATTTTTTACTTGATTTGATTTACACTAATATTTAAAGAAAAATAAGTAAGAAATTTTACATTAAAAATTAATTTGATAATTTTATTATAATCATTATATTTAGTAGAGAAAAGGAAATTGAAATAAATTCATCAAAAAAAGGATTAAAAGTGAAGTAATTTTATATAAATTTAAATAACTACTAGAATTTGATATCATTTCAAATTTATTTTAATCAATTTGTATTTTTTATAAAGATAAGATCGTTATTTAATCTCTAATATAAATTATGTTATTATAATACATTTTATTTATTATTTGTAAATACTTTCCTTCTACAAATTTAATATGAATAAAATAAATATAATGCATATTAAATCATTATTTAATAAAAATAAAATTCTTAATAGAATGAATAGCAATATATTGAAAAAAAGCCCAAAAACTGAAATCAATAAATCAATAGATTTCAGTATTTTTAAAATTTTAATGGACATGTTTTATCCTTTTTCTAGAATCCTTTTTAACAGGCATTTCACAATTTTTACATTCATCACATTTACATAATTCAGAACATTTAACTCCCATTTAATAACATTCACAATATTTTTTTAAACAATTCGATTTTTTACAATTACATCCTTTAAAATGTCTTGGTTTATGATCTTATTCATCTTCTGAATTACTCTAATTGATAAAATAATTATATACTTTAGATTCAACTTTAGGGCGAAATGCAGATGGATTCCTTTCCATGATTTATTTGATTACAGTTTCTCTTTCTTTTGTATGATCATCATTATTATGACAAGAACAACAATTACAATCTTTACCACATGTTACACCTGCAGCAAAGCAATCACAATATAATTTAAGACATTTAGATTTCTTACAATTACATACAATTATTTTTGGTTTTTATTCTGTTTATGGTTTCCTTCTTTTAGAACTTGTACGTTTTCTATTTGTTATTTAATCACTTGTAAATTTGAGTGGTTTTTTTAAGGTAACAAAATTGATGAATTTCAATTTAGTAGCTCTTTCTAATTTTCTATGAGGTGATTTAGGAGGACTTCTGAATTGAGAACGATTATCTTGATCTTCAGATTAGATCTCTTCCTCTTCACATAATAGATCATCTGGTATCTTCATTGAACTGAGAGGTGAACTTATATTAACAAGTCGTTATTCTGTCTTTGTATGGTCAAAGTTGATTTATCTGGCTGGAGAAATTACAAATATATTTGCCTTTTTAGTTGTCTAATGATTTAATGGAGAATAAGGTTAGAATCTAAAATGTATAATGCAAAGTCAATACTGATTAGGAGACTTCAAACATGGAGTGAATTCTAATTTCTTACATACTTATTCAGGGGACTAGTCTTTTATATACATGTCATCTTAGTGTTGGAGACAATCAGCGTTAAAAACTGGAGATTGATGAATTTTTTCTAATCTTTAAAACAATTTAGTAAATGGAGTTCCATCTTATTTAAAATCTGAGCTCATTGTAATATGAATTTTTCCCTCTGAATTTAAATTCAAATTTTTATATATAAAATGACAAAATTTATATCCAGCATTTAGAGAAAGATACTTGCTTAAGGGTTTGTTAAAAAGTTAAACAGAGAAGGATTTCTTTCATTTTTAATTCAATTCAATTTTTAATAGATTAGGTTAACAGATAAGATGAGTATAATATTTATTTCCACAGATAAAAGCTATTTATAAGAGTATTAATTTTGTTATAATATTTTATATATATTGAATTAGAATTGCAAAAACATAAATAAAATTTAATAAATTTATTTATAATTCTCGAAAAATAATTGTTAGAGATAGGATAATAATATTTATAAAATTGAAGAAGTGAATATGATAATTTAATATAAATAATAAGTGAGGGTGTGAGATTAAGTATAATTCATAAATATAAATGGCATTTTTTATTTATTTATGAAATAAATTTATTTTAAAAATTTAAATAACGCAAGATATGGGTCATCTTTTTAGGCATTAAGAAGGAGAAACAGGTAAATATTCATTTTAAATATGCAGCTGCACCTGCAATAGCAAATATTCCAACACCTTCAGCTTCAACTATTGATTACGATTGGGTTCTTATTTCAGGGTTCATTATCGTGTTGACATAAGTTGGATTTGCATTTATTGAAGCAGGATCAGTGAGATATAAGAATTCTTAATCAATAGTCATAAAAGTGATATTGGGTTTATTCTTGACAATTTTAATATGGTGGTTGGTAATAAATGAAGTTAATAAATATAGTTTGGATATGGATTCGCATTTGGATATGATTTCTAAACAAACTTTATGGGAGGTACAAAATTAGGTGGTGCAAATTGGGAAGCAAATCAATACGGAAATGATTATACAAACTTTGGTATTTTATTAATATTCATAATTTGTTTAGTATTCAGAGCATCAGGTGCAGCCATTGCAGTATCAGTGTTATCTGGAGCAGCAGCAGAAAGAATGACATTCTTAGCATGGTCAATATTAACAATTGTATATGCAGGATTCATATATGCTGGATTAGCACATTGGACTTTAGCATAAGGATGGTATTGATTAATAAGAAAATAAATAGGTTAACAACTTTGGGATATAAAGATTTTTCAGGTGCTGGTGTTGTATTTTTCGCTGCAGGTGTTGCTGGATTAGTTGTTACAGTATTATTGAAACCAAGAAGATTTAGATTTGATCCAAATACAACCTTATAATTCTAAAGACATTCCCCAATTTATATTGCTTTTGGATCAATTTTAGTCTTTGCTGGATGGTTATTCTATAATGGAGGTATTGTAGCATAAGGAGCTAATTCTAAATACACATAAGGATTAGTTGCTGTCAATACTTTGATTGCTGGAGCTACTGGCGGATTCTTCGCTTTTATCATTAGATATTTCTAAAATGAAACCACAAGTTTAGTTGCCTTATCTAGAGGTATTATTAGTGCTTTAGTGGCTGTAAGTGCTGCTACTGATGATATGAAACCATGGACTGCATTCATTTATGGTCTATTGGCTGCTGTCTTTTACAGTGTTTTGGCAAAAGTCATTCCAAAAGTACATATTGATGATCCTGTTGAAGTTGTACCTGTGTTTTTGGTATAATATATCATTTATTTTAGGGTAATGGATTTTTGGGAATCTTTTTATCAGCATTTTTTGATACTAAAGCAGGTGTTTTCTATGGATTTGGTGCTAAATTATTAGGAATGTAATTGTTGGGATTATTGATCATATTTGTATGGGTTGCCTTCTTTGTTTTGATTACATTACTTGTTTTAAAGGGATTTGGAGTACTTAGAATAGATGCTGATACTGAAAGTGTAGGTATTGATAAAGCTCATTGTAATTAAATTAAATTAAATATTAGGTTTGGGTGAGGCCATTGTTTTTGCTAACTAAATTGATGAAGTTCCTCTTGTTTAAAAAGCAGAAATGGTTCAATTAGGAAATAGTCAAATTGGATCAGGATTTAGACCTGGTTTTAGATGATGTGATAAAATAATATATATATGAACAATTTTTATTAAAAACCAGTTTTACTATATAGAGTTGTAATATCTTTTTTAAGTTAAGAATATAACCTAAAAGTATTTGTAAATATAAAAAATGTACATAAAAGGTATTTGGAATTAAGTAGACTAAAACTAATAGTTTACATAGCCAGAAATAAGTTTAAGATTACAAAAAATAAGTAAAAATTCTACCTTTGTTTATCTACAGTGTAGTAATAAAGAAATAGTCCTCTTTAAAGTAATTTAGATTATTTATTAAGGAAGGAACCCAAATATAGTAAAGCCTACAAATATTTAAGAATTGGATTTGATTACAAGTTTTAAGTTTTAAGAAGTCCTTCACTTTTAATAAATTCCACTTAATCAGAGTGGAAAGGAGAGAACATTATACAACTGGGGGAAATTTATGCAATTAAATTATTCAGAGAAAATGCATTAAAGTAATGCGAGTTTAAAGGATCTTTAAGAGAATTACAAAAGCTGAGACAATATTTAGGAAAGAGAATGAATTAGATTGGCTTTCATTAATATTTCAAAGTTTACAGGTTGATTGGTTAAGGAAGTTTTGCTTCAGTATATTTAGCCACTAGAATTGAGGATGGAATGAAAATGGCTGTAAAAGCATTTTGCAAAAATGTCATCTATAAATAAGAGAAAGGAAAAGTAAAAAAGATTAAAATATATCAAAGGAAGGATTGGTTAATGAAATTCAAATAATGAGAGATTTAGAACACCAAAATTTGATGAAATTATATGAAGTTTATGAAACCCAAAACTCAATTTATATGGGTTTAGAGTTACTAGAAGGTGATTTGCTTTATGATCTTTAAAAAGCAAAAAGGAAATTTACTTCTATGGAGATTTATAATATTATGAAAGGTTTATTGGAAGGTCTAGCTTACATTCATGAAAAGGGTCTAATGCATAGAGATTTGAAATTGGAAAATATTCTCTTTAGAGAGGCTGAGTAATAAGACTGTTTTATTTTATAGTAACTTCAATTCTGTTGTTATTGCAGATTTTGGTTTAGCCACTTATGTTGATCAAGTTCCATTTATTTTTTCGAGATGTGGTACTCCAGGTTTTATAGCACCTGAAATCATAAATTTACAGAATGAAACATAACCTTATGGAGTTGTCTGTGATATGTTTTCTCTTGGAGTCATATTTTATATTTTGATTACAGGTTAACCTGCTTTTAAAGGCAAAAGTTATAATACAATAGTTAAATCAAATAGAACAGGAATTATTGATTTATAAATAGATAAGTTAAATTAAGCATCTTAGAATTTGAAAGACCTATTATTTCAGATGCTATAATGTGATCCTTAAAATAGAATTACATCCAAATTGGCTATATAACATGATTATTTTCGTTCTTTTGATGAAGATGAATTAGAATTGATGTAAAGAGATGATGAGCCTAGACTTGAAGAAATAATAACTAAATTGAATTCTAAATATATTAGATTAGATCTCAAAAAATTAAATTAAATTAGTGATGATCATTAAATATACAAAACTTAAGAACTGAAAGTTAGTTAGAGTTAAAATGATTAAGAATAGATACATATGTTAATGAGAACTCCATTACTTACAGGAAGAATAAAATATTAGGAAGGTTTATATATTCATTATATCTAGGTTTACTAAATTAGGGCATTTAATGTTCAGATTTAATTCTGCAAAGTCCTAGTTAAGATCAAGACTAACCTAAATGGATTAAATCATTTTTATTATGAATCTGTGAATTAATTCAAATGAATTTAATAATTATACTATTTTTTATTTAATATTTATATTAATATTTTTACTCCCCAAAAATTATGCAAAACATTTTAACTCAATAATCCCAGTTTTTTGAATTGCTAGACAAATAAGTTGATGCTTACAAAACTCTTTTGGATTAACTCAATACAAGCTAAGATAAATTCAATAATCTTCTTACAGACTATTTGCTTAAATTTCAATAAATTAATAATAAACTCCTTTAATAAGGAAGACCTGAATTCTCTTGCTCATAAATCTAAATTAAACGAAATGATGAATTATTCACTAACTCCTAATTAAGCATATCCTTCAACCTAAGATCTGTAACTTTATTAATTTTTATTTTAATAGTTACTGGATAAGTAATACAAATATAGGTTAACTCTAGCAGATCCTCTTGAAACACCACTTTATAGAGATCGTATCTTTTAATTAAGAGTTGAGCTTAAAAATAAGAATGGAGAATTAGTCCGTAATCCTAATAAAATTGAATTGGTTGTTGCAATCTATTCTTAAGAATAGTATCCAAAAGAAATCAAAGTTAATAACAAAGGTGAATAAATATTAAAAGGACATTTGTGTGTACCATTAATAAAAGGCACAGCTTTCTTTACTAGAGTTTAAATTAGAGAAGTATCTTCACACTATCAAAACGGAGGAATTATTCTTGCAATATTACCTCAATTTAAACTAAATGATGAACCTATAAATGGTCGTGATATCTAGCCTATGATAGTTGAAAATATCAAAGTTAAGGCTAAAAAGTTTTCAGAACGTCACATTCCAGTCTATGTTAATTAATGATTAATTAAATTTCTAGAAAAAGGATAATTCAATTTATATTTCCATTCCATCTTCTCAATATTCATATTTATTAACTGATTATCTATTATTTTTATATAAAAAAAATTTAATCCAAATTTGAAGGTATTATCTTTGAAATTCTTGATAAAAGTTTAGAATTTCAGAAATTCATTGTATAATCAAAATTTAATAAATTATCCTAAATAATGAATTGATTACATCCTATATAAACTTCTATCTCTTTATTTTTAGCTCTTAATAAATTGGCAATTGTATAATCTTATATTTTTATACAATAATATTTAGTAATTGATTAAAGCAGGTTCTCAAAAATTATCAAAATTGCTATTTTAAATTATCAAATTAATTTTGGTTTGCTTTACTTAATATACTATTATATTATTATATTATCTGTTATTTCAAACAATTTATCCATAAAAAATCGTAATAGAATCTTCGAGTGAATTGTATCATTTTAATCATGTAATTTAGATTCTCTGTCTCCATCAAGATAACCTTGAATAATTCAATAGTTGCTTTATTCCAGAATATCTAATTAATTATATTTAAATAAACAATCTAAATAATGAATTTAAATATGACTAGGATAAGAATTAAATACATTTCCAAAAGTCAATTAATTTTCAAATAAGGAAAGTTGAATTTTTTATTTAACTTACCTTCAAAGATTAATCTTTAAATAGATGGATAGATATAGTTCAATTTTTTCGATTTATTGAATATATTTTATAAAGTAAAAAGTAATTTACTCTTTCCAATTCTTAGCCAAATAATAATTTATCAAATGATGTTTATTTATAAATTACTCAGTAATCCATCTCATCTAATAGTTGATTAAGTAATATTCAGGGCTTGGAGATTCAATAATTTTTTGTAATAGGTTCTCTCTAATTTTGTGATTAAGCATCTATCATTTACATAATTTTATAGATATTATGCAAAAACATCTAATATTAAAATCAACAGGCCTAATCACCAAAACTAATCTTGAAGAATAAAGAATCCATACTCTTAATAAACAATTAAAATCAAGTGTTCTTTTGAACAGATCTTCATAATAATTCCTAAAATAATTATAATCTTAATTCAAAACATACCTTATAATTAATTAATAATAAATTTTTTGATTTTCATTTTATTATTATTAATGATGGTCTCTAGACTTAGTGATTCAACATAATTAAAATATCTAAAAGATTTCAAGAAGTTTGATTATTCATTAATTTACTAAGTCTATTTTCAAATTTGTTAGTCGTGTGTATTGTTTAAATCAAAATTAGCAAGTTTTATTGATCTCTGATAAATGCCATATTTTATATTCTAACTTATAAATATTCTTTTTATTAATAATGGACCTTAAGTAATTACGAATTAATTTAAGTAAATGCAGGTACCTAAAAAATCAAAAGGAATTATAATCCTATCTCCAAAACATATGATTAGATGACTTTAATTTTCATATATAATGTCTCAAAGTTTAAACATAGATCTAATACTTTACCCAACGCTAGAAGAAAACCTTTTCTTTATTTTTTTTATATTAAATTATTAATTAAATTTTAATTTTCTTATCTATAATTAATTATGTGACCTAGAAACATCTCTTATAATGTTCAATCTTGATAAATTTCAAAAGATAATGTTCCATTGAATTATTATGTAAAATTAAATACTTTTTATTTTATGTATTTTAGTAAATAATAAATTTGAATTATGTTGATAATTTATCTTATCAACTCTTATACACATTTTAAAATTAAATTTAGATCTTTTAATTATTGAAATAATTATATAAAGAAAATAAATTTCAACAATTTTTGTTGATATTAATTTTATCATGTTAGAAATTCCAATTATTAATAAATTGAATATTAAGATAGAACCAACTTTTGATTGCAGCAGTTCTAGACTTTATGACAAAGGAGAAAATATCTATATCCCATTAGATGGGAAACTCACAACAGATTAATTTATATTTTTACCAAATTAAGCATTTACATAAATGGGGCTTTGTTAATAAACTTTCTATACATTAATAAAAGAAAGTTATAATAATAGAATCTTGATAATTAAAGTGAATAGCATATGGCCAAATTTAGATTATGAAATTAAGGAAGATCTCAAATATTTATAATTGATAACTTAAAATAAACTTTTAAACAAATATTCCACATTACCAACTTTCTTATTCTAGTACCTTGATAGAATGATAATTATACATAAATAAATTGTAAGAGTTGAAAATACAATTATGTTCATTGCTGATGGCGTCATGTTTCAAAATGGAAGACAAGTAAATCATCATTTTGAAGGAGAAGCTATTGCAATCACATAATGTAGATTATATGCTTTAAAAAAATCTAGTAATTATATTATGAATATAAGGATATTCAAAATTTGACTTTGTTTGGTGAATAGGATATCAAATTGAATCTGCATAATAATGAATATATGCTTAAGTCTGCAGTTCTATAATTTGATTCTCCAAAATATACTTAAACAAGTGTTATCAAAGATATTAAAACTATAAAAGAATTAATAAAAGGTGAAGATTATTCTTAATTGAGATAAAAATTGAATGAAATTTTTGGTAAGAAAACTAGTGATCCATAATAATAAATTAATATCTAATAGATTTAAAATTAATAATAATAATAATAAAATAGTGTTAGATAAAGAACTACAAGTAATCAAGATGATACCAGTTAATAAAAAAAGTAGATATTTCGTCGTATTTATGTTGCAAGAGAAATAAATAAAACCTAAAAAGAGCAACCATCATTAGGAGAAATCAAAAAAATTAATTACACACCTTTACGTAATAGATAGTCCCATGTTAAAATGAACAGTTCTAATATCAGATAGAGAAATATCGATTAGATATAATAAAATTAGCAATCTGATTTCTAATAATAATGTTTACCAATTATTAAAAGTTTTGTTAATGTAGAAGAATTCTAATAATAATAAGAGTAAAAGAAGAAAAAGAAAGATCAATGCTAGAAGAAACTTATTTAAAATAAGTTTATTGAATTTGATAAAATTTTGAATTAATTAATAAAATGAATATTTTAAATTAATAATCAATTATTAAGTTCACTCTTAAAAAGATATTTCAGAAAATATTTAAATATATTAAGGTTTCTAAAACTACATAAAAATGATTTATTTTATAAAATAAATTACTTTCATAGAATACTTTAATTAAGTCCAAATATAAATATTTATTTTATTTAGTTAAAGTGCAAAAATATAAATAATATAGAATCTAAGATTAGAACTAATAATTAAATAAATTCTTGATCTATCCAATTTTTCATAATTAAAAATTGTTTAAGAAACAGTAAATATTCAAAATAGTTATTAAATTATCATTACACACTCTTAATAGAAAATTAAAGGTATTTCTATATTAAATAATGAGTTAACAGAATCTTTTATGTAAATAACACACATAAAATTGATGACAATTATATTTTTTCAATTTAAATCATTATATTGATAAAAAATTTATTATATAAATAAAATAAAAATGCAAAATAATTAATAGGCAGCTACAGAGGAATAATCAAAAAATTAAGAAGTTAAATAAGAAACTAAACAATGTCCATTATGCCAAACTTTCTTTGGAAGTGCAAAAACAAATTTTTATTGTTCATAATGTTATAAGTATGTTCGTTGAATATTGTAGAACTATTTCATAAAAAACTAATGAATAATAACCCTAACAACAATAACAATAATAAATACCAGAGGATAAAGCATAATCAAATTAATAAGTGAATGTTCAGGTATAAAAGTGATTTAAAATTATCAGCAAGATCCTTCAAAATGTTATGTATGTAAGAGAAAGCTAGGGATATCAGGCATTTAATGCAAATGCAAAATCGTATTTTGCAACAAACATAGATTACCTGAAGATCATAATTGTACTTATGATCATGCAGAAAAAGCAAGACAATTACTTATTAAAAATAATCCATTAGTTGATCACAAAAAACTTGAAGAATTGTGAAATTTATAATCATAAATTATTTTTAACAAAATTCATATAATTAATTGAATTTTTAAGTCATTAATATATTTCTTATACTTTCCTCAACCTTTTAAAAATGTCTCTAATGACTAATATATTATGCATTTTATATTTTATATTGAAAATGAATTCGATTGATTATTGACATATTGTTATATTTTATATATATATCTAATTCAATAAGATAGTTAACATTATGTACTTGTATTTAAAACTATAGACTGATAATTTCTTATAAAAATAAATCTCAATTATTTACTAAAAATATATATTTTTATATAATAGACATTGTTTAGTATTAAATTACTTATATATATCAAATTAATAATAACAATAATATTTGATCTATAGAAATAGTTTGCTAAAAATTATGATCATAAAGAGGCTTTCTAGTATATCGGTAGTACGCTTGCTTTGGGTGCAAGTAGGTCGGGTTCAACTCCCGAGAGAGCCCATTTTTTTATTATAAATTAAGCTACGCAGTATTTAAAATATACTCTTATTTAACTTTTGTTTCCATTCTGATAATTAGCAATTTATATAATTTTTGATAAAAAAAATATAATTAAATAGAATTTAAATATAGATATCTAAATGATTTATTGAATTTTATACTAATTTTTAATTAATTATCTTTATTTTGAATTTATATTTAAGAATTCTGCCATATGATTTTTTTTAATACAACTTAAATATTACTAGAGAATGTTGCTAAATGAATTAAATTCGAAAGAATATTCAAAAGGAAACTAAGAATTTTTAAATGTCTAAAAAAGTATAAAAGTAAAGATCTTTGAGTCCAAAATTATTAGCCAACTTCAAATTATATAAATTAATGAAGACAGCCATTAGAATTTATATCTTGTATAAAATTGAAGATATTATATTCAGAGTTCACTATTTAATATGTTTTTCATAATATTTGCTGTAAACATGTATTAGATTCAAATAAAATTTATTGTTTAATATTTGGAAATTTGATAAAAACTCTTAATAAAATGGTATAGATTATTTAAATCGATAAGTTTCATCCTCTAAAAGCTAAGAATTATTATTCATTTTTTAAAATTAGAAATATTGAATGATAAGATTATGATATTTATTATGTTAATATAAAATAATTGCAATAACAATCATATTATATAAATACAATCAAATAATGTTTAAATTTGTGATTAGATATTCTGTCTTCAGCTAAGTTCTATTGATTAAAAAATAATAAATATATAAAAATAATGGGAGTAACATAAACTTGTATGAAAGAAAGGAACTCTACTCCCCAAATTGAATATAGCGTCCCTATGATATTTAAGAGAAAACCACAAGGCAAAAAACCTCATAAATAGAATATTTTAATCCCTCCTTTATAATATTTAGGAGAAAATGAAGAATCATTAGAATAACTCGAGTTTACATTATAAGAAACAAATATCAATTTTAGCATTCATAAAACTGCAACTTTTAATAGTAGTAGTGCTAATCGCTAATCTATCAAGATTAATCCAAGTCTGAATTTGTCACTTAATACAACTACTCCTAATTCTGTATAATAATAAATGCTTCCTAATTCATCCTTTTAAGAAAGTAATTAAAATAATGAAGAACCAATCATATAAGGAAAACAATAGCATAAAGAATCTCTATTTAAGATGCGATCAGAAGCTTAGAATGATAGACGTGAAAATTTTGCTAGAAGTTTGAGTAATAATTCAAGAGCCTAACGAGCATAGAATTTTAATGATGAATCTTCTATATCATAAAGAAAGGATTCAGAGACCAATACTAAAAAGAGTATTTTGAAGAATAAATCCCCTCCTATAACAAATTAACTAAAAAGAGGTATAAGTCTCAAATAGTAATAATTACCAATAAATTTCGATGACACATAATCATAAAAAACATCCAAAAGTTAAAAAAGAGTAAAATTCGATCCAAAAATATTTAGACCTAAGAATACTCATTTTTTATAATGAATTTAATATCTTATTATCTTTTATAAATCATACATTAAATTAATAACTAAGTACAATTATTTAATAATATATTCAATATATAATTAAATAAATGATATTCCTTTTATCAATCAAAATTTTTCATTTAATATTTATATGTATATTATATCTAATTAAGACACTATAAGAATCCACATCATCACATATTACATGTCTTTTAAGTATCAAATAATAATTACCTTGAATAAAATTATCAAATATATTTATAATGATAATTATTTATTAAATTAATGTAGAGAATATTACCTTATGCATTTCATGGATTAGATTATTTATATGAGCCTCAATTGGCAAGGTTTTATAATCTAATACCTGCATATTATACTTAAAAATTAGGAGAAGGATTTTTGAATCAAACATCTTAAGTTTATACATCATTATTACAATCTATTGCAGAATAAGATAAAGAGTATTTGAAATAAATTCTAGAGCCTAAATTATATCATGCTACTTCACATTGTATGGATTTATTAGAATAAAAACAGCTAAAGTTATAATATATTGAATAGGAAGAATTAGAAAATTAAGATAAGTAAGAAGAAGAAGATGAACAAGAAACATAATAGCCATAATAGTAATTTGGTTTCTTTTCAAAAAAATTATAAAAGAATTTGTATTAATTTTCATATATTCAATAGAAGTAGCAATGAAGCATATCACATTTATTAAGAAAAAGATTATAAATGTAATATAGATGTAAAAGGCATATTTGGTGTAAAAATTAATAGAATTGAAAATGAAAATACACGATTTTTTTAAATTCCTGCTTTCCCTATCACACCAAGGTATATATTAATAAAATAAATAGGAATTATTTTGTTAATCTGAAAAATCCATTCAGTCTTTATGAAAACTAAATTTTAGTTGCAAATATTTTAATTCATACAAGCAAGAAATTAATTGCAGTTGATTAGGATGGAAAAGTAGTTCATGGCAATTATGATAATAATTAATTTTAATATCATAAATTAAGATTAGAATCTTATGTACCAAATTTTAATTGGGTAATTACTGATATAGATGATTATCTAAAAGGAAATCCTTATTTTTGAGAATATATTTTAAGCAATTATTGTTATTTCATTATATAATTAGATGTTATATTTGAATTAATAATATTATTATTTGATTGTTTTTATCATATATAAATTGAATTAAAAAACTTCAATTTATATATAGACAATAATTAGATTATTTAGATATTGAATTATTGTTATTTAAATTTATAATATTCTTTAATTCTCAAAAAATCAATTAATATTATTAAATAAATATACATTTATTTAAAACGATCAATTCCTACTAAAAGTATTTGAGGTTCTATTAAAACATTATTATTGGTAGAGACTTTATAAAAGATCTCATAAAATTTAGTAGAAATATAATTATCTATAAGATTGTTTCAAATTCATAGATTGAACATTTTTAATTGTCTAGTTGTACTTTATAAAGTTTACTTAAATTATTATATTTATTTTTACAATAATTAATGAATGAAATAAAATAAAATGAATATTTATTAAAAAATAGAAGAGAAAAAGAATGGTTGAATAGAAAATAATTAAAATTTTTAAAGGACACAGCTGTTACTAGCGATGATTCAGGAGATGAATTTGAGAAATAAAAATAAATCGAAATTTTTATAAAATAAAAGAAATAATTTTAATGGGAATAAAGAAGCTTAACAATTTTCAGTTCAAAATTTGCTAAAGTATACTCTGAAGTAATATGTCTAAAAATAAATCATTTCTTGATGTAAATTAGGAATTTATTGAAGAAAATAAGAAAACACTTAACTCCTTTACCACCTTATATAATAACACCTGATGGATCAATAAAAATGATTTGGGATTTATTATGTCTAGCATTTGTGATTTATGAAATGATTAGTATTCCATTTTAAATAAGTTTTGAAATAGAAATAAGTAAGGAAATCTCAATGACCTCTTTAGGAGTGTTTGTTTTGGATATTCTCTTAAATTTTAATACTGGAGTTTATTTAGATGGTATATTATCAATGAAAAGAGAGAGAATAATAAAGAATTATTTATCATTTTGGTTTTGGATTGATGTAATTTCAACCTTTCCATATGACATAATTATTGATGAATCAGAATCACTTATTTAAAGTGCAAAATTACTAAGATTATTTAAATTTTTAAAATTTATCCATATATTAAAACTTCTAAGATTGGCTAAATTAAAAAAGATTATTGATATATTAGATGAAGTAATTTAAAATATAAGAATAATCGGTATAGTAATAACCTTTTTTAAACTTTTTGTTTTTGTCTTATTCTTAGCACATGTATTAGGATGCATATTTCATTATGCTTCAAGAGAAGAATCGAATTCATGGCTTGGAGATAATGAAAATGCAGATTGGTAAATAAGATATATATATTCCTTATATTGGGGTATTGCAACGATGACAACAGTTGGATATGGAGATATTAGTCCTACAACTACAACAGAAAGAGGATTAGGAATTATATTATTATTAGTTGCTTGTGGAGGATTTGCATTTACAATGAATTCTATAGGTTTTGCATTATCCACTTTGGAGGAGAAGACAAATGTTAGAAAATCAAAAGTTAACATTCTTAATAAATATATGAAATAAGCTAATATACCTGATGGATTATAAAATAAGGTTAGAAAATATTTAGAATATGTATGGGATAGTCATTAAATTTTATTAAATGATATAACTAGTTTACTTTCATAAGAATTATGTAAGGATATATTGGAATAAGTAAATGGTAAATTATTTGGACATATTGATATTTTTTGGTAATTTCATTCATACAAATTTTTGGTAGAAGGAATAATTCCAATTTTAGAGGATAAATTATATTTACCAGAGGAAGTCATTTTTAATGAAATTCCTTCAACTAATTATGATTTATTCTTAATTTAAAAGGGAGAAGTTAGTATATATTTTATGAAAACAAATATTGTAATTGATAATAAGACTAAATATGATTATTTTGGAGAAATCAGTTTCTTTACTAATTAAGTAAGATCAGCTAGTGCTTAAAGTAAATAATTTTCTCACATTTTTATCTTAAATCAAAGTAAATATTTAGAAATTGCAAAGCTTTATCCAAGAGATTTATAATAATATTTTAATATTAGAAATTCTATATTATTTGAAAAGGATTATAGTTTTTTATAAGTAAGATGTTATGTTTGCTAAATGGATGATCATCTTGCTAAAGAATGCCCAGTATTACATTTTTAAGTGTAATTATTCTAACTATAATAGTAATGCTCCTCATTTTTTATCATTTTTACATCAATATTATAGAGTATATTAGGCTTCCTATATAAGAAAGGATAGAATTGACTTTAATGCAAGATCTTCTTAATATTAAATCTAATAATCTTAAAGAAGATTCTTATAAATTAATTCAAGAAGACAAACTTATATCAATTAAAAAGGACCTAGAAATTCATTTTTTGTTGATTATTATGATGTTGATTTTGAAGATTTATATAAAAATGACAAAGCGCCTTCAAAATTGATGACATCTCTTTAAAAGTCTCTTTTTAATAATAAAAATAAATAAAAATTTGATTTATTAAACATGAATATTGATTCTCCTTTAAGTTCTAAAAGATCAATTGGAGCTATAACATAAAGAATTATGATTGAAGAATAATATATAGATCAAATAGCATCTGATAGATTTAATGATCTTTTAGAATAAATTAATACAATAAAATAGAAAAAAAGATCATTTTCTCATATTCATTTTACATTATTACCTGATTTTGAGAAAATATAAATATACCATAATTTTAGTTAGTGGTATAACATAGAAAATGTATTAGAAAGATACAGGATAGTTTAAAAAAAAGGTTTAATGTCTTAAATACCTCCTAAATATAGTAGATTTGGTTTAGAAGAATTTAGATCTTATTAATAATATTATTGTTTTTATTTAAAGAAAAGGGATGTATATAGATATTATACAAAATGTCATAAAAATTAAGGAGATATTTATTATGGATTTGAGAATGAGAGAATATTTAATTTAACCAGAGTAGAAAAAAAGAGAAGTAAATATATAAAAGTTGATAAAGTACTGTTTAATATAAAAATTAGTTTAGGAGGCAGGACTTTGTAAAATAATCATAAGTAAATGTCTGATGAAAAGATAAATCTTATAGAGTGTCTTGTATAATTTTTGTTTCAAACTATAAAGAATTTTGAAAATAAATAATTCTTTTCATTTAAATTAATGTATTTTCTCTTAAAGTTCATTGTCATTCAAAATGGATAATGAATAATCTTGAAAATCAAAAAGACACTAAGAATAATAATAATGTAAATAAATGAAATAAAGCACAAAAATTATTAAGTTCTTAAATTCATTCATTTTAATTTAATTGATTTTTTTAATCAAAATAAAATCTAAAATTTTTCTCTCTTCTATTGATTCTTTCTTCTTCATTTGATCCATCTGAATAAATTGAAGGATCTTTTTTATTTATTTTTTAAATTTAATTGAATTAATTTTCTTCATCTGATTCATCACTAATTGACTCATCATCACTAGATTCAACTTTTTTAGCTTTTGATTTTTTTGTTTATTCAGTTTTTTATTTTTAACCTTTCTATTGTTTTTGGAATTAAACCTTTTTTTTATTTTGTTTTGTATTATTATCTTCATCACTTTCATCACTATTTTCATCATCATCATCATCATCATCATCATCATCATCATTATCATTATCTTCCCATAATTATTCATCTTCTTCATCTATATAATCTTTTTTGTATTGAACAATCATCTATTCTCCAGTTTCACAATCAATAAACTTTTTATTATGTTTATCCCATGTTATTTCACCTTTAAATATTTAAAGAATTTTTACCTTTTTCAATTTTTCTAAGGACAGTTCTTTTTGATCTCTCTCTTAAACATTTAAGTGTTTCATCCATTTCTTCACCACTTGAACTATCATTATTTATTTCAATAGGTTCTGTGCATTTTGAACATTATTTTAATTCATCAGAACATGCATCACATAATCTTCTGTATGCCTTAAAGATATTCTTCTTTTCACATTTATAACATCTTGATAAATCATGAGGAGTCTTATATTTGCCATATTTTATTTTCCATTCAATCTAAGCTAAACACAATTCACATAATCTAATTTAATGTTATAAGTATACCTATCTAAAGAGGCATTCTAAACCTTCTCTGTGTAATGGTCATGAAATCTCATTTTGAATGCAATTTTGTTTTAATATTTTGGTGCTCCCTTTTTCATTAATTAAATTGTTTATTTTTATGAATAGTAAAATAGATATCCCATAATTTATGAAAGATTAGATATGCAAAGAAACTATTAGTCCTGAACCAGAAAAATAAAAATCATTAAATTTTCATAGAAGATTAACAAGTTCATAGATTGAAAGTGCTGGAAAAAATCAATAATCTTAAAAGCAACTATCTAATAAAATTTAAAGTATGACACTTTGATCAATTGTAGTGCATGGTTTATAGTAATTGCTTAAGGTGGGTCCACATAATAAAGTACTTCAACCTAAAGTTTACTCATAGATGCTTATACATGAGAGTTTTTCTTAATAATACTTAAAAGACTTAAGTGCAGCTTATACTCCCAATTAATAAGCAAACATCTAGAGCAACTTTTTTAAAAAAGCAACTTTATCATAATACTCAACAATGACAAGTAGCATAAAACCTAGATTAAAGAGTGCAAACAAAGAAACAATTAAAAGGAAATAACAAAATGAAACTACATAATTATTGTCAAATAGAGAAAAGGATAGATAAACTATTATTTAGTTATAAGAGATAGTACATAGGACTAATTCATTGTTATAGTAATATCAGAATGAAATTTATAGACATATCAAAGAAAAGGAGGATTTAGTTAATATTATACAACAATTGTAAATGCTCTGAGTTTTTTTTCAATATTGTTTTAATCACTTGTGTTTTTAACGTTTAATTTTTAAATTTGACTTCTTTATACTTATTAAATATATACTTTTAACCAAATATTCATTAAAATTAACTGATTAAAAATGAATTAAATAAAAGAATTAATTAGATTATTTATCATTAATCTTAAGATCTTATATATAATGTTATATTTTTGTTTATTTTAAGATTGAAATTAGAATGTTTAATATTTATAAATTATAAGAATATACATATATTTAATTTGCTTTTTTGATAATGTTTCAAGATGGTTTAGCTTGTTCAGATTCAAATCTTCTAAATTTAGTCTTGAAAAAGAAAATTATGTAAAGATAAAATGGACCCAGTATTATTAGAATTACCCAAAGGCCGCAATCATGAAATACTTCTAGAAAAAGAATGTAATTCAAAATAAAGCCAAGAAGCTAGGAATCAAAATAAATAGTACATTTGAAACTTACATCATAAGAGTAGTTAAGACTAATTCAAAACAAGGAAACATTTTCTCAACATAACATTAAATAGCTAATGGCAAAAATGAATTCAAACCAAAACCAATAGCTCCTGAGAATATTATTATCCAAGTTTCATTAATTATATCAATTAGTAAGACTTTGATTAGGATTCCTGCCATTCCAATTGTCATAAATGCTTTATTGAGTATATCATAATGAGGCTTGATGTTCAATTTTAATTGATAATCAATATATAAGCTTGCAATAGTTCCACCGATGGTACCTGTAGCACAATAAACGATACTCACATATCCAATTTATTTTTGATTATAACCAAATGGTTCTAATAGAATAGCAACAACAACCATATAGGCCCATGCAGCTCCAATAAACATTGACATTGAAAATAAATCCAAAATAGATTCAAGATTCCTAAAAGCTCTTTTGAATGATTTCATTATTAACATTTTTTCTGAAGCCAAAATAATTTACATAAATAATTACAGCTGAAAAAGAAGGAGGAGAAGGTGGTTTATTTTTTATCATTAATAAACACATAAGGAATGCAACAGTATTCATTATAGAATAGATTAGATTCATAAAATCTATTTCCTTTATGATATTATCTAATTATCCTGAAAGTTCCTCAAAAGTTATAGAGGAATAAAAAATAGAAAAATTTAATCCTAATAAATTTAAAAAACTTCCTAAACAAGTGGATACAGTTCTTTCATGAACCGGAAACCATCTATCTGAAATATCTATTTCATTAAATAATAAGATTATTATTACATGCTGGAGCAGCTAAAATGAATATTTAACCTATTCCTATAAAAACGAAACCAATCATTGCTATTGCATAATTTTAATGAGCCAAATATATTGTCCATTAACCTTTAATATTTACTATATGATTACCTAATGAAGTTAAAAATGCAGCAAAAAACAATGAATAATCAAGTCTGATATCCAATGGTTTAATACTGAATGGTGCAAGTAAAAAATAAGTAATATAATAACAAATGCTAAACCAGGCAACACCATCCTCATCTACATCATAATAAGAGGCTGCCATTTTTAAAATTGGAGTATATTACACAAAACCCAAGGCATTGCAAAATCTGAAAATTAAATTTGATTCATTACGTAAATGCACAAAATGCCAATAATACTAACCACCTTTATTAATATACTTTATATTCTTATTTCTTTAAATAATAAATAAATTTGAACCTCAGTTGAATCATGTTTAGCTTTTAACATAAACTCATCGAAACTTGAATTATAAACCAACATTAAATATATGATTATTTTTATTATAATATATATATAAATAATTAAGATAACAATTGTTAAGAAAAACAAATATCAAAAATCAAGCAGCTGCTGATTATTATTCCATTTCTAAACGTAAGAACTTTGTTTTATATCCAAATATTAAATATAGATAAAATGGTCCCATGGCTATTAAAATAACCCATAATCCAACATCAAGAAATACCTCTAAAATCAAAATGTAATTTAAAATAAAACCAAATAACTTTATAATTAATGAATATTATACATTAGACATTTGCATTATTGCTGTTGTTAATACTAACTCAAATGAAGGAAATAATTTTTCTATATAACATTGTAAAGCTAATGGAAGAAATGAATTTAATCCAAATCCAATTATTCCAGACAATACAACAATTACTGTATCATTAACATAATTAATGATTAATGCTTTTATTAATATACCAGCTACTCCTATTGTCAAAAACCCTTTTATTAAATAATCATAATGAGGTTTTGTGTTATTTTTTATTTAATAATCTACATAAATACTAGCCAAAGTTCCACCTATTGCTCCAGTTGCTGCATATACAATACTCACATAACCAATTTATTCTGTTGTATAATTAAATGGAGCCAAGAGAATTGCAATTACAACCATATATGCCCAAGATACACCTATAAACATTGAGAATGTTAATAAATCCATTATTGATTCTAAACTTCTAAATGCCCTTTTAAAAGATGGCAATATTAACATTTTTTCAGATGCCTATCATAATTTATTATTATTACTGCTGATATTGATGGAGGTGTTGCTGGTTTATTTCTTATCATTGTTATACAAAATAAAAAGGCTAATGTAGTAAATATAGCAAATAATAAATTCATGAAATCTATTTAATCTACTATTTCATCATGATCAGACACATTTTAAAATGTGATAGAAGCATAGACAATAGAAAAATTTAATCCAACTAAATTGAAAAAACTACCTAAACTTGTAGATACAGTTCTTTCATGCATTGGAAACCATCTATCAGATATATCTATTATACTTATTTAATATATATACATGCAGGTGCTGCTAAAATAAATATCTAACCCATCCCTATTAAAATAAACCCTACTAAAGCAAAAGAATAGGTTTATTATGCTATGTAGATAAACCATTAACCTAAATGATTTTTAAGTACTTAATACCTAAAGCTGTTACAAAAGCAGCAAGAAATAAGGACAAGTCTAATCTTTTCTCTAGAGGACGTATAGTAAATGGACAAAATACTACATATGTAATATAGTAGCAATTGCTAAACCAAACTATGTCTTAGTCAGTAACACCATAATATTCAGCTGCTAGACTAAGAATTGGAGAATATTAGACAAATCCAAGTGCATTTGAAAAGCTAATTATGCATGTAAGAAGTACGTAAATGTGCAAAATGCGAATAAGACTAACCAACGCCAACGATAAGCTTTATATTCTTATGTTTTCAAGGCTTCTTCTGGACCCACCATAAATAAAAATGATGATTTAATAATATGTAATATTTGTACTCATTTTAATTTGTATGTTTGTAATAAATAGCCTCCAAATGCATTCATTTCAACTTTTGGATGAGTTCGATTTTCCAAAACTTAATGATATCTAAGAAAACTATCTAAAACATCAATTTTGCTGCATAGACCAGAAGATAGAAGTTATTCAGCTACCTCATGTAATTTTTCCAAATATGTACTGAATATAACAATTATTCCTCCTACTGCTATTAAATTCAAATATTTTTCAATAATTTCTGTAAATTTAAATTCTCCAGCTATCAAAAGACTATTATATATATAAATTATACTGAGTATATTTATTTTGGTTTTTTTCAATATCTTCCAAATTTTTAATTAGTTTAATACTTTTTAATATTTCTTCATTAAAATTCATTTATTATATTGGTAAATAATCTCTAAGATTAGATTTACTATGATTCCAAAATACAGTTGAAATAGAACCTTCACCATCTAATCTTTCTGCAACTGCTGAAACTACAACACCCTAAATAATAAGATATTATTATACATTAGCATTATCAAACATAAGGATATTTGAATTTTAAGTAATACTTGATAATTACATAAAGAATGCCAAACTGTCGATTCTCATAAAACTATTTTATTTAATATAAAATTTTTACTTTAATTTTTATGGAGATTCTAAAAATTAAGTCTTATGAACATTTTCAATTGTTGTTTTTAAAACCATAAAACAACAAATATATTTTTCCTTCTTTCTCTTTAAATATTTTGCTTTAGAAAATTCAGTTTTTTATTCAAAAGTCTTACTATTTTAAATTACTTCGTCAACAATTTCTTCACCTTCTTTCTATTATTTTAATTAAATTATCTCTTCTTAAGTTAATTTTTAAGAATCATTAAAATCAAATAGATCTTTATTTGTTTTTGTAATTTCAATATTTGCATCATCAATTTAATTATCTAAATCAGCATTATCATAAAATTAATCTGATGTTATTTCTACAACAGTATTTGATTTATCTATTTTCCAAAATGTATTATATTATTTATGAAGAATAACACCAATATCAAATTTATGTTTTCTCCAACCTACCATTCTAATATTTTAAATTAGTTAAATACTTTTTCTCACTAACTTTAACAATTTTTGATTCATTTCTATTATCTTCTAAACATACCCAAGTATCTTCCTCTATGATTTCCATAATTATAAATTTAATATAAATATTTGTTAAATTCTTTTTCAATAATAAATTATTATTATTATTATCTATATAATCATATAAAATAGAAATTAATTAAGAAGACAATTCAAATCATTTTTTTACTTTTCATAACTTTTTTATATCTATATGTTCCAAATATAGTTATTAAGACTGTTACTAGAAGCAAGATTACTGATGATATTGCTATTCTGTATCCCAATTACTAGAATTATTAAAGTCTTTATTCTTATCTTTCTGCTAAACTTGAAAACATTCCCTATTTTTGTATCATTTAATTACCTTTATGATATCATAAGAGATTTTCATTTAAGCCATAAGATTTTCAATTGGTTGTAATTATGTCATAGGTAATTAGGTATCAATTTTATAAGATTATTCTTCATCATCTTAATAGTATTTTAATGAATATAAAATAGTTGACGTGCTTAAATTTTATATACATATTTGAATATTGTGGTTATATTTCACTTTAAATTTAAATTTTTGTATTAATTCATTTTGACTTTAATGTAAATACCCTTCTTTTTTAAATCTCATTGGATTCTTGCAATAGATTCAAAATCATACATATATTTTTATACTAAAGTCTTTTATTGTACTACTTATTTCTCCTATGACTGTTAGTCCTTCAGTAAGACTATCACCAAAACAAGTAATCTCTCTTTTTCCTAGTGATTAATTGAATTCAATTGCATTGATTTACAAAATGAGTAATAAAAATAACATTTTTATTTAATTATAAATTTATTTTATTCTATAGTAAAATATACTTTATTTTATTAGATGAAACCTTTTTTTGAATACACTAAATAAAATTAAATGATTCAAACATAAAAATACCTCATTCTTCAATATGAAATTCTATTAAATCATCTAGTCTTAATTTTTTTACGTTATATTCTCTAAGATCTGGAAAATGAATTGCTTCTATCAAATAATCTATTAAATATTTTAATTCTTGGTCATTTTAATCATTATGCCATTCAAGTATAGGAATACCGTTTTCTATTTAGAATCCAAAAGAATGAGCTAAATTATCTACAATAAGCATATCCTTTAATTCTTTATTACTTATTAATCTAAGATCTTTAATAAAGAATCCATTTTTGGTTTCCATACAATTATTTCTTGTCATAATTCCTGATATATACTATTTAGTTGGATCTAAATAATTAATAATAGCTTGAGCATATGCTTAAGATGAAGCAGTGTAAATATATATTGTATAATATTGAGATAGTTATTAAAGAAACAGCGAAGTATAAGGTCGAATATTAATCCCAATCTAAATTATTCAATTAATTTACTTTGGCTTCTTCACCAAAATCTCCAACAGCAGTAACATAAACTTAAGGATTTTCTCTTTGAGTGCATGAATGAATCAAGGTTTCATCTAAATCTAGTATTAGAGCTCGATCTTTCTTTGGATAAGCTTCAGATAGTTAAACCTTCTTAGATTATATAAATTTATCAGAAGGGCCTTTCAAACATTTTCTTGCATAAATTAAACCTCGTTGAGTTAGAATTAAATGTTTTTTGAATGTTTATTCATTAATATTTGGACCAAAGATTAAATGTCTGAAAGGATGATTGCCTAATTTATCTTTTCCATTATTTTATGAATTCTTCTTACTTTACTCATTATCAGAATTAGCATTTAAATTTTACATCGAGACAGCTTGTCTATTATATAGTTAATCTAATACTTAGTTTTATTTAACTTTGGGTTTTATGGTTGTTGATTTAGTTTTTATTAAATTCTTTAAGCTTATTCTTCAATATTATAATTTCCTTCTTATTATTATATTTAAACAGGCTATTACTTTTTTTCATTATCACTGAATTCAGGTTCAATCTCAACATCTCCATCAATTTTTTTAGTATTTACTAAATTGCTAAATCTTGACATTTTAGTAGCTAATTAAATACAAAATAAAGCTACCTTATGGTTATTTACTTCTTGGTTTTTGGTTTTTTGGTGTTCCAGAATCTGAATCATCTGTCTAATATCCATTTTATTAAATTGGTGATTTCACTTTTGTTTTTACAATTGTTTTTGGTGTATTATCCTAAGAGTTAGTACTTTCACCTTCTTCTTCACTATAAAATTATAGTTTCTATTCTTAATTAATGACTTATTTAATGTGACCAACTTATGTCTTAGCCTTAAAACTATACAATTTATCCATTTTATAATTTTATTTTTTATTTAGAAGAAAAGAAATAAAATAAATGAAACTTAAGTTTTAATTTAGAAACATAGAATATATTATTACTATTTAATTTTTATTTTGAGTATTGTTAAATATACCTAATAAATTAAAAAAAAACAGTAACAATTAATTATTATTTTAATCTCAAAGTTAGTTTTCTAAAATAATTAGATGAAAATAAATAAATATTATATATAATTAAAGTTCATTTTTTTATTATTTTACTGCTTTTCTTTTATGAAAGATTATAAATATTTTTCTATGAAGTAGTTGGCTATTTTTATATTGTTGGACGTTATTATCTTGATACAGCAGAGGGAGGAACCTTTAATTGAGTTTAACTACCTACCATTGTGCCCCTCATACTTTATGGTTTACTCTATATTGATATTGCTTATTAAGAGTCATTTAATTCTGTTAAATGTGGATTATAATTTGGCTCTTGTTCTTCATCATCAATCCTTTCAAGTGGTTAAATTGGAGATCTTTAATTCTATTAAGGTTATTTTTCTTATTCAAATTAAGGGAAAATATTTTTAGGTTCTATTTCTGGAGATTTTGGAACTACTAATGGTTATTATGGTCTTTAAGATCCTACTCCAAATGAATCTTGACGAATAGATTACCTATTTTAAAGAGTTTGCTCAACTTATTATCCTGTTAATTATTATGTAATCACTTTATCTTAAGATAATGCTAAAGACTATCTTTATTATAAAGCATAAGGAGATCTTTGATGATCATTCATGCTTTCATTAATTTAATTTGATGGATAATTATAAGTTGATGATCTAGCTTATGATTACTATTCAATATTTTATAATTGTTTTGATTAAACTTGATTTGAATATTGATATGATTATTATTAATATTAAGAATAACTTTGTTATTGTATTTATTATTATTATTATTATTATTATTATTATTATTATTATTATTATTATTATTATTATTATTATTATTATTATTATTATTATTAATATTAAGGAAACTTCTTTTAATCAGTGTTAATTGATTGAAATAATGATTATTATTAAAATTAGTTATTATCATATTAATTTGTAATAGGTTTTTATTATAAAGTTTTTAAATTAGAATTTGTTAATTCAACTTATTCAACTAAACTTTATTTTGGTTATTCATCAATTTCTTAATGATTATAAGCATATTCATCATCATTATGGATGATTTATTCATGTTCATTGTAATTCTATTATTAATATTATTAGGGGTTAGTTAATTTTTTAAAGAAAGATTGTCTATTAGAAGGAGGATCCTATATAATAATTTAATCACTTTAAATATTCATTTATTTATTTTATAAAGGTAGAATTTCTTATAAAGTAATTGGTTGTAAATTCTAGTATTATTGTAAACTTTTAGTTGGTTCCCAATTAGGAAGAGGAACTTTCAATTTTTTTGTAGGGGATTTTTAGAATCTTATTTAAGCATCCTAACTTCTTTTTAAAGCTATTTTAGCTCTTTAATCGAGATCCTCAACTTAATGATATAAATTATTAGGATCTTAATTTTATGATGCATGTAATTATTGATCAACAACTCTTTATTTTTAAATACCATATCCATTACTCTATTCTCTGAAATCAATTGAATAATTTGGTATGAATTCAGAAATAGAAGAGAACTAATATATGTAAATTTTATATTATTACTCTAAAATAATCTTCTAATTAAAATCTATATCTATGTAATAATTCATGAGCTTGTTTTGGATTAGGCCTATTATCAGGAGCCATAACAAGTAAAGATTCAACTATTTCATATAAATCAGAACTATATTAAGATTTCAGAAAAAATAGATGATCATCTAATTTTTCCATATTAAAAGTATAAGATTGAATATCATAAATGTCCTAAATAAAACTTAAAGTTGCCATTTATAATGCCGTTAATCCAATACAAAATACATCTGATTTATTTTAATCAATATTTGGTCTTAATACTTTCTGTTTAAGTGAAGATAATTATTCAGGACTTAAATTATACTAACCTTATTATTTAGCTATGCATCTTCTATAAGAATTCATTTCTGTCATTTCTTAGATGTCAGTTAATTTAAAAACTGGAAATGGATGATTCTAACGAAATTAACTCCTTTTTGCAAAAGATGTCATACTTATAGTCAAAGGTCTAATGTCACCATGTTATTTCTATTGATCATTCAATCTTTATAATGCCATTAACTAATTTTAGATTTCAGTTTATTACTGTACAATGTAACATAGCAACTATTTCAATTTCTTCAAAATATTATTTAGTTTCAGCTAATTCATTTATAACTCTTTCTAAATATTCATCAAAATATTCATAGACACTATGAGCTTAAGTTAATTAAGTGCAGAGTTCCTTTTCTGTAACATGTTATAAATCAATCATTTAAATTAAGAAAGGAGTGCTCTATTTCTATATTTAATTTATTATGAAAAATTACATTTCCCATTTATTTTTCTTATATTATTTTGAATTAATTCCATTATTCATCATCTTAAAAAATATGATCTTTAACAGCTACAGCATGTTGATCTTAAGTCTTGAATATTCTAATTTCTCCATATCGAATATCTGTAGATTACTTCCAAAATTATAGCTAACTGATCTTAGGAACATCCATTTTTGATTATTGTAAATTTTATGAATTTGCTTAACCCATTCTGTTAATTATTTTATTTTAATAAATTTTAATTCTAAATATTGTATCAAATTCTTGTATAATAATAAAAAAGAAGAAGGTCTATTTTGATTAACATAAAATTAATATTATACTTAAATGTCCAAAATTTATTCAATAAAACATATTTTATATCCTTAATGTATTTTTAAACAATTTGTTATTTTATTAATTATATAAATATGTATATAATAATCATGTAAATTTTACTTTTCTGTAAATTTTTGGTCCTAAAAAATAAGTTAAAAAAATATATTATTATTGTAAGTCATCTAATCATTTCTGCAGTTTAAAAGTGCAAGATACAAAAAAAATTTGAAAATAATTCTTTAATTTATTTTAAGATGATATTTTAATGTAATTTTGTTTCTGATTTTTCTTTCGATTGATTTAAAATACCTAAGAAAAAAAAATTATTGCACTATAAATTTCTTTTCTAATTTCATTAATACTATTAATTATAATAAATATTAAATATTAATTATTTAATCATTTAATATGTAATATTCAAATATAGAATGAATAATGCTAAATTAGATTATATAATCTTACTTCTTGCTATGAAGCTTGAATATCCATTTATAAATCAGATTTACATCATTAATACATTGTAATAATGACTGTAAAATTTTTTTTGTTCACAATTGTAATTTATTGAAAACGATTATTTTAAAAAAAAAAATCATTTTTATTAAAAATATTTTTATATTTACACAATCCTATTATGAAAATCACATAGATATAGAAACTATACTAAAATCATCAGTCGTATTATGATAATAACCCTGGTATATAAAGATTTAGTAGCAACTAAAAATTTGATTAATTTTATTTTAAATATCAAATTGATATAATATGTCTGTATCATAGGAACAAAGAATTTCTTCTACCTCCTCTCTTAAAGAAGATTGTATTCCTCTAAAGAGATAAAGCAGCATCCAAAATTTACTTAGAAGAAAAGATTTTAAATAAGTGGTGAGGATTTTATAAAATTAGAATAAGTCAAGGTTAGGTTATATTACTATTCTAGAACGAATTATAAAAAGTTAAAGTATGAGGATTAGATCTATCGTGTTGGATAAAATTTATGCATCAAAGGTGACAACCGATCGGAATATGTGGCTAAACTTATTAAAATAGTTAAACTCTATGATGATGAAGATAATTGTATACCTTTAATTAAAGTGCAATGGTTTTATAGGAAAAATGAACTTTATGGTTTACCTAAAGAATAAATGGATTGTATTTCAGAAAATGAAGTTTTCAAAACTAATGAATTTGACTATATTGAAATAGAAAGCATAGTGGGATTAGCTATTATACTAAGTTATGAAGAATATGATTAAATTGAAGAGTTGAATGATAATATTTATTTCACTAGAGCATCATTTATAGACAGAAAATTACATCCATCTATTGAATAATGGAAATAAGTTTGTATATGTCATAAGCCCGCCAATCCAGATTTAAAGTATCAACTTATACTAAATTAGGTATGTATTTTGTGATGTTTGTTAAAAATGGTGTCATTTAAAATGTGTGGGCCTAACTTAAGACTAAGCAGATAAACTTAATAAATATGTGTGTCCTGATTGTAAAAACTGATATATAGTATAATTTATTTGATAAAAACATATTCAATTGACTGACCTTAAAAATATTATTTCAAACTGTTATTAGTTATCTCATAAACTTTTAAAGATAAATATGGCTTTATTTTCATTCTTTCTTTATTCTAGTCTACAGATTTATTTTCTAAACATAATTTTCTAATACAATACTAAAAAACTATTTACTTAGCTCCGATTCTAGAATAATTAAAACAATCCTCTGAAAATCATTACAATTTTTTATTCTAAACCTTATTAATTAATCGAAATTTTAAAAGCAATTCTAAGAGACTAAAATTCTAAAGTCCATAAAATAGTACTTATTTGTATTTTAAAATAAGAAAAAATCTGTCAGTCATAACTAAATAATATCTAATTTTCAAATTAATTCATAGATCTACATCAATAAACAGAATTTAACAAGTTTAAATAATAACTATACCATTTTAAAATGAAATGATTTTTCTTATACATCATATTATTTAAATTGATATGATTTGTATGATTAATTATTATGATATGACATTTTATTATAATAGTATGAAATAATATTATGTCTTTTCGAAATATCAAAAATTAAAAAAACCTTTTTTTCGTGGACCTTAGGAGATTTTATCTAAAATATGTAGTTATTAATTAAATAAGATTAGAAAAACTCATTTTAAATTTTTGCAATATTTTATAAAATATAATATAATAAAATAGTATAATATAATAAATAATGGTTCAATAAAATTTATATATAATAGTATTATATATAATGAAACAAAATTTTTATACACTAAAATTTTAAGCTTAAATATTAAATAACTAATATATCTATTACATATTTTCAATATACTTATATTAAGTGATTTAATTAAATAAAAATATTCATTATTGCAAAAGTTCTTTTTAACAACAAAAATAATATATAAAATATAATATGAATATTTATTGTTAGATAATTCCAATTTTCTATTGTTTTTTCTATGATTCAAAATATTTATTCCAAAACTCTTAAAAACACTGATATTTATCATTTCTCATAGTAAAAATTGTGAAAGAAAATGAAAATAAGAATTCTTAATTGTTTAAAATTTATTTTGATAAAAATATATAAATATGATGCTTCAACTCATTCTAAACCTCCAATGAATGATATTTGTATTATATATTTAATTTGTTTGAATACTATATATAAATAAAATGTTTAAATAAAGTTTTATATTTTTTAAATATAGAAGTATATATATTAGTTGAAAAGTATTTTATTTGTATATTAAGTTATTATTTAAAGATTTAGTTTAAAAGAAGACTCAAGATGTTTTAGAAATATTGAAAAATCAGATAAATTAATACTCAAATTTTTAAGGAAATTATAAATTATGTTTATTATATTAATAGTTATCGTTAATTTCAGATGATTTACGACTATCAAAAGTAATATTCCTTATAAGACAATAAGAAATTACTTATAAATCGTAGAAATAAATTTATGAAATAATATTTCACCTTATTATAATAATTATATCATAGTGAAAATTGGATCATTAATTTATGAATGTATATTGTAATATTTAACTCATTTATGCGATCTAATCTTTAATGCTACAGATTTAAACAAATTTTATAAAGGTTACTTAATATCAATTTCTCTTGTTGTTATTAATTCCACTAAAAATTCAAAGACCTAAAGTAATGGATGTGGTTCTAAGTTCAAATCTTTTAATGATTATAATTCCAATAACAATTAAATAATTTCTTAAACTCGTTTTCTACTTAATGGCATAGATCCTGACATATATTCATCCTTCATAAATTAAGTAACTAAGGATTAACAAATTTAATTTAAAGTCATTAAGTTTTTAGGTTTCTTAAATATTATATTCATCAACTTTTATCTAGTTTCATAAAACAAATCTTCTAATTAATATAAATTGATATTCCTAGATAGTAATTCCCAATAATTTATAATTTCTCTATCCAAAATATCTTATGAAAGAAGCCATTCACAAATTTATAATTCCACATCAATACAACTTTTTAATCCATCAATACTTATTATTTTATCCCATTACTAAGTAAAATTGAGTTATTCAGATAAAAGTTAAACATATTCATTTTTTTAACAAATTTAAATAGTTTCTATTATTAATGGTAGAACCTAAACCCATAAAGGTTTATTAGTTTTATTATAATTTTTAACATTATTTACTTTCTATTAATTTTATCTAATTGAAAGCTAAAGTAGACAAATATCAATATATTATTTAATAAGTTCAGGATCTGTTAATTATTTGTCTGTTATATATTTACTTAATAATTATGTATACTTAAGAATTACTAAATCCTATAATTTTGTCATTCCTCCTTCCTTTTTCATATTTAATAAGAGAAAAGAATAAAATTTAGATTTATCCTTTTAATTACTAAGATGTACATAAAAGTCTTCTGCAAAATCATGTAATTATTTTTCATCCATCCATATTTTAATATTTGATATATTTTCTATGTTTATAGGCAAATCAACAATTGCTTAGTAACTATCATATAAATCATCTACTAATTCTTCTGGAAATGAATTTTAATTTTTATTATGAGCTTTTAGAAATAATACATATAATTCACATACTTCAGGTAAAATTTTATTAATTAATGTTTTAACATCTCTATTATCTTAAATCTTTTATCCTATAAACTCTTAAATACAGAGAATAAATTCCTTTGCCCAATCAAATTATTCAACCAAATTTTTTTCTATCATAATTTCTGTATTTTCTTTTATTAAACGAATAATTTCCCATCTTAAATCTAAATTATTAATTTTAAATGATATTATTAATCTAATAAATGTTTCATTATATAATTATTAAGCATGTTATTTAAATTCTTAATCCTCTTATTGTCCAATCTTTTTTAAAAATTTTGTTAAATTTTAAATCATAATCTTTAAAGTATCTTCCCATGCTACCATAATTTCATTTTAAGGTTTTATTGTAGTTTATAAATCTTTTTCAGAAAATTTAGTAAATTTTGGATAGTCTTCTTCTTTTAAATATTTAGGGACTTTCATATGAAAAATAACTTATAATTATTATAATTAGGCAACTCTTCCTATCAAATCATCTAATATCTTGAATATTAAATTTTTTAATAAATCAATTTAAAAATTAATTCTAAATGATCCACAATTAATTAATATTATTTAAATTATAATATGTAAAGCTGATTATCTAACATCTGGAGCATTGTCCAATGATAAATCTTTTAAACTCTATAAAACAACAGTCCATAATTCCTCTACTTCAGTTTGTGATGTCTAATTTGTGCAAATCTTACTTAAATTATCTGCTAATTACCAAATTAAACCAACTGAAACATAACTAATATTTTATTCTGTTGTTCTTTATCTAAATTATTTTATTAATGGTAATAATCTTCTAGTTGTCTTAGGATCCAATAAATGCATAAATTACCCTATTAATAATTCCAAAATATGAAATCCTATATTTACATATCCAGTAGGTTCTGTTTCATCACAACTAATTAATAATATTTCAATAATAGTATTAAATCCTAGAATATTCAATTCATGTCCATTATTTTAAATCAATTTAAAAATTATATTCAATAAAGTTTCTTTGACATCTGCATATGGAATATTAATCATTTATTGAATAGGACTTAATAAATGAGATTACCAGCTATCTCCTTCCCAACAAAGACTTTAATCTGGCTTTAAAAAATAAATAAATCCTTATTAAACTATATATGAAAAGATCTCTAATGCAGATTCTCTAAATGCTTTATGTTTATAATTTGCTATGCATAAAAAATGAGCAGTAATAAAATCCCAAAATTTGTTAATTCTGAACCAATTTTACTTTGTTATTTAATGAATCTTTTATAATCCAAATTAAATAGATTTAGAATCAACTAAAGTTTAAACATTATTAAATTATTCCATTAGACTCAAAGTTACTTAATTTATAGCTTCAATCATATGTAATAAATTGGCATCTTCATATACATTACTTGATGAAAATAAACCATCTAAAATATTATTTAACAATGATATTTCTTATTAATATATTTCAGGATGAGACTCTTATTATATAGCATTTTGAGTTTAAGATTTTTAAAGAAGTGCTTCAAATTATTACATAGCTTTCATTATAATATACCATGATTTAATATCTAATAAATCTACAAATTTAATTAATTATATTACTTCCTAATTATGCTATATTGAATAAGGTTTTTGCACTTTACAATTAATTTTTTGTTAGAGTTGTATTTTATTTTGCCACACAAAGACTACTTAAATATTTTATAAAGGCATCTCTAGTTTTATTTTAACCTAAAGAACCAGATAAATTAATCCAAGTTTATATTGAATTTAAAATACTTTAATACTAGATTTCATCATTTAAATTTATCATTAGATTTTAAATTGTTTTTAAAGTTAATTATTGTGTAGTCTCAATTATTTAATTTACTTCTTTACAATTATCTTCAATTAAGATCTTAGATTGAGATAATTTGTAATTCAAACTAAATAAACCAATTTATTTTTCATATGCAATTTGTAAAATTGAATCAGTAAAATGAGAGATACATTCAACTATTAATATAATTTAATATAATACTTGATTTTTAAGAAAATTATTATTTATTATATATAGGAATTTCTGTTAAATTTAATATGTTTTATTCGTATAATTTCTTTTACTTTGCATAAGTCTATTATTAATTCGACTAATTTATTGTATATTAAGGTTCTTATTCAGTAGATAGTTTGATAATAAAAACTAAATGCTATAAAAAAGTAGATTATTATTATTATTATTATTATTATTCTTCCTATAAAGGTCCTTAATAAAGTAGCATAACTAATTTAGGATCTTATAGTAAAGTTAGAATTCCTTCTAAGATCCAATATCTAACATAACCATATGATGGAGATCTTGTGAATAGTAGACTAATATGTTTAAGTAATGATATGTCTCTTTGTAAACTTACTATCATTCTAAATGAATCTCTAATTCTTCTTGCATCTATGATTATATACGAAAATACTGAATTAAACATCTGCAGAATCTAAACTCATTTCTTCATAAATAATGGCAGAAATTTCTTCTATTAATTTGCTTAGCTATTCATCTTTATTTAAAAAAGGACCCAAATTTTAAACTATTTAAAATATCATATCTCTGCATATTCCTTTAGAATATTAATGTTAGACAACAAATGGTACCTTTTATCCTTTCATTCCTTAAATAAGTTGTAAAAATATCAGAACTCCATTTCTATGAGGTTTTTCACTGTATTATGCATATAAGAAATCTAGTATTTTCATGAGACCTGTCATTGAAGTAGTTTGAATAATTGGATTTTTTGAAATTACTAAGGTAAAGAATATGCAAATTAACTACATTAAGAATAATTATTACTTTTTCTATGCACTCAGGATTATTGATATTTACTATTTCTTTATGAATTAAATGTACACTACATTACACTAATTTTAATTGAACATTTTCAATTATTTCATCTTTAAACAAATAGAGAGAATGTAATAAGGGATGAAGGTCTGCCTAAAATAGAATTTAATTTACTTCCTGCAATATAGGAGTATTGAATAGTTTTAATATAATATTAAGAGCAATTCCAGATGTTTGATTGGTTTTGCTTTCAGGAAGTCTAACAAGAATTTTTATTATTTCTTAAATAGGTAAATTTTATTAAGACTTGTGCTTCTTGATATCATCTATTATTCCTTAAATAAGAGGTTTCAAAACTTGGTTTTTCTTTTAATCACTTAAAAGTTGTTGGAATTCATTCGATAAAGAATCAATTAAATTCATTAATTTTTTAGTAAATAATAATCATTCCATTAAATTTAAGTTGTGTATGCTTTTTCTTCATCAGTATCTACAAATTCATATTCATCTAGATTTAAACAATTACTTTATTCAAATTCAATTGTCAAATTAACTTTAAATTGTTCTAAATTACAATCATAAACATCCTCAAGACTAAGCATATAATCAACAAATCTATGATCTGATAAATTAACTTAAGTATTTTATTAAAATTCATAAGGCTTTTTAATTCTATATTTATTTTTAATACATTTGTTTCTATCTGATTTTGATTTATGAGTTTATTTTATTTATGCTATATCATCTTCATGATCATTATATAAAATATATTCATTTTTTATAACATCAGATGATTATATATTTTATTCTAAAACTTATGGTTTTGATAAATTTGATATATTTTTTTGTGGCTATATTTTATTGTCATTTTTTTAATAAGATTCATCATAAATAGAAGTTTAATAATTTTCATATATAGATATCTATTGAATATTTTTAACTAATTTTTTGTTTTAGAATTTTAATTGTTAACAAGATTAATATAATTTCGAACTAAAATATGGATTTACAAGTTTAGAATCTACATCATAAAAGTCATTATAATTCTACATCTTTACTTAAATATAATTAGGTAAATGTATTTTAAATGCTTCTTTTTATATTCTATCAATAATAACTTCATATTATTAAATCATACTCTGCATCCTTATAATAATAATAATCATACTTAGAATCATAATCTACATTATCTGAATTCTTAAGATAATGATAATTAGTTTTGATTAATTAATCCTGTTCTTAAATTAAATCAATTCCAGGTACTTTTTATTTGGCTAATGCATTCAAAGCAATAATTTCTTCACTCAAAAAACAATAATTTTTGATAGAATTGTTAAAACGACCTAATTTAAGTTTTCTTCCTCTATTTTAAGGAGAGAGAATGAGTTTCTTAATATTAAAAAAATCTTCAATTTTTTTCCTGAAACTATTAATTAAGTAATTTCTCCATGCTTTTATACTTTTTTCATTACCTGCTGTCAATAGAAGATATTTTTTTTGAAAATAATTTTTTGTTAATTGTTTATATTGATTATTACTATGACTTCTATCACTTAAAGGTGAATTAAGAGTATTAGTTTCAAATCTATTTGAATACATTGTTGACATAAATTTTTATGGAGAAAGTAAATGTTTTTGTTATCCTAAATATTTCGATATATATGAAGAATCAATACAAAGATCTTATTTGCTAGTGAACCTACTGAAACTATTGCTCTAATAATTAGGAGAGTATAAATTTTTTTGTTTCATAGTTATAATAATTAATCTAGGCATTCATTATTAGAAAAACATGTTTATTGAAATTTCCTAATGGTTTTCTTATTTCATATCCTTAAAATGCAAACATAATTTTACTTTGTGTCTCTTATAAAGTGAAAACAAACCAAAATTATTTTATAATTAATTTATGAGTGAAGATCAGCCAGAATCAAATAGATAGTCTGTAAAACAACTGGCAGGAAAGTTTTAATCAATGATTAAAACTACTACTCCTTTATAATAATAACCACCTCCTTAAAGAAAAAGTGAAGTCTTTACTAGAAGTTCAATGTCAAGAGAAGAAACGAATAAAATATAATAATTAGTAGGTTAGGTTCAATAAGAAATAAAATAAGAGCAATAAGTTGCTTAATCTCTCATTCAATAGAAAGATGAAATTAATACATAATCAATATAAACCAATAAATCTGATAATTTTATAGGGGATTCTTAATTTCAATAATCATCATAAACTTAGCAATAAAAAAATTAAAATCTTGAATAAGATGAAGGGTAATTATTATTGTTAATTTAAAAGGAACTCCAAATTCTAAAATAATAAATTTAGATTTGAAAAGGAAGAATTAAAGAATTAAATAGAGTATTTTATTCATATTAAATAGAAAGTTGAAAGCAAGAATTTAAAGGTATGAAAATGATGAAAAATAACACATTCATAGTGAAATGAGAAAATAAGAATTAGAATAAAATCTATAATTGAAATAATAAGAATGTTTACAATTATAATAAAAGTAATTAAAAATTAAATTAGATAGGTTGGGAACAGCAGAGGAATAATTTAGAAAAAAATAGCAAGTAATATTAGATGAATTATAAAAAACTATTGATTCTATGACAAAAGAAAATTAATAAAAAGATTCAAAGATTTAAGATCTTTAAGAAAATTTATAAATGTTATCAGAATAAATTAAAGAAAAAGAATTAAAAATAAGAGAAGTTTAGGAAGCAGAATAAAAAGAAATTAGTGATATTGCAAAAGAAAGAATTAAATTAATTGGTGAACTTCATAAATGTTAAGCTGAATTATAAGAATTATAAAAAATTAATGCTTAATAATTTTCATAAATTTAATAATTAACTAATAAAGCTACTCAAATTTAAAACTTATCAAAATTAGAAATTGATAAATTAAAATAATTAAATTAAGAATAATAAGATAAACTATAAGAAAATCAAATAAATATAGATTTAATGAATAAAAAAATAAATGAATTGACTGAATTAAATGATCAACTCAATTAATAATGTGATTAATTATTTAAAAATAAAGAATAATTAGAAAAAGAATTAGCATAAAGTAAAAGAGATGTTGAAATTGAACTTAAATAAAATTAAGAATTTATTCATTAACTTTAATATTAAATACAAAATTAAAAAAATGAATAATTATAATTGGAATCAAAATTTCAAAATGAACAATATGAACTAAATTAAGAATTGAACAATTTAAATGAATAATTATAATTACTTTAGAATTAAAATCAATAATTATAAGAAGATAATTAAATTTTAAATAAAGAGTATACAGCTTATAAAAATGAAAAAGATTAAGAAATTATATAGTTAAATTAACTAAATAACTAATTAAATAATGATTTAGATTAAGCTAGATAATAATTTAATTTAAGTTAATAAGAAATAGAATAAAAATATAGTGATTTAATTCAAAATCTTAATTCTAATATTACATAATTAGAAGATTAAAAATAATCCTTATTAAAAAAAGCAAATGAAGAGAAATTATAATTGTAAAAAATAATTACAAATCATTAATAGGAATTATCTTAAGAAAAGGAATTAAATAAATAAATTGAAATAAAATTCACAAATGAAATAACTCAACATAAAGATGATTTATTGTAAAAATAAATCTTAATTTAATAACTTAATGATAAAATATATATTTTATAAGAACATTCCAAATCATAAGAAACAAATATTTCAAAAAATATTGATGACTATAAAATCTTATTAGATTAAAATAATCAATAAATTACTTAATTATCAGAATAAATTAGATAATTAAAAAAATAATAAAAGTAATAAGAATAAGATTCAAGAACAACAATCTCATAGTATGAATTGCAAATGAAATAATATTTATAAGAATTAACTTAGACTAAAATGTAAAAAAATGATGCTGAAAGTGAAAAATAAAGTAAAGAAGCATAATTAACTTAAGTAATTGAAAAATAAAAATCATAATTATCATAAGCAAATACTACAATTTAAGATTTAAATTACTAAATATAATAATTATAATAAAATATAAAAGATCAAGATGAATAACGTTTAAGTATTATGTCATCAAAATAGTCAGCAATTTTTGAAAAAGAAAATTAAATAACAAATTTGGATAGTTAAGTATAGAAATTCTAGAATGAAATATCAAGTAAATAAGAAGTTATTTCTGAATTATAAAGATAATTAGATAAATAAAAGTAAGAAGTTACTTCTTTAATTTTGGAAAGGGAAAGAATACAGAAAAACAGCAATTAATAAGTTTATGAATTGCAAACACAAGTAAAAGATTTAAATTATGAGTTAAATTAAATGAAGAATTCAATGATTTAAGTTGAAAATGAAAAAAATATAAACAAAGAAGAATACAATTAAGCTACAGAATAATTAAAAGAGTAAATTAATAGATAAAGTACTATGATAGCAGAACTTTAAGAATTTCTTAAAGACAGCAATTAAAAAGAATTAGCAAGTACTTAAAAAGCTACATAATAAGGTCTTGAAATTAATTAATTATAATTAGAATTAGCAAAATTAAAAAATGAATTAACACTTTAATAGTAAAATAATTAAGTTCAAATTGAAGATTTATAATTAAAATATTAATAATAAAAATTAAAAGATTAAGATGAATAAAATTAAACATCATTAATAAATGTATAAAAAATATAAAATCTAGAATTAGAGTTAGATGAATTATAAAATGAGAATTAAAAATTAAAAGATTAAATTGAATTATTAAATTAAAGCATTAATCAATTAAAAGATGAATATATTAATTAAAACAATTTAGTTTAATAAACAAACACAAATTATTAAAAAATGTAAAATGAAATAAATGAGAAATCTCATAAAATTGAAGAATTAGAATTATAAAATGAAAACTCTAAATCTTAGATTGATTAATTAAATTAGACTATGTTAGGTTAATTAGAAATGATTTAAATATAGAAAAATAATATTTAAGATTCTTAAATTAGGTATAATTAAATATTACTTGAAAATTAAGAAATTCAAGTGAAATTGGAAAATCAATTATTAAAAGAAAATTCTTATTTTAAATAAATAGAAGACCTTAAGATCTCTTTTGAATAATTGGAGTAGGTAAATTTATAATAGAATGATGAAATCTAAAAGTTACAAAATTAATTAGATATAGAAAACAAAAAGAGAGAAAACATTGAACAAGAATATAAATTAGTAACTGAAGAATTTAATGATTATAAAGAATAAGCAGAAAAATCTATTAATGAATTATAGAATACACTTATAAGTTGTAAAAATGAATCAAAATAACATATAAATAACACATTATTATAATAAAAATAAAAATCAGAACTTGATTAGAAATTAGCAAAATTATAATAGTAACTTTAAGTTGAAAAATAATAATTTGAAATTGATCTTCATTAGATGTAAGAGAATTTTAATTAAAAAACAAAAGATTTATAATTATTATTAAATCAAAAGATTGAAGAAATTAAAATATAACAATAATAATTAAAAAAATAAGAAAAAATTGAGAATATGATTTTTGAATTAACTGTCTAAAAAGATTAATTTATTTAATAAATAGATATTTCTGAAAAAAAACTTAAAGATAAAATTTAAGAGAATTAAAAACTTAATCAAACATTAGAGAAATAATAAGAAATCCATTAAGAATAATTGGCTTAATTATCAAATGAAAAACTCAAATTGTAATCAGAAATTAAATAATTAACAAATTAAAATTAATAGTATTTAAATCAAATATAAAAATATTAAGAATATATATAATAATAATAAAAAGATTTAGAAAAGAATTAATTCTTAAACAGAACTGCAGTTTTAAATGATAATTAAGGTTTGATTTTAGAATAAGAATTGACAAATCTTTAAAAAAAAGTAATTATTTTTTATCTATATTATAGCTTGTGTAAAAATTGAATTTTTATAAAGATTTACTATCAGATAGAAAAAATACAGATCTAAAGCAAACTGTAAATGAAGATTTAATAACTATAAAGAAAGATTACATAATTGCATTTGAAAAAGTTGGAGTTGTTGTTAGAGGGATAGATGAATTGGAAAAGATTTCAGGATCAAAGAATGCGTATTAAATTATATTATTTTAGTAATGAACTGAATAAGCTTAATAGAATTTTAAGAGATTTTATATAAAAGTTTGCAAATTCAGTATAATGAAAATAAAATGAAAAATTTAGTTAAGAAATAAATTTATCAATTAAATTATTATTTTTTTTGATTTAAATTCCTCCAAGGATGTGAATGGTCAAAATATAATTAATATTTTTCTGAATCCCCAATATTATATTAATCTAGTGTTTCAAAACTCTTTTCTGTATCAATTAAATCTACATATATCTTTTTTCTTGAAGTACTTCTTATAGCTGGAAGAGTGAATGAATTTTCACCTTAATCATCTCCAAATCTAAGTATTTAATTTTTTTTAAGAGCCATTTAAGCTTACCTTTAAGTTTTTTAGATAGAATTTTCTTCTACTTTAATAGGAGTCTTTTTTCTCTTAGCAGATCTACACCTAATTTTAAGATCTTCATATAATTTAATTGTTTTCTTAAACTCTATTTTAGTTTCAATAAGTTCTTATTCTTAATGATGTACATCTCTAACATCAAAAACTCTTTCTTCAAACTTTTTCATTCTCCAAATTTATTTTTGTTATTCTAAATTAACAAAATCTTCTATTATATTATTTTCTGCATATTTTTTAAAATCATAATGTGAGAATTCATATAAGCTTGAACCATCTGAAGCACATCGAAGAGAAAATTAATGTTTCAATTCACTTGGATGTTAATAAAATATTTCTGATTCTTAAAGTTCACTTAATATTAATTATTATCCTTAATATTGTTTAATAACATGAAATACTCCATATTTTACAACAAATATTTAAGTGTTATCTGCTCCTTCTCTTACAGCAATTTAATTTCTTACATAATGTTTCAACACTAAATAATAAGATAATTGTTTTAAATCTTCATCATTCCATTACTTTAAAGGAGGAATTGTTTACAAAAAGACAAGTTTTTCATGATGTAAATTCTAAACTTAATATAATAATAACTTTGCTGATTTTTCCTAAAATGTCTAAATATTGTTTTCTAGTTAAACAACCAAACTCACAATCTGACTTAGTTGTTACTGTTGCAGTTGCTTTAAGATTATCTTTTATTAAGGCTAATTCTCCAAAGGAATCCCCTTATTCAAGTGTCTTGATTTCTTAAAGGCTAAATTATTCTTCATCGCCTTTTAATGATGGTTGAGTGTGTATTATTCCTTATGTTGATGCTTATTATATTTAATATAGACTAGAGTGCTAAGTAATATTATTATTTTAAATCACTTTCAAAGAACTCTTTCTTTAACCTTTTTGAACATATATGCTAATACTTACTTTCCCAGATAAGATTACATAAAAAGTTCTATTTTCTTTGTTAATTTAAATGACTAAAATTTTAATCGAAATTTACTTTAAGTGCCTGCAGGAATTCTTAAATAAGATAAGTTTCTACATAAATCAGCAACAATAAGAGGTCCATATTGCGATTTTAATTTTTATACGAAACTTAATGATAGCATAAATAATTCAATTTGTTCTAATTCTTTTTAAGTTTTTTATTTTTTTAAAAAGGCTAATCTTGCTTCATTCAATAAATCATTTTATGAGAGTTTTTCTGGAAGGAGACCTTTTTAATGTAATAATTTTTTCATTCTATTCATATTTAATAATTATAAAATTAATAATGTTAAATATAAATTTAACCAATTAAAGAGTTATAGTTGTATTCTCTCAAAATTTGAGAAAAAAAAACAAATAGTAATCAAAATTTCTATTGAAAATGGTGTCATTAATCTATTTAGTTCTTCAGTTGTAATTTTGCATACTTCAATTGGCAGATTTGCTTTTATAATAAATATCTTTGTCTACTTTATCATTTATATTCCATTTATTATTATGATTAATTTAAGATTTCATTTAAGTTTTTCGTCTGATTTTTCAACTATTAGGATATAAAAATAATTTTAATTTAAAAAGATCAAAAGTAGATGTAAATTCAAAGAATTTAGATACTAAACTATAATGTATTTCTTAAAAAAAATTAATACTTTCTCTGGATAAATAAAATTAAAAAAAGCATAACCTAAATTACATTCTTTCTAATTATAGAATTTAGCTATATACATTATTATTAGAGGTCAAATAGAGAAAATCAAACTAAGATTAAAAGTCTTTGGTGAGGAGATTTCTTAGATCATTTGGTTTCATGTATTTAGGTATATTCTTTAGCATCAAAGTAGTTCTATCATCATTCAATATCTATTATAAGGAACAAAAAATACATTTTGCTCTAAAATATCTAAGTTTTAATCGAATGGTTGTAGTTAAGAATAAATTTAATTTTAATCTTAATCTTAATCTAATATAAACCTCATTTCAATTAGTTCCTAGGTAAGTAATTTTTAATTGATAATGCTCCCTTCATCAGGCATTAATAATTTAAAGTCTCATAATTACTATATGATACCAAATGAGCACAATAATGCTTCAAATTTACATATTGACTTAATGAAGGTTTGGGTATTTGTAGTTTAGAAATTTATTGTGATTTAAATGATGAATGACTAGAACTAACAAGAGAAGAAGTAGTAGTAAGAAAAGAAACTCGTTCTTTTTAAGGAGGTGTACTGAGTGCAATATTAATAATATCACAAATCATTATTTTTAATATAAAAAATGATGGTTCATTAATTTACTAATTTTATAATAGTTGCTCTAGTTTTGACTTATCTCTCAAAATTACTTAAACAAACTAAACAATTCCACTTTCCTTTTGGTACTTCTTTAAGTCCTAAACACTTAGTGTGAAATACTTTAGGACAAGTATCACAACAAATAAGTTTACCTCCTTATCCACATAACTTACATTTATCTTCCCATTTATTCTCAATATGATTTGACTATGATTTAGACTTTATTCTTTATTTTTAACTTTATCTTGAACTTTCAACTTTAATTTCTGATTCTTATACATGTTCTATTTGGGTTTATTTATTGATATTCAATTCTTCTACTTTTTTTTTATCAGGTATATGTGTCACTATTTATTGTGTAATTTTTCTATTTATGTAATCTTAAACTATTTAACCAAGAACTTCTAAACATATCTTCAATTTAACTAGATTACAATCTTATTTTAATTATTCTATTAAATTCAATCTCAAATTTTCATAATATGTGCCGAATAATTTCATTGGCAATTTTCTAACTTTCACTTTTCCTATATCTAATTATTCTAATTATTAAACTGCTGTTTATAATAGCTATTCAGCAGAAGAATCATCATCAATAACTTTCCTTTTTCTAAACTATTACTAATAAGATTCTTCTTCATCATTAAATTATTATAGTTTCTCATTTTCATAAATTTCTTCTTCAGGTCTTAATTCTAATTTTTCTTATATCATAGTATTATCAACAAAAAATTCGATTGCTTTACAAAAAGGAGCAAGATCCTATTCATCATAATTCTTATCCAATTTTTTTTAAATTACATTTTAGAAACTAATTAAAAATACATTTCTAATTTCACTACTACACCATCTTGAATTTCTTTGATTTAAATAATCAGTCAACATATTTTCAATATTTATAAATTCCTATAATAACATATCAATATCTAAATTCTCTAAACTATTGATTTTCTAATCTTTTGTACTACTAATTTGATTTTATTCAATATCTATATCATTATTTTAGTCATTCACTTTTAATTCTTTCTATTCCTCTTCTTAATTTACTATCAACAATTTCTATCTTTATAATTCTAATATATTATTTCTTAATTAATTTTCTCTAACTCCCTTTTAACAAAGGATTTCCATTAATACATTAACATCTGTAAGATCATAATAACCCCATTAAGAAATTTCATCATCAATTATTGAATGCTTCTAACAGACAAAGATTTTATCTGTTTCCCAAAGGAAGAAATAATATTAACTATTCTTATTATCATATCCTAAGAAAACCGAAGGATTTAATACTAAAGATGTAATTTATATTATAGCCAATTCCTTATATTAATTAATATTATTATACCTTTTCTTATTATTTGAATCTTTCTGTTAAATTCTTAATTTCTTTTTCTAATTTTTAAAATTATTATTATAATTTTTAGGTTTGCTTTTATGCACTTTCCATTTATTTACTAAATTGTTATGTTTCTGTACGACTTAATCCTTCTTCCAATAATTTTGACTAAATTACATTAAAAATAAATTTTACTTTCGCCACTTAAAAATGACTATCAGATTCAGTAATTTCATTATTTATTTCAACTTATTTACTTCTTTATTCTTTGATTTACATTCCCAACTAAGTTTTTATTTTATTATTTGAGAGTATATTTTCAATTCTTTATTAGTAGAGAAACTAAGTTCTCTTTAAAGATTCTACTCCATCAGCCAAAGTAATTACAAGTTTTGCCAATTTACTAATATTTGAATAATCAACATAATCAATTAAATCATCTGGAATTTATAAAATACCTTATTTAGAAATATTTTTTGGTAATGATTTTACATCATCTCTTATCAATTAATAATACCTCTATCTATTTGTATACCACATGTATCCCATGAGTTGCCAATAAGGTATTTTCTATATGAAATATATATAATACATATTATTATTTTTACATTTATTCTATATCTAAATCTTCAATAATTTATTTTAAATAGAAATAGCAAAAAAACAAGATTAGTTCTTGAGGATTATGCTACAAAGTTTAATAGATTTCTACTCTCGATTTTTGACTATATAATATAAGATTATCTTGAAAGTGAATCAAAGTTCCAATATTGTTCGATTATTATTAAGCTAAAATCAATATTGATTAAAAATATACCTTCTATTTATTATTCTTGAAGAATGTCACTTATAATTTTGTTCATATTATTGTAAGTATCCCAAATTTTTAGTATATCTTCAAATATTTCTTAAGGAATTATTGGATCTACTCGAAGGGCGGGCTTCTTTTTGAGTTCAATATTGAATAATCCTTGGTATGCTGTCAAATATTCATCCAATATAGGAAAGGATACTCTACCTTATTATATATAAGTAGGATAAAGCATCTAAAATTCATTAAGCTTTTTTATTCTGTCTTCTTATGGTTGAACTGTTTTTTAAAAGAAATCTTGTATTTAATTGTACTGTTTCTTTTTTTAAGGTGTTTATTCCTTAAATTTTATTTTCTCTATTCTATCTAGGCAAGACAAACAATGCCATTTTTTACCATCCTAAATTTATGGCTCTTAGTTTTATGTGCGTATACATTCTTAATGGTATTTGAAATGACATCGAATGCAAATAATAGTAAGTGTAGACATTGTGGAAACTTTGCATAGTCGACATATAGACTTATCACCAAACTATAGTTTTCCATCTATGGGCTTTTTGAGTTCTTACTTAAAGTTTAGTTTCTACTGCTTAAGAGTCTTCTTGTTTGTAGCTTGTTTTGAATCATTTGCTATTTCATTTTCATTATTTATATGGTTATGTTATTCCTAAGTGTTCATTTTAGTGGAAGCCTGTGAATTATTTGAATTTATTTACTAGATTCAAAGTAGCGCTATAAATAATTCCTATAAAGCTAATTAATTTTATATTATTAGCTGAAAATAATTTTAAGAATTACTCAAATATTTGGCTACTTTTTAAACTTCTTTTAAATTATTAAGAATTTGAAGTTTGAATTTATTAAGTATCATCTTTCAAGCAGATGTATTAAATTGATTTTTTAATTATATTTCTGGTACTATTTTTATTATAAAATGCTGAGAAATTTTATGAAAATTGTAATGAGAAGTTCAAAGTTAGAATAGTTAATGAAATTTAAAGGGAAACATGATATAAGTTGTTAAGGTATTGAATAATTTGATTGAGAGAGTTCAAATAGTTGATTTTGGATACAAGACAATAATTTACATAATTAAATGGAGAACAATTAAATTGTGTTGTAGATTTAATGAAGCATGACTAATTAGTGGATGATGATAATACAGACTATTTATTGACAGCAATTAAGAATTTTGAAGATTAATAAATCAAATATTAGCTTTTAGATAAAATAATTATGCCAACTTCAAATTTATCAAAGGAATAAGTCAAAGAAATAGAATAGATCATTGAGAATTGTTAATAATATGCGATAGGATTGTCAATAATGGGCAAGATGGTTGCTTTTTATGATTATTAGAATATATAAATAATGAATAAATTTGTTAAGGAATTTGATGTTACTAAAACAAATGCAGAATAATTGGGTGCAGCATGTATTGGTTTAGCATTGGGATAATACAAAGATAAATAATTATGGGATGATATTGCCTAACATTGTTTAAAATTAGATAAGGATTTTCATTCATATATGAGAATAGCAACAGGAATGGGATTGACAAATAATGGTAATATTGAGTTTTGGAATGATTTTATTGAATAATTTAGAAAATAATTAAAAACTATAAATGAAGATCTATTTACATAATCATTACAAGTTATATCCTAACAAAATGTTGTTTCATTAGAATTATGTGAAGCAGAAATAGAATACTATATAATTAATTCACATATTAGAATTGAAAATATGATGTCAATCTATGTATCTATGGCAAGAAAATAATTAGGATCATAATAATTATATTCTAAATTATAATAAGATATATATGAAATGTAATTATCTGGTGATGATTTAATTTTATATGTAATTGAATTAATGCAAGTAAAGGATAGATTACCAAATTAAACTCTAAATGTCTTGGTAGCTAAAGCATACTCAGAAAGTCAAAATCAAGAATTAATCGATAAATTAACAAATTTGATAAAATGAATTTTATTTTTAATATTTATATGAAATTTTACAACATAATTAATTTATCATTTAAAATGTTCTTTTATTTTTGAGGAAAGTTCATCACAAGTTTTCTTAGCATCTCCTAATAACATATTGTTATTTGGTTTATAGAATACTGGATTATCAATAGCAGCATATCCAACACCCATAGATCTCTTCATAACTATACATTATTTAGCAGCCCAAACTCTTAATACAGGCATTCCTAAAAAATTTATTGAATAATATACCTGCAATTGGTGAATTTGGATTCTCTTCAGCAGCTGAATTTACAGTATCATTAGCTCCAATTACAACAGCAAGATCGGTATCAGGGAAATCATCATTAATTTCATCCATTTCAAACACAATATCATAAGGAATACCAGCTTCAGCTAATAAGACATTTAATTAACCAGGCATTCTTCCAGCAACTGGATGGATACCAAATCTAACTTTAATTCCTTAATCAATAAGTGTCTTGCACATTTCAGCAACTGGATATTATGCTTTAGCAACTGCTAAACCATATCCAGGAACAATAATGATAGATTTGCTACCAACCATCATTTCAACAGCTTATTCAACATTGATTTCAGTGTGAGTACCTTCAACTTTAGTAGATTAAATAGCAGCTGGATTAACATCAAAGCCACCAAAAATAACACTTGTTAAATTTCTATTCATGGCCTTACACATAATATAAGAGAGAATAGCACCTGATGATCCTACCAATGCTCCAACAATAGTTAATAATGGATTATCTAACATAAAACCTTCAGCACATAATGCCCATCCTGAATATGAATTTAAAACTGTAATTACAACTGGCATATCAGCACCACCAATAGCATTTGTTAATGTTACTCCTAAGACTTTGCTAGCAGCTGTTGCTGTTAATAAGGCTGTCATTCCAACAGCAAAACTACCTGTTTAATTATATATTAATAAAGATGCAACAGATAAGGCTGCCAATGCAATATTAACTTAATTATGATAAGGAATAACAGTTGGATTTGATGGCAAAAGATTTTACAATTTAGCAAAGGCAATAAGTGATCCAGTAAATGTAATACCACCTGTGAAAATACCAAAGAAGATTGATAATTTATGAACAAGTGCAGCTGGATCTTCAGCCAAATGAGGGAATACATGTAAATAATTACCTATAGATGTTAATACTGCTGCCAATCCAACAAATGAATGGAAACAAGCAACTAATTAAGGTAAATCAGTAATAGCAACTCTTGTAGCAACTGTACCTCCAATAGTAGCACCTAACATAACCATTGATGCCCATTAAGCAAATAATTCTGGAGAATATCCTTTATATCCTAAGGTTGCAGCAACACCCAATCCAACTCCCAAACAACCAAAACTATTACCAATTCTAGCTGTCTATTATTGTGCTAATCCACCAAGAGCTAATATACAAGCTATTGATGAAGCTAAATATGAAAGATTTGTCAATGGTTCTTTTGGAATTCCATAATAGAGTCCACCATAATATCCAAGTACTCCTGTAGCACCTGCTAATGCCATTAAATAATTGTATTCAGCAGGGTCAGTTGGTCTTCTAAACATATTTAACATTCTTTATGTTACTAAGAAACCACCAGAAATATTGAGAGATGCTATAGCAACAGAAATAGCTGCTAATAACCCAGTAAAAGATCCTGGTAAATATTTTCCATCCATCAATTCCATACCACCAACTATAATTATACCAGATACAGCATTTGTAACTGACATAAGTGGTGAATGTAGGGCAGGAGTCACACCCCAAACCACTTGATAACCAACAATACCTGCTAAAGCAAAAGTATTTAACATTTTTAAGAATTCCATATTTGGAGATTGATAACCTAAAGCCATCATTGCCATAAGTGAAGCTGATGTATTAATAACATTTTTCCAAGCTTATTTATATGGATCTACTTTAACTTCTTATTTTTTATGAGAAGCAGCTTTTGATGTATCAGCTTATTAGAGTTCACTCTTAGATGTAATGATAGGAGGAGGTGGCCATTTCAATTCTCCATTCAATGTTACTAATGATTATCTTACAACATCATCATTCAAATCCACTTATGTCATTTTTCCATTTGGATCTTTTATTGTACCTACAATGTATTACATCAATTTTCCAATATTATTAGCATATAATGTTGAACTTTAAGTAGGTAATCTGCTTGGTAAATCAGTATATCCAATGATTTTAACTTTTCCTTAATGATTATATAATTCTCCTGGTTTGCATAATTCACAATTTCCTCCTGTTTCAGCAGCCAAATCAACAATAATTGATCCTTATTTCATGTTTTCTACTAATTCTTTTGATAATAATTTTGGTGCTGGTCTTCCTGGGATAAGGGCAGTTGTAATAATTATATCAACTTCTTTAGCTTATTTTAAGAATAATGCTAATTCTGCTTCTAAATATTCTTTTCCCATTTCCTTAGCATATCCACCAATACCTGCACCATCAACAACTTCTCCATTTATTTTGACTTCCAAAAATTCAGCTCCACAAGACTTTACTTATTCTTTAGTTGCTAATCTTGTATCAAATGCTCTAACAATAGCTCCCATATTCTTAGCAGTTACAATAGCTGATAAACCAGCAACTCCTGCTCCAATTACTAATACCTTAGCAGGTGGTACTTTTCCTGCAGCTGTCATTTAACCAGCAAAAAATCGACCAAATTCATTTGCTGCTAATAAAACAGCTTTATATCCAGCAATATTAGCCATAGAACTTAAGGCATCATATGTTTAAGCTCTAGTAATTCTAGGAACACATTCCATAGCGAATGTAGTAATTTTCTTTTCTTATAATTAGTTTAGTAATTCTTTATTCTATGCTGGATATATGAAAGAGGTCTAATTTTATTAATAATAATTACAAGAGTTTAGTTTTCCTTTAAAGCCTTTGTATTATCTGGGGGTCTAATCTTTAAGATTACATCAGATTAGTCATAAACTGAGTTTGTATCAACAACTTTTGCTCCAACTTCTTGATATACATTATCTGCAAAATTTGCTTTCAAACCTGCACCAGCCTCAATTAAGACCTATTTCAATATTATTAGTAATATACTTGATGACCATCTTTGACTAAATTCTTTATAGATTCAGGTGTTGCAGCTACTCTATTTTCATTAGGAAATGTTTCCTTTGGAACACCAAATACAAATTTTGGATGAGTTGGTTTCTTTTCACCTTTACTAGAAAAACATGTTCGAGCACTCAAGAGCAATTATCTTGTAGCTTGACGATGAAATGAGAGCATAAATAAATATCTTTTTTTTATAAAATTATATTCCTGTACAAATTAATATATAGGAAATCTTGGTAATATAATTTATTTCAAATATAGTTATGAGAACTGCTATTTCAAATTAAGGATAATCCTCTCTTCCAGATAGTAATGAAATCAATGAATATATTAAGGAGTACTTAAGATACTCTAATTATACCAATACCCTGGAATGCATTGAAGCAGAAATTAAAAGCAAATAAGTCTCCAATAAAGTACATAATTAATATTGAATTCTAGATGTTAAATAAATAATAAGTAATTAAATAAACAGGAGAGGATTTACCTCGTATATTTTAATTGTTAAAAAGTGATAATATAAAAACAAAAAGGGAAATCAATTTGGAAAAGGAATAAAAGCAATTTAATAAAAAATACTAATAAATTTTATAAGCAGGCAGATAAATATTTTCAGTTAGTATTAATCTATTACAATTATTGCATTCATTAAAGGAAACAGCTAAAAATGAGAATCTTAGTGAAACTTTAGAGAATTATAAAATTTAGTTAGGAAAATATCATAAAGTAATAATCAATGAAGGTAAACCAGAAGGAACAGAATTAATTACTGAATAGATCATGCATGAGCATAAAACTAAGCTATTTAAAAATTATTAGGATAAGAATGTAGATGGAATGATAGAAGTATTACTTTCATTAAGAGTAAATGCTCTATAAATTGCACCTGAATTAAGAAAAAATCTTGTTTATGAATTAATAAGAAATGATGTATTTAATATTGAAGCCACAGATAAATTTGACTTTGTAGTTCATTTATTAGATATAAATAATTAAAGTCTTAGACATGCAATCACAAGCTTAATTAGTGTAATTAGTAGTACATTAAGAGGTGTTGAATATTTAACCTATAATGGAAATATGATAATAATAGAAAAAGTAATAAAAATTTTAAAGGAATAAGAAAGCGGTTCTGTAACATAAAGATTTTGTTTGGCAATTTTGTAGAAGGCTAGTANGAAATGTTTCCTTTGGAACACCAAATACAAATTTTGGATGAGTTGGTTTCTTTTCACCTTTACTAGAAAAACATGTTCGAGCACTCAAGAGCAATTATCTTGTAGCTTGACGATGAAATGAGAGCATAAATAAATATCTTTTTTTTATAAAATTATATTCCTGTACAAATTAATATATAGGAAATCTTGGTAATATAATTTATTTCAAATATAGTTATGAGAACTGCTATTTCAAATTAAGGATAATCCTCTCTTCCAGATAGTAATGAAATCAATGAATATATTAAGGAGTACTTAAGATACTCTAATTATACCAATACCCTGGAATGCATTGAAGCAGAAATTAAAAGCAAATAAGTCTCCAATAAAGTACATAATTAATATTGAATTCTAGATGTTAAATAAATAATAAGTAATTAAATAAACAGGAGAGGATTTACCTCGTATATTTTAATTGTTAAAAAGTGATAATATAAAAACAAAAAGGGAAATCAATTTGGAAAAGGAATAAAAGCAATTTAATAAAAAATACTAATAAATTTTATAAGCAGGCAGATAAATATTTTCAGTTAGTATTAATCTATTACAATTATTGCATTCATTAAAGGAAACAGCTAAAAATGAGAATCTTAGTGAAACTTTAGAGAATTATAAAATTTAGTTAGGAAAATATCATAAAGTAATAATCAATGAAGGTAAACCAGAAGGAACAGAATTAATTACTGAATAGATCATGCATGAGCATAAAACTAAGCTATTTAAAAATTATTAGGATAAGAATGTAGATGGAATGATAGAAGTATTACTTTCATTAAGAGTAAATGCTCTATAAATTGCACCTGAATTAAGAAAAAATCTTGTTTATGAATTAATAAGAAATGATGTATTTAATATTGAAGCCACAGATAAATTTGACTTTGTAGTTCATTTATTAGATATAAATAATTAAAGTCTTAGACATGCAATCACAAGCTTAATTAGTGTAATTAGTAGTACATTAAGAGGTGTTGAATATTTAACCTATAATGGAAATATGATAATAATAGAAAAAGTAATAAAAATTTTAAAGGAATAAGAAAGCGGTTCTGTAACATAAAGATTTTGTTTGGCAATTTTGTAGAAGGCTAGTATTAAAGACATAGTAATTCCAACCTATGTACATAATGAAATGATTTAATGGATTATTAATTTAATTTAAAAGTCAGTAAATACTAAGATTCATGTTTTTTGCCTTGACTTTGCTTCTGCAACATTAGCCAATATTATACATACTCCATATACTTTATAATATTTGGAACATTAACCTAGATTTTCACATTAGGTAATGGAATAGTTATTAAAATTCATTAAAGATTAAATTTAAGTTTCAGTTTTAATGCATGTATTGATTTGCTTGTCATATCTTAGTAAAGAGAATTTTGCTAAGTAAATTGAAGAATGCAGATTTGTAGATAGAATAAGTGAATTTGTTGAATATTATAGTGTAATTAATACAGGTAAATTGATAAATTTTAATTAAATAAGAGAATGAGGCAGCTGAAATTGACAAAAAAACAGTTTTAGACTTGTGTGCCCATATGTTCCATCCAAAAGACACTTCACTTGACAATTCTGAAACTTTGGAATTAAATGAATTAAAAACTGAAGATAGGATTAGAGAATATGAAAATGAATAAGGTGAATTAATATTTGAATGTTTCTAAGATGAAGTAAGTTGAATATTTATATTTAATTTTTTATTCATCCAATATTAAAAATTTATTATTTTATAATATCTTAGACTCTTTATAAGATTTCATTTATCCTTTACATTTATACACTTTTAATAATAAAAATTACATTTGTATTTAATCGTATTGAGAATCAATTTTAATTGTTCAAATATTAAAAATGAATAATGCTAATTTTTTCACTAATTATTTTTTTACAGATTTGTCTGCCTTATGAACTTCTCAGAAAAATAAAAGGATGATAAGCAAATGCAGTAAGCAAATCTATAGACAAATTAAGTCAAAAAGAGAAAACCTATTGATTCAGATACCAAAACCAATCTGATACATAGTGTAGTAAAAGATCATTTGCCAATTTATTAAGTATTAATCTTTCTATAATTATTTAGGCAGCCATTATTCATAAGGTTAAATATTCATCTGCTAAACATATATTAAGAAATTACTACAGTGATACTGCTAATTATTTCTCAGCACAGAAGAAGAGAAGAAGAAAGATAATATGTAGTGGATCAACTATCTTAGTAAACACTAACACTGGAAATATCATAATATATTCTTAATAAAGTTAACCGATCCCATATTTAAACAATGGTGTCAATGCTTAAATTAAATAAAAAGTTCTTGATAATCTAAGCTTATCGATCATTAATGAACTCAATTTCAAAAACTTTAAAAAGTTTTAAATGAAATAAAATTTTAAGACCATAAAACAAGATTTAAAAACAGAGAAAATAGAAGACAAACTACTTTTTCTTTAGAGGACACTTATTGAATAACATAAAGAAATGGTTTCATGATATCAATTACATACCTTTATAATATATGTTCTATTTAAATATATTAGAATTTCAAATGAATATGTTTTTATTTTGATTAATAAAAAAAGATATTTTGTGATGAATATAAAAATGATTTGTTAAAAAATCAATTATAAAAATTAGCTATACTTAATTATACATTACTGTTAAAAATTCATATTAATAAAATTTTCCTTCATTACCCTAAGTTTTTTGAGCAGGTTTAATCTCTGTAGATTAGTCATAATAAATAATTTAATTTCTCTATTATACTTGATTAACATATTTAAAAAAAAAATTACTAATTAGTTACTAATTTCACCTTAACCTAAGTCAATCAATTGTTAAATCAACTTACAACATTTATTGATAAGTTCCAAAATTTAGTAAAACTTTTCTTAAATTAATCTAAAATTTAATAACCTTGACTAATCTATCCAAAAAAAGAAAAATTGATTATTTCAATCAAATTATAGACTGAGATGTTTTTATGAAAATAAAAAATTGTTCCATCTTAGTTATACTACCTCGAACGTAAATTTATAAAATTATAATTTATGATTTATATCAGTCCTTATTTTACAAAAATTTATAAAAATTTATTTTTGACTAAAAGAGCTTGCATTTATAGAAAAATCTGTTCACGTTTAAGAATTCATTATTAAATATAAATATATCATATTAACATATCAATATGATTTTTGTGTTTTTATAAAATCTCATTATAGTTAAGAGTACAATATTGAATACCATATTTTCTATGTATTTGTTAATTAGCTTTATTAAGTAAATCTAATCCAATCTCCATTATAATTCTCTAATTTTAATCCTCCATTAGTCAAACCTCTTTCTATAGCGTATTTTTAATAATTTCTATCCTAATAATCAAAGATTAAATCCTAAGTATTTATCTTTAAATAAAAACAAATATTTTACATATTCAAAATACATATCTAATTAATATATCAATACTTTTTATCTAATAAATTCAACAAAAAAAGGTCTTCCAATATTTATAATTTTATAAGGGTCTTAGTATAGATTTCTTTTCTTAGAATTTATTAAATAATAGTAAAAATTATAAATATAATTATGAATGTTAAAAATAAAGTGATAAATTTTATTAGGTACATTTAGCAATGAAATATATTCTATCTAGAAATGCTGACATATTAATGATAATTAATCTGAATTCAAATTTTTAAGATTGAATTATTGTTCAAATAAATTCTTTTTCAGAATAAAGGTTTCTTTTAATTAATTTGCATTAGAAAAATTTTTAATGATATTTTATTGCTAAAATAATAGTCTTTAAGCCATTTTTTATTCTGTTAATTTTTTGCTAAATCGCTACTAATATTAATCTTCAAATAAAAAATTTGTTGGTATTGCATTCGGAAATATGTATGCATATATTGGTAAATAAGCAACTGAACCTGGTAATAGAAATATGAATAAGAATGGAAAAACTTTGAACAATTCTCTATCAATATGGAATTTTAAGTATAATTAATAAGCAGTAAACTAATCTCCAAATGATTTAGTTAATTTATAATCATAATAACAAGATTTGATACCCTAATATATATATTTTATACTTACATGGTTTAAAGTTCCAAAAAATAGTTGTCCTCCAACTTTAATTTTATCTATCATTGTTTTTGGTTTTGAAATCGTAACAATTTTATTATAATTCAAGACCTAGAATTGTAATTTCCTAAAATTTTTAATCATATTAATAAAATTAATTTATATAAGTAAAATAGCATATAAGAAGAATTTCAAAGATATACTAAAGAAAAGAGTTGATTAAAATAAAAAATATATAATGGTGGTTGATAATGGTAATAATAGGAATAATTAATTAAAACAAATGTTAATGAAAATAAAAATAAATTAACTTGTTTTTATTTTATATTTTTCTTAATTAAATGAAAAGGATGTTAAAATATTAACAAATTTTATTAAATGTTTTTCAGTAATATCTAATATTTACTATTATTAAAAATCTAAATTTTGAGATTTCAATTTTACTTTGACTTATTATAGATGATTATATTTTTGTATTATTCAATTATCTTTAAATCATCAAGTGATCTAAAAGTAATTGAGCTTCTTTTCTTGAAATTCAATTTATGAATATAATAATCTGCTAATTTATAGATTATAGAACAACATAAAAAAGAAAGAAAATAATTAGCAATATATATTATTAATAAATTTTTATATGTCAATTCGTTAAGAGTAATATTGTCAAATTTTATAATAGGTCAGATCTTAGTTGTGAACTCCTGAGGTCCACATTATAGGATATTAATAATAGACTAAATAATTTACAATAATGTGTTCCAAATCCTCATAATAGGAGAGATAAAATATAGAAAGAAGCAACAATCCCTAGATTAAATTTGCATAAAATCAATTCAGTGTACAAAGAAAATTAATTACCATTAAAGAAAGTGACAGCCACTTTTGGTGATAAAATAATAGATTAGGTTCAAAAAATAGATGAAAAAAATTTAGAAGAAATATAAAAAAAACCTTAAATAAAAATGATGGTTTAATAAACACCATAAAAATTAAGAAGCTAATCAATAAATGGTTCATAATAAACATTAACTAATTAAAATAATCATTCTGTTTAATTCAAAGTATCTAATGCATCAAGATTATAAAATTCTTATGATTTTTAATATTACTAATCATTGCATCAATCTCATGAGAAACCTTTAAAATCTTCATTTATTGGTAGTTAATACAATTAAATAGCATAAAAAGATGAAAGTGTTGAATATGTCTAACCAACTCTTCTATAAAAACCAATCATTTTTGATTAACAGTAATAAAATGTGCATACTAGAAACAATTCTTTATTATCTACACCTGTTAAATAGGTAGCAAATGTTTCATAAGGATAAACTCCATTAAGAAGAGGGAATTCATCTACAAACTAAAAAATGATGTAAACAAATTTAAGTTAGAATCAGTCTTATTAATGTTTTCAAGTTTAATAATAGAAATAATAATAATAAAATTAAGATTTAATTAAGTAAATTAAATAATATTATTATAGAATATTGTAAACCCATTCTAACGGATATCAATAATCTTAAATTCAATATCATTCCATTTAAAATCCTCTGAACTCTTGTTTAAATTCTTAAAATATGGCCCAATTCAAAGTATCTCATCATAGAAATGCTTCAAATAACATGAGAGTTCCAATAGAATAAATGCTTTATGGAAATTCAATGATTAGATTGTGAATTTATAAATACTATTTCTTATAGTTTCAAATGAATGATTATTCTTTTGAGAATTATTGTCTTTTGATTTATTAATATAGTACATTATATATTTCAGAATTTTTCAAAAACGCTTAGTTTATTAATTAATGAAAATTTTAGTAACATTAGTAATTGCCTTGTGCTTGTTTACACATCCAATTGTATGCAAGAAACATTACAATGAGGAAGAGCACTCTGCGTTTGAGAAGAGTAAAACTTTATGAGAGATCATAGGCCATAAAAAACTATCTCTTTAAGATGATCCTTCATATTCTAAATTAGAGGAAATCTAAGACCATCCATTAGGTTCAAAGATATTACAGACAATAGCTTTGTAATTGAGAGGAAATGAATCTTTAAGTGCTGTGAGTAAATTACTGAATGACTTAAAAGGAGATTTGGAAGTAAAATTGTATTTTAATTTGAATAGGGTAAATAAATTGATGCTGATAATGAAAGAGCATAAATAGGATCTTAATGCAAGAAAGATCTTTAAAATTATAGCTAAAGAATTAGTTTATCAATTAATGAAATTAAAGATGCAGAATTTAAAGCTAAGAGATTAAATGAAGCTATTGCAGTTTATTAAGCAGAAATAAATGAGAAAGCTAGATAAATCTAAGTATTCTAAGCTAAGGATGATACTTTAAGAGATATTAGAAGATAAGATAATTTAGATTTTTCAACAAGAACAACTTAAATGAAAGAGATGGTATAAGCCTTTGAAGTTATTCTTCCAAAATTACATTAAGTTTGGGATGTAGCAGCATAACATAAAGCTGGATCATTTATTGAAGAAGAAGCAATCAATGAAGCTTTAGTTTAATTAGCAAAAATTGGGTATATATCTAAAGTAATGTTTAAGTGAAGAAAACCCTATTACAGCAATGGTTGCTTTAACTTCAACATTGGAACCAACAGCTGTCTAAACTTTAATTGAAAAAATGGAAGCTATCAGAGATTCAATCAAAGAGAGTATAAAAGCAGAAGAAGATGCAGAGGCAAAGAATGCTAGAGTATTTATATTATTTACTTTTTTTAGGATACTGATACAATTTTAGCTGCCATCTTTAATGCCATTGAAAGTTTGACAAGAGAGAAATCAAGTGATCAAGAAGCTTTATAAGAGACAATCAGAAATAGAGATATTTAAGATAAGAGATCTAGAGATGCTCATGCTGTAATAAATATTCTAATTAATTTAATTAGGAATTCAATGCTGCCAAGAATGGAAATCAATAAAGAAATTAATAATGTTAAGAATATGAATTACAATACCAATAAAATACTATTGAAAGAGATAAATAGATTGCCATTATTAGAGATGTTTAAAATATAATTGCAACAAAGATAGAAGTAGTAACATGCTTCGTAGAAGAGAATAATTTATTCTGAATAATATGATAATTATTAAGCATTAATCAACAGTACCTATAATTTTTTCATTAAAAGTAAGTTAAAGAATTTTGATATGATTCCCATGGTTATAAATCTATTATTAAAGAAGGCTCAGTTATTGCTTAATTTTACACAATTTTCTGTTTTTATTTTTGTTTTTGAAACATTAATTATGGTAAAACTAAGCTATATCTTTTTTCAGGTTATGTATATTATTTATACAACTTTCCCTAATAAGTTTATTATTCAATAGAGTTGATATTGACTTCTCTTCTCTTTTATATAACATCGTTGATTTATTATTAATAAATTTAGCATTTATTCTATACTTGTCCATATGTGTTATTTTAACCATGTTTTACAGAATTAGATCTTATTTTATAATTCTTATCATAACCGATTTAGGATTTTAATTAACAATTTAATCTTGGTGATTATTAAAGATTCATCTTGCATCCATAAATAGGAAACCCTACTTTTTTGTAATTGTTTTCTCTAAATTAAGTTTTTCGTATAAATAATTAGTAAGTTGCATCTGGACTCTATATAATATTCTAAAAGCTCTCCATAAATAAGAATTTAAAAAAGGATATATTTGTTAATTATCTATAATTATTTTGTAATGAAATACTAAATATTGAATAATTAAAAACAAATACACATCATCAATATAAATTCTTTGAAATAATTATTAATTTAAATAAGACCAATTCAGAATGACTTTATTATTTAATCTATTCAAATATAATATTTATAGTAAGTGTTAAAAATATGATTAATATAGGTCTAATTATTAAAAAGATGAAAAATTAAACTTAATCCTCAATTATTATAGTAAATCTTATTAATATAGAAAGAAAAGTTTAATACTAAAGCTAATTTACAATAGTTTTAATACAAATTTATACTCTTCAAGAAATCAATGCTTGATTTATAAAGCATCTTTCAAAACCTAAGGAAAAATAGGTTTGAAAACAATTTAATCAATTCCAGCTTCTTAACAAAGTTATTTTGTTTCTTCATCTTCATGAGCTGTACAGGCAATAATTTATAATGGCATAATTTTCTCTTAATCAATTAAATCAGTTATCAATTCTGATGCTTATATACCATTCATGACCGGCATATCTATATCCATTAATATAGTTCTTATGCATTTTTATTAAGTTACTAAATTTACTGCTTCTTAACCATTATAACAATGGATTATTTAATTATATCCAAGATTCTTTAAAATCATTTCCAAAGTAATATGATTGAATGGTTCATCATCTACTATAACTATATTTCCTGTTTCTGCTAACAAATTTTAAGTACTTCTTTTTTAAACCAGACAAAGCGATGGTATAGATTTGTGACTTTTAGATTTTTGTCTGGAGAATTATCGAGATATATTATTTGTAGTTTTCTCTTTACTTGGATTAATTCTATCAATTTTTCTGATTTATTAAACAACAATCTGCTCATTATTAATAGGATCTGGTTAAATAGTAAGGAATTCTTAAATTTGATTATTTGATTTAACTGATTTAACTGACTCATTTTTTCTATGTCTTGAAGCAGAATGTAATTATTATGCACTAGGTAAATCTAAATCACATATTGAAAATTCAAATTTGCATCCTTATCCAGGACTACTCTCAATTATAAGTGGACAAGCTCCATTTAATTAATTGATCAATTTAGTTGTTATTTTTAAACTAATACCAAGCACTTCATTTTTTAAATTCATTGATGAATAACTAATACCTCTATCAAGAGATTATGTTTACAATATGCTTTACTACAATAAATAAAATTTATAACCTTTCTTGAACTCAGAGTTTACTATTGATGAATTTGCATTTATTTATTAATTTCATCTTAAGCCTATTTACTTAATCCTACTCCATTATCAGATACAACAAATTTAATCATTCGAGAACTAGCTGTTTTAATTTCTTTGACATTTAATTCAATATATCCACCTTAAGGAGTAAATCGATAAGCGTTATTCAAAAGATTGACTAAGATTCTCATTAATTTATTTAGATCTGATTATATATAGCAACTACTAAACAAAATAATTAAAATCTTACATTTCTTTTTTCTCAGCTTAAATCTAATTGATATCTTCATTATTGTATTTAATTGTAAATTAAATGTTTTTTAAACTGCATTATGTCATTATTAAATCTTTGATTTCAAAAAGTAATTTGTGAATATCTATAATTTTAATTGTCAAAAATTGTTTTTGTTAAGAGTAAATTGATACATAGTCAAGAATATCTTAAATAAGATACAGCAGAATTTTTGAGTTCCAATAACAAGGCTTAATGAAGGTTTCGATAAGCTCTTTTGGAAGACATGAATCATTAAGACAAGTTTCTAGATAAGTAATAACTGAATTTAGAGGCGTTTTCAATTTATGACTTAGTGAACTAATAAGACTGTTTCTAAATTTATAATCTTTTTTAAATGCACTATATATAGATATATCATTAATTAACTATTATAAAATATGAGTAATACTTAGAAAGTAAACAAATTTAAAGGCTGTTTGTTATGGGTTATCTGTGTAAATTTTAAATGATACTTAAACTTTTCTAAATTTTATCCAAATAATTTGACTTTATAATATATTGACTCACATTCTTACTACTGATTACCATTTTCAAGTATTTATCTTATTGTAACAATCTATTTATTAACAGTTTCATTTATGATGTATTCAGATACTTTTATATCATCTAAAAATTAGATATTTGAGCTTTAATTCCGATTATGATAAATTAATCTCATACTCTAAGAATTTTATAGTTCAGAACGATTTGGACTATAAATTCCATTTTCAATAATTTAATTAGGTTCAATCATACCTTCTATAAAATCCATATATTAGCCGCGATAAATTAATTTTTAGTTTTGATCATATGCAAGAATTCCTAAATTTAATTTATAAATAATATCACTCAAAAGTTCTAGTTGCTGATTCTTCTCTTCATAAAGAGTTTTATAATTCTAAATAAGTTTGTGTTCTGACAGTTGAATGGCAAAATCATTAAACAATGCTATTACCAAAAAAATTAATTGAAATAATAATGAATCTCTATTCTTCTCTAATTTTTATGGTATTATTAATTATTGAATCAAAAATCCGCAATATAAAAAAGGAAGAGCAATTTTAAAAAAGTAGCATTTTAAAGTACCTTAAAATAGGTGAAAGAGTATGGATATGTAAAAATACCCAAAATAATTATTTGTTTAATGTGAGTTAAAAACTTCATAGAAACACTTTGCTATAAAGAAAACTATAAAAGTAATATCCATTATTAGCATTTTATATTCTTAATTTTTTTGAAAATGCTATGTTATGAAAATAAATAGACCTAATCAAATGTCATCATATTTATACCTAAAAGTATGAGATGCATCCCTAGGTTCACCCATAAAGTTTTCTAAGTAATAAAATCGTAATTAAAAGTGACAATAAAAAGAAATAGAAGATCGGATGTACACGTTATTATTAAAGCTAGATATCTAAAACCGATTATATTTTCGACCCTAAACATTTATAATTTTCGTAATAATTAATATAATTAGAATGATTAATTATTATTCAATCTTATGATCAAATGTTGATTAAGTCGTGATTCTTTACTATCTGAAAAGATACTAAAATTACTAATAAAATATTCATTCTTATAGAGATAATTAAAATTAAGAAGTTACAAGGATTTATTTGTAAAAAAAAAGATAATTAAATTATTGAAATTATATTAAATTTCTTTCAATTAGATCTCCTAAGTGATCAATATTTCTTTCAATTAAAAAAAAGAATCATAATTAATAATGATCAATCAGAAAATTAGAACAACCACAATCAAATTTAATATCCTTAATTAAATATTTATATTATTCAACTTTAAATTGTTTTTCTTCTAATCCATAAAAAAGGTAAAACTTAATTCGAATCTTTTAAACAAATTTAATAACTCTTATCTTTATTTGGAATTTAATAACGTGCTGCTTTATTTGCTTTACAGCAGATAATAATTAAAGAACTGTGACTCATAAATTTTTCAATTAATACTTCGTAATTTAAATAATACAATAGCTTTTTTGAAAATTCATTATGGTATTCTTTATCTTGTTTTTAGATAATATATAATGTAATTGTTTGTTATGCTATTTTATGAAAATAATTAATGTAATCCTAATTTACTTATGGTTCAAAATATTCAAATTTTTCATTTTTTAAATTTTATGTGAGATGTTGAACTAACTTTTCATCAAGCGGAGGTACTATTGAAATTAAATTCTTTTAAAATTCAACTAATAAACATTTTTTTTCAAAAGTAGGACTTATTTCAGACTAAAATTAATAAGATTCTTTTATTATTTAACTTGATTAACTATTACTTATTTAAGAACTGCTCATCTAGGCACTATCATCATTATCATATTAATTTTAGTTTTGCAGTATGTTATCGATTTTGATTTGATTTGTTGATTATTATTTTTATTATTATTATTATTATTATTGTTATTATTATTATTATTGTTATTGTTATTATTGTACTTATATATTTTACTTGTTAAAATCTTCATTTTAGAACGATAAAATAGTTTATTATGATAATTACTATTTTTAAGGTAGATATATCTCATTTTTATTAATTGTTATTTATTGAAGCTTTTTCATAGTTTCATCCTAATATATGCTATTAGAAAGATTTTTTGATTACCAATCCTCAAAGAAGTCTTAATAATAATATATGAATGATTTGCTTTAAAAGGATGATCCTTCCTATTTAATTGCAGAAATATTTGAGAGAAAATTATCATTTTTATCATTAGGATCTTAATAATATCTAGATTCATCCTCCTCAATCATTTTATTTACTAAAATTGATAATATTTAAACTAAAATTATTGAAATAATTACATGATTAAGTTGGTTTTTTTGATTTGATAATCCATTTAATTTTTTAATCATCAACTTCAAAACCTTTTTTTTCAAAATCTTGTTTAAATTTTTTTTTGCTCTATTGAATTTGTATTATATTTTGAAAAACACAAAATTAATCAATATATATACTGAATTCAATATTTTGTTATTGTTTTTGATTATTTTATAATTGAATCAAATTTTCATATAATTCTTTGTATTATTTTTAATTTCCCAACATAGTAATAAAGTAATCACTGTATTATTATTTGAAAGTAACATAAATTTTAGGATTTTTAATAATATTTAAAAATATGATTTTACCAGTTTCTTAATCAGTTTTTAATTCGAAAAAGTACAAATGTTAAATCATTGATATAATATCCTCTTATAATAAAATTGTTGCTGAATCCATCATCTATGAATTAAAATTGATTCTCTATTTATCAAAATTTAAATGGAATATACTAAATGCACTTATCTCTTATTCCTCCTTAAATTCTATCTCCATAATTTTTACATTTTATTAATGATGATTAATATTTTATAAAAAATCTCCCAATATATATTTCATATATCCAATTCTAGCTTAAACTAATTAATAATTTTCAAGTTTTTCCTCTAAATTTTAAGATTTTAAACTATGCATGGTTATAATAAATCCTCTATAATTTTATAAGCTTTAAATAACATTATTAATTGAATCCATGCTCTTTGAAATAAAAATTATTCCATCAGGTTCTAATTTGTAATAAACACCTTTTTTAGAGAATTCTTATTTCATATAATTACTAAATTAAAAAACACTTAATAGCTCTTGATTTAAAATAAGTTTTTATGTCACAAATTTAGAGAAATACTCTTCAAATTGTTTAATCACTTAACTGTTTTAAGAAGAAAGTTAATATTTACCTTCTTCTATTTTAATAAATTAAATTTATTAATTTCTTTAAACTAGTTTTTCTTAAAAATCTTAGTAAAAGTAATCATTAATAATGCTATCCAAAAATTTAGGCTAAATTATAAAGAAACTTATACTTTTAATTCTATGATTTTTGAGCAAGAGAATTATTTAATGTTGTTTTAAACGATATCAATTGTAACTGAAAAAGTTTCTTTTTTTCCTTTTGAACAACCCTCTTAAGATAGAGAAAATAATTCATTATCCAATCTATTAAGTTAAGCCTTATATGGATTTAAAAGAAATTTATTGTTAATAGATTTAATCTTCTCCTTATTTTAATTTTATTATCGAATCACACATATCATTTCCATTATTTTTACTATATATTATTATTTTTCTTACAAAAATGATTAAAGTTAATTTTTTCAGTATTCTAGAAAATCATCTCAGATTCTTAACTTTATTATTTTTTAAATCCAAGTTCTTTCATGATTTGAGGTAAGGCGTCTAAATCAAAAGGTTTATATTAAGAAAATGTCGGCCAGCTAGCATTTTACCTGTCAACAAATAAAGTTGTTTATGTGATAAAAGTTTTTTATGTTTCTTACTTTGCACTAATTGTTTTAAATATATCTAAAAGGTGTTCTGGATTCCCAAAAATTAGGAATGTTCCTTCTTTATTTAAATATATAATATTTAATTATTCAGCTTCAATTTCATCTTAAAACAATTTATCTATAATTTTTTCATCTTTTTAATTACATTAAGTAGTAAACTTTAATAATAAAGGACATTTTAAATTATTTTGAATATATTTTTTAATTTATTTTTCAAATAAATCTCTATCCTGCTTAACATGACTAAAATTCATTTCTAAAAAAAAGTATTATTCATCAAAATATTGATTCATACATATTTATTTAAACTGCTCAACTAAATTTTTTTCATAATATAGGGATCTACATAATGCCAGATCCTTATTATATTAAATTTCTTATTTATATGGCCTTAATGATGAAAAATGTAAGAATATTCCTCTATAATTGTTATTTATTTTTTGACTTATTTCTTGAAGTTGAGACACATTCTAGGTTTTAGAAACTAAATAGAAGTTATCAAAATGTTGAAATGGGTATATTTCATAGCGTCTTAAAAATTCATTTATCTTAGACTCAGCTATCATTGTATAATTAGTATAATAGCAAAATTCAATGTCTATATATGAAATTTTATTAATGAAGTCTAATATTCCTTTTTTAACTTGTTCAATATCTTAAATTATTAGAAGTCTGTAAAGATTCATTTTCATTTTCTTTTGCTCTAAATTTAAGGAATTAATTAATTGATTCCATTCTTATAAAAAGAATTTCTACACAATTTTAAGTATCAAATCATTTTATAGTTTTATTATTTAAGCTGTGTCTAATCCAAGAATTTTGATCTCAGAATCAACTACATCTTAATTAGCCACTTCACTATTAAATTGCAAATTTCTGCATTCTGAATTATGTAATTATCGAAGAATATCACTATGTAACTCTGTAATATACTCATTATCTTCTAATTAAAATACATCATTTTATTCAAAACTAATCGTTTGTTTTAGATTATTATCTTGAAAATTGTCAAATTCAGATTCTTCATCTGATCCTTCACTTTATTGCAATTTTAAACTTTCATCTTTTTTATATTCTATATGTGATTCTATATTCTTGACTTCCTATTAAACTTACATTTAAGGTTGTTAATTTTCGAAAGTTCTATATTAATCTAAACTAATTGATTAATCATTTGTTCGTGTTTAGAATGTTTATCTTGTATCTTCACTTTTCATCTTTTAATCAATATCAATAGAGCCTTATTGATTGCCTTTATGACATTTAAATTTAAGTTTGAATTCTGGAAAGTTTTCTTTTAATGTTTAAAATGCTTATTAAAAAATAGTAAATTTTTTTTCATGTTACTAGTCTCCAAAGTGAAATTCTCCATTTGTAAATTGTCCATTAAGCTTCAAAAAGTTAATAAATTAGTTCATTTATTCGTGATTTTAGATCTTAAAAATGTTTGAATTGATGGTAAAATTCATTCTAAAATTTTATTATTAATTGCACAAAATTTAATTTTCGCATTTGTTAAAATATCTTTTTTGATAAGGTATATTAATAGTAATGAATAAGATATTAATATATGTACTATTTTTTTTTATTAATTTTAATTTAGCATTCTCAAAATGAATCTTTTAATTATAAGTAAATATAACCATCCAATTAAAGAATGAAAAAAATTTGAGCAACACGTTCGTTATCAAATACATTGATTAATTATATGATTAAAACTATTTATATACTTATCAGATTCGAAATTGAAGCCAAGATATTTAAGAAATTTATTAAATTATTGGTAAATATTTACTGCTATTTATCAAATTAATTAGGCATATAAATATTAAAATAAATATTAGGATGGGTTGTTGTTAAGGAAATCCTTATGGTATTATATTATAACCATAATTTAGATATGAACTAAGTGAATGAATCAGTAAAAGAATTAACTGAATATTAATAACCAGAATATAAAGCAAATATTGTAGATTTGAATAATAAGGTAAAGTAGATGGAACAAGTGCAGGAAAGAATTCAAGATGCAGAACAAACCCCTAAAAAAGAAACCAATTATTCTTAAGAAATGAAAAGTGGCAAAAAGGAAGACAATCAAGAAACAAGGTCTCTTGTTCAACAATAAGGATAAGAAAAACAATGGATCATTAAATAGACAATGTTTGTCAGGATTAATTCTAAAAAGAATGTCAGTGAATTTTATACAATTAAAGAGATGATTGGATAAGGAGGTTTTGGAAAAGTTTATAAGGTAGTTCATCGATAAACAGGTTTTATTTTATTTATTAAGGATAGGAATGATTAGAGCTATGAAATTAATATTAAAATCAAAATTGAAGAAAGAAGATTAAGAAAAATTATTAGAAGAAACCAGTATATTGATGGATATTGATCATCCCAATATAGTTAAATTATATGAAATGTATTAAGATGATAATTCCTATTTTTTAATAAGTGAATATTGTGATGGTAAATCTTTAAAAAATTTCATATGAAAGGTGGTGAACTATTCGAAAAAATCAAATTTGTTCAAATTTTAACAGAAAAAGAAATTGCATCTTATATGAAATAAATATTATCAGCTGTTTCCTATTGTCATTCCAAAGGGATAGTTCATAGAGATTTAAAACCAGAAAATATTTTGTTTGATTCCAAAAATTAAGGAGGAGCCTTAAAAATTATAGATTTTGGTGCTAGTGCCAAATTAGTAAATGATGAAAAACTTAATAAGAGAATTGGAACAGTATTTAAGATATCTTATTTATTAAGCCTTTTTATGTTGCTCCAGAAGTTTTGAATGGAAGTTATGATCAAAAATGTGATATATGGTCATTAGGTGTTTTGCTCTATATATTACTTTGTGGATATCCTCCATTTTTTGGTCATAGTGAAGGAGAAGTATTGGCTAAAGTGAGAAAAGGTACATATCAATTTGACAGTAATGATTGGTCTAGAGTTTCTATGCAAGCTAAAGATTTAATAAGAAGGATGCTTTTTTATGATCCATCAGCTAGAATAAGTGCCTCTGAAGCTTAATAACATGCTTGGATTTCAAATAATAAAGCTAAAGGTTAAGTCAACAATTTAAGTTTAAAGAGATTATAAGATTTTGATTCTAAGAATAAGTTGAAGTATGCCATCCTTTAATTTATTACTGTTTAAGTAGTATCAAGTCAAGAGAAAGATGATCTTCTTAAAATTTTTCAAGATATTGATAGAAATGGTGATGGAACAGTCAGCAAAGAAGAATTACTTGCTGGTATATTTATTCATTAATATTAGCTTATATGAAGATTTATAAGGGAGATAAATTAGCAGCTTAGCATATTGTAGAAGAACTATTTCCTTAACTTGATGCGAATAAATCTGGCAAAGTGGATTTTAGTGAGTTTGTAACTGCTTCTATTAATAGAGATAGAACTTTAAGCAAAAAGAAAATTGAATAATCATTTAAATTATTTGATTTAGATGGCAATGGGTATATTACAAAATAAGAAATAAATGAGTTATTTGGAAATGAAATAGATGAAAAAATGTGGGAAGATATTCTTAAGGATTGTGATATAAATAAAGATGGAATGGTTTATATTATTATTATAATTTAGATCTCATTAAATGAATTTATAACATTATTGGAATCTAAAATATAACTAAACACAAAACTATCATGAAAATACTCTATTCTATTATGATTTTATTTTTGATTTATACATATGTATTTTTATTAACTTAATATATGACTAAATTAAAAAAAATTGTTCATCTATAATCTAATTGCTTTTCATTTAATAATATAGAATTATTCCTATAATTTTGACTAATCATAAATTAAAGTATTAACAATCATTTTCAAGAATAACAAATTAATTAAAAATAAAATACAAAAATAATAATATGCACCTACCGGGACTCGAACCCGACCTAGATGCTTGGGGGGCATCTGTACTAACCTCTATACGATGGGTGCAAGTTATTTTATTACGAATTAGCTTTGAAAAAATATAAAATTCTAGTTTTTTTAAATATAACAAAAAAAACTCTTTTATTTTTAATAAATATAAATAAGGAGATTTAATATCTATCACTCTCTACTTGAAGATTAATCTAATAATTCTGGAGTATGAATGACATAGGTTTCAACTGTAATTTCAACACTATCTTATCTGGAATCAGAAATTTAATTTTTAATTTTATTAGGCCAAAATATTATCAAAGCAGCAAAATAAGGTAGAAAGAATGATAACATCTTTTCTGAAAGTTCTAAAGTTGTATTTATAATATTTGACAAAGTCGGATCATCTTCTATCTAAAAATTTGATAACTATTTACTTTAACATAATAACATGTATATCTTTCAGATTGATTTCTCAAAATTTCATTCATCAAAACAAAATATATATTTTAAACAAAACTAACAAAGGATCCTATGATATTTATAATTACTAAAATCCTAAGTATAAATCATTATAATTAATTTACCAAATTTAACTCAATCTTTTTTTAATTACCTTTATAATTTTTTCGGTCTCATCATTAAGATTTTACAAATTCTTTATATTTTTATTAATCTATCTTGTAAATTATTTTATTTGTAGTAAGAATAATCCTTAAAGTAAAAAGCTAACAGTTGTTATTACATTAAAAAATTAAGCTATTAATAATTATTTAAAGTAACCTTAACAAAGATGATAATTATCTTATTAGATAAAATAATCTATATAGTTTAATATGAAAACAACAGTAAAAAAAAAAATTAATCCTGCAAACATCAATTTTGATAATTTTAACTGGATTGTAGAATTAATTTCTCTTTAAATATATGCCAAATTAAATGTTGCAAGCATTATTGACTTTCTTCCAAAATAGTAGATTATGTAACATATAAACATAAATTAAAAATATAGAATTGGAAAATATATGGCATCGTCTTTAATAGTAAGTTAATATGCGAGATAAACTTATTTAATGTATTAAAGTTACAAATCATGTCTATGAATAAGATAAGAAAAATTTTCTGCTTTCTTGTTACAGTAAAGAATGAGTTGAATTTTTATTATGCAAAGTATATGTATATTGATAAAACAAGCAAAATAATTGCTAAAAATACTTTAAAGCAAAATCTAAATAATAAACATTATCATACTAAACACAGGAAGAACTTATAGATTAATTTTAATTCAGCAAGCATTCATATAATTCTATTGCCCCAGGTTTTTTTGTCATTTAGTTATATATTAATATATTATTACAAAGAATCAAAATATATTATTTATATATATTTTTTTGCAGAATAATTGAAATTACTGTCTTTATTCAATATAAATCTTTTAAAATATCGATATACTATTTATATATATATGAAATGCCTTAATAATTATTATTTTAAACTAATTTTTTTTTATTGAGAATAAATTAAGTTTTATTAGAGAATATTAAGTGATTTCATACTTAATATTTTTTATAAACTCTAAACTGCTTCAAAATAATTATTAACTTAGCTATATGAACTATAATTTGATAATAATTAAAGGAGCAATTGCAATACACACATAAAACTATATATAACGATATGATTTGGATATATTCTATATTTATAAATAAAATTAGTTTTCAAGTATTATATATTTTGCTAATTATTTTATATTGATTTAGCATTTTAGAATTTAGACATAATTTAATTAGGATATTGCATTCATTCATAATTTCTCTAATGAAATTAAGAAATATAATAAATTTAAATTAATTCTATTAAAATATAACAAAATTATACTTAAAAATTTATTAATATTCTATAATAACCTTAACGGATTAAGTAGCAAAATTAAAAAACACTTTTGTACACCATTCAATGTTCAAAATATTTATTAGTATTCTATTTATATATAATAATTAACTTGGTTTATTAGTACAGTTTTTATTGAGATATTAATTTCAAAATATTATAAAATAAAATAATGAATAGCTAATCCCTAGAAGCTACAAAAACCTAGAGTGTTAAGGACTATAAGGCATAACATAAGTTGGAGGACAGAAAAAAGAGAGTATAGCAATATAAAGAAAAATACCCAGAAATGACACCAATGGTTGTTTAAAAACATCCAAAAGCCAAGATTATGTCATTAACAAGACCATAGTATTTAGTTTTGAATAAAATAGATTCTTGGTTAATTAAACTGTCAAGTTTTCAGATTTTAAAAACTAAATCAGAACTAAACTTTAATTATCACCTTAATAAACATTGTTTTTCTATTGTGGAAATAATATTATATCAGATGGTAATTTTTTGAATTAAAAAATAGATATTTCACTTTAAGAATTGTATAATAAATATAAAGATAGAGAAGATGAATTTCTATATTTGAATTATTCTGATTGTGAAGTTTTTGGAAATTAATTTGATTGATATACATATAAATAAGTACATATGTACTATTGTATATTTTAAATTTATTAATTGCATTATTGAATTAGAAAAGTTTAAGCTAAAGCATTCCTTAAAAAAAAAGAATGAAGGAATTTTTAATTAAAAAAAATGGAAAACAGAAATTTATTAATATATTTGCTCAATTTCGTGACAAATGCTTTAATAAATTTCGATCATGGAATAATTCCTGCATGCACAACTGATATGAAATTAGATTTGGGAATTGACGATATTGGAGTACTAATTTAAATTAAAAATCTAATTTTAGTTAGGTTTAATGGGTTCATCAGTTTATGGAGGACTTGTAATAGGATCATTTATAGGCACAGGCATATTTGACAAATATAAAACTAAACATATAGTTACAATCAGTGTATTATGTTGCATACTAAGTTTATCTCTATTTATTCTAACCAAAAATATATTTCTCCTTTTTATATCGAGATTTTTAACAGGATTCTTTTAAGTACGCAATATTAATTTATTTGGTGTTCTTAGTTGTTTTTTTCCCAGTATGGATAGATTTATTTGGTGAAAATCATAAGACTATGTGGCTAACGTATATGTAATTAGGAGTAGCTTTAGGAACTGTATCAGGATATTTAGTGACTTCCTTATCACTTCATTTTTCATAAAATGTAATTCAAATTTTATCTTTTAGTGGGTTTATCCATATTATTTGTAAATAATATTACTAATACCATGTTTTTTGTTTTATAGTTTTTGTGATGAAACAATGTTATCTACAAAAGAATAAGATAAAATAGAAATAAAAAAAGAGAATTTTAAGACAATTTTTTTGTAAAATTTAAAAACATTTTTGTCTAATCCTGTTTTTGTGTTTTCAATGTTATCATTAAGTTCATTATTTTTTGTTGTAACAGGAGTTTAATTTTGGATAACAGATTATCTTAGAAATGTGTTACTGATGCCTCATGAAGTTGTTTTTAAATCATTCTTAATAATATCATTAAGTGCTCCTCTTACTGGAGTTTATTTAGGTGGTTTAATCTTGCATAATTTTGGAGGTTATGATGGATAAATGGCAATTAAAATAGCAGCATTTGAGGCATTATTAGCAAGTATATCAGGAGCATTTATACCAATTCTAAATAATGGAACATTTGTATTACTTTTCTTATGGTTTTTACTCTTTTTTGGTGGAAGTGCTGTTCCTGCAATTATGGGTATTATGATCACTTCAATCCCAAAAGAATAAAGATCAAGTGGAAACTCATTAAGCCATTTATTTTAAGAACTTTTAGGGTATTTACCTGCTCCTGTTCTTTATGGTTATGTTTAATAATAAACTGGAGGATCAACATCTCGTTGGGGAATGATTCTTCTTTCTATTGTTGGATTTTTTGGTTTATTTTATATAGTATTAGCAATTTTTTGGAAATAAAAATAAACATTATAATTGGTAAGTAGTGTAAATGAATCAGAATTAAGAGATAGAGTTCCTTAACTAAATTCAATTGATAAGAATGATATAATAAAGAAGTCTGAATTTGCTTAGATTCGTATGTAGACTTCTGTATAATCAGGGAAATCAATTATGATTCCTGTTTAATAGGATTAAATTAATAATGAGATTTAAAATGAAAATTAGACTTCTTTGATACACAGAACTCATACTTTTAAAACAAGAGATGCGTATCAAAGATAAGCTTCAGTTTCATAAGCTTTAACTAATTTTTCTATCCTTCTTGGTAGAGGTAGTCTTGATAATGATTTATTTTCTATTAAAAATAATTAGAAATAAATGCAAAATTAATAAAAAGAAATTGAATTATAGGTGGCTGGTGGATTCTATTTAGTAAGTGAAGGAAGATATGTAAAATTTGAAGAACATTGATTTATTTACATATTTTTATTGAAAAATATATTTGATCAATCAAAATTATAAATATATTAATAATAATATTAAATCTATAATTTATTTCAGATTTTTTTACAAAACATATCAATAAATTCTACATAGTCTATTTCTCCATCATTATTTTTGTCAACTTCTTTTATTAAACTTTCACAAAATTGTTTTGAAATATATTTAAATTAATCAACAGATTTTAATACATTTTAAAGATTGTCTACTGTAATTTTACCTGTATTATTTAAATCAAATTATTTAAATGCCAAATAACATTTCTCCTCTTTTAAAAATAATCTTTTTTCATAGATTTAATTAATAAAATCTAATTTTAAGTCAAATATTTATTTACTATGATAATTAATTTTATCATTCTGAATATCAGAATGCTCTAAAATTAAATTGATTTCTTCATATTCTGGTTAATCTTTTAAAGTTTCTTTAATTGATGAAACTGAAATAAATCCTTATGAATTAACATCCAAATCTTCAAATATTTTCTTTAATTTTTCTAAAGAATCCTTTTATAATTATTCAGATAAAAAATTCATCATAATCTAAGTATAAATTAATTTTAGTATATACTCTTAATAAATGGTTTTGATTTGATAATTCTTTCATTTATTTGAAATTTGGATTTAAGAATATAGTTTTATCAATTGGTGTTTAAATCCAAGGATGTTTCAATATCTCAAAGATTGTAATTCTTTTATAAGGATCAATTAAAATTTTAGACAATAGATCTGCAACAGGTTTTTCAACTTTTAAAGTTATTTCATAATTTTAAATTTGTTTGTAAATTTCAGCATCAGTTTATCCATTAAATGGTAATTCACCAGTCAATAAAACATGTAATATTACACCAACTGCCCATATATCACATTTTTCTGTTAGTCTCCCTTCAAAAATTTCTGGGGCTGTAAAATACAACTTACAATAAATAAAATATATTACTTTTCCAGATCTTGAGGATTCTACAACAATTCCATTTTGTTTTTTAATGTAATCATCTACATAGAGTAATTAAAAACCAAAATCAACTGCCTTAATCTTCATATCTTCTGCTTTACGTTCTACATATAAAAAAGATTCAGGCTAATATAATTTCAATTATATTACTCTTAAATCTCTATGACATAATGCATATTTATGACAAACATTTATAGCTTGTATCATTTATAAGAATAATTAACGAGCTTCATCTGCTGAAAGTACATATTTCTCCAAAATTTTTTCAAACAATGAACCACCTTCGCAATGACTTAACTAGATTAAATTTATTAAAAATACTCAATGACTATATGTAGATTTCTATCATCTTCATATAGTTCATATATTTTAATTACATTCTCATGATTCTTATGATAATGCAATAATTTTTTACAATATTTTTGAGTTAGTTAATGTCTGATTTCAATTTTTCTTTATGTTTTACTTTAGCCTTTGGAATAGTACGTATAGCTTTATAAATTTTTGATTATCTTTCTTTAACTTTTATAACTTAACCAAATTTTCCAGACCCAAGAACCTTGATTAATTTAGTTATACTTTTTTTGTTTCCATTTCATATTTCTAACTTAAATTTTAAGATTGACTCCACATGAACCATAATTATTTTGAATTCTTCATATTAAATATTTATAATCAAATTAACAACAGAACATAATTAATAACAAAAAAAACAAGAAAAGCCAAAATAAATACATTGAATGCAAATTAATTTCCTTCTCCAATACATTTTCCAATCCATATACAATGATGATCGTATCCTCTTATACATATATTACAATCTTTACAATGTATTGTTCCTTTTGATTTGTGCATAGAACAAATTGAACACCAATCTATTTTATTCTTATTTAATACTTTCTGTAAAAACAGTGTTTGATGATTTATAATTTATTCCTTAGTTTTTTAAAGCAGTTATTAAAAAACTTAATATTAAAAAGAGTCCAGAGCAACTTTGTACTATTCTAAATAACATATCGCTTTTATAAAATATGAATCCTATATAATAAGTTCCGAAAATCAAAACTATTATTAAAAATAAAGGAAAAGGCCCTTCTATTAAAAAATATTAATTTACAATGAGGACCTATTGTAATTAATGGTTCATCATATCTAAACCAAAAGCAATATTGATTTCCTTTTTTTCGTTTTAATAATTTCATTTCATTTGAACTTAAAGGAACTTCTTCATCTTCAATTTATCCATTTTCTATATCGTTCATTATTTAATTAACAATATTAACAAATAAAACTTTACAACTATTTCTAACTATATAAGTTAATTTGAATTAAATATATTTTATATCTAAATTTTTATAAGAATATAAATGATACTCTACTCTAAAATAAATATTCTCTACATTAAAATTAATTATGATAAAAACTATTTTATATAAATTTTCTACTTTCAAATCTCTATATGGCTAAGCAGGTACTGTGAGTTTTAAATTATTAAATGGTTAACATTAAGTAACTTTATAGACTCATTGGGAAGACAATTGTGAATATTATTGTTAGCCTGAAACTGGTTTTTTATTTGAGGATTAAAAAGATAAAAGTGAAATTTCAAATATAGAAGAAGGTAAATATCAAACAAAAATTAATATACCTGAATATTATAATTATAATGGAATTATTAATGGTGATCTTTAGCATATTTCTGCTAATATAGATGCAAAATTATATGGAAATATTGATATAGATTTAAGTGGAGATTTTTAATCTCAAAAGATAAAATCTGAAATCTGTAGAATCAAAGCAAATAATTTAAAAATAAATTCTGCATTAGAAACTTAATTTGGAGAATTATCAATTAAAAATAATGTCACAATTAAAAAATTACTAATTTCAAAAGTAACAAATTTATATTAAGAAAATGGAGAATGTAAAATTTAAGCAGGTTATGTTTAAAATATACAATAAAATACACCTATTCTTTAAAAATCTTAATTTTTAGAAAATATTGAATAAAATAATCATTTTTTTATATCATCTTAAGCAAAAAATTTTAATATTGGTACATTTTCAGGAAGATTGAAATGTAATTTAAATGCATAATCATTCTTCATAAAATCTATGTCAGGATTATTTTATATTAATTAAGCTAAAAATTTAGAATTAGGAATAACAAATTAATATAATTAAGGATTTATCAAAGCAGATAATATTAAATTAAATATTTATGAAAAATTGAACTTTAACATATTTAATTATGGTAATTCAATTTATGAATTTAATGAATCTTATTATAGTATTTATACTGAATGTAATAAACTTGAAGTTAGAAAAATTAATAATCCTTTTGGGATTTTATGATAAATATATATATATATATATAAATAGTAAAATTCACATTTAAGATGATAGTTTACTCATAAATTCTTTAATTTTATTTTCTCTAAAAATTATAGCATTTTCTCTTGCTTATAATTCTTGTTATTTTTCTGAAATTGCTTTATATTCTTTATGAATTCTTTTTTCAAATAAATGTCGAGCAATATCAATATCAATTTATGGTTCTGGTTCTATATTTTCTTAATTAGATTAAATAAAAGTCTCTTCTGTTTATGTTTATCTATTTACTAATGATAATTCTTTATTTATTAATTCCATTTCCTTTTCTCTTATTTGTTTTTCAAAATTATATAATTATTCTTCTTTTTACTTCATTTCTTGATAAAATTAATCTAATTGATTTTATGTAGAATCTATTAATTTTTTAGCAATTTGAACATCGCTTTTTAATGAATCTATTTCTTCTGCTTATTTTGAATTAATATTTTGTTATTCTAATAGTTTTTTTTCAAGCACCTATATTTATTATTAATGCTCTTCATAATAATCTAAATAAGTTGATTAATTTTTAATATCACTTAATGGGGTTCGTTGATTCAGAAAAAATATATCTGAAATACTTTTATTAGCAGATTTCATTTAATTTATAAATTAATTTAACTATTAAATAATTAAAACTGCTAAAATTGATTTGAATATATTTACCACTTATATAAATATGAATTTGTTCATCATAGAACCAAAATAACTGTGAGAGTATTAAAATTTTAATTTTTTTTTTTAAACAGATTTTTATGTATTAATAAAATAAACTTATAGGTATAACTAGAATATATTGTTTATATAAATATATAGAGAATACATAATTGTCAAAAGTCATAGAAATTCCACTCTTAATATGGTTATGCAGGATTGATTTCATCATCTAATTATTTTTCCTTCCATTCAGAATTGAAAGTTATTGATGTGAAATCATTTTCATAATTGTGTTAATCAGTTTAATTTGTATTTATAAACTAATCAATATCTATTGAAGTTTTTGAAACTTCATCATCAGCTTCAATTATCATATTATTCCAACTATCATTTTATTATGTATTCTGTTCTTATTATATGATTTCTGGAGCAGCAATATTAAATATTGTATCCTTCTTTAACAGTTACCTTAAATAACCCATTTTCATGTTCAAACAATCTTTAATATTGATAATTTAAGAAGCTTTTCTTATTATGCTGTAATAGTCTTCTAAAGTTTTCTTTGAACATCCAACTAGATTGGCTGCTTCTTTAAGTGAAGGCTTTATAAAATTTCCAGCATAATCACGATACCCATTCTCAAATAAATCTCTCCATTATTGAACTAGATTGTTAGCTTCATAAACATATCTCTCTTTAGATCTTCTTTATTTATCTATTAATGATCCTTATTGCATCTTACAAATGCTTTTATAATAATTTTTCACCTTCAATATCAAATCAGCAATTTATTATCTTATAATAGTATTTATCAGAATTCATACGTATTCTTGTATTACTATGTTTTATGTAAATAGTATTCATCTATCTATCATAAAAACATTTATTTATTAACTATCATAGACAGATTATTAACATATGATTTATTTATTAGATTCCTCAATCAAATAAAATGCCAATCTTAATTATTTTATATAACTTTGATTTCTCTAATAAATTTTATGTAAATTAAATTATTTTTCTTTATCATATTTTACAATTTTAAAGAACTTTTTGTTTATAATCCTACTTTATATATTTTTATTTCAATAGGGATAATGTATTTAATATATTATTAACTTAATATTTTTTTCTGAAAATAAATGCAAAAATACAATATAATATATACTCTGTTCTCATGGAAGATAATAAATTAAATTATGGTTTATATTTATTAAATGGTTAAAGAGTATAAAATTAATTTGATAAAATATATATTCAATAATGTAATCAATTCTCTACTTGATAAACTTTTAAAAGGCAATAGATTATTAGAATATAAAGGTATTATTAAAATTATCTTGAAGCACTAATGTAATTTATTTTTTATGGCAATTAGTAAAAACGACTTTATAGTGTCTTATTATATATATATTTATAAAAAAATTAAAAATGACTTAATAAAAATTGGTAAAAGTGTTTATTATAAAAGGTTTATATATTAGATATCTATTAGACAGTATTATAAAATATTAAAAACTAATGATTATTAAGTATTTATTTAATGAATAGAGATAAATAAAAAGATGCAAAATTAATTATGATAAAAGCCTTATGCTTAACCTAAAAATTATCATTAGGATTCAATGAAAATGATAAAATCTATACAAATACAAGCTTGATTTAATTAAGTATTTATTTGTCATACAATTAGTATATTATATTATTCATGTGGAGAGTTATTACTATTATAGCCAAAGGAAATTATAAAGAAAGAATGGGTCATTTACATGCTATAAAATATATCTAAGTGTAAGATTTGCAAAATCTAATGAAATTTGTTATTTTAGTTTATCTGTAATTTAGTATATAAGTATCCATTGTACTGAAGTCATAAAGAAAAATAATATGAATAATGAATGAATTTAGAAAATTTATTTAACATTTAATTAAACCTAAACATAGATTAATTAAACACAAAAGATGATTTTGAATCAATTAAAGTTACATGATTATTTATATAAATTCTATACTGTATTTGATACTAATCTAATATTTGGAATTAAATATTTATTATTAGAATAAAATAATGAGATAAGGCATATTTAAATAAAAGAGTCATACGAATATTTCTATAAAATTGAATAAGTATGCTATTATTTAGAGTTTGATAATTATTAATAATCATATTAAGAAGGTTTATTGTAAAACATATTCTAAATAATGGATTTAATAGCGATTAAAATATCAATGATGTTTATTATAAGTTTGTGTTTAATGAATCGTAATTTTGAAATAGTTGTAATGTATATTGAATGATTTAATTAAGTTATAAAGATTTATATTTTTATAAATTACTATCAAATTGTATTAAGGAATTACAATTGAAGTATTGAATACATTAGAACTGAAAATTTATTCCTGAATATTTTTGATCAAAGATTAGGATTTATTGGTTCTATAATTATTTTATTATAATATGATGTATACTCTAACTCCTGAGCAAGCATAGATTTCTATAAAAATTGACAAGGCTAGCTATTATCCCGGAGAAATTATTAAAGGAGTGGTATATATGAAAATCAAAACAAAGGATATTTAAGCTGGTCTTATGTATTTAAAAGTAAAATTTCAATAGAAACTAATATAGCTCTGCGGCTAAGAGAAAGTCAATTAATTAGACTCTTTTAACTAATTCTTTAGCTTTAAATAGTTCATATATAAAAAATAGAAAAAAATAGCAGACTTTGGGATGTATAATTAAGCTGAATATTAGAAAAATGCCAATAATAGCTTGCAAAAAATATTTTGAATTAGAAGTTCCATAATTATATCCAAGTTTTACAATAAATTATTACAAAATGGTACAATGTAGAATTCTGTATTTTCTCTCTGTGAGTATATAAAGTGAGGATGAAAAAAACTTATATAAAGTACCAAAAAAACATAGAGTTGTAGTTCATATATTGTAAAAAATACAAATTTAAAATACTATTCCAATAGAATATTCAGAAGTTTCAAAAATTGATAAAAGGTGTTGCTTTTCAACTGGGGTAATAAATAATTAAATTTAGAATACAAAAGTGAATATTTAGTTAAACAAAGCATAATATATATTTGGAGATACTATATCATTAATTTTATAAGTGGATAATAGTTAATCAAATGTAGCTGTGTAAAAATTTGAATTGAAAATTTCATCTTAATTAGTAGTTTTATATAAACAATAAAAAAGAAAGTTATCAAATTATTTTGATATTTATTTATAAGAAATAAATGGTAATGGATTATTTTATGTTAGAATAAATATAAGCTCATTAATCAAAATAAATTAAAGCTAAGATAATTCTACCATTAGGAAAAACAGATAATAAAATGTCAATTTTCCCATAAAGTACATTAAAAACAAAAAGAATAAGTTATTAATATATTCTTACTGTGGATGTAATTTTTGCAAGACAATTATTTTTTAAAGTAGATAATCTTATTGCATCAATACCTTTAATATTGATTTAATAATAAAAAAGAGAAAAAAATAATATAATTTAATCAATGGATAATTTAAGTATGCTTGGATCATTGGTTGAAACAAATTAAAAATTAAATACTAGTTAATTGAAAAAGTTTATTTATGGAGATCATAATTCTGCTGGTTATGGTGAATAAGATGGTTATGATGGACCAGAAAGAAAATATAATCCAATAGAAAGTTTAGATGAATTTGCATTAAAAGATACAAAAGGAGCTTTGGAATAATTAATGTTTAAGAAATAATATGAGGAAGATAGTGATATTGATGAAGAATTCGAAAATGAAATAGATGGATTAAGTATAAATGATATCAGTATTAATTAAATTTAACCATCTTAAGAATAATAATAATAATAATAATAATAATAATAATAATAATAGAGGACAATTTTTAATTAAAAATAGAAAAACGAATTAAATTATACTAATTCAAATTAAGAAGAATTTAAATAAGAATAAGGAATATAAGAACATTTATAAACAATAAAAGAAGAATAAGAAAGTAAAGGAACTTAATATAATCTAAATAATGTCTAACCTTCTTAATCTTAAGTTTAAAAGCATAATTAAAAAATTTAAAAAGAAGCTTATCCAATTTAAACATTTGGATCAGTAAATTCAGGTTAAGATAACATTAATTATGATGATATAAAAAATAGTCCAAATGATTAAATAAATAATAAAAAAACAACAATTTTAAAAAAAAATGATTAAAGAGAATAAAAATAATTGAAAGTTTAATTTAATGATATTACTTCTGTAGATACTCTTGATGGTAAAAATGGAGATAAAATTACTACATAAAAATAAAAAAGATGATATATTATGAACAATTTTGAAATGATAATTTGTTATTCATTTATATATTTATTTGTAAATATGAAATAATCATTTTTATTCTTGATTAAATATTATAATAATATTTATCATAAATCAGATTCTTATTATTAATTAATAAGTTTGTCTTCCTCTTCTTCCTCTTTCTCTAAAATATGACTTAATTCAGCCAAACTTGCATCATTCTAAATTTCTTAATATATTTATTTTGTTAATTTGATGAAATAATAAATAATTAATACTATTGTAATAAACATTCCTAATTTCAGCCAAAATGGAACATAATTACTTGTATCTCCTGATTATAATAACTCAGATAATGATTCCAGATTTGATCCCATGTATACCCAAAAACCTGCCCAAACTACAGTACCAAATATAGTTGGATGAATGAATTACCAATGTGTTATTCTGAACAATCCACAAGCATATGTTTTAAATATTGTAGGAATAGCCAAAAATTATATTAAATACATAACTTTCACTGGTTTTCTTTCTGTTGCCAAATAACATGTAATAAAATAAATATTTTCATTCATTGCCATATATATATAATTTCTTACACAATATCGCCCTATTAGAAAACCAAAATATCTATTGTTATACATCAATATAAATATTACTTTGCTAAAAATTTAGCTATAGATACTGTTAATAATGCAAACCAAAACGGTTGAATTAAATATCCAGCCAAAATATCATATAATACTACATTAAAGCCTGTTAATACAAACCATAATCCAATTAATCCAATATATACAGCTCCAATGATTTATCCTAGCTAGAATATACAATACCTTACTCGCTAAAATCATTCAAAATGTTATAGCAAAAATATCTGAAATCTCTAACCCAATATAAAAACAAAACAAAAGTAATCAATATAATTGAATAAAGAATCATAATTAATAAAAGAATTCTCTAAGCCTTATCTCTTTTTGGATTATTCTAAGAATTACCTAATTTTGTTAATCTATTAAAATACTTCCTCCATCTTTAGCTTTCTAATATTTTTCTCTTAATTCTCTACTTTAATCTTCATAAAATTTTTGTGAAATTGTTTATTCATTCATTCGTTTTTTTCTTATTTATTTATGTATTTATTATATAATAAATAATTAAACATTTGAACTTTTTTTTTATAATGTCAAGTACCAAATATATTTATTTGGTTAAAATTTAAAATCATAAAATTGAAATAGATTACCATTTGAACAAAGGAAAAATGAAATTTATAAAGCATCAGTTATAACTTCTTAATTTAAATTTTTCTGCTTTTGTCATAACTTACATTTAACTATATATATAAATATATATTGAATCAAATCTAATCGATTTCTTTAGTTGTTTTCTTAAGTTAATCACTATAGGGAGTTTCTGGTTCCTCCTTAATTACACCTAGTCGTTAGGAGAAACCTAATTTTTGCTGTTACTACTGCTAGGCTTATTTTTATTATTGAGCTTATAATTATTGTTTCTCTTCTAAAGACTCAAAGGAGGAATTGCTGTCACAAAAATTTATGACATCAAATAGATCTTTGACATCATCGGTACTTGATTTAGCGGAGCACTTGGTAAGATTAATTGAATGGATTGATTATTAAAAGTGAATAGATTTCTCTCTGATTTACTAACTAGTTTCTTTATATGCAATAATGATTTATCCATGATTTTTAGTTAAATCTCTTTTTTCAATAAATTATTCATTAGAATTAGAAACAGATTATTGTAATATTTTCATATTTGCTTACATAGACCTTACTATACCCAAAAGAGGTTTATCACTAGACCCAAGAACGATGTCATCCTTTGATCTCATTTTTATATGCTTAGAAAATATCTTAGGTTAATAAAGCCAAGGATGGAGTAAAGCCTCTAAAATTAAATAATAAATCTATACAAGCAGAAGTAATTCTTTTTTCTGGATTCCATTTCAATATTCTTTTGATAAAATCAATGACCAAAGGAGGTAATTGAAGAAATTCTGGTTGTTACAAATGTCCTGTATACTCAGATTAAGTGGAAAAGCTTTCCATTTGATTTTCTTAATCAATAGGTAATTTACCACATAACATCTGATAGCATACAACTCCAATAGCCCAGACATCAATCTATTTTGAATATCCTGAACCAACCCATAGTTCAGGAGCCTAATATGGCATTGTTCCTGTTACTGTCCACATAAGATTATTTTTGATGTCTTTGCAATTCTTTTCAGCTACAAGAAATCTTTTTGAAACACCAAAATCAATTAACTTAATGGAATTAGTATCATTATCAAAAACAATATTATCTGGCTTAATGTCTCTATGACATAATCCAACTTTATGAATATATGACGCAGCCTCAAATAATTATCTCATGATTATGCATGTTTCATTCAGATCTAAAGTTTTTCTCTCCTTTAATATATGTTAGAGACTTGGATAAGGTAAATACTCCATTACTAAATAAGAGCACTCCATATTTGGATCAATATAAAGCATATTTGTTTTGCAAATATAAGGATGATTTAAAGACACAGTATTAAGGAATGTTTATTTCATAATCTCAGTAATTTCCGGATCAGCATTTCTTGAAATCTTAACAGCATATGTTTCATCTGGATTTGTTATTTGCCAACATTATCTAACAACTGCATGTGCTCCTTCACCTAAAATCTTTCCAATTTAATAGATATTTTTGAATGATTGCTTCATTTATTCAAGTTGTTTTTAATTAGACAAATAATCAATTATTTTAGGTGCATCCTCTTTAAATTCACTTTAACTTGAACAATGAACATATTCTAAAATTTATGGACATTGATTGATAATTTCTTAAACATTCTATTTTTATTAATTCTCATTCTTAAATAAATCACTTTTCAATTTATTTCTTAATCTCTCAAAGTTACCTTTTTTATCCATTTTTAATGTTATTTATTATTTATATATTTATATCAAGTAAAATTTATTGTTTCAATAAATTAATCAATATAAAACTAAAATTCTCAATATATATATTAAATTTAATAACCCATTTCTGTCTATTTAAAATATCATCAAAGTCAGTAAAAGTTTCTTCTTTAAATTCTCTTAAATAAAATTCTGATTAATTTTTTATTCTTATATATAAATTCTTTATTATTCTATAACTATGTATAATTATTAAGTAATCAAATCAATTAAATCAATTTATATATCATTACTATTTGATTCTTACAAAATGTTAAAAATATATCTAATAATTTAACATAATTATTTATTTTAACTTTTTTATTCAATCACTTTTAAATTTCGCAATAAACCAATAATATTCAAATTATTAATATATATACCATAATTATATTCTAACTTTTTTGTTTCTATAGTTTTATTCTAATAATCACATAATGTTAATTAATCTAACTGAAATAAAATAGCTAGATATTAAATTCTCACATGACTTTAATTTATTGTTAAATGCTTAGTTTAATACAAAATAACAATAGTTAAATTGAAAAATAAAAGAAATTCCTAAAGTCTACACTCAATTTAATATAATTTATTTATGAAATAGTTTGTTAAACTCTTGATAATTTTGGGAGAATCAGAAATTGACATAGAACTTACACGATAAGAATTATGTGCATAGAGACTATTCGAACCCTTCACAAGTTTTAAAAGATTAGATTAAAACAATAAAATTAAGCTTGGAGTTAAGGAATTTTATGAATTTCTATAAGACAACTAAGAAATACATTTAACCAAGTAATAATTAGATACTCTTATTAAATATTTGGATTATGATAAAGATGGTTAGGTATCCTATAATGAGTAAATTATTAAATCGAATATAAAATAGCTTCATTAAAACAATATTACCATAAGAACACCCTGAATTAACTGAATTGGCTATGTTAAGATCTAGCTACTAAATTGATAAGAATGTTCTTTTACCATCAGAAATTGAGTCTTTATTAAATGAATTATTATTATGCATTCTTACATGGAGAGATTCCTTTGAAAAAGTTAAAATAGAATTGCTATAGGAAAATTATAACAATTATTTAGATTACCTATTTTAAGGCCATTAATAATTGAGTATCTAACAGTAATAGTTTATTCCTAAAAAGATTTTATAAAATAATAAATGATATATAGCCTGTCAAACAAGAAACTATTTTATCATGTTTTAAATATATAGACTAAAATAAGACTAGATTTATTACTAAATCTGATGTTATTTAAAATTTATTAGGGATTCCATTTGAACAATTCGTACTATAGCAATAAAAGTAATTATAAGATAATAAATTTTCATCATACAATCTATCTCCCAGACAAACTTATTTATAAATTTCTCCTAGATTTACATAATTACCAAAAAATGAGAGAACCATTAGTAATATTGAAAATATATTATCATTGTCAACATCAAATAAGAATAGAAATGGAAAGATAATATCATTTAAATCACATACTTAATTACCCTAACTAAATTGATATATATATATAATAACTATTTATTAAATAAATATAAGCCTCAATATTAAAATTATTTATTTTAATTAATTATAATGAGTGAAGGATAAGAAATTAAACAAATTCAATAATAAAATGAAATCCTAGTTGGGATGCCAAAATCTGGAAATCCTTGGAAGAAACTTTCAACTAAGTATGAAATCATCATTATAATATTAGATCAAGTTCAAGAAATAAAAGATTTCATAAAGTTTCATGGGAAGAAAAGTAAAAATAAAGATAATAAAAGAAAGAATTATAAGAGTATTTGAAAGAATATAAAGCTGAAAAAGAAAAGAAGGTATTTATTAATATTTATTTAAGATTTAAGAAGAAAAATTGAGAAAAAAAAATAAGAAGAAATAAGATGAATTAAATAAATATAAGACAGCTGATCTTTAAATTATAAAAGAAACAAAAAACATTAAAAAATGGACAAAGAAGGCACGTCAAACTTTAGTCAAATTGCCTGCTGAAATATTTGAATAATTACTAGAAAAATAAAGAAGAAAATGATTAAAAATAATATTGTTTTTATATTTCTAAAAATTTTAATGAATTAAGATTAAACATATTAACATGATTATACAGTTGATATTAAGCAATTACAAATAATAAATAGGGAATAAGCTTTGGTTTGGGATACTATGATTGAATAATATCAAAAAAAAATAATTCATTTAAAAAAGAAACTTAACATTGAAAAAACATAAGAAATTCAAAGATAAAATCAATTAGATAAGAAGTAATAATTGTATCAAGAATAATGTTTATTGGCAGCAAATTCTTATTAGATTGATTTATTTGAACTAAGAAAAAAAGATCTTAAAAAGTAATTTGAGTTAAAGAAAGCTATTTTAAAAGAATAGATAAATGAAAATAAAAAATCATATGAATAAATAAGTCAAAACTTGTAGCCACTTCCATAAGAATAGCCAAAAGAATGTTCATTTATTACAGGAGCTAGTTCTGATTATACATTGGTACTTGCATTACAGAAAAAAAATTATTAAAAAACCTTTATTTCTTTATAAAGTTTTTACCCAGAATGTTATATATCAAATTCTTAAGATTGTGAAAATATATCTGTAATTGCAATAAAAGATATTAGTTATAAAGCATCTAAAAATTCAATTTAAAATAAATTACTATTAGCAAATGCTGATAATAAGACTATAAACTGTTATATGGTTAGTTATGATAATGATAAACTTTCTAAGGATTTGATTTTTTAATAAGAATTGCAACATAATATTGATTTAATTCATATAACTAAGACTCTTTAAATTATTGTAAAAAATCATCATTTATATAATAGGTAATCAGTAAACTTGGTGGTTTTATTTATTTATTGAATAAAAATTAGACATAATTAATTTATTAAGGAGGTCATGTAATAGGTGAGTCAGTATATTTTGAAAATGTTGATATATTGAGAGTTTCAAATCAATTTAAGATAATCACTATAACAAATTTATTAACAAACCCAGAATATGATCAATTGTTAACAGAATAATATTCAGCATTAATTTATTATCATACAAATTTACCTTGTTTTCATTTAATGTATATCTAACATCCATAAATTATCAATAAAGAATTATTTGTTTATGTGAACAAAAAGAATAAAGTTAGAGTTTATGATTATATCACATAATAAAAGAAGAAGTTTAAAGTACCAACCTAAAACATTCAAATTGAATTTCTTAATTATTTTGATAAGACTAACAAACTAGTATTTTGTGATAGTTAAGGATAAACATATAAAGTTGAAAAATTTACGAATCTTATTGGGTGAAATATTTATTATATATATATTTATAAAATTTTAATGGAATAGGGACTAATTTCTACATCAATATCTACAAGATTGATAGCTCCTTTAAAAGTATTATTAATTTCATTGATCATCTCAATAATTGTATGCTTAGTTGAAGCTATAGTTTTTAGTGTTAAAACATCTGAAATAAGTAACAATATTTAATAAATTATAGATCAACATTGTGGTTTAAATTCTGCTTTAGTATTTTAAACAATATCATATTATTTCGTTTTAGTAGCTCTAATTGTATTTGCTTTCGTCATAAATAGATTGAAAAAAACATATATTTTGATTGCAACAATACCTTCTATAATTTTTAAGCTTATTTCATTTATAATGATGATGACTTAATTAAATAAACTATGGGGTACTTGTTATATTGAAAACTCTTAAATTTCAACCTTCATTTTAAGTGATTTTTTTTGGATTATAATATTGTTATACTATTTTAATGCAATGTCAAAATTATAATCAAAGTTTCCAGATGCCTTTTATCATAGTTTTAAAATTAATTTATTATGGGCTCGATGAATAAATAAATATGTTATATATTAGTATATAATAATTAAAAACAAATTCAATTATTAATATTATATATTCATAAAAAATCAATTTTTAAATTAATCACAATCTTTAATTGCATCTAAAATAACATTTTACATATTTTATTATAAAAAATCTTATTCAATTTCCATTTTATCATTATTTTATATAATTATCTAATATTAATTCATGTTACCTAAATTTATATTTTATTTAAACTATTTAAAATTATTATTCTCATTATTTTATTATGAAGACTTAAATTCAGAGAATTTGTTATTAAAAGAATATCTTTATTGATTATTCAATATTCTATCTTGATTAATCCCATTATAGGCTTATTGCATAAAAGTTCCGTTATTTTACAAATTGGATTTTATTTAAGATGTTTGCATAAATATTTAATTGTATTAGAAATTAAAGTTTGGAATGCATTAAATTTAATTTTGTTTGTTATCCTAATTAGAATTGTTATTTTAACAAATTCCATTATTTTATGAAACCATTTATTACATGATTATTAAATTTTTGATTAAATAAATAATGAATAAATGTTTATTTAAAAAGATATGATCATTTAGATCTTGCAAATCCAACTCTATCATTATCTCTATCATAAACTGAATAATATTTGCTTAAAAAAGTATCACCTAATATCCAAGCTGGTCCTTGAGGGAATGGAATGTCAAGTGGCATGAATGTTCCAACACATTCACAACCTCCACCCATTTCTAAGAAGCTGTCTGTAGATGCAAAAGATCCATAAGCAATCTAATTATATAATATTAATTTATTTACTTCATTTCCATATGAATCTATTTTCATTATATAATCATGTGCATCAAGATCATAATGAATTCCATCTAACACAAATGTTAAAGTTGGTAATTCTTTAATATTCTTACAATTTTCATCTATATTAAGAGCATCTAACATATCATATAAATCATTAGATGGCCCTGTTATTAATGATGTACCAGTATCTGCTATAACACTGCAACCTCCTTTACATAATCCAATATCCTTTCCATTAACTAATATGTTATTTGCTTCTAAAAGCCAATAATACTTATTTGCAACATTATGAAAATGTAATTCTCCAACAAAATGATCTTAATTCCATCCACCTAAAGTTAGTTCTGAAGTTCTAGAACCTTCTTATCTTGAAAAGTAAAATGAAAACACATTCCTATCCAACAATTTTTATTGCATGATATTATCAAATAATGGATTAAAATGATATGCAGCCATTGTTGGATATGCTAAACCAACTATACCATCAAAATCAGATAAAGCAAATACATCTCCATTTTCTCTAACTATTTCTGCAAACTCTTATTTTCTAATCATTACATTTCCAACATAAGCAGTATCTGCATTAATCTTTTAATTTATTATATTATTATTTACCTCTCCCATTAATTCACCAGTACCAAATTCAACATCTAAATCATAACCTAAATGTTCATAAGTCAAACTCTTTTAACCATCATATTATTTATGATTTTTACATCCATAATCATTACATCTTGCAGAATTCAACCAAATATTAGCTGATCCAGTATCAAATATAACCTATAATATAATAAATCATATTAATCTACTTTAAATTTGTTTTCTTATGACCCAAAACTAATTTCACCAGTATATTATGTATTTTTAAAATTATATAATTTTATATTCTCCTTCTATGTTGTTTATGTTAATGCAATGTCATCTAATATATCACTCTTAGATCTAAAATGTTGCCCTGTTGTTATAAAATCGAAAAATGATTTTCTTGCTTAAGATTAAGTTCTATCCAATTTTATTGAATAAATTTTATTCTGCATTCTTGGTTGCTCTTCTAAAAATGAAGCACAATAGGTAGATATGATCAAAATAGAAATTAAATATACTTAGTTCATTTAATATTGAATTTATCCTATTGAAAAACGATAATTTTTACTATAAAGTGAATTAACAGAATCCATTTACAAAATACTCATTAATTAATATTAATTCTCGAACCAAATTATACATCTTATTTTATCATCAATATATTTAACTACTCTTATTTAACAATATAAACCATCTTAGGATAATAGATTAAATATTGAATTTAAATAAAATATGTTTTATATAATCAAAAATATAAAATCAAAATTCTGATTCCATAAATTAATTAAATAAATATGATTATTCAAATTAAATTGTTTAAAGAGAAATTATAATTAATTTAAATTGTATTTTTTAGAATAATCTAAACTTTTTGAATCATCAAACCTCACATACATTTTATTTTTTATCTTCTCTTGTAGCTTGTAAATATATTTAAATGGCTGAACTCATTAATCCTCCTAAAGCAACTAATCCTCTATTAAATCTTGTATTTAACTATTTTATATTAAATTATGATACTAATTTTTCTGGTATTTATGCTTTTTACATAGCACAAGTAAGATCTCCTATAATTCTTAAAATCAATAATCCAAATTAATATCTTTCATTTGTTAAGGCTCTAATTTAAGATATAAATTCTTAATTAGATATGCCATTTGAAATTTATTACTTCATCTCAGACTCTCTCTTTAGTAATAATATTAATACCTTCTAAAATTAGATCTTAATCTATTTAAATAAAAAACTAATTATGTTAATAAGCCAAGAGTCCAAAAAGAATGAGATGTGATTTTCAATAATTAATGATTAAATGTTTTCTCAAAAAATCCCATTTAATGTATGACCATAATATTTTCTATTAGATGGAAAAAGAAATATAATATATAGACAGAATATGTAGACATTTCATTGACTGCATGAGGAATTTGATGAAAATGTTTTTTTGGATTATGAATTTGTTATTTTTGTAAGATATTAAGAATTGTTTATAAACTCTTTCCTAATCTAAGCAATCTTCTAAAAACATAAATTTATTCTATATTAAATATATATCTGCTTACAATAATTTAAGAATTTCTATTCAGATTCTAAATTATCTATTCCAAGAAGCATGTAGCTTCTTAACAATTCCCAATTTTACAACATTTTTAATATTTTATCTCTATTTTCTCTTGATTATTATAATTTATACCTGCAGTTGATTAAAATGAAACAAATTTAGACAACATTCAATTGATTGAATATATTTTATATTTATAATATAATTTGGAATATGAAATACAAAATGTAATAGTAGATTATAAAAAAGATTCCATATATATAGATTTCAAAAGGTTTCATTCAATATGATTAAGTTTAATACTTGAATTAAATTAAGAAGTATATTGATCTATTATTTTTTGTGTTTCAATTCTTTATTTATTAAGTCTCTAACAATATTATATTATAATACTTTCACTTTTTCATTTTCTATATAATTTTAGTTCTGTCTTCTAATTTCATTTTGTTCTTCTTGTTATTCTGTTTTTAAATGTTTATTTTACATTCTTTTACTTTAACTTAGACTAAAAGCATTATTCATTCTAGTTTTATATTTATTTAATTGCCATTTATCTTTGTTCTATATTATATTTTAAGGTGTTTCTAATAGTTTTTTATTCATTAGATGGCTAGATTTAAAGTTTTTGTTAGGGAGATTTGGAATGAAATATTTTAATTGATAAGGAATGTTTTTGAGTCTTTTAGCTTATACACTCTCATACTTTGGAGTATATAAATGAAGTTAATTAGAAGTATTCATTTAAGTAACTGTATGTTTATGTAATATTCTTTTTTCAGATTTATGAGCTTTGGTGATTGACAATATTCCTATTAATAATAACGCATAATATTTTACTTGATCTTGATGTTGTAGTGTATATATCTGATTCAAATTAAACACATGATTCTAATTTAGGCAAATGAAGAGTTAATTTCACTTTTCTTTCAGATAACATTATTTATTGATTAAAAGATGATATCAGTGGATAGTTATAAATAATATCAATTAAATATGTTTAATCAAATTGAATAATTTAAATTATATATATAATAGTTCTAATCTACTTTTGATGAAAAAGTGTTTTAATTCATCAAATTAGTTTAAGTAAAGTAGTAATAGGAGTCAATATTCAGACAGATATGAAACTATATTAATATTTGTTAAAATTTCTTATTATTAAAAAGTTGTAAATTTGTGAAATTATGTAATACTATTGCTAACTGCATTAAACTATCTTTACTTAAGTTTGTATTCAATAAGATTGTACAAAAAAAGGACCATTATGTAACAAATGTATTGATACTCATAAAAATCATGTTTTATAAAATTTAGAAACATATTTGAATGATTATACAAAATATTTAAATATGGAGTATTAAGCATAAATATTGTAAAAATTAGAATAAATGAAATAATACTTTCATGATAAAATTTCATCTTTATAAATAGATGTAAATTATATAGATGAAAAAAGAAAAAAAGAAATAATAAAATAATTGAAATAAGAATAAATGAGTCCACAATAATATGAATCTAAAATGATTGAATTAATACAAAGAGATTAATTAAAAGACAGAGAATATTTATAATAATTCTTTTAACAAATAATTGAAATTGAAAAAGAAATGAAATTCTAATTTTCATAACTACCTAAAAAATTAATATAAGCTTAATATCATCATTAACCTTCTCATTAATCATAATAAATAATTAATAATAAATCTAATCTATCTAGTGAAGTTAGAGAATTATCACCTTTATTATCTAATAGATCAAATAAATCTAAAGAACCAATATTTTCATAAAAATAAATAAATCAATCTCCACTTTCAAAATAGTTGCTATAAAGAGATTTAATGCCAGTTGGTTCATTTAATAATTCTAAATTAAAAAATTATTTTACTGAATAAGATTCATAAATATCTCCTTAAAATTCATTCAAAATTATTAAACCATTTGATATTGATAAATCATTAAGTAATCAAAGTAGAATTGAAGGATAAAAATCAAAATCTTAGAATACTTCATTCGATTTATCTAAAAAAGTTGAACCATTCAAAAATACTTAATAATCATAAATTATTGAAGTTCCTTTAATAAATAAATATGAGAAATCAGATTCACAAGATTTATATAATTAAAAATAAAGATTAATTAACCCATAAGAATTGCCATAACAATAAATAATAGGTTATTATACAAACTAAAAGACTTTAACCCAAAAGGAAAATAATGAAACTCATTAAAAGTCTCCTTCTAATAATAAAGCATAATTTTCAATAAAAGAAGAAAAATTAATCTAATCAAATTCAAACCAATAATAAAGTGAAATTTATTATTAATTTTAAAATAGCTAAGCAAATGAATCTTCAAATTTTGATTTTAGATAAAGATTCTAAAATCAAGATATTCAATAATTCTAAACACCTTAATAAAGTACACTTTTTAGAGAATAGGAAACAAATAATTTATAAAATGGTATGAAATTGTCAACATAATCTGCCATATCAGGAATATATAATGAAAATAAATCTTAATAAGATATTTCATTTATTAGTTCTAAGTATAATATTTCAATATCATTAGATCATTGCTTTCTCCTTAAATTAAAATAACCTAAAATTTACCAAATCCATTAAAAATTGAAAAAGAAGATACTTTAAAAGTTCATGATAAAAGTGTTAAGGATTTATGTTTTATGGATGATGATAAGATAATTACATGTTCAAAAGATTAAAGCATCAAAATTTGGGATAAGTATAGTTATGAATTTATTAGAAAGGAGAACTAAATAATTAAAAATGGAATTGAAAGATCACACAGATTAAATTTTATGCATTGCATTTTCATTAAAAAGGATAATAGTTAGTGGATCAGTTGATAAAACAATTAGAATATGGAAACCTTAACCTTCTTGGAAGATTGCATTTGTTTGTTAAGGACATTCAGAAAGAATAAGATGTGTAGAATTTGTAGGAAATTTAATTGCATCTGGATCAGATGACACAACTCTTAAATTATGGGATTTCGATGGTTAATTATAACATTCATTCAAAACTAATGGAAGAGTTAGTGCAATGGTAACAGATAAAAACCTTATTATTGTTGGATGTGGTAAAAACATACTTGTATTAGACACTAGAACTAAAAATAAATAATAGGATATAATAGGTCATAAAAATTTGATTTTGTGCTTATAATTAAGCAATTAAAATTAATAGAACAATTCAATTTTAATAAGTGGATCCAAAGATAATTCTATTAAAATATGGTCTTATCCTAAAATTTAAGAAATTAGAGCTTTATAAGATGATTATTCTATTCATTCTCTGTTCTTTGATCCAAATTCTTAATACTTATTTGTTGGATTAATGGGTTTCGAATAAGAAGGTAAAATTTCTATTTGGTAATTGGACAATCAACCTAAAAAAATATAAGAAATCATTTCAAATCAATATGGATGTAATAAAGTATTGTATGATGGGTTATATCTTTATAGTGCACATGAAAATAAAAGAATGGAAATTTATTCTATTAAAAAACTTTGATTATTTTTATATTATTCAATATCATATAAATATGCTGATTTAATCTATTTGGAGAGTAATAACTTTTTAAAGTTATTCTAAAATGATCTTAAATATAGAGTTTTATTAAATATATTAAAAATTAAGTATTCTTTCTTAATAGATTGCAATATTTAAAAATTAAAAATATATTTTTTAAATAACTAATTTCTTTTTCATTAACAAAAATTATTATAAAAAATTTTAAATTAAAGGAGAAAATGAAATTCATTTAATAAAGATAATATAATCCAATTAAATTTAAACAATGATTTCAATTTTATTTTAATTTAACTTAAATTCTATATATAGATTGAATTTATTTTAATATAATTGTATGTAGAATTAATGTAAATCATAGAATCAACACTTTAATTTTGTTGCTCTCAAAATAAATGATAATAGAAATTAACATAAAGAAATATACTTCTAGAATATTTCTAGAATAAAATATAATGCTGGTATTAATTCATTTTATTCATAAAAAGCTGTAATTAGTTTTATTTTTAATTTTACAATATTCAACAAAAAATCACTTCATAATTATGCTACGTAAATAATTAATATATTAATTGTAATTATATTTTGATAAATCTTTATATTATATTAAATAATATATGCTCTCATTTTAAGATTCTTGATTATATTATTAAATATATAAACTAAAATATATTCAAAGAGATAATAGTAATCATATTCTTAATTTAGGCAATGAATTAAATAAATTAAATGAATTTTCTTCAGTCCTATAATTATTGCTTATATCCATATCGACCACAATTATATTATAATATGTATGCAGAGAATATTCAAGAACAAAATCAAGCTGCTTCAACTTATAAACAAGAAGTAGTATAATGGTAAATTTGGTTTTAATATATTTATAGGTTGTTCTCATTAGAATATTCTGAATTGTATAAACTATTTCAGATAAAAGGATAAATAAAAACATTCCCAATAATTAAAATGTATATACATGATAAGCAATTTCAACCTTCGAACTATGCACTTCTTCAATAGTTAATATTAATTAAATATTATTAGAACTACAATTAAATTAGAGTGTAAAATTGATGATTAGTTTATAATGAAGACACGAATCCTTCACAAAAAAACAGATGTACATTTTATTATTAAAGAGTATAGGAATTGTATGATAAGTTGATAATTTTTGATGATGAAAGTTTTCTTGATACAATTATAGTAAATGAACCTTATTTAGAAAATTTAAATAGCTTTCTTGAATTATTAGATGAACTTTCTGATAAATATTTTCTCAGTACTTCTGCAAAAACAAATTTAGAGAAAGCAGAAGATCCAGTTTGGTTTCATTAAAATAGTTTTCATAGTTGTTCAGCCTGGATAATAAAGGAATTCGAAAAAAATATTAATTTTTATTACAATACCTAAAGAGACAAAAAGAAAAAATATCGTTTCTAAAATTAGATAATGAATAAAAATAACATAAAAGATATATAAGAATATTTTGAAAAAAATTTAGCTAATAATAAAGAGAAAGTAAAGACTTGATCAATTTTATTAGTTATACTGTTATTTTGAATAAATATAAGCAGATATTAAAGAACATCCATAAAACTTAGAAAATATTTTTTATAATAATATATTTTCAGGTACAACTATTAAATTAATAAAACCATAAATTGAATTGTCACTAAATTTTTTATAAAAATGTCACTATGATCCTAAAATTATAAAATCTATGTTAATTTCTTAGATGTCAGATTTATTAGATTAAAAAACATATTTCCTAAAGAAATTTTATTAAATTGTGGTTTAATTATTTTAAGAACATTTAGAGAATGAATTATTTAGTTGTGAAAAATAAATTAAAAAGAAAAAAGATAAGAAAAAGCCTAAAAAAAAAAAGTCAGAAAAAACTGAATATAAGAAGTCTCTTGATCCTATTGAATTAAATCAACGTCTCTCAAGAAAGAATTTATAAGACTCAAATATACTTAGATTTTAAAGATCATATTCATAAAATAATTTTGCCTATTCTTATGTGACTCCACCAAATACACCTTCAGCTCAGGAAACTAGTGATGATTAAAAGTATTAATAATGATCTATATTTAAGTGAAATGAATTCTCAATGTTATTATTAATCTTAGAATCAAAAGTAATATAAGAACTAAAGATAAAAGAAAATTTTAGAAAATTAAAGTATTATTGATTTTTAATAAACAAATATATCTTAAGCATTTGTAGAAAATTCATAAAATGCTACTGATGACGATTTTGTTGAATTTACTCAATCACTAACTTAAAATATTTTACAAACTGTATACCAATCTTTAATGGATGATTATGTATATAAAGAAGATGTAATAAGAGAGAAGAAAAAGAATAAGAAAAAATAGAAAACTGTTTGGAGATCTATTCCAGACAGTAGAGATGAATAAATGTAATTTTAATCTCCAGAATCTGAAATTACTAGATTCTCTGTAGAAACTTAAGCTTAAACTATTAAAAGTCTATGTTCAAATAGAACAGCTTCAACATCAGAGGAAGAGAAAAAACAAAGATTGAAAACAAAAAAAACAGCATCTTAATTTGAGTAATAGGAAAATGAATCTGTTTTATATTCTGATTAAAAATAAGATGGTTATTTAAAAGAATAAATTGAAAATATTTAATAAAGAGGATAATATAAATTAATTTAATAGATTAGTAATGATATTATAGAATTCACTGATAAAATTATAAATGATTATGATGAAATGTTACCTTTTAGACTTTTGACTTTTGATAGAATTAAATTATTAATCTAGAAAGTGTTTTATGGAATACCTGATGATATGATATAGTAAGAATATAATTACTATTAAGATTATTTGGATCTTGTGCTACTGGATTAGCCTTAATTGATTCAGATATTGATATTGGAATTAGTGGATTCTAATCTATAAATAGAAATGTTAATAAGGCACTTTTTGATAGCTTATTTTTTGAATTCTCAAAAAGAAAATGGGTTATAAAATCAAAGTATAATATATTAACTAATTATAGTCCCATTTTTAATTCAGTTGTTCCAGTAATTAAACTTGAAATAGATCCTTAAATATCTTAAACAGAATTTGAAGGAAAAAATTTAATGGAAACAGACATTCATAAGTGGAAAAAACTTAAATAAAAGATAAAAGGTTGCATAAAAGTTGATATCTCATTCAATTTTAGTGGAAGTACATATGATTCTCCACATTCTGGTTTTATGACTACAAATTTAGTAAAACAATGGATGAAAGAATATCCAACTATTTAATAATTAGTTTTGATTTTAAAGAGCATGATAAAAAAGCTTGGATTATCAGAATCATATACTGGTATATTAAATATATTTATTATATAGGTGGTCTCTCTTCTTATTCTTTAATTATTATGGTTTATTCTTATCTAAGAGAGAATAGAGTATCCTAAAATTAAATAGGAGAATAATTTATTGAATTGATGAAATATTTTATTTATGAATTTAATTCCTAAACAACTGGAATTGGACTTTTAGCTGATATAAAAAATCAATTTTCTAGGTATAATTATTAAATATTTATTTAAGTTACTTTTTTAATTTATAAGATTATTGTTTACCATAATTACCAATAACTATTTTTAATCCTTTGAATAGAAAACTTTTAACTAGTTCTTGTGTTCATATTGATAAAATATTTGATTTTTTTAAATTGACTTTAAATTTACTTGAACAAAAAAAAGAATTTTATTGCAACTATGTAATTTTAGGTAAAAAAAAATAATAAAAACTAAATAAAACATTGGGAAATTTTATCACTAATTTATTAGAATAAATAAAATGAATTAAATATTGTATAATATATTAGTGTTACTTAAGATGAAAATCGTTTAAAATGAATCTTATTTATTTTAATATATAATAATTTATAATTAAATAAAAGTATATTGTTCTTTAAAAGTTAGTTTGAGAAATAATAAATTATGTAAAAATTATTATAATAAAAATGGGAAATTAGACTTTATGTCAAGCAGATATAAATGATATATAATTATAAGCTTAGAATTAAAATAAAAAGATGAAAGTGAATCAAGTTAAATAATTTACAAAGTTCAATGATGATTAAACAGGAAAATAATCTTTAATTGTAATTCATTCTTAAGAATAATAATAAATTTCATTACTAAATGAATGGCTTGAGTGTTTACATGAATCTGTATTAATAACTTAATTTGATCATAAATATAATACGACTACAAATTTTTTTTCTCATATTGACGATGAAAACTAAATTAATGATCCTAAGATTTCAATTATTGAATAATAAGATCTTTATGAATATAAAAAAAGCTATCCTTATTGTAATTCAATTTTATATATTATAATAATTAATTTCTATGTTTTAAAGAAATATGAATTTATGTAATAATCATTAATATGTTTAGATCTAAACTTATTAAAGGGCCTCCAAAATAAAGAATTAGATGGTCATGTTGGTAATTAATGGTCAACATTCCTAATTATTATATTCAATCTGATCATCTATCTTTTATTGAGGAAGATTAAAAATAAACTTCTGCTATTAAAAAAGACACACATAGAACAGTTTCAACTAAAGATATTAAATATTTTGAAACTGGTTAAGGTAAAAAAGATCTTGAAATTGTATTAATAAAACTATCAAAATTATTTCCAAAACTTGGATATTGTTAAGGCATGAATTTTCTTGCTAGTTTTACTTTAATTATAAATAATAAAAATATAACCTAAAGTCTTTAATTTTTGGCTCAAATGATGATTAATCCAAAATTTTTAGTTTATTATCTTTATTTAGAAGAGATACCATTATTAAAATTACTTGAATTTATTTGCTAATAAGAAATTAAATTTAAATTACCTGATCTTTATAATCATATCTATTTTAAATTATAAGTTTAAAATGCATTTTGGTTAACTAAAATAATAATGACCCTTTTTTTATATAATTTTCATATTAATAATGTTTGCAGACTTTGGGATTTCATTATAGCAACTAATATATTTTAAATGTCAGCGATTATATGTTCATTTCTTCAAATTAATAAAAATTAAATATTTTAAATGGATGATCTAAATGAATTTGTTATATGGTTTGATAAACATTAAAATAAAGAAATACCTTATAAATAAATGGAAAATATAATATCAAAGTCTATTAATTATACTATTAATATAGAAAAAATTAATTCATATGCTAATTTATATTGCAAAGGTCATTCTAATAACCATCCCATACAAGTTGAAATTTCTAAAAATTATGATAAAATAACTTAATTAACAAATTTTATAAAAAAAGACATATTCGATTGATGATTTAAATATGAAATCTTTGTAATCAAATATATATAAATGAATTTTTTGAATATCTTATTAATTAAAGCAAAATTTTTTAATTTGAAGAATATAAGTAATTAAAAATATCATTAAAAATTATATCTTACAAAATACTTGCATATATATTATTTTTATGTTTGTAATGTTACATATATATATTTTAAGATTAAAAATAAATATAATTTTTATTTAAAGGAGAATCTACTCTTATTTATTTTACCTCTTATATAATACATCTTAAATATTTTTTTGATTATCATATAATTAAAAATAGAAATTCATTATAATATATTAATTAGACTTCAGAATAGCATTTACTTTCTCTTAAAGATCAACAAAAGGTTTAAACAATAAGTTATGGGAATTATAATATTAAAGATTATATATTATTTATTATTTACTAAATGGAAATTAATTAAGAAACTCTAAACTTTTTATTTAAAGAATTATGTGGGATAGCTTTCTTTTAACAAAAATCATAAAATGAATTAAATGACCTTTATCAATATTATACATTGCAATAAGCTAAGTTAATGGATTAATTTTATCATTATTAAACAATCAATGAATAAGAATTAAAGTAAACTTGGTATTATATTATATAGATTGGTAAACAGATTTATAGCAAGAATTTCAGAAGCTTTTTAATTAATGGTGGCAAAAAGATAAATTGTGAGATGTTAAGAATCTAAATTTTAACCAACAATATATAATTGTTTGACTTCCACTTTTGAAGGCAAAAATAATCTTATCTGTTAGTTAATTTAAGCAATATATGGAGAGTGTAGACTTTAGATTGAAATATTAATAAATAAGAACCAAAAGATTGAAGTTAAAAGAGTAATTATTTATCAATATTAAGATACACAGTCAAGATAACAACAATGATGAAGATAAACTTCAGAATCAATTCTATTCAGTTTAAGTTACAAATAAGAAAAATATTTAAAATGATTGGCAAGTTAATATTAAAAATAATAAAAAGTTGAATAATTACTATTCAAAAGTATTTCCTAAATTATATGATGTTATTAGCAATTCTGATAAGTATATAATATATAATAATTATAGTAGTTAAGATGAATAAATACTTTATTTCTAAAATAGAGATTAAAATATGGATAGAATATTCAATTAGTTACTTTAGTAAAATTAACATATAAAATAATCATTAAATTGGTCAATCAATTTGGATCAACAAATATATAACAATAAGATTGAATAAAAATTATAAAAACTAAAATTATAATAATTAATCCCAAGTCATTAATTATCAACATAATCATCTCCAACAAAACCTTCGTAACCATCTAATAAATCAATTAAATAAAATACTCCTATAAGTCCCTTCAAAAATAATATTATTAATAATAATAACAATTTTGGTAAAATGCCATCAATCAAAGTAAAATTCAGAAGCATATCACAGAATGTTCCTTTGAGCGATACAAATTTTAAAAGTTAAAATATGTTCTTGAATTCTCAACAATAAACATAATAAAATAAATAATCCTAATAATATTATTCATCAGAAACAGAAAAAAACGAGTTGTTTTCTAAAATAATAGAAAGTTATAAATAAAATTAATTTCAACTAAATAAAGTAAAAATAGAATTCAAACCCAAACGTTAATATTGCTCTGTTCTAAAGAGTAAATTAATGATAGATCTCATACCACTTCATAATTCAAAATTAAAACCTAAAGCTACTCGATATTTTTTGTAATAAATACCATCAATAATTAATTGATTCTATTCTTTATTTATTAAATTACATTTGTATCATATAATAAATATATTAATTTTATTAATTAAAATTTACTTATTAATTTTTTATACTTAATATAACTCATTCAAATATCCACTTAAAATATATATTAAATTATAAGAATGTTATTATTAAATTCATACAATCATACTTGATTCTTTTTAATCGAACACATAACTCATTATTATTTTATAAAAAAACTAGGATATTTGGTCTAATTTCAAAGAGTATTTTCCAATTTATAAATTTTATTAATTAATAATTAAATATATGGGCTGTGGAACTTCTGCTAATAATGAAACCGTCGATACAGATAGTAGAAAAGATATCGATGATTTAATGGGTAAGAAAATACCAAAAGTAATTATTCGTTATTGAAGTTATAGTTTCTTATACAACCTTAATATAGTACTTAAGGAGTATAATAATCAGAGATGTCTGATGGAGAGGACTAAAAAAATGATATTCAAGGTGATTATCATAGACAAGGAAAAAAAGCTTAAAAAAAGTTTAAAGGTGGGGATGAACAAAATGTTCAAATAGTGGAAAATATTATTAAGTTAGATAAGACAATACAAAGTAATATATTCATATTAATTATATAGAGAGTGATAGATAAATGATAGAGAAGAGTTTCAAGAGTCATTTTGTATTTTTTAATTTGACTCAATAAGCCATTGATTATCTTATTAAAAACTTAGTGTTTTGTACATAGAAAAGAGATTAGTTCATCTTTTAATAAGGAGATTAAGTATATAAGCAAATGAATTTTAGGCTACTTCTTACTTTATTGTATAGAAAGGACAAGCTGAAGTTATAATCAACCAAAAATAAGTTAAAGTGATTTCAGAAGGAGAATATTTTGGAGAGATTGCCTTATTGTACAATGCAACAAGAAGTGCTTCAATCAAAACAATAAGTATTTATATTTCTTATATGTTTAGCTGACTGTAATTTTTGGATGCTAGATAGAGGAACCTTTAGAAAGGCAGTTGAAGATATGATGATTAAAGAGTATGATGAGAATAGAAAGTTTATAAATGAAGTTACATTCTTCTCTTTTATGACACCTGAATAAAGAGATTCAATTGCTCATGCATTAATTACAACAAAATTTGAACCAGGAGAAACCATTGTAAATGAAGGAGATTAAGCAGATTCATATTATGTAATTAAGTCAGGCACAGTTGGAGTTTTCAAAGGAAAAAAATAAATAAATACAATGGGACCTAAAGATAGTTTTGGTGAATAAGCCTTATATGAGAAAAGCACAAGAGGAGCATCAGTTAGAGCTGAATCTGAAGTTAAGTGTTTAGCATTGGGAAGAGATAATTTAACTAAAATATTAGGAGATAAAGTTTAGTTGATTATTTTTAATAATATTATGAGATGGAGTCTTGAAAAAAGTAATATTTTAAATTAATTAACAAAATTATAATAAGAAAAGATTACATTGAAAGCTAAGATATAAAATTATAAAAAAGGATAAGTAATATTTTAAAAAGATACTAAATGTGAATAATTAGTAATAGTACTTGAAGGAACTTTATAAAGTGATGATGACAAAATAGGTAAGGGAAATTGTTTTGGTGATTAATATCTATCATAAAATAAGAAAAATGATTAGTTATCAAGTGATTATTTAATGGTTACTGATGGTGTTTTAGCATCTATTTCATTTACTTAAATGTTTAAAATACTTGGAGGAGATTTTGAAACAGCAATATAAAAGAAATTTGAATCACATGAAGTAAAAATTAAAAACATTGCGAATAGAGCAGATGCTTCTCATATTCGTGTTGAGGATCTTGTTTTTATTAAGAAATTAGGATCTGGTTAATTTGGATGGGTTTATCTAGTTAAACATAAAGATATAGATAGTTGTTATGCATTAAAAAGTGTATCTAAAGCTTCAATTGTTGAATAAAGTTTAGAAAGACATGTTTTACAAGAGAAAATGGTTTTAGAATTATGTAATTTCCCTTTTGTAATGTAATTTGTAAGAACATTCAAAGATGAAATATCTGTTTATTTTCTTGTCTAATATATTAGAGGAATGGAATTATTTGATGTAATTAGAGAGATTGGATTATTGAATAAAGAATAAACCTAATTTTATGTTGGAACTATGATTTTATGTTTAGAATATCTCCACTCTAATGGAATTGTCTATAGAGATTTGAAACCTGAAAATATTATGGTTAATTCTGATGGTATTATGATTTTAATAGATCTGGGAACAGCTAAATAAATTAGTAAAGCTAAAGGATAAAGAACATATACTATTATTGGCACTCCACATTACATGGCCCCTGAGATCATTCTTGGTAAGGGTTACTCTTATCATGTTGATTTGTGGAGTGTTGGAATATGCTGTTATGAATTTCTATGTGGAGGAGTGCCATATGCTGAGGATATTGAGGTAATCTATATATTTATAGAGTAGGACCCATATGAAATATATGAAGAAATCATGAATAGTTAATTAAAGTTTCCTCATTTCTTTAGAGATCGATCAGCTAAAAGATATATTGAATAATTATTGTCTAAATAACCTGAAGCAAGATTAGGAACTTCATATGCTGGTTTAAAAGCTCATGCTTGGTTTGATGATTTTGATTGGGATAAATTATTCAGTCATTAATTACAACCACCTGTATGTATATATATGTCACACTTTTAGTACATTCCTCCTAAAGAGAGATTGATTGGCGTTTTTGAGATTGATAAAAAATTCTAATAAGGAAAATTAGTTGTATAAGAGATTAAGGCAGAATAGCAATAACAGAAGATAAAATATAGAAAAGAATTAGCAAAAGATCCAAATTGGGATAAATCATTTTGATGTAGACATATGTTTTAATTATATTAAATATTTTATTGTAAATGTACACTATATTATATTGACTCATTTCTTGGTTTCTTTTGCTTACTTTCTTTTCTCTTTAACTCCCACAAATTTAGCATTGTACCATTCTTATCTTAATCTTCTATAAACGTTTTTAGCTCTTAATTCCTTAGATATCACAGTTGCCTTTTCTCTCTTTGGTGTTCTTTAGAAAGTTATAACCTATAAATTATTAAACTCTAATTTACTTCTGGATTAGTATTCTATGTGAATGGTTGTTCAACAACATTATTAGCTGAATCTTTTACTACTCCATTCTTTGGTTTACCAGCAACTCTTGGGAATAAGACTAATTTTGACAAATATGCCTTAATTCTTTTAACATTAGCTGCCAATTCTTCTTAACTGTTGTTTCTTCTTCTATGATCTACAGCAATTCCAACTGTTCTGGCGAATTATGCATTAAGACCTGCTTCTTTCAATTCAATAAGTGAGAATCCTCTTCCCAATTTCTAAACTCCATTGTATTTAATTGTTTAGCCTCTTACAACTGGTCTAAGTAATTCCACTGGTCTTGGAGATGCTCCTATTTTAATTATTTAATTATCATATACTTAATGCATTGGCTTATCTTCTTTATTGTCTTCTTCTCTTTGCAGCTGGTTGATTATAGAAGGTCTTAACAAATCTTGTCCAATGCTTTCTTAAATGGGCATTTGGGAGTTGTTAATTATGCTTCATCTTTAGAAAATTTAAAAAATAAATATATGGATATTTAAAAAATATATGAAATGTCTCAAATGAGAATTATTCAATATAAAAATCATTACTTTCAAAGTTAAGTAATTATCCTCAAAGATTGTCTAAGTATATAAATAACTAATTTACTTCATTGATTCCTTTCTATTCGATTTTCTATCACTGTTAATTGAAGTCTCTTTATTGTCTTATCCCTTTACTTAAATTATTTAGACAGTTTTCAATTGAGAAATAGAATTCTCAAAGTGTAATTCTGTTTTTTTAGTCTTATTATCATCAAATATCTCAACAAGTTTTGGTTATATCATAATATATGCTTTTTAAGTTTGGACTAACTTATTATCAGAAGGTGATTTCTTCATAACAATCGAATCTTAAGACTTGTCCCTAAAAGAGAGTTTATAAACTAACAATTTTACAATGTATTTAGTATGAATGATTTTGTTTATAGATGTGCACGACTAGATGAAATCTTTTTTGATGCTTTCATTAAATGACAGCTGAAATTAATAAAAATAAATTAATTTACAAAAATTGATAAGAAAAAACTATTTAAATCATCTTCATTATATCAATCTATATATATTTACAAATAAATATAATCTCTAACATATGTTTCATAATAATAGAAAAAATTAATCTATTTGTAAATAAATACTTTATGTTTAAACCCTTCCTTCATTTAAGAATATTTACAAGAATATCACTTTTTTAAATATATTAATCACTCTAAATTTTTATACACTTTATAGATAAAATGTACATAAGTGAAGTTATATTTATAATTGATTTTGAATGTGTATATATCAAAATATTCAGTCTTTAGCTGCTCTGTAAATTTTATTACAAGCATCCTCTAACAATCCTAATAGAGATTCTTAAGATTCTTCTCTTAATTTTTTTTCTTCTTCTATTTCACTCTTAACTCTAGAAACCAAATCTTTAAGCATTTCAAATATAGCTGCTTCAGATTCTTCTCTTTTATAATTTATTTTATTAATACCTTAATTTCTTTTAATTTCCTAAACCTTCATTCAATCGTTTAATTTCATCTCCTGCTCTTCTCAATGTACCATTATCATTATCTTCTCTATCTTATCCTTCTGATTTAACCATATCATATAATTTTGGTAAATCATTTTCCAATGAGGTTGTAATATTTTCAACTTATTCTTATCTTATCTTTCCTTCAGTTTGTATGTCAGATTTCAGATATACAACCTAATTATTTAATTAATTTTTTTACTTTTTCATCAAGATAACCCTACAATTTAAGGTTACCATCTTTTCTTAAAGCAATCTCTTATTCAAGTTTAGTTGTTATTCTACTTTCAAAGGCAGCAACTTCTCTTACTCTTTGTTCAAACTAAGTTTCAAAGGCATTATTTTCTTCCTCTATTTGTTTCTAAAGACGAACTATTTCATCTTTTAATGAGTGCTATATTTAAATAGTATCAAATCCATACAAGTTTTCTATTGTAAGATGTTATTGTGTCTTAAATTCTCTCTTCTACACCATTAATTCTTCCACAAATAGTGTCTATTCTATGTGCTTTAGAAGAGTCATGTTATAATTGTATTGAATTTAGTTTTTCAGATATTTTAGCAAATCTTTCGTTGAAAGGTGTATTTGGATTCATTTTTATTAACAAATTTTATTTAAGTATATTTATAATTTATTAAAAAAGAGACATTAATAAATTATAAAAAAAAGTAAAAATAGATTTTAGAATAAAGTTTTCAATCAAATAAAAAAAGAAAGAATCAATAGATATTATTAATTATATTGTATTTTGTATACTGCTATTGCTTTTTTTTCGTTCTATTTTGTATAAAAATAATATTTTCTATATCTTATAGATTATAATTAATTAGTATTTATAATCTGTTGAATAATCCTATACCAAAAAGATTAATTATAAAAATAATAACATTTTGTTATATAAATATATTTAATTTTCTCTAACAATCTAATTTATTTATTTTTTTATAAAATAAATTAAAATGATCAAAATGAAATTTGTAATTAGGTAATAACTATAATTAATTAACAAACTCATATACTAGCAAGAATAAATTAAAAACAACTAAAAATGTAATTGCAGAAATAATTAATGAAGAGGCATATTTATAATAATTATTAATTTAATTCAAGTTTAAAATTAGATGAAGTTAATGAGGAAATAAAATGGTTAAAAAAGTTTTTAATTAAAACTAATTTTATTTTATATTATATTTTATAGAAAAGCAATTGATTTTTAAACTTATTATTATGTTTGAAATTACAATAATTGTATTATAAAAGGCATGCATTAATACAATTAAGATGAAAATAACAATCCAACCAATTATATTAATTACTTACTTGATGAAAAATTTATAAAAGAAATCAAAAATTTTTTTATAATTAGTCATTTCAAAATGATACATTATTAATGATACTCTATCTCAAATTCATATTAATTTTCAACAATTATTTTATTAATTATTATATGCTTAATATGAATAGAGCAAGTGAAAGCGAAGAAATCTTAGATCTTTAAAATAATAGCAAGAATTTCAAGTAAATTATCTAAAAATAAGTATTAGCAAAAAAGGCAATCGACCATAGCATTATTAAAGGGTTAACGCTAATTTACGCTAATAAATAATAGAATAAGCCTGCATTAAAGGCTAACCATTAAGATAGGTTTAAACAATAAAATTATGATTTAGATTGCATAAAACTTAGGAATTAAGTACTCGACAGCTAAAGCGATTGTCTAGGTATATTAAAACGAAGGTAGAATAGGAAAAAAAAGAACAAGAGATAAAAGAATTTATCAAGAAATAGAAACTTATATATTGATTGTCAATAAGTAAACAGGAAAGATAGAAAAAAAGAAGCTTAAATCAGAATGCAATGACCTGAAATCAAATTTCGAAAATGCTTCCAGAAAGTAAAAGTATAAAATATAGAAGTCTTGAAGAAAGTCATTATTCTCAAATTGCTCAATACTTAGGAAAGTATAATCTTGATTTTGGTAATGAGAATCTTGAATAATAAAATGAAAGTGTGAATAATCTAGTGAAAATCTTAAATTAATAATACAAATAATTTTAGGAATCTAATGAAAATGAGTTATGATTAAAATTGAAATAATATTATAATTACTTAATTCATTATATATTTAGAGCCTGATTACATGACGTTTAAAAACTTTCAGTAAATACTTCTATTAATTTTCAATAAATAGCTTAATCAAATAATTTTAATTTAACGATAAATAAAAATTAATAATCTTTTTTTTCACTGTTAAATTAAATTAATATCAAAATTAAGTTTTATGTTTAGTATTCTTTAAAAATAGATAAAAATAAATGCTTTATATAAATAGAAATCAATTCTTTTTTTTAGATTATTTGAATTTATTATTATTTTTAAATTAAACTTTTTTACCACTAAATAATATTATTGATAAATACATATCAACTCCATTGTTTTTGAGTAATCCATATTTTTTAGAGAGTGGATCATCTAAATAATTCTCTTCAAAAATTGAATCTTTCCATCCTACAGTTTCTGAGTAATAATTTGATTATTGAATGTTTGAAATTTAAGGATTTTAAAGACTTTAATTTAATATTCTGTTAAATTTATATTCTTCAATTTACTATTTATTTTGATTTCCAATTTCTAATTAAATACTATCAATGCTTTTTTTAACCTCTTCAAATTAGTCTAAAACAACTAAAGATTGTTCATATTTGGGTCTTCTGGAATTATAAGTACTAAGCATAGCACTACCCTAATTTGAAGCAACACTAGGTTATTGAGAATCTGATCTTCTCAAAAGAGGAAGTTATAACTTATTATTTTGAGGAGGAGTTAAGAAATTGTTATTACTTGATTATCTCATAAGATTTTTGTTACCCTTTTCAAGTGATTTCTTCATTTCCTATTAATTTGGAGGTAATAAAGCCTAATTAAGGGTATTAGATCTGTGCATTTCTTAGGATTTTATCATATCATTCGAGCAGATTTTCCTTTGAGATGGTATATCCCAATCATAAGCATAATCTAATATTATTCCTAAGCCATCTGCTGACTTTTGAAATAACTTGTATATGTAACTATAATCAGGTTTACTACTATACTATAAGGCCTTTATATATCTTATATAAATTGATTAGATACTCAAGGATAATTGGAAATTCAATAGGTACATCCTTACATAATTCTCTAGGGTCGATTGTCATTTTCATATCTCCAACTTTAGTTGTTCTCTCTTCATCAGTAACATTCTGCATATTTTGCCAAGGTAGCTGCCTAGACTTTTTATATTTATAAGATTTCTACCCCTTAATAAAGTACAATAGAACATATATCAGAGATTCCAAGTCATCTTTCTTACTCAATTCGTATCCTTTGTGAGCAGCAATAGATGCATATCTAGTAGTTCCTATAAATGAGTTTCCATTTCGAAAAGGTCTTAATTAAAATATAATAATACATGTTTCTTCCATTTTTATCTTAAAATATTTTACTGATTCCAAAATCTATAATATATATTTTCGAAGACTCATTATCTTAGCCAAATAAAATATTTTCAGGTTTTAGATCTCTATGTACAACACCTTTTTCATGAATTCTTTCCAAAACTTTAACAATTTATATTCCTAATTAAATCGTTGTCTTTACAGAAAACCTCCTTTTCTTTTTCATATAGTAAGCAAGATCCTTACCTAGTAGTTATATTATTATTATATTGTAATCATCTTATTGGCCATACCAATAGAGATTTGGTACTCCTTCTGTATTTGATAACCTTTATAAAACTTAGACTTCTCTTTCTAAAGATTTAACTTCTTGATTTTCTTCTTTTTCTATTTTAATTGCCACATCAATGTTTTCCTCTTTGTCAAGACCCAATAAGACTACACCGAAACTACCAGATGATAGCTTCTTTTAAGCAGTATATCTATCATTAAAAATTGATAATGAAAGCATATAATTATTATTTATTTAATCAATCAGTTCCAAATCACATCATTTCGTTTTTCCTAAAAGTAATTTTAATGTCTTTTATAAATATCCTACCCACTGAGATCCTTATTTAAATAACATTATCTTTTCTCTTAGAAATTAAACTGTATTAATGGTTATTCAAGAGATTATAGTTAGTAATTAATTCTTTGATGAAACCAAATCCATCAGAATAATTTAAATAAATATTATTTCTAAATTTGATTAAGAGAATTGTAATTTTTTATTTAAAATTTCTAATGGAGAAATGTTATAAACTAATTGAACGCCAAATGTATGCAGAAGCCTTGGCATCTTTGACCTAGATATTAAAAAGAGAGATCAACAATCCTTAATTGGAGACAATCTATTTAATTTAGCATATTCTAAGCTAAAGTTAAAGATATAAGAATTTGCAAATAAAAATATTAGAAATAGTGAAATAAGAAGAGAATGAAGATGAAGTTGATGATGATAAATATTTCAATCTAGTGCTAGATTTAATTAATCTTTTAATAGATTAAAATAATATTCAACAAGCAAAAAATTGGTCAAAACAATTGAAAAAATGTGTTCAAGGAATCTAATATAATGAAAGTTTATTGTATTTAATAGAAAATTTAGATAACATGTTAGCATACAAGTAAAAAAATATTGATTTGAAAGAATAAGTAAATAAGTTGTTTATCAAAGCTTCAAATTTATGAAGAATTGTCTGAATTAGAGAGAAAGACAAAATATTTTGAATAGGATGGTATGCCTGCCTATTTGATACCAACTAGATGGTTTAATAAGTGGAAGAGCTATGTAACTGATACAGCAATTGAATTACCAAATGAAAACTTAAATATTGAGAAAGAAATAGAAGTTTTAGAGAATCTATTCAATGTTTCAAGTGATCTTGATATTGAAGAGTAAATAACTGCTCCAGGACCAATAAATGGATTTACATTAATTTAAGCTTAATCAGCTCTTGAATTAGATCCATTTGGTCCAAAATCATATACAAATTATATTTTAAAAGAAAATATAAGAGAAGGAGCTGATTTTATACTTGTTGGACATAAAATATATGAATATTTTAAGAATATTTATGGTGGATTTGAAATTAAAAGATTAATAGTAGAACATAGCCAAACACATTAAAAATATGTTGATGTAATTAATTTATAATAATATAAAATAGTTAGTACCAAGGATGATCTAATTTATAATATTACCAAATGAAGAAAAACATAGAGGTAGATTAATTACTGCAAATAGTAGTGATTTAATATTAGATTTGTGTAAGAAAGTGAATAGAATATTGAAATTGAATAATGAAGTGAGATGGTGGAAGTTTAATGATTTTTAGAGTTAAGAAGAATTTATAAAGAAGTTATAAAAAAGAGAATTATATAAATAAGTATCTGCTAAAGTATTAGACAAAACAACAATGATTGATGAAATTAATTTTACAAGTTCAGATTTATTTATTTGTGAAATTAGATATGGTAGAGATTGGTAAATAAGTGAAATTGATAAAAAATAGATATCTTCTGTTAAAAGAAAAATAAATATATCTGATGTTCCTTAAATAATGAATGATTCTCGTAAAGGTGTAACAGGTTTATAAAATTTAGGTAATACTTGTTTTATGAATGCTGCTTTATAATGTTTAAGTAATACTTATGAATTAACTGAATATATGGTTAGTAATGAATTCTATTAACATTTAAATTGTGAAAATCCTTTAGGAACAAAAGGAGCTTTAGCAACTGCTTATGCTGAATTAATGAAAATAATGTGGTATGGTAATAATTCAGCAGTTAGTGCTTATGATTTAAAAAGAGTAATTGGTAAATTTGCTCCATAATTTTATGGTTATGGTTAATAGGATTCACATGAATTTCTATCATATTTATTAGATGGTTTACATGAAGATCTAAATAAAGTATTCAATAAACCTATTGTAAAAGAAGTAGAAATAATAGATGAAACTGATTTTGAAGCATCTCGTATATTTTGGAATAATTATATTCTTAGAAATTAGAGTAAAATTCAATAATTGATGGTGGGTTAATATAAATCAACTCTTGTTTGTCCAAATTGTCATAGAGTTTCTAAAACATTTGATCCTTATATGAGTCTTTCACTTCCAATACCATCATATACATTAATATAATTATCCTTATATTTTATATATTAGAATGAGAAAATACCTTTAAAAATATAGCTTAACATAAAAAGTGATTAAGATGCAAATTATATTGGATAGGAATTGTCAAAATCTTTGAATATAGAAAAAGATTAGATGAATTTTATTTTATTAAAAGATCATTTGATAAAGGAGAGAATTAAAAAGAAATAGAATGTAAAATGGATTCAAGAACAAGAAGGATAATTATTTGTATATTAAATAGAAAAAGAATTTCATCAATTATCAGATGATTAAATTCATATTGATTTTTATTATTGTAACAAAACAGATCGTTCAAATTTTAATGAATAAATTATAACTTTCCCAAGATAATTTGTACTCTAAAAGTAAAATAAAATAATTGATATTTACTTTAAAATTTATTAATAATTCAAACATCATCTAATATTGATTATCTAAGAACTTGCAGATTAATTATTAAATGAAGGAGTAAATATCTAAGAATATTGTTAAGGTGCACCTTAAACATTAGAAGAATTCATTAATGAAATTAAATAATTTAAAGTTGAATTGTATAAATTAGTATATAATGGAAAACCAATGGATTATATGAGTTAAGATACACTTGAAAATTATAAATAAAAAATACTATCTATTCATGTTATATTGAATCCTTTATTTGGTAGATCAGAAATACAAAACTTGAAATTTTAAAGATGCAAAGATTTCAATGATGAATAAAATCGATAATTAAGAAAAGGGGAATATACATTAGAGGATTGTTTAAGATCTTTTGCAAAGGAAGAAGTCTTAGGTAAAGGTGATGAATGGTATTGTAATAGATGTAAACAACATGTATAAGCTACTAAATAGATGGAAATATATAGAGCTCCATAATTATTGATTATTCATTTAAAGAGATTTAGATCTGCAAATAATAGAATAAGTAGTTATGGAAGTTTCTTCTATTCTAATGGGTCTTAAAAAATAACAACTATGGTTCATTTTCCAAAAAAATTAAATCTTAACCCTTTTGTTCTTTCAAAAGTTAATGATAATGATCCAATAGATTATAATTATGAATTATATGGAGTTGATAATCATTTTGGTGGTTTAGGAGGTGGACATTATACTGCCTGTGCTTATAATTAATTAATAAACAAATGGGTTGATTACAATGATTCAAGTGCAAGAATCACATCAGCAGATGTAGAAAGTGAAGCTGCTTATGTTTTATTTTATAGAAGAACAGACTCTCAAAAATGTAGTTTAGGAAGATGATTAATTTTATTGGTAATGTAAAATATATAATTCAATCTTATTTTTCTTTATATCTTATGATTTTTCTTAAAATCCATGTTAATGTAAATACAATTGTAAATGCAATTATACTAACCAAATTTAAGTATATCTCTGAAAATACATAATACCAATTTCCTATGTATGGAACAAATGGATCATGATCTGGTCTACAAAGCATATAATTTAAATTAGCCCAAGTCATCAATGATATTGGTAACATATAAATCTATACTTTAATATTATTCTTACTCTCTAATAAAGTACATGAGAATCCCATCCAAACATTTAATGAACAAAGAATGTTTTATATTCAAAAAAGAAAAATCTTCCACTTAATGTCAATGCTAAAGGACCTGCAAAAGCTCCAAGAAGATGTTCTATCCAAAAGAATTCAACTTCTAATGGCAATTCCATACCTGTAGTAACTGGAAATTTCAATGCCTATAGTTTAGAGAATAATTCAATACTGCAAATACTCCATATAGCCACCTTAATTGACATATAAAAATCACAGCACTAAATTTATGCTTTTTAGTCAATAACACATATCCTTACATCAATAACACTATATGACATGGATTATTCATAAACACACCTATGTAATTGTCTTATTCTCACATATACCCCTTCCTGTATATAATTTATATCCAGTTTGAACAGCAAATGTTCCCCAACATGCCAATCCAACCAAATACTCAAAAATATTAGGTTTCTTTCCTATAGCTCTTGATAATTCCTAAGATGTTTTTATTTTTGCCCAACATTTTTCTATATTTGAACAAATTTTTACACATCACTAGAATGCAAATTATTGCAGAAATTGTTGAGATTGAAATACGAAAGGTGTTAGTCATATCATTATAACAATTTGGTCCACCATCTGATAAGTGTTAATATGTCTCTGTGTAGATATTACCATACAGTCCCCAGCGTACAATATCCATTAATTAAAATTCTATGACTAATTAGCCAACTGTTTATGAATAATAGATGATAAGAGATTAAGGTGAAGATTTCAGAATAAGAGTCAAATCAGCAATAAAGAAATTTGATTCAATTGCTAACTTTCTTAAATTATCTATGAGAAAAATCATCAAAGAAATGGTTAAAGAATTGTTGTCAGTTGAAGATGATGAAACTTTAGTTAACAATTTTTATTTTGTATAATACAACAATTTATACAATAGAAATATTTTACAAGATATGAAGACTAGCATTTTAGATTTATGATGCAAAGTTTAAATTTCATATTTGATTAAGAGACTCATTTTGATTTTAATGATGATCTCAATTATAAATATATTGCTATTATTTATACAGAACAAATTAGAAATTACCTTAAGGATTAGAATGATAAAGGATTAATAAGGTTATGGAACAAATTAAATTTGTTAAAAAAACAAAAAGAAACTGATGAAGTTGAAGAAGGATTTTGGGATGGATTGGACACTGAAAATTGTAGTTCATAATCAAAGAATAAAAAATTTGGAAAAAATGTAAATCAATATTACTATATATATATAGAATATAAATGAAAATGAAAATGAATTTTGTCATACTAGAAAAGAAATGCAATTAAAGGATTTATTAATTTAATCATTGTAAACTAAACTATTCTAGAGAGAATAAAATTTAGTTTAAACAACATAAGGTTATCTTAAGGAGTTATAATCTTTAAGAGAATAATTATTTCGAAAAGATTAAGCTCTAATTTTACCAGATGAACCCTTTGAAGTTACTTTTATGGATTTTACAGAAGTTCTTGATCCAAATATAAAGAAATTATTTACAACTCATATAATTGATCTTAAATTCTAATTTAATAATAGGATAATAGATTACATCAAATTAATGTATAATTATTTATTATTATAAGATAGTCTCAAAAAGAAGAAATTAAAAATTATAAATTATAAATCTAAAAATTGAATTAACAATTAAATAATGTTGATGGACCATCTGAACTTTTAAAAAAGCTTTTTGCTATTGATAATAATCCATATAGAATTTGGAAATATATTGCAGATTTAAAAGGAAATCATTTTTTCAAAGAAGTATTTGAACAATAAAAAGCTGTATATGGTATAAATTATCAAGAACTAAATAAATTATTAATGACAAATAAAGCTTTTGAAAGAGAGTATCAAACTTATAAGGAATAAATTTTATAAGAATAATTAGTGTTTTTTGAAAGAGTTCAATAAGAAATAGAAGAAATCAAGAAAAAATATGTTAGACTTGAATAAGAGAAGATTTAAATTGAAAATTAAAAAGCACTTGAAAAATAATAATATCTTTAATTAGCAGCTTAGTATTATGATGAAAAGATAAAATTAGAATTAGAAGTTCTTAATGATTTCAAGTAACAAGAATTATAAGCAATTAATCAATAAACTACTTAAATTGATAAGATAAAAATTAAATTTGCATTTAAGTTATGGCTTACAATGAGTAAAGTTCATAAAAATGAAGAAATAATGAAAATTTTAAAGGAAAATGAATATTTTGATGAAAAATTAAAAAGTTTTCAATTAAAAAATTAAGAATTATCTCAATTATTAATAATTGAAAAGAAAGCAAATACTAATTTAATAGCTAAATCTACACTTTTGGAATTAGATATAGAAAAATAAAAGAAAGAGTTAATTCATTATAAATGTAATTTTATTAAAATATTATCATTATAGTTGTTTTTGATGATTAGCAATACTAAAATTAAGAATTGTAGGAAAAATTAAATCAGAAAGAAAAGGAGTATTAATTACTGAACTCATTCTCTTAGAAAATTCTAAGATTAATTGATTCAAGATTAGCTAATGTAAAATTAATAATATATATAGTTAAAACCATAAGATATAAATTTAGATGATAAATCAAAAGAAGTAGTTAAAAGTATTATGAACTCAATAAAATAATTAAATATTAAATCTTTAAGATCAATTGAAGAAATAAAGTAATAAGGATCATTGAATTTAGAAGTTTATGTATAATTTATTATTGATTTTAAGCAAACTCTTACATAATAGCTAAAAAAGCATTAAGAAACATAAACTGAAGTTATACTCCCTTAATAAAAATAAAAAACAAAAGTAACAGAATCATCAGATGAAATCAATAAAAAGCCATATCTTATATAAAAATCATAAAATAGTTAAGCTGATGAACAACTTTTATAATCAGATGAGATTGTTAAAAAAAATGATTAATAAACTAAACCTAAATTAATCATCAATTAACATCCTGATAGTTAAGAAGAAATGAAATAATAAAAAGAATTAGAAGAATAATCAACTAAAATATCACCTTTAAAAGTATTGTAAAATTTTGATTATAAAAATGTTATTCCTTAAAAAAAATAATCTCCTGATAAAACAATAAAAAAATTTTAAGAATATTAAGAGTATTAATCTGATTAAGTGATTTAACTATTAGAAGTAAGTGAATAAGTAGAACATGAATAGACTCAACGTCTAAATAAAAATTAATAAAAAGGTGAATAATCAAGCTCATAAAATTAAAAATAAAATAAAAATAGAAAAAACTGTTTTACTAGTTAATAATAGAAAAGGAGAGATGATCCAAATTAATAAAATTTAATATCATCAACAAGAAATAGCAGATCATTTAGGGTTAGAGGAAATTCTTAAAATAACAATTATTCTATACCAGTTGTTCATGAAAAATTATATGCAGATAGCTAAGAAAAATAGGAAAGAATTAAAAATTTAAAGGAAAATCTTGAACTTTTAGAAAAAAATCATTGGGATAAAATTTTGGATTTATTTAGTTAATAACCATCTGGTAATTATATTTTGAATAAATGCATTCCATCTAAAATTAATGAATCATAATTTTAGTTTCTTGAAACTTCAACTTATTTTTCTCAATAACATAAAAAATACTACAATTAAACAAAAAGCAAAACTCCAAATAGAGAGAAATTTAAATCATGGATTATGAAACAAACAGGATGTATAGATAGAATGTTTGATACTTTAAATAACTTATAAAAGCCAAATTAAGATTCAATCAATCAAACAGATTCGATTATCAATTCTTCTACATTATTACCAAATCACATTTTTGCTTTTAAAAAGAAAACTTGATTTAAATTGATAGCTAATAACATTAATTATTTCTATATCTAATATTTTTTATATTAAAATACTCATTATTTGAATATTAAATTATTCTTGTTTATTCAATTTTTAATATTATAATGCATAGTTTCCACATACATGTATATATATATATCTAATATTTTTCTATTGTCTAGATTTTTTAATCAGCTTATTTTCTATTTATGTCTATATCAACTTCCTTTTACTTTTTAATTTCTTTAACAACTGTTTCTCCTTTTTTTTATTCTATATAGCACTTTAATATTGCTACTTTTTATTGATCCAAGTTTCTGATATTCTCATTTTCTATTAAGCTAAGAATGTTTTTGAAAAGATTAAATTTGATAATTTTTATCCTTTTTTACCAATTACCTTATAAATATTCCAAGATCATTAGTTTTATTTATTTAGAATTGAATAGAATATAACATCACTTTCTAATATTCTAAAATTCTTAGGATATTACTATTTACTTTAGAATAAGATAAGATTTTGACTAAATTTATTGGAACACATATTTTATTTCAAATATGGTCACAATTAAATTGTTAATAACAGATTCACAGATAAATGACAACTAATTTAGAAAATAATATTAGTTAACATGTAAATTGTTTAAAATCTCAATTTTAGTTTAAGCTAATATTACTTTTGATAATAGGATAATAATCAAGAATACTAACCACTATACTAATTCATTTTATTAATATTTATTATGCTATTTTAAAATTTACATTATTTTTCATTTAACTTATATTTATAGTATTCTCATTTATGGAACATGATTCAATTAGACTTGAAATTGATTTATAATTGAATAGTTGATTTAAGAAGAAATTCAAAATTTGATTAGATTTCAATAAAGTAATTAATGTGATTAAAGCATTAGTAAATTAAGCTGCTTATGTATTAATTTGATTGGAATTAGAAAATAATTAAGTTTATGAGTTTTAATTCTTAAGAAATATTAATATTGAATTATTTTGAACTTGCCAATCAATTTTTCTTAATTTGTATTATATTTCATTTGATATGAGCAGTGGAAATATGAAATTCAAATAGAGGAACTATTATTTATTAAATAATGAACAGAAATGTTTGGACATTATAACATAATTTTTAATTGAAAACGTACCATATGAATTATTAAATTGTCATAAATTATTTATCTGAATAGAATGTGTTATTTAAAAAAAGAAATATTGAAATGTTAAAAAGAGTTCTATGTATATTAAACAATTATCATAATTTAGTTAATATTTGTTTGTGATAATGGGAAAAGAAACATGTCTAGCATATTGGAATTATTTAATATGCTTATTATAATAATATATATATAAAATGTATTAAGTCCCCCCCCTTATCATTGCATTTTTTAACCTGATGTAATTGAGGATTTGATTTTTAATATTTTATTTATTTACTTTTCAATATCAGTTACATGTTGAATAGTAAGAGAGCGCGTTGGATGTTCTAAACAATAGCTGATTCATTTCGGTTGAAGGATGGAAATGTGGTTTAGGTGGTTTAGGTGAGTTATGAAGTCTTATTTGTTAGGATCTCTTAAAAGATAAGTCTAGACTTGAGAAATTCTTAGAAGGAGAGGGTCCAAACAAGATAATTATCTACTATCAGATATAGGATAACTAATAAACTGATGATATGAAGGAAAATCAAAATGAGCCATCACTTTTTATTTAATATGGAGATTAAGAAAAAATCAAAGAGAAAGCCATATGGTTTTTAAGAATGTAAGTACCTACATGCATTTTTTTATCTATCATCTTCCTTATATTTAAAAATTAAATCTTTATGAATTATTTTATAGGACTCCAGAAGGCAAGACAGCTGTAAATCTTAATGAGACATACGATAACTAAGTCATTTGGGGAGAAGTTTCACCTTCATCAATTTCTCAATTGCATACAGTAATGGAAAATGTGTATTACCCATTAATAATAAATATGATGGATGAGCGGGAATGGGGACAATGTGATGAAGAGTCATTAAAGGAATTCCATAATCATACAAAGAAATTTTCTTAGGAAGTATCAGAAGCAGTGAAATTAATGAGACCAGGATAAGAATTATTCAAATTTGATCCTGAAGAAGTGTAAAAATATGCTAATTCAAATAATGAATAAGAAAAAAATTAATTTTATGAAAGAAAGTTTGCTTAATGGATTGCAATCATTAATAATAAATTGGCAGAGGATTAAAATCCAAAGAAGGACAGTCCAGATGCAGGTCCAGAAGTAGAATTGAATTATTGGAAAACAAGAATGTAAGAAATTACTAATTGGTCTGAATAATTAAAAGGCAAAGACTTTGTAACTGTAAAGACAACACTATAGAGAAATAAATAACATGATAAATCAACTAATAGAGGAGAAGAGAATATTAATAAACTTATTATGGAATATAGTAGACTTGATCTTTTGTTAACTGACAAATTAAATGAAGCTAAGGATAATGTGAAATATCTATCAACATTGGAAAAGTTCCTTGATCCATTGTATAAAGGAACTCCATAATAAATTATAGACACATTACCAGCACTTATGAATGCCATTAAGATGATTCATACAATTGCTAGATTTTATAATACAAATGATAAAATGACTGGTTTATTTGTTAAAATTACAAATTAAATGATTAAGAATTGTAAGGAGAGAATTTTAAATGGAGGAAAGAATTAAGATATTTGGAATAGAGATCCATCTGAATTAAATGAAGTGTTGAGATAATGTATTTAACTCAATAGAGAATATAAAGATAGTTATAAAGAAACAAAAGAAAAGGTTGCTGATATGCCAAAAGGTAAAACATTTGATTTTCCAGAAACATAAATATTTGGTAAATTTGATACTTTTGTCAGAAGATTAGTTAAATTAATAGATATATTTTAAAATATCTAATAATTTTAGGCTTTGGCTAAACATAATTTAGAAGGTATGGAATAATTGACTGCTAAATTCAATTAAATTATTAAAGATTTCAAAGCAAAAAATCATGATTTATTAGATACAAATAGTAATAAATTTGATAGAGATTGGGTTGAATTCAATGTAGAAATATCCCATTTAGATATGTAATTACAATCATTTATTGATAATAATTTCAATAGATTAAGAACTATTGAATATTCACTTAAATTATTGAAGAAATTTGAATAAACAATTAAGAGAGATTAATTAAAAAATTCATTAGTATCTAAATATAATACAATATTACATAATTATGCAACAGAATTAGATAAAATTTAACGTATCTTTACTGATTAAAAATCCAGTCCTCCTATTGTTAGAAATATACCACCTGAAGCTGGTAAAATTATTTGGGCAAGACATTTATTTTTAAAAATTACAGGACCTATTACAAAATTCCCTGAAAATGCAATAGATTAAGGAGAATTAAAGAAATATTATGGTGGATATAATACTTTAGGTAAATAATTGACAATCTATGAAATGTGGTATTATTAAAATTGGTCAAATGAAATTGAAAGAAGTAAGGCTGCATTATAAGCTACTTTGATTGTAAGACATGATGAAAATAAAAAATTATATGTAAATTTTGATGTAGAAATAATGCAATTAATTAGAGAAGCTAAAGTATTAGATAGATAAGGAATTGAAATACCTGAAAGTGCAAGAATTATTTTATTATAAGAAGATAAATTTAAAATGTATTATAATGAATTACTTTATGTATTAAAAGAATATGAAAGAATTATTTCAAAAATAAAACCAATATGTAAAACATTAATAGGTCCACATGTTGAAGATTTAGAATTGAAATTAAGACCTGGTATGGTTACATTAACATGGACATCAATGAATATTGATAGTTATTTATAAAGTGTACATGCAGGATTAAATAAATTGGAATAATTAATTATAACAATAAATGATATTATTGAAAATAGAATTGAAAACAATTTGAAAAATATTAGTAAAGTATTATTGGTACATTTACCATAAGAGAGTAAACCTTTAACATTAGATTAATTTGTTAATTTATAAGAAGAATATATTAAGACTAAAACAGATTATTTGATGAGTAAGAATGTAGAAGTAGAAAGAGCAGTAGATGATTTACTTTAAGTTATAAGAGAATATAAATTAGATCCACATGTTGATTATGCTGATCCTACAGAAACTATTAGAATAAAGAGATATTATTTCTGGTATTTATATTAAGCATTACTTAATTCAACTTAAAATTCCCTTAATGCTATGAAATATAGAGTATGTGGTAAGAAAGGACCAGGATAATCAAGTACTTAAAATTTAAAGCCATTTTTTGAAGTAGATGTTTAATTATACAATAATTAAGTAAGATTGAATCCAAGTTTGGATGAAATATAGAAAGCTATTAATAGAGCAGCAACTGCAGTATTAAGATGTTCTAAGAATCTTTATAGTTGGAATCTCTAGTAAAAAGAAAGTAAAGGATCATTTTATGAAATGATTGCATAAGATAAGGAAATTGTAAAAGTTATATTATTATTAACTGGTTCAATATAAGGAACAAGAAATAAGGTTCATGATTTCTTATCATCATTTAAAAAGTTTTCATGGTTATGGACTGAGAATATTTAAGATAACATTAATAGTTTTAGTAAAAAGAATCCAACTTTATAAGATTATGAAGATGCTTTAAAGAAATTTACATCAATTGAAGAAGAAATTGATAAAATTGAAGCTTCACATAAAATTGGAGCTATGGAATTAAAGACAGGAAATTTATGTACAGGATTGAAAGTACATGCAAAAGATTGGAAAAATTTCTATTGTTAAGATCTTCATAAAAGAGCTAGATAATTATTAGATTAATTGACAGATTTAACAAACTAATATTCAACAAAATTATCAAAAGAAGTTAAAGATATTGATTCTTTAGGATATGTTATGGAATGTTTAGAAGATATTCGTAAGATTTAAGCAGAAATTGATTTGAAATTTAATCCAGTATAAGATATGTATGCTCTATTAGATATATATTTACCAGGTGGTATTTCTGATAAAGATGAAATGGATTAAAGATCTATGTTGAGAAGAAATTGGGATTAATTAATTAGTTAAGCTGAAATTAAAGGAAAAGAATTATAATAAAAATAAAAGAATTATCTTAAATAATTGAAAAAATCAATTAAGGAATTTATTTAAGAAGTTAATGATTTCCGTAAGGATTATGAATTGAATGGACCTATGGTTGAAAATATAGCACCAAAAGAAGCTATGGAAAGATTACGTAGATTTGAAGATGAATTTTCAGTTAAATAGAAATTTTATTAAATTAATAGAAAAGGTGAAGATTTGTTTGGTTTATAAAATTAATCATATCCAGCTCTTAAAAAGACTTAAGATGAATTAGCTAATTTAAAGAAATTATATTCATTATTTTCAGATGTTATTGATACAATTAATAAATGGAAAGAAGAATCTTGGGCTGATGTTTCAGTAGAATCATTAAATTTAATGGAAGAAAATTTCACAAAATATACTGCATAATGTGGTACATTACCAAGAGATTTAAGAGAATGGTAAGCATATAAAGAATTGAAATTAGAATTAGATAATTTAAATAAGATTTTACCTATTATTAAAGAATTAAAGAAACCATCCATTAAACCTAGACATTGGTTAAAAATTGTAGAAACAACAGGAAAATAATTAAATTATGAAAATCCTGATAATTTCTTTATTTCTGATATCATTAATTGTGAATTATTAGCTCATGAAGATGATATTGTAGATATTACAGATTCTGCAGATAAATAAATTAAAATTGAAACAAGTTTAAAAGATATTGTTGATAGATGGTCAACATAAGAATTTAAATTCTCTATTTGGGGAAAAAGAGAAGTACCATGTATGCTTAATGGTTTGAGTGTTTAAGAAATTACAGAAACATTAGAAGAGGATTAAATGACATTATCTTCATTAAATGCTTAAAGATATGTAGCACCATTTAAAGTAGAAGTTGAAATCAAAATTAGAGAATTTTCAGATGTATCAGAAACATTAGATATGTGGATTAAAGTATAAAAATTATGGACAGCATTAGAACCAGTATTTACAGGTGGTGATATTGCTAGATAAATGCCATTATAAGCTAAATAATTTGCAGCTATTGATAAAAATTGGATGAAAATTATGGAAAAGGCTTTTGAAAGTAAAAAAGTTATTATCAGTTGTTAAAATGATATGTTAAAAGACTTTTTACCAGATTTATAAAAGAAATTAGAAGATTGTTAAAAGATGTTGGAAGCCTATTTAGAAGGTAAAAGAAAGAAGTTTCCAAGATTTTATTTTGTGGCTAATTAAGATTTATTGAAGATTTTATCATAAGGAAGTGATCCAAAAAGTATTCAAGAAGATTTTGAAAAATTGTTTGATGCTATTACTAAAGTTACATTTGGAAAGAATACAGAAAAGAAAGGATCAACAGAATTAGTAATTTAATAAATTATGTAAAGTGCAGGAAAAGATGAAGAAATTGTAGATTTAAATTAAAATGTTAAATGTGAAGGTAATATTGAAGGTTGGTTAAAGACTTTAGAATTATAAATGTAATCTACATTAAGAGATATTACAAGAACAGCATGTAGTGCTTGTTTCACTATGTCATTAAAAGATTTCTGTAAGGCTTATTGTTCTTAAATTGCCTTATTGGGTATTTAAGTTATTTGGACTTAAAAAATTACAGAAGCATTAGAAAAGACTGGAAGATAAGAAAATAAAAATATTATGGAAGCAAAAAGAGCAGAAATTAGAGATATGATGGCTGTATTATCAGCTATGTGTTTGGAAGGATATAAAAGTAATTTAGAAAGAACAAGAGTTGAAACTTTGGTTACAATTCATGTCCATTAAAGAGATATTGCTTAAGAATTAAAATGTAAAGATATAAATGATTTTGATTGGTAAAAGTAAACACGTCTTTATTGGAAATAAGATTAAGATTAAGATACTTGTGTTATTTCAATTACAGATTGGGATTAAGGTTATGCTTATGAATTCTTGGGATCAAAAGAAAGATTGTGTATTACTCCTTTGACAGATAGATGTTATATTACATTGGCTTAAGCTATGTCTATGTATTATGGTGGTGCACCTGCAGGACCAGCTGGTACTGGTAAAACTGAAACTGTTAAAGATTTGGGAAGAACATTGGGAGTTTTTGTCGTTGTTACAAATTGTTCAGATCAACATAGATATAGAGATATGGCTAAGATTTTTAAAGGATTATGTTAATCAGGATTGTGGGGATGTTTCGATGAATTTAATAGAATTGATTTAGAAGTACTTTCAGTCGTGGCTATGTAAGTAGAAGCCATTACAACAGCAAAGAAATAACATCTAAAAGAATTTATGTTCCCAGAAGAAGCTGCTCCAATTGAATTATAATAATAAGTTGGATACTTTATTACAATGAATCCAGGATATGCAGGTAGATAAGAATTACCAGAAAACTTGAAAGCCTTATTTAGAGGAGTATCTATGATGGTTCCAGATAGAGAAATTATTATTAAAGTCAAGTTGGCTTCTGTTGGTTATAATTCAATTGATGCTTTAGCCAAAAAATTCAATGTGTTATATCGTTTATGTGAAGAATAACTTTCAAAATAAAGACATTATGATTTTGGATTACGTAATATCTTATCAGTGTTAAGAACAGCTGGTAATACTAAAAGAGAAGAACTCAAATCTGATGAAGAAATGCTTTTAATGAGATCTTTAAGAGATATGAATTTGAGTAAGTTAGTAGCTGATGATATTGCTTTATTCAATGGATTATTACAAGATATCTTCCCTAAATAAAGTGATATCAAAAAGAAGGAATATCCAGATGTTGAGAAAATGATTCCATAAGTTATTTAAAGAAAAGGAGGTTTAATTAATAATGATAAATTCTAATTGAAGATCATTTAATTATATGAAACAGCTTTAGTCAGACATGGTTTTATGTTAGTAGGACCATCAGGCAGTGGTAAGACAACAATTATGTCTGTTTTGACAGATTCATTAACAGATTTAGGTCTTCCACATAGAATTACAAGACTTAATCCTAAAGCAATTACAGCATAAGAAATGTATGGTGTAAAGAGTGAAATCTCAGATGATTGGATTCCAGGTATATTCAGTACAATTTGGTAGAAATCAAATAGTAGAAATAACAAACATACAACTTGGATTACTTGTGATGGTCCAGTAGATGCAATTTGGATTGAAAATTTGAATACAGTGTTGGATGACAATAAAATTCTTACATTAGCTAATGGTTAACGTATTCCAATGACAGAAAATTGTAAATTAGTATTTGAAGTTGAAAATCTCAATAATGCTTCACCAGCAACAGTTAGTAGATGTGGATAAGTTTATATATCACCAACAGATTTAGGATATGAACCAGTTTGGAAAGGATGGATATTATAAAGAAAATTAGATGCAAGAGTAGATGAATCAGAGAAATTGAATGTTCTACTCAATAAATATTTTAATACTTATCTTATTTTAGAAACAATTGATAAAACATGTAAGAATCCTGTTATGGATATATCACATGTACTTAAAGTTTATCAAACATTAAATCTACTTAATGGTATTTTGAGACCATTAGTTAATGCTAATAAAACATTAACTGAATAAGATTATGAAAAAGTAGTAGTCTTTGCCATGACTTGGGGTGTTGGTGGAATCTATGAAGTACAAGATAGAATATTATTCCATGAATTCTTAGCTTAAAAAGGTGCACCCATTCCATATAAAGCTAAAGATGGTGAAACAGTCTTTGATTACTATATCTATTTAGATGAAAGAGGTACTTGTGAATGGAAACTCATATAACCAGAAGAATGGAAAGCTCCAGATAAATTTTAATTTTCTCAATTACTCATGCCTACTGTAGATTCATTTAGAGCTGAGATGATCTTATCATACATTCTTAATCAACCAAAAGCTTCACCATAACCACCTGTTAGTTGCAGTTATGTTGTTTTAGTTGGAGGTAGTGGTACAGCCAAAACATCAAGTGTTCTTATGTATGCCAACAAATTTAATAAAGAAAAAATGTTGTTCAAGAGAATAAACTTTTCATCTGCTACATTACCTAGTCATTTCTAAGCTGCTATTGAAGCTGAATGTGATTTCAAAATAGGTAAAGATTTTGCACCTCCTTAAAATAAAAATATGACAGTATTCATTGATGATCTTTCTATGCCTTTTGTTAATAAGTGGGGAGATTAAGTCACCTTGGAAATAGTTAGATAATTAATTGATTAGGGTGGATTCTATATGTTAGATAAAGCATAAAGAGGTAATTTCAGAGGTATCAAAAATCTTACATACATTGGAGCTATGTAACATCCTGGAGGTGGTAGAAATGATATTCCTAACAGATTAAAAAGATAAGCAGTAGTTTTCAATATGATTTTACCACTCTCAGTTGAAGGTATTTATGGACCCATCATCAAACATTAATTTAAGGCTAAATATTTCTAACCTGATGTTGTTAGAGCTATTGATACCTTAACTGGTGCTACCATTTAAATTTGGAATAAAGTCAAAGTCACTATGTTACCAACACCTGCTAAATTCCATTATGTGTTCAACATGAGAGATTTATCTCGTGTATTTAAGGGTATATTGTCAGTAAGAAAGGAAACAATTAATACTGCTGCTTAAGTTGGACCAATGAAATCTGATGTATTTTTAGTAGGATTATGGATGCATGAATGTGAAAGAGTCTTTGTTGATAAAATGACAAATCAAAAGGATAAGGATCAAGTTTGTAATTACATAAAAGAAATTGCTTTGGATCTCTATAATCATTTAGATAGTGAAATTTAAGATAAATTCAGTAAAGAAAAGTTATTCTTAATGTGTGATTTCTTGAAGGAAGATGTAAAAAATGAAGATGGATTAGTTGAAGTTGAAGCTGAAAAGATTTATGAGGGAGTGAATTCTATTGATAGATTAAGATTAAGATGTAATAATCTCTTACAAGATTATAATGATAAATATCCAGCAAAGAAAATGAGTTTAGTGCTATTTGATGATGCTATCAAACATTTATTACGTATTTCAAGATTGATTAAATAACCAAGATCAAATGCATTATTAGTAGGAGTTGGTGGTTCAGGTAAATAATCTTTGACAAGATTGGCTGCTGATATCTTGAAGAATGTTTGTTATTAAATTATATTGACTAAAAATTTCAGTGAGAAAGATTTGAAGGAAGAAATTAAGAAATTATTTGATTGGGCTGGTCATCTTGGTAGATAGGTTACATTTATATTGACAGATAGTGAAGTTAAGAAGGAAGAATTCTTAGAATATATCAATATGATCTTATCAACAGGAGAAGTTGCTGGTTTATTGGCTAAAGATGAAAAAGAAGTTTGGTTAGCAGATGTTAGAAATGATTATGTAAAAGAGAAATAATTGGGTAATATTGATCCTCCATAGAGTGATTTATATGCCTATTTAGTTGATAGAATAAGAGATAATTTACATATTATTTTATGCTTCTCACCAGTAGGTTAGAAATTCAGAGATAGATCTCGTAAATTCCCAGCATTATTCAATGAATGTACAATTGATTGGTTCTTACCATGGCCTGAAGCTGCTTTGGTTAGTGTGGCTGAAACATTCATCAAGAATTTCAAAGAATTAGATACTACAAATGATATCAAGGAAGAATTAATGAAACATATGGGTAATGTTCATATTATGGTTAATTCTGTTTGTGAACTTTATTTCTAAAAGATGAGAAGATAAGTATATGTTACACCAAAGAGTTATCTTTCTTATCTCAATTCATATAAAGAATTGTATTTGAAAAAATATGCTGAATTAGATTTACAAGAAAATTCATATAAAATTGGTTTGAGTAAGATTAATGAGGCAGCTAAATAAATAGAGAAGATGGGTGTGGCTTTGAGAGAGGAAGAAGCTTAATTAAAGGAAGCATCAGAAAAGACTGAAAAATTATTAGAAGATTTGGAAAAGGAAAGTAAAAAAGCTAATTAAAAGAATGATGAAGTTGAAGCAACTACTGCTTAATGTATGAAATAAGCATAAATGATTGCAAGTGAGAAATAAGCTGCAGAGAAAGATTTGGCTGCTGCTATGCCTGCTCTTATTAGAGCATAAGAAGCTGTTGATTCATTGGATAAGAAAGATATTGATGAAATGAAGGCTATGAAAACTTTAATGGATATTATGAAAGCAATTATAGATTCTATTGTAATTTATTTTATGGGTAAATTATTACCAGTTCAATCAGTTACTGTTAAGATTAGTAAAATTGATTTTTCATTTTTGAAGGATTCATTTGATGAAGGTGGTAAATCAGTTCTTTTTGATATGAACTTTTTAAATAAATTAAAGGGATTTGAAAAAGATGGTATTAATGAAGAAACTATAGAATTATTGTAACCATACATGTCATAAGAATGGTTCAGTGAAGAAAAAGCTTAGAGTGCTTCAAAGGCTGCTTAAGGTCTATTGAAATGGGTTAAGGCTATTTATGAATATCATGAGAAATCAAAGATTGTTAAACCAAAGAAAGTTTATTTGTAAATATAAGAAGGTCGTCTTGAAGTTGCAAGAAAGGAATTGGCAAAAGCTGAAAGAGATTTAAATGAAATTAAGGAATATTTAGCTAAACTTAAAGAGACATTCAATAAATAAATGGAAGAGAAATCATTCTTGGAACAAAAATCGAATAAAACTAAAAAGAGAATTACTACAGCCAGATAATTGATTGAATCACTTTCAGATGAAAAGGCTAGATGGGGATAAGGAGCTACAGAAATAGCTGATCAAAAGCGTAAATTAATTGGTAATTGTTCATTGGCTACATCATTTATTTCTTATTGTGGTCCATTCAATGCAGAATATAGATAATTATTGGCAGGTGATTATTTTGTAAATGATTAAAAGAGAAGAGGTGTTCCTGTTACACCAGGATTGAATTTGACATAGTTTTTAGTAGATGATGCTACAGTAGGAGAATGGAATTTATAAGGATTACCTAAAGATGAATTATCAATTCAAAATGGTATTATGGTTACTAATTCAACAAGATATCCTTTATTAATTGATCCATAAGGATAAGGTAACTTTTGGATCAGATAAAAGTTTGCTGATAAAATTGAACCATTTAGATGTATTACAACATTGAATCATCCTAAATTCAAAGATAATTTCTTAAAACCTTGTATGTAAGATGGATTATGTTTGATTATTGAGAATATTGAAAATGAAGTAGATCCAATGTTGGATCCAGTTCTTGAAAAATAAATCTAAGTAAAGGCTAAGAAAAATAAATATATTGAAGTAGGAGGTACTTAGATGGACTTTGATGATGGATTTAAATTATTTATGTTTTGTAGATTAGCTAATCCTACCTTTTCTCCTGAATTATCAGCTAAAACAACTATTATAGACTTTACAGTTACTTAAGGTGGTTTAGAATAATAATTATTGGGTAAAGTTATCAGTAAAGAATAAAAAGCTTTGGAAGATTCTCTAAATTAATTATTAGCAGATGTCAATTAAAATAAGAAGGATTTATAAAGATTAGATAAGAATTTATTAGAAAGATTGACTTAATCTTCTGGTAATTTATTAGAAGATGAGGGTCTTATTGAAGTGTTAGGAAGTACTAAGACTTAAGCCAAAGAAGTTTCAGTGAAATTATTGGATGCTGAAGTAAAGACAAGAGAAATTAATGAAAAGAGAGAATAATATAGACCTGTTGCAATTAGAGGTTCAGCTTTATATTTCACAATTTTGGAAGTGTCATTAATAAATTGGATGTATAATTCATCTTTGGAATAATTCTTAAAATTATTCAATGATTCTATTGATCAATCTGAAAGAAATACATTACCATCTAAAAGAGTAGATAATATCATAAAATATCTTACCTTCCATGTTTATAAATATGTTAATAGAGGTCTATTTGAAAAGGATAAGATTTCATTTATTTTAATGATGTGTTTCAAAGTTAAATAAACAGATAAAAAAATAAATGCTGGAGATGTATCTTAATTCTTAAAGAGTGGTGCTGCATTGGATCCAAAAACTGAAAAATAAAAACCATTCTAATTCTTAGATGAGAAATAATGGTTAAATATATTAGCATTATCTCGACATCATTTCAATGGAGATCAAATGGCCTTCTTTAGAGATTTACCAGAATCTATTTCTAGAAATGAATAATAATGGAGATAATGGAATGATAGAAATGATCCAGAAAATTCACCAATACCAGACTTTGCTGAACGTATTGCTGCTGATAAAGAAATTGGTCCATTTATCTCTTTATGTTTAGTACGTTCACTTAAAGAAGATAGAACATTAGTTGCTGCTACTCACTTTATTAATGCAACTCTAGGTAAAGAATTTACTGCACCTATTTCATATCCTATTGATTCTATTTGGGCAGAAAGTTCAAAAACTGATCCAGTATTATTCTTATTATCTGCTGGTGCTGATCCTACTTCATCTATTGATGATCTCTCAAGAAAGAAGAGAAAAGTATTTTGTGAAAAAGTATCTATGGGAGAAGGTCAAGAAGAAGCTGCAAGAAGAGTCATTAAAAATGGTTTTGAAACTGGTATGTGGGTTATTCTATAAAATTGTCATTTGGGTCTTAAATTTATGGAAGAAATTGAAACAATTGTTAATCCAGAGGCAACCATTAATGATGATTTCAGATTATGGATTACTTGTGAATAACATCCTAGATTCCCATTGGGTCTATTATAAAAGACTATTAAAGTTACAAATGAACCACCAAAGGGATTGAAAGCTGGTTTATATAAGACCTTTACTACAATTATTACTTAAGAATTCTTAGAAAAAGTTGAACATCCAAATTGGAGAAGTCTTATCTATACAATTTGTTTCTTACATTCAATTGTTATTGAAAGACGTAAATTTGGTCCTCTTGGATGGTGTGTTCCATATGAATTTAATAATCCAGATCTTGAAGCATCTCTTGCATTTATTGAAAAATATTTGAATTCATTCCTTAGTGGACCTCCTTCATAATCACCTAATTTGAATTTAAATATGAATGTTATTAGATACATGATTTGTGAAGTATAATATGGTGGTCGTATTACTGATGATTTGGATAGAGAATTATTTAATGCATATGGTGAAGATTACTTAAAAGAAGCAATCTTTGGAAATGAATATGTTATAGCTGAAGCACCATTTGATGCAGGAGGTGGTACTAAACCAACTAAATTCTAATATAAAATACCTGCCACAACTTAAATGCCAGAATTAATTAAATATCATGATGTCATTAAGTAATTACCTGATATTGATAATCCTGAAGTATTTGGATTACATGTTAATGCTGATATTACATTTAGAAAGAAAGAATCCACTGAAATGATTATTACAATTATGGATACTAGACCAAAGGATTCTGGCGGTGGCGGTGGAAAAACAAGAGAAGAAATAGTCTAGGATAAAGCTAGAGAGTTATTATCCAAATTACCATCAGATTATGTTGATTTAGAAGTTAGAGAATAAGTTCGTAAATTAGCAGGTCCAAAGAATTTACCAGATAAGGGATTGACTGTGCCACTTAATATTTTCTTATATCAAGAAATACAAAGAATGCAAATTGTTATTGCTATTTGTAGAAAAACATTGTCAGATGTTATTGATGCTATAGATGGTCAGATTATTATGACTCCAGATATTTTAGATGCCATTAATTCTATGTATGATGCTAAAGTTCCTTTAACTTGGGTTTATGATGCAACAGGAGTAGAAATTTCATGGATCTTGCCCACTCTTGGAGCATGGTTCAGTTCATTAATAGATCGTAATAAATAATTAAATGATTGGTTAAAGAGCAACAGACCTAATCACTTTTGGCTTGGTGGTTTCTTCAATCCTCAAGGTTTCTTGACTGCTGTCAAATAAGAAGTCACTCGTATGCATAAAGGTAAACCAGGAGACAAAGATGCCTGGTCTTTGGATGATGTTGTATAATCAACTTAAGTTAAAGAAAGAGAATATGAATAAATTAGAGATATTCAATCAGAAGGTGTTTATGTGAGTGGATTATCTCTTGAAGGATGTAAATGGAGTAGAAATGGACTTGATGAATCAGAACCAAAGAAGATGTTTGCTCCTTTGCCTATCCTTTATGTCACTGCTATTAATAAGAAGAAGGGTGCTGATGCTGAAAAGAATTCCTCAACTTACAGTTGCCCTGTTTATAAGGTATTATTTTATTTTATTCATTTTAGTATCCAAGAAGAACTGATAAATATCTCATTTGTAGAGTTGGATTGCCTTGTGAAGGTACAGGTGCTCATAAATGGAAGTTAAGAGGAGTAGCACTTTTATGTTCAACTGAATGAGATTTTAATATATATTATATATTATTTTATAAACAACCAATGATACAGACATAATAATTTTTATATAATTCAATCTATGAATCCATTATCAAATTGAACTTTTTCAATATGAAAATGAATCACTTAAAGAAATATATATTAAAGAAAATCCATAATTAAAGTTTAATAGATATAATTATTACTCTATTTGCAGTATTAAATAAAATGATGGTATCCCTAAATTAATATGATATCCAACATTTTATAATTAATAAAAAATAAGAAATTCTTATTCATAATGAAATTGTTTGATAGATTTTATTTATTTATATATACATTATTAAATTAATCTATAAAAAATGCAACTTAATTTCTTAATTAAATATAAAAAATGATTGATATTAAATAAGACATAATTTATAATATCAAATGAATGAAATATTCCAATTTTCTATAAAATTAGGCTTTTCATATCCTTCTTTATAATCTATGTCACAAAGATCCTAAAAATATTACAATTTAAACTACATTTTTATTTTCTAAAAATTGAAAACCATTTCTACTGTTATTAAAATTGCTTCGAAGAGTTAACCCTGGTGGCTTATATTATTTAGCCTAAAGTCTTATCCAATCTATTTCAGCAAAGAATAAATGTTTCTTAATTTTATGAAAGTCAACTTAGGCTAATCTTTCTTTAGGAGATTTAATAAGTAATATTCTTAAAAGGTCTGCTGCTGTAGCACTAATTCCTTTGGGAATTTATAATTATTCTAGAATTTGAAAATTATTTAATTTACAATATTTGATATTTTCAATTAAAGTTTTAATATTTGTACTAAAATACGGAGGATAGCCAGTAAGCATTTCAAATAATATTGTTCCTATTTAGTAAATATCAGTTGCTTTAGATGATCCAATACCTTCAATCAATTCAGGGGGAAGATAAGCTGGAGATCCACAGAAACTATTGGCAATTATTTCTTAACCTACATGACCTTATTTGCATAAACCAAAGTCTGTAAGTTTGATATATCCATCTGAATCTACTAGAATATTTTCTGGTTTAAGATCTCTATAAAGTATAGATTTAGAATGTAGATATTCAATAGCTAATATGATTTAAGCAATAATGAATTTTGCAGTATATTCATCCAAAACTTTTCCTCTTGTCATATATCTAGATAAATCACCTGCAGGACAAAGTTCAGTAGCTAAATATAAGTATTTTTGTGTCTAGAATAATTTGTATATAAACTTAGAATGCAAAATATAAGCGAACAATGAAAGGATTTTTAATAGTTTTAAGAATTTAAAGTTCTAAAAGAGTATAATTTAGATAATCATGTTTGATTAACATACTCTTTTCTTATTATTTTAATGCACAATAAATATTTTTATATTTAGTCTTGTAAACTTTTCCAAAACTGCCTTTACCAATTAATTCGAAATTATTAAAACTTGATAAACCAATATAATTTTATTTTTTATAACTTCCCTTTTCATCAACAAGATCAATTTCATATTCTGCTTCACTTACACTAGCTAATGATTATTTAAATTTTTCTTTTTTTGCTTTTTATTGTTATTAAATATATTGTTTTTATTCAATTGCTGGTGAATCTAGAATATTCATAATTTAATTAGGTTTTTATAACATTAAATTATAAGCTCTTTTAGCACTTTTAATTTCATCAATAGAACTTCTTAATAAGAAATTTTAATTGATATAGCGTGCATATCCTACACAATTCTTCAAACCTTCATACCATCTTCTAGCAGCATTCTTTTCTTTGAATGCTAGAAACATATGATTAGTTGAATATTTAATTTCTAAGTAATAAAATTCATCCTCTTAAAACCACTCATCTTTAGATACTTTTATCTCATTTATTTAATCTAATGCAATTACTTCACTTAAAAAATATATAGTTTTATAATACTTTGGATTATTTGGAATGTCTTTCTCTGTTTTAAATCTTACTAATGTACCAGAATCAGGATCAGCTATCATAAATCTTTGATACATAATCAATTTGAAATAATTAACTTTCAATACTTTCCCTGTAAGAATTGGAGGTCTACTTGGTTTATTAATAATAAAAGTCTCTTTTATACAAAATCATCATACATCTTTCTATAAATCCTCTAAAGTAATTCCATTCATTGATTTCACAAATGAATTTCTATAAATAGTATTTAATTTTAATTCATTTTCATATTTTAATAGTTATCTAACTTGAGTACCTGCAACTTCAATAGGTCTTTTATTAGTCTTATCTTGAATACTGAATTTATTAATGATAAATACTTTACATCAATATTTGGATGTTGTAATAGAGACATTGTTATTTCAGCATCATCTATTTGGGCAGCTAAATGTAATGCAGTTCCATGTTTGCTTGTTTTATTAATATTTATATCTGGTTATCCAATTAAAAATAATACAACTGAAGATAATAACATATGAAATACTTTATTTTAATTTTAAACAAACAGCCAATGAGAGACAATTCCAACCATCATTTGTCTCTAAATTAACATCAGCACCTTCACTTAATAACCATAAAACAATTTTTTCATATCCAGTAACTATAGATACATGTAGAGATGACCATCCAAATACTGATAAGTTATTTAAAAGTAGATTTTTATTCTTTTCATAATTATCTAATAAATATTTTGCTTTCTAAAAATTATTGGTCTGAATAAATTCATAAAATTTTTCAATATCATTCTGTTAATTTATTGAGGTATTTGATTTAAATTAATTATTTTTAAAGGAGTTTCGAAAGGAATCATGTACAGTATTCTATAGATCTGCAGCAAGACTATTTGAATTATAGGACTTTAATTATTATTATTTTTAAGAATTAAAAGAAGAATTAATGCTAAATTAATCGTCAATATTTTTAACAAATACTATAGATTCTTAACTGAATTGAATTGAACTTAAATACTAATGCTTTTCTATTTCAATCATTTGAGAATTTGTAAATAAATACAATTTTTGATTACATACCTCAATTTATGTTATTTTTTATATTTCTGATTACAAATCATCAACTGTTCCTTTTGAAGGCACCTTTATTATACAAATTTATTCTTCTCCCCAATCATTATAATATTTTAACTTGATTTTCATTTTAATTAAATTTTTGTTAAAATAATATTACTTTATAAATGAGAAAATTATGAATAAAACTTATCATGAATCACTTAATTAATATAAGTATATTTAATATTAAATTATAGAATATGTAGCGATTGAATAATTATAATAAAAATAACAAATTAAGTATTTTTGTTATATTTTGAAATAAATTAAAAATATTAATCAATATTCCATCATCTCCCTTTATTCAGTTGTTAAATGTTCCAATTTTTCTTATTTCATCTTTTATTTTTTAATAGTCTATAATTATTATTCAAAACTTTCATCCAATTATACTTCTATATGACTGGGAGCTTAGAAAGATTAATTTAAAATTGATCCTCTCTATTAATAATTGATTTAATTATTTACTTCAATATCTTCCTTCACTTAAATATCATCTAAATTTATTATTCCATTTTAATTATTCTAATTAGATAAATTATCTTTAAATTATTTCTTTATTTTCTCAAAATCAATTTAACTTATTAAATTACATTTTGATAATATTTCTTATATTTCTGTATTTATATTATTTTTTGATAATAATATTTATAAATCCTAACTTTTAATGATATTTATATTTACTATGCACCAAATCCTTTTTTCTTGTAAATTTGAAATTATGCACCAAGAAATGAATATAAAAGTTCATTAAAATCTTTAGAAATTTCATCATCCATATATGAAATTAATTTTATAATCATACACAATCTTAATTCTTTATCTTTAAAAGTATCAAAATTAATTTTTCTATTAGATTTTGATAATTTACTATTTCCTTATTTAATTGAAGAATCATCAATTATATAAGCTATAATAGATACAATTTGTTGATTATTCAATCTTCCAGGTATGAAATCAAAAAATTAATTTATTAATGTTCTTACATATTCTGGTTCATTATAACTAATTAATACTGAATTTGATAAAAAATATGCACTTAATCCAATAATATTAGAATTAGGTACAAGATATGAATTAATTTCATTATTTTCATTAGAATTTATTTTTCCTGCTTATAAAAACAAAGATGTTAAAATCTATGCACATTTTAATGAAATCTAATGATCAAATTCAGCTATTTCAATTAACATAACTATCATTTCTTCTGTTATAATAATTGTTGAATTAAATGTTTCTATTTTTTATATACATTCATGTAAAATGATCAATAAATTAATTAGAATATCAATATTAATAGCTGTATTATTAATTAAATTTAAATTATAATTATAAGCAAATGCAAGTATTTATTATATAAATAATTATACACTATTAGTATCTGATGATATTTATTTTAGTAATGCAATTAAACAAAGTTTAGTATCATTAAATGTTTCTATCTCTGGATTAGCTCTTAAATTATTAAGAATTGCCTTTATAGTTTAAGTTTATTAAAATAGAATAAATTAATTAGTTTCTATTGAATTAAAAAGATTAATTAATAATTTAATAACTGAGTTTTTCACATTTGAAGTAACATGAATATTTTTATATTCTGATGTTTTCTTCAATAAAGGTGGGGCACTAGGACTTTCAAATGAATTCTTATCATTAGGAGTATCTAAATAATCAACTAATTTAGTAAATATAAAAAGCTCAGTATTAGATAATTAATTAATCTATTTGGCTACTTCTAAAACAATATAAGTAATATCAAATATATCTTAAGGATTTTTCCAATAATCTTCATCAAAATTATTAAATAACATTAAAAATAATTCTTCATATAACTATTAATTTAAAGCTCTTTCTAAAAATGTTTCTGTTAATTTATGCCATATAGGTTGAGAAATAAACTTTTTATGATCTTTCATTAATATATTAAATAAAGCTTTTTAACTTTTTGTTACAAATAATCTTTCTTATGGAATTCTTAAAAAAGCATTCTTATAAACAGACATTACAATAAATGGATCTGAAATTAAATCAAGTAATTCTTAAACTGCTGACATTTCTTCATTTGTCTTAGTTACCCATTCACTAATATAATATTTATAAATTATTTACAATTAATCAGAATAACCTAACTTAGTACCTATTATATATTCTAAAAATGTCAAAATGCATTATATATTTTCACTTTAGAATTATTTATTTGCTTTCTTATTTGAAAATGATTCCAAAGTTTCTAAAAACTAACCCCACCAAACCCTTAAGAAAATATATTTTTCTTACATTGCATATGTCATTTTATCATTAATCAACTAAGAGATAATATTAGAAAATGCTAATTCAAACTTTAAAAAGTTATCTGAAACTTATGTTAAGGTTTATAAATGTTCTATTTGAATAGATCTCTGACTTATTTCAATTTTAGATTCCTCATAAATTTAATTCTAAACTGGAATTTCTTTCAATTATATAAACTTATCTAAATTAAGTATGAGCTCTTATAATATGTGCATACACATTTTTATTATAATAGGATTTTGAGATAATTTCTAATTAATTGTTTGTTATTATTACTATTTTACTTTCTACATATAATGCAGAATCAATCAATCTAATTTTATAAGATTCTATGTGATCTATCAACGTTTTTACTTCTAACTTAAATTAAGGTTAAATCTTTGCCCAATCGAACTCATTAAAGTATTTCATAATTTCAGATTTCTTGTTGAATTCTTTTAATGTTTCCTCTCTTGGCACAAGTTCAAAAATCTCTGTCAGAATAGCTGAAAATGTTGGCTATTACAAGTTTCTAGAAGTACTTCCAATACAACCCATATTATCAATATATTAATATTATATTTATGATAATCGGTTATTTCATAATATCTCAAACAACTTAAATCCATAAATTATCAAGTATTTACCTAATCATCCATATCAATATACTATTCTTTGTATAATATCATAAAATACTAATGACACAACATAATTAAATCTTTTAATAATTGTTATATTAAAAATCACAACTTTATTTGATCTTAAGATAACTCTTTTGAAACCGCATTCAAATAATATCCATTCAAACTTAATAGAGCTATAAATTCATTATATTATTCAAAGATTAATTGATATTCGGTATCATAATCTAAGGATTCAATGAAAAAAGCAATTGAAGTTTTTTTGAATGGAATAGCTTTCTTCATTTATTAAAAGAATCCAATTGTTAATACACAGAAATCATCTCCTTATATAGCTGATGATCCACCTTTAACCTAAAATTTTATAATAAATAAATACTCCAACATGATCATATTCCTAAGCCAAAGCAGGATTTTACATAGAAACATATCCCATTAAAGCATAAAAATATTAATAAAACTTTTCATTAAACTAAATACCATTATTTAATTTATCAAGTAATTTTGAATATTCTAAAGTTGTTGATTTTGTGAAATATTTTGATTGAATTTTTAAAACTTCTCCATCTAATAATTACTTACCTCTACTTAAATAATCTTTTGCACTCTCATTATTTAAAATTAATTAATTATGTATCTCTAAACTCTTTTTTTATACTTATTCTACTGAAAGATTCTAAATATATTTAATGAAATCTTCTCTTGTATCTTTGTTATCTTAAGTGAACACTAATAAAAATGAACTTAAATAGAAGATTTAACTTTATTTCAATCCTATTTAATCTACAGTATTTTAAATAGATTCTAAAGTAAATAGAGTTTCTAAGTATTCAGTACAAGCATTAGAACTTAATGCTATCATCCCTATTGCAATTTCCTTTAATTGTATTTAACCATCTTTTATTTTTCCTTACTATTCCCAAATTTACAAAAAATTTTTATGGGATATATCTAATTCTTTTATATAAAACTTATTAACTTCATTTAAATTAATCCAATCTTCATCGTTTATTTTACCATCACTTAATTGTTTACAATATTCTATGGCAACAATTATTTTGAAAACACTCATCAATGTTTATTCTCTTGTTCCAAAATAGTTTGCTATTACATTGTCATCAGCAATAGCAGAAAATGAAAATTTATTTGGATATTGTTTAATCCACTAAATCATTGATGGTTATAGATGATCATTCATACTGAAAGAGGCAATTTTACCTTTTTGATCATATGACCAAAATAAAGTACCAGTTCCCAAATGTTTTTCAAAACCTAATAAAATGCTTGGTTATTCTTTATCAACAGTTGAATAAGCCCAGTAAGAAATATTTCCTTCTCTATTTCTAATGGCTTCTATTTATTAAGTAAATATCTCTAATGTAATATGCTTTTAAGTGTCTCCAGAAAATAAATTATAAATTTATGCTGCATTGCCTTAAAATAGATTTTTAGTATTACCATCATTGTAGGATTTCTTTAACAGATCAAAATATGCTAGATTAGATTCATCAGATGGAACAAATACACCTTCAACAAGATTTATCATAAAAATGATGAATAAATAATACAACATAGATTAAAAATATTTTCATTTATGGAATATAATTTATTATTGAAATTCATTAATATTTAAATGAATGAATAATATATTAAAGAGAACATTCAGGAAATCTATTTTATCTTTATGCCATCTTATTTAATATTGACAGTTTGTGCTAATTTTTAGTTATTAACATATTTTTAAGAATGATAAAAATTTCATCTTCAAAAATTACATTAACAGAGCAAAGAAGATATTTAAAAAAAGAATCAAGATTTCAGTTAAATTAGCCAATGCAATTGGTTAATGTGATTAATATTACTATTATACCAAAAATATTATATATATTATTTATATAATATTTATAATAATAATCATTCTAATATAAATATATTATTCATTTAAATTTATTTGAATCAAATATATATATATATATATATAAATTTGTTTTATATAAATTATATTATGAAACCATAAATTTGTTTATTAGGCATTCAGAAATTTGCCAAAGATAAATAGGTTTTGAAATAATTGTAAGAATAATTAGGAGATAAATTTATCAATCCTACTGAAATAATTAAACCTAAAATGAAGCCATTTTGTTTTTTGTAATTTATTGATGAGGAAGAAAAAAATGTATTAGTTAAATTTATAATAAAGAAATTTGTTAAATTGATTGAAGATAATCCAGAATTGAAACTTAGGTTAGGATAAGTTCATAATGAAAATGCTTTTGAAAAATAATTAGTGAAGAAAATTAAATAATAAAAATAAAATGAAGAAGAAGTCAAATAATTTTAAGAAAAGCATTAAAATAGAGATGTTATTGAAAGAAAAGAGAATGAATTAGCATTATAAACAGCTCCACTTTATTAAATTAAATATGAAGAATAAATTGAATAAAAGATGGTTGAACTCAAAAAGGTAATTAAAAAATTAAGAAATTAATTTATTTAAAAAAATGGTAAAGAATATGCACCTGATTGGATTCTAGAGTAATAATTTATTAAATATTAGTACAAATTTAATTAAAATTAATGATCCTATAATATGTGATGATTAATTTAGATTTAATTATAGAAACAAAAGTGAATTCACTATTAGCTACAATAGTTAAAAAGAAGTTTGTGTTGGTTTTAATGTTGGTTCAATTCAAAAAAATAATGATAGTGTAGAATAAGTAATAAATTATTAATACAAAAGCCTAATACATGTCCAGTTACACCTGCTATAGCTATGGAAATTGCAAACAAATTCTAGACTTACTTATAATAATCTAAGTTTTAACCTTTTAATAGATAAAATGGAAGTGGAGTATGGAGGATGTTAAGTGTTAGAAAAAGTGATAGGACTAAATAATTATTAATAAGTGTAAGTATTAATAAAGACAATTTAAATGAAGATGAATATGTTTTGATATGTGATGAATTAATTACATTATTTAAGACTACTTATGGAGAGTTCAGTTTAGAAGGATTATTATTAATGCATTCAAATAAATTGGGTTAGGATTTAGCTAGTTCTGCTGATGATACAAAAATATTATATGGAAATTCATATTATTAAGAAATTATTTTAGACAAGAAAATAAATATATCATATAATGCTTTTTCTTAAAATCATACTCCTTAATGTGATAAATTATATTAAGTAATTATTGATCTTTGTAAAAACAAAAAAATTACAAAATTTTTAGACTTATGTGCTGGTAGTGGCACTATAGGAATTTGTGTTAGTGATTAAATATAAGATATTTTAGCTATTGAAATGAATTAATCTTCATGTAAGGATGCAAATGAAAATTATAAAATAAATAATCTTCAAAATTGTTAAATTATATGTTCTAAGGTGGAAGATGTTATTAAGAAAGTTGCTCAAGATTTAAAGAGTTTTGAAGGAAAATAATAATTAATGGCTTGTTTAGATCCACCTAGAGCAGGTGTCCTTAATAATGTTATAGAAGCTATTAGGACATGTAAAGGTATAGATCACATTATTTATATTTCTTGTTCTCCTCCTTAAGTAATTGATAATTTAATTTAATTATGTTTACCATAATCTAAAAAGAATAGAGCACCTGGATTTAAATTGGTAAATGTGACATTAGTTGATATGTTTCCTTAAACAAGTCATTTCGAAGCTGTATTTTATTTAGAGAGAGATTATGGTATCTTATCTGAATTGATGTGAAATAAATTATAATTGTGTTGTTATAATAAGAAAATAAAAAAGGATATTTCATAAGAATTTTCATCTTATTTTAGTTTATAATATAAATGATTCAAATATTTTATTAATCAATTTTCATTTGTTTAATTAACATCTATAAAAAGTGGAGTAGTTTTAAATTTAAGCAATTTTTTCATTCTTTACTAAACTTAACATTCATTCATTTTTTATATGAATTCAATATCATCCTTTTAATTTTTTTTACATTCAATAGTTTCTTAAATTATCTCATATTTTTATTGTTAACCTTTTGATGCATTTAATATAATATTAGCAGCTCTTAATTTTTGAATGCAAGTTTAGAACTTAGTCTTTTTAAGAAAATTTATGTCCTTTTTCAAATCAAAATGTCCTTAAAACATATTAATAAATATAAGTTACTCTTTCTTGGTTATAAATATTTATTTAAGTGTTAAAGTGTTAGAAGTCCTTATTAAACTGCTTTTTTTTCGTATTAATAAGATTAATACAAATGATTAACAAATTTTTATTATTCCATCTTTTTTAAACATGGTCTAGAATAAGATTTTGGTTAGATGAATTCAGATGTAGATGTGTTGATATTTCTACCTGCTTAATGAATATCTTAAATAAAAGTGCTTAATTTAATAGATTAATAATTCTTGAGTTATTCAAATGAATGACAGTTCCTGATTCTCATTATAAATCTTAAATTTATTAATTTGAATGTAAAATTTTACAATATCATAAATATCATAATTATAGTTTTTCTTTTATAATAATAATAATAAGAATAATAAAACAGAGGAATTAATGTCAGATAAATCAGAATATAATAATTAATTGGTGCAATATGGTTTTTAAGGCAAGCAATTTCCTGTGTCAATTAAAGCAAAATAACTATCAAATTATCCACTTATTATGGCATCACTATTAGTAATCACAAATTAAGTTATAAGAGTAAAAATAATTTCCACGAAAGATACAATTGGAGTCCCCTTTAAATAGGAAGATATCAAATCATTCATTCAAGAAATCATTGAGTATAAAAAGGATCTCAACTCCTAAAAGAAGAAACCCAACTAATGAAGAAGCATTATTCATAACTTTAAAACCTCTAACAATTAATCAACCATCTGATTTAAGAGCATAGACAGCTCATTATTTTAGAACAGAATAAGAGAGTCTAAAAGACACTGGAAAATTATGGTCTTGCTAATCAAAGAGGGCATCACATTTTTTTCGTTCAAGAAATAGATCTGCTCACTATAATTAAAATTAACAACAATTCAAAATAACAAGAAATGGTAGAGTAGAATTTTTATGAATTTTTTAATTTACTTTAATTTGTTTATTGCAAACTTACTTTTATTTCAAACTTAAATATCATATATATCAGTATCATATTATATTATCATTAAATTTAATTATATATATCAGATATATTATCTATATTAATATATATATTTTAATATAGATAATTTAAATAGCATATTCAAAATAAAAAACTATTCTTATGAAACTTGTTATATTGATAAATAATGATTATTATTAATAATTATGAAATATAAATTGAAATAACTATTTATTTAATACTAAAATAAAATTTATTTAACTATGAAGTTTTTAAAGATACTTTAACATTAATTCTTACTTTGATAATATTATAATTAGTATATGCATGAGAATAAAGAGTGATAGATATTTTCATTTAGTATAAAATATTAAATCGAAATTTGATGATGACACATTTTATAATAAAGTTTAATAAAAAGAGAGTATTAAATAAGATAATCAATGATATTTGATAATAAAATTTTAATTAAAAATAATGACATCTTAACTAGATGAAAATCTTCTGGTTGGAAGTACTTTATCTGATTTTGGAATGACAGCTAAAGAATTATCGTAAAAGATATGTCAAATATTAAAGCAATTTATTTACTCCTGACAATGTAAGAGATGGATCAAGTTTGGCATAGTTGGCTAGACATGGAAAGATAGATGGGTTGATGAAAAAGTTGAGAACAGATCCAAAGGTATAACAGAAAATATATATGTATAGAAAGGATTAGATAGCAGTAATATCAATGATATGGAATTGAGAGTGAAGAAGTAAAATATTTATATATATTTCATTATAGTTTTGGTGACAATAAGCCTGAAATAAAAGAGCCGAAGACACTTTTGGAATATGTATAATTATGAATTAATGGATTAGATACTTGAAAACTTTGAAGATCCAATGCTTAGAATATTGTGTTTAGCTGCAGCAGTAAATTTGATTATAGGTGTATGGACAGAAGGATGGAAAGAAGTATTTATTAATAAGATTTAATTAGGGATGGATGGATGGAATGGCAATATTCATAGCAGTTATTATAATAGTATCAGTTACAGCAGGAAATAATTATGTGAAAGATTAATAATTTAGAAAATTGAATGCAATAGCAGAGAATAGAAATGTAAATGTTAAGAGAGGTGGTAAAATAGTAAGTACTAATATATATGAATTGGTTGTTGGAGATATAATGATTGTTGATACAGGTGAGAAATTACCTGTTGATGGAATTGTTATTGAATCAAGTGATTTAACAGCAGATGAATCATCAATTACAGGAGAAACAAATCCAATTAAAAAGAATGTTCCAGTCACTTATGATTCAAAAGAAAAAGTTAATCCATTTTTAATAAGTGGTTCATCAATTATTGAAGGTACAGGTGAAATTCTTATATTGGCAGTTGGAGAAAATTCATAATGGGGAATTTCTAAAAAATTAATGACTTAATAAGCTAAAGATGATAAAACACCTTTATAAGAGAAATTAGGAATTTTAGCAGATTAAATTGGTGAATATGGATTAAAAGCAGCAATAACTACATTTATTGCTATGACACTTCATTTACTTTATGATGCAGTATTCAATGAATATCCTTTGTTTTCAGCTCATGCTTTAAAAGAAATTCTCAATTTCTTTATTGTCTCAGTTACAATTATTGTAGTTGCTGTTCCTGAAGGATTACCTTTGGCTGTTACAATAGCTTTGGCATATTCTGTTGGTAAAATGAAAGATGAAAAAAATCTCGTTAGATTTTTATCTGCTTGTGAAACAATGGGAGGTGCAAATAATATTTGTAGTGATAAAACTGGTACATTGACTGAAAATAAAATGACTGTTACTAATTTATATGTTGAAGATACAGATTTTAGTAAATTAGATCCAAAAACTATAAAAAATTTAACATTAGAATTACTATGTGAAGGTATTTGTTTGAATTCTATGGCACATCCATAAATTGATGAATCAGGTAAATTTGAGCATATTGGTAATAAAACTGAATGTGCTTTATTGGAAATGTGTTATAAATTTGGATATGATTTCAGATAAATTAGATAAAATATGGGAGAAAAAATCAAAAAGAAGTTCCCTTTCAGTTCAGAGAAAAAAAAAATGACAATCATATTAGATCCAAAAGGAGATAGAACATAATTCAAAATTTATACTAAAGGTGCTCCAGACATGCTTTTAGATAAATGTTCTCATTACATTAATGCTGAAGGAAGAGCTGTTGTGTATTTATAATTTCTTAAATTTTAGTATTACCAATGATTATAAACAAAAAATTAATAGTGTTATTAAGAATTATGCATCTTAATCATTAAGATCAATCTTATTGTTATATAGAGACACAATGATCTAAGGTAGACCATCAAAGCCAGAAGAATTTAATAATGTTGAAGATATTATTGATAAATCATATACAATTATTGGAGTTACTGGATTATAAGACCCATTAAAAGAAGGAATCATTAAAGCAGTCTAATAATGTAAAGAAGCAGGTGTAACTGTCAGAATGGTAACAGGAGATAATTTTGATACTGCAGTAGCCATTTCAAAGAAAGCTGGCATATTACCACCAAATTATGAACATCATGAAGATTCACTTGCAGTAATGGAAGGAAAGACATTTAGATAAATGGTTGAAGGATTAGAATATGAAAAAGATGATGAAGGAAATGATATACCAAAAGTAAAAAATTTAAGCAATTTCACTACTATTGCATAAGAATTAAAAGTCTTAGCAAGATCTTCTCCAGAAGACAAATTTTTATTAGTCACTGGTTTAAAATAACTTGAAAATGTTGTAGCAGTTACAGGAGATGGTACAAATGATGCACCAGCATTAAAAAAAGCAGATGTTGGATTTGCTATGGGAATTTAAGGAACAGAAGTTGCCAAAGAAGCAGCTGGTATTATACTTTTAGATGATAATTTTGCTTCAATTGTTACTGCTATGAAATGGGGTAGAAATATATTCGATTGCATCAGAAAGTTCCTTGTGTTTTAAGTCACTGTCAATGTTGTTGCTGTTTCTATGGCATTTTTGGGAGGAGTCTTCTTAAAAGAATCTCCATTAACTAGTATTCAAATGTTATGGGTTAATCTTATTATGGATACTTTGGCTTCTTTGGCTTTGGCAACTGAACCTCCTACTGATGAATTGTTGACACGTAAACCATATGGTAGAAAAGAACACATGATTACACCAGGAATGTGGAGAAGTATAATATGTCAAGCAGCATTCTAATTATTTGTTCTTTTGATCATATTATTCAAGGGAGATTCAATTTTTGGTATTGAATCTAGTAGAGGACATAGATTGGATGAAGAATATAAGTAATTATCTATTTTATCTTATTTTAGTCCTGTCTATTAAGAACATTATACAATTTTCTTCCATATTTTTGTATTTTTGTAAGTCTTTAATGAAATAAATGCTAGAAAATTAAAAAAGACTGAATTGAATGTATTTGATGGATTTTTTAACAATTACCTTTTCATAAGTGTTATTGTTGGAACAATAGTTGTTCAAATTTTGATAGTGTATTATAATAAGATTTAATTAGTTAATTTGGTGGAAAAGCTGTGAAAGTTACTCCTTTAGATTTTGCTCATCATGTTGTTTGTATTATAATTGGCATGTGCAGTTTGGCTGTAGGATACTTTATTAAATAAATTCCTGATCAATACTTCTAAACAATTGAATTATTTAAAGAGCAAGTTGCACCTGAGGCTGATCCAGATACTCTATAAGTACACATATGAATTTTCTATAATTTTTAGGGTAAATTCAAACGACCCTCAACATTCCTTAGAAAGAAGAGAGCCATAGAAAATAAATAAACAAATAAGGGTTCTTAAGAAATAGAAATGAAAGCTGGAAACAGTGGTTTTAAATAATGAAATTTTATTATTTTTAAGATTAAGAATTTAAATTATAAAACTTAACTATCAAGGTTATAAAAATGATTTCTATTATGCATATTTTATGAATGATTGTGTCAACTAAGTTTAATCTGTGTAAATGTAGAAGCTAATCTAATTTTAATATAAGGTTTTTTATTATATCAAATCCATCATTGAAGGGAAAACAATTAATGCTTATTAACATTATTGATCACAATAGATATTTTAAGAATATTAAATAGTATTATAGGGTCCAATTTTCTTTAGTAAAAATTTTGTAATAGGATGATTTAATTAAAATTCTTAATTATTGTTGAAATGAAAATCTTCATATGTTTATGGATTCAAAATTAGAGTATTATCTGATTATAAATCAACTTATGTGCTTGAAAAAAAAGTGAACTCAAATTTGATAAGTTTTAAAAATTCTATTTTAGTAGGACTTTCTTATGAATCTTCAGCAACTTTTACAATAAAATCTAATTCTTAAAGACAATTCTTTTAAATGATGTTATTATGTAATGGATTAAGATTCAATTCATTTGTAACATTTAGATTAATAGTAGAATTGGAATCAGATTACTTCAGACATTATTCATAAATGTTAATTATAATTTATGAAAGGAATTTAGAGTTTACTTTAATCATAAAATCATCTAGATTTAATTAATAAAGAAATTTCTTTTTTTATTTCATACTGATATATGAAAAATGTTATTGTAAGTTAATAAGAAAGTGTTTGATATTAAATTTGTTATAAGTTGCCAAAAAACTATCAATTTAAGTGGAATTAACAAAAAAATAAAAGTTTTAAAAATGATTCATAATGGATAAATTAATACATTTGATTTACCAAAATTTATTAGTATCCAATGAACCTAATTTTAATCCAATTATTTCATTATACAAATGTTAATGTGATGCTGAAAGTTGATTGGCAGCATATTAAATAACTTTACTTAAGAATCGAATTTATTCTTCACTCTTAGACAACATTTAAGGTTATTTTTCTTCCTTAATAATAATAAGTAAATAATTTTTGCCATAATTAATAGTTTTGATATCTATACTGACAATTATATTTTTTTCTTTCACCTAATTATAAAACACTCCTTCCATTTATTCACTCTGTTCATTTGGTTATTATTGCTCATCTTATAAATTTTATTTAATCTTATAAAATGCAAATTCCTCTAAGGTTTATTTCTTATTAGCTAATCTTCTCATTGATAAATCACCTGATCTTTATATATTAATGTTTTATAAATCAACACAAGTTGGTATTTAACCTTTTGGAACAACATAAATATTTCTCATCATTTCAATTAAAGTTTTTGTATCTTCAACATTTAAGTTTGTTAAACTAATTTAATTTTGAAATTCTAATTAGAATGAGTTAGTTCTAACATTAAGACTAAGTGCTAAAAAGGAATGTGGTATATATTCCTAAGTTATGTCTCTTATTATAAAATATATGTATTTACTTCAATTTAAGATTGTAGATCATATAAGAGAAGGCCAAGCGAAACATGAATTCATTATAATGAGAATATAGTAATATCAAAAATTGTGTCATAAAGGTTAGGATAATATATCCAAAATCTTAGACAGTAAATACATCTAAAATATAAAGTTGGACTGCTGGAACTATTAAAAGAGTTAATAGTCTTAATTTAAAATGACTAAAGAGGAATTGTATTATTGCAATAGTAGCAGATGAATATCCATAAAGAAATGGTGATCTTATATAATTAGAACTACAAATTACTTTTACGAACTTTGAGATGCAACATACAAGCTTACTGCTAAAGATGTCATATACATTAAAAAGTAATAATATCTAACTTTCGATGCTAATTTCTGACCATAAATTAAAGCTAAGAAAATTACTAAACTTGAAAATGCTAAAGTCACCATTACAATAATTTATCGCCCATCCAGCAAATTAAATATGAAGAAGAGGATGCACAATAGTAAAATGATTATTTCTATAATTCTAAAGTATGATTGTCTGTATTTATTCATCTCAGCTTCATAAAGATCTTCATATTATTTGTTAATGAAGCTCAGGGTCCATTTATTAAATGGTAAATTATTCATAATTATATGATCAGCTGCATTACAAAGAATATAACAAAATTATACTCAATCCAACTTAAACTCCCAGAAATCCATATCCAACCTTACGACAAATAGCCTCAAACTCTCCACTCTAAGGTACCTCAACTAAACTCATGGCTATAAATAATCCTCCCAAAAAACCTCCCAATTCACCTAAATTATCATAAAAACTATTCTATCCAGATCCAAAAGTAAACATCATTACAAATATTACCACTATAGCAACAAAACATACCACAGCACATTTCATTTCTCCCAAAGCATCTAATTTCTACCAATATAGAATTATATACTAATAAATATATGATAAATTATATACTCCAATCAAGAATCCTACACAAGCATATATGCAAGCAAAAGTTTCTGAGTATGTTGTATATTTACAAATGTTACACAAATCTCCAAATAAGGCACCACTTGCTCCTGCTCCAAAAAATACTATTATTGCTAATTGTAATCCTTATGTGGCTTCTAAAATTGAATAACAAATCAATATCATAAATATTGCAATCACTAAATTATAGAAGTCTCCAACTAAGAGTAATGATGTTACCCATCTGAAAATCTCAAAATTATATTTAACATCATTTGGATCATTTCCACCAAAATTATTTAATGTATTCCTGTATACTGATAAAAATCTATCATTTTTATTAACACCTCCAACTCCTAACATTGTGAAGTATAGAATTATTATTATAGCTGAAATTATTGTAGTAAATGAAATAAGTTTAAGTTTTGGACAAAATGATTTCTTCAACATATCAAAAAAATTCTCTCCTCTTGGGTCTGCATCAATCCCTCCTAATGTCTTTAGATGAACTTAATTACCAAATACAGACAACATCTATTATCCTCCATTACCCCTAAAGTTCTGATAATTATTTTACTAGTCATTGTTATCACCCAATCTATGTATATTTGCCATTTTATATTTTAATTATTCAATTTTATAGATTATTATAATTATACATATAATTAACAGATTATAGAAATATCAAAAAGAAATGTTAAAAAATAATTATTATTCCAAATATTTTGTATTTTTTTTTTTATGAAAACTAAAACTAAATTAAACAATAAATGTTATATAATATTTTGATAAACCATTGCAATATTTGTCCTACTTAAACATATATAGAGCTCTCTTAATAATTAATTTATCTATTATGAATTCAAAACATCCTGTTGAATTATTGAAGAAAAAGATCGATCCTGAAGCCATCATGTATAAGTTTAGATGGAGTAACAACTCAGTATCAATAGAACCAATGACATAATTAACTCCTGAAATGTTGGTTCTAGTTCATGATTATGAATTAAAACAATTAGGCCATGACCCTTAAGAGCCTAAACCTTAAAAACATATTAAATAGGATACTCAAGTAATAACTTAAATTAATAATGGAAAAAAACAAGAGGAACAAAAAAGGGAAAAGAAATCAAATGATAAAATTGAAAAAGTGGATAAAACAGAAAAAATTGTTGAAAAGCCATAAGAAAAACATTAAGAAAAATAAAAACAATAATAACTATAGAAAGATCCTGATATTGTACCTAATAATAATACAGGAAATGGACCTCATAAACCAAGAAAGAGTAAACCATGTTAAGTGAAACAAGTTAGACATGATAATGGAAGAGTAGATTTTTTGGTGTGTTTCGAAGATTCTGCAGATTAAAAGTGGATTTCATTAGATGAAATGAAAGAAAAGTCTCCTGTAGCTGTTTGCGAGTTCTTATTAGGGAAAGTGAAATATGGAGGTACAATGAACAAAAAATGATTGAGCAATTATTGTTATTAATAATTATCAATATTAATTTAATATAAAATTTTAATTTTCTTTATATTTGAATTTTATATCATTAAATTTACAAAAAAAATTATATAAAAAAATAAAATAATAAAATTTAGTTAAGAAATCAAAAATTCCTTACTAAACACCTTAATTATTTCAATTATAAATTTTCAAATCAATCTATGATGTAAAATATATTTAAAAACTAAGTTTTACAATATAGATTATTTGGATATTCAATAATTTAATGTTTTTAAAAAATAAATATTCAAAGTATTCAATTAATTTCAATGAATAATATAGATTGATTAATAAAATTTGAAATCAATAAATAGATTAAAAATATATATATTTTTATTATATAAAATGAAGACATATAATTAAGATTAATTTTAATAGTATTTTGATATATTAATTTATAAACATAAATTATTTGATAATAATAGAATATATAAATATCATTAATATATTAGAAATCCTATCAAAATTTATTGAAATTAGGAGATGCATTATTTCTGTTTATCACCTTAGCAAAATCAATATATCTTTTTGAGTAATTCGGTCTTTTTTAATTATTAAATACTTTAATTTTAAATAAGCTTATGCTACTTTACTATCATCTATTTAATGATCATATTTTGGTCTTTCTTTATTCTATATTGCTTTTGTATAATTAACAAAACAGATAGATTTCTGTTTTTGATAATCTGCTATAGAATCATGAAGGACTTATAAAGTAAACCATGGTTTTCTTTTTGTTTATTTGTTTAAAGGAATAGGTTTTTAAATTGGTTCCCAAGACAAAGAAATGTTGAGTCCTTGCTATTAAGAAATATCTCTCTTTTCATCAAAGATAGTGATTCTAGGCTTGCAATTAAATGANTAATAACTATAGAAAGATCCTGATATTGTACCTAATAATAATACAGGAAATGGACCTCATAAACCAAGAAAGAGTAAACCATGTTAAGTGAAACAAGTTAGACATGATAATGGAAGAGTAGATTTTTTGGTGTGTTTCGAAGATTCTGCAGATTAAAAGTGGATTTCATTAGATGAAATGAAAGAAAAGTCTCCTGTAGCTGTTTGCGAGTTCTTATTAGGGAAAGTGAAATATGGAGGTACAATGAACAAAAAATGATTGAGCAATTATTGTTATTAATAATTATCAATATTAATTTAATATAAAATTTTAATTTTCTTTATATTTGAATTTTATATCATTAAATTTACAAAAAAAATTATATAAAAAAATAAAATAATAAAATTTAGTTAAGAAATCAAAAATTCCTTACTAAACACCTTAATTATTTCAATTATAAATTTTCAAATCAATCTATGATGTAAAATATATTTAAAAACTAAGTTTTACAATATAGATTATTTGGATATTCAATAATTTAATGTTTTTAAAAAATAAATATTCAAAGTATTCAATTAATTTCAATGAATAATATAGATTGATTAATAAAATTTGAAATCAATAAATAGATTAAAAATATATATATTTTTATTATATAAAATGAAGACATATAATTAAGATTAATTTTAATAGTATTTTGATATATTAATTTATAAACATAAATTATTTGATAATAATAGAATATATAAATATCATTAATATATTAGAAATCCTATCAAAATTTATTGAAATTAGGAGATGCATTATTTCTGTTTATCACCTTAGCAAAATCAATATATCTTTTTGAGTAATTCGGTCTTTTTTAATTATTAAATACTTTAATTTTAAATAAGCTTATGCTACTTTACTATCATCTATTTAATGATCATATTTTGGTCTTTCTTTATTCTATATTGCTTTTGTATAATTAACAAAACAGATAGATTTCTGTTTTTGATAATCTGCTATAGAATCATGAAGGACTTATAAAGTAAACCATGGTTTTCTTTTTGTTTATTTGTTTAAAGGAATAGGTTTTTAAATTGGTTCCCAAGACAAAGAAATGTTGAGTCCTTGCTATTAAGAAATATCTCTCTTTTCATCAAAGATAGTGATTCTAGGCTTGCAATTAAATGATATAGATGGAGTACGTGGACGTATGAATTTCCAATTCTTATCGGAATTTTAATCAATTTTAGTTTTAAAACAAGGAATCGAAACAACTTCTCTTCCTGCTGTAGTATGAAAATGTTGACTAAATGATTTTAAAGGTATAATATTCTCATCTTGTTGAATAGATTCTATAGGTCTTTTGACTTTAAGAATTTAACCTAGAGATTTGTCAAGAAGTATTTATTTAATTTTTGATTTTTCTAACATTAAAAATAATATAATTTACGTGTTATGCTATCTGTGCTTCCTGATAAAATTGGTAAAGCATTTGGAAATGGTACACTTGCAATCTCCTAGAGTAGAAATAATAAATTAGCTGAACTAATCAATTCTAAATACACTGAAGATCTAGTTGAAGCAATCAGAATTTTGTATTGTGTATCAATCTTATTTATAAATATAAGTAATATTTACAAAACAAAGATCTAACTCTATATATGTCTAGAATAATTAATTTGCTTCCTAGAGAGGATCTTGAATTAAAGAGATTATGTCAAATATTGATTAGTGAATTTGCAGCTTAGCCAAATGCAAGAACAAGTAAATCACAAGGGGATGTACTTATTTTGGCTACTGCTCCCATTTTTAAGGATTTAACTAATTAAAACACATCTATAAAATTAAATGCTTTGAAAACATTATCAAGTTTAAGGATCTAAGAACTTACTCCTATGTTATTTACAGCAATAAAAAAGATTTAAGCTGATAAAAATCCATTGGTAAGAAGAAGTGTTGCATTATCAATTCTAAAAATGCATGATATGTGTAGTGATGATGTTTAACCAGATGATTATAATGATATTATTAATTTTCTGCTTAAAGACACTCATTAGACTAGATTATATGCTATCTATGTTATTTTCAAAATTACAGGAGATCTAACAATATTACATAAATATTATTTTTAACTTATCAAAGATTTGTTAAATTTTAATAATTTTGATTTAGAAAGAGCTCTTCAATTATTGTATTAATATAGTGTAATGTATTTCAAAGAAGGGGATAAAGATCTAATTAAATTATTGGATGCTTGTGAAATACTTTTAAGATTACCTTATCCAGGCATAGTTTTAGCTATATCTAGATTATATCTTTAGTTTCCTTAAGAATCTAGAATTAAGAAACTTATAAGAACTGTTGTTAAATTTTTAAATATAGGATCTGAATCCAAATTTATAATCCTTTAAATGTTACATTAATTAGCTCTCTCATATCCATAATATGTGAAAGAACATTATAGAGCACTTTCAATACTATAAATTGAAAAATTATATTGTAAATTACTTAAATTAGAAATTCTATCTTTATTAATAGATGAAAATAATTTTAATAACATTTTAGAAGAATTATTATATTAAGCCAGATCAAATTAACCATAATTGGTAGCTGTAGCTGTAAAATTATTATCTAAAACAACAATCAAATTTCCAAAATTTATTAAACGTACTATTAAATCACTTCTTGATATTTTAAAAACCGGTAGTTCTGATACTAAGAATCATGTGATAGCATCATTTTGTAATTTAATTAGTACTTAAGATAATAAATTACCTCTTTTAGCAATTTGTCTTTAAAATATAGATGATATTAGTGATATTAGATACAAAGCTACTGTTATTAAACTTCTTAGATTAGAAATAGAACAAATACCTACAATTGCTGCTGAAAATTTAAGAAAATTATCATTAAATTTTTCTTAATAACATGAAAATGTTAAATATGAAGTAAATATATATTTTATATTTTCAAAGATTTTGTTGCTTAGTCATTAATTATTAGCTATTCATTAAGAATAATAAATTGAATTACTTCATTAATATATTATGACTTTGGCTAAATTTGATTCTAGTCTTTTAGTAAGAGATCTATATAGAACATTAGCAAAATGTGTAGATTTTAAGGAAAACATTGTTTAAGAAGAAGAAAATAGTTCTATTATTCCAATAGAAACCTAAAAACTTCCTATAGGATCATTATCACATTTGGTTGGTATGCATTTGCCTGGATTAAAGTTGCCAACTTATTTAAATGAAGATACAAGTGAAAAAAGAAAGGCTGAAATAATAGTGGCACCATAAAAAGTTGAATAACATTAATAATAATAATAACAATAATAATTAAAATAGCAACCACAATCCTAAAAATAATAATAAACATAATAAGTAGAAAACAAAAAAGAAGTTCTTAAAAAAGTAGAAGAAGATGTTAAAAAGCATTATTAAAATTTAGATTAAGTTTTAAATGACTTCTTTACCGATTGATATTATTAATTTATGTATGCTAAGTATTATCAAAGTAATAGTTAATTTCTAATTATATATCATAAACATTATCTGATATAAATATTTGATTCTGAAAGAATTATTAGATCTTATTCTCTATATTGTTGATCAAAGATTTCTTCAGGAAGAATGAATATCTAAATTTATTGTAAACTAATTACTTAATATGAATTATTTTAATGATTAATTATTTATTAAACATTAAAAATCACTTACAAATTTTCAAGTTAAGCTGCAATAACTCTATTATTTTTATCCATTCTCACATGTTAAAAATTTGGATAATTATATAATCCCATTAAAATTAAATCTTCAGGATTTAATTAAACTCTAATTGGAGATGGTTTCATATCTAAATTTTATTAATAACCATTTTATTTATTTGTTATTATTTATTAATATTAGATATATTAAGAATTATTAATAATTATAAACCTATTTTATAATTTATACTTTACTTTTCATCTGTACTTAATATAATATCTTAAACAAGATCTCCTAGTCCTTCAAATATATTTACTTATTTCATTGTTTTAATATTATCAAATATAAGCACTAAACCTTATTCTGTACCTATAACAATAGATCCATTATTTGAGCATCTTACAATTTGATAATTATCTTTTAATTTTTAATCTATTTCATTAACTAATATAATTAATTTTAATATTACTTTTATAAATAGATTTACTCTCATCTAAAACATAAACTGATTAATTATTTAACAATATGAATTATTTTTCATAAGAACAAACATCTGCGATCTTAAAATTTAATTTAATAATATCCTGAGTATAAGTATAAGTTTTTAAATCAATTAAGTATAATACACATTAAAACTATAAATATAACACTAATATTTTTGAATTATAGTCTAGATATGTTTTATCAAACTTAATAAATTAATTAATTTAATATGTTTTATTATTTTTGATAAATGATATAGTTTTATCTTCTAAAATAACTAAATTATCATTATCATTATAAATGATTTTCTTAGTAGTTGCTTACTTTAAATCCCCTTTTATTGTATACAAATCATCTTTATAAATGTATTTTTTTAATTCAATTTATTAGTTATATGATTCATTTATATTAATAGTAGTTGTTGTTGAGATTTAACTAAAGGATGTGCCAGTTTCTAATTATAAATTTTATTTTTCATTCATGCATATTCTGAATTTCTCTAAAATAATAGCCATTGTTGTGGATCCATACAAAATATCAAATTTAAAATATAATACAATCTAATTAAATCCATCAAAATAAACCCAACTTAAATAATTCTGATCTTTATCTACTTCAAAACTGATGAAGTCTTTTATTGATTAAATTAATAATAATTATCTATCTTTATTGTATAATTCCATTCTACTCTCTGTTATCGAAATAATATTTAAAGACATTATAACTAAAGGATTGATGAACCTTATTACTGCTAATTTAGGACAAAGTATATATAATTTTCCAACATAAATTTATTTTATAGTGTGAATATCTTATTACAATAAATAATTGATAACATCTCCTATAATTTCTTTATCTTATATAGTTCTAGTAGTTAGTAATGATAAAATTGATCTATCTACTCTCAAAATGGTTTTAGTCATTTATTTTTATTGCAATATATTATGAATCTCCAATTTTTACGATTATTTTGTAGGAATCAGATTATCTAAATCATTTAAGTTTTTTGGGAGGGCCTTTTTGTTTTATTGAATCCAAATTAATTAATTTAAATACAATTTAAAATTAATAATTTTTAAATTTTCTTGTTTTGTGTATTTTTGGAAATGTATTCTTATACTCCATTTAATACCTTAAATGTCTCTATTTTAAAGTTTAAGTGATACATTAAATCTATACTAAACTCTTCTGCCGAATCACTTAAAGTTTAATGGTGTATTGATTTAAAAAATGAAATGTTGAAATAAAAATCTCCTTCTTTTTATCTAATGACATTATTATAAGATTTAGAGGTTCTATTTAATCGAACAATTAGAATATGATCAAACTCATCATTTGATAATTTGTCAAACACAAATTCTGAATTAGATGATCTAAACATAAAATAAATTTACTTACATTTTTGTATATTTAGCTTCATCTTATTTAAAGATTGTTCCTAAAATAAAAAAATCAAAAATCTCTTATTTTACTAATGGTTATTATGTTCCTACAACTTTATTGAATATATTCTTAATAAAATGCATTTTTATAATATAATCATTTTTTAATTTTCCAAATAGTAAATATATAAATTAAGCGAGCATGCATCAATAAATTTTTTTGTACAACATTCATCTAATTTTAATCTAATTTTCCTCCTGGTGGTGACCATGGTTTGGCTTTAAAATTAAGTAAGATCTAAAATAAAATAAATTTTATATTTACTTTAAAACATTCATTAGAATTTGATTTAAATGCATAATATAAAGGTGATAATTATTTATTATCTAATGCTTCAATATTACTGCAATTCTTAATTAACAATTTAACCAATAGAGCATTATTACAAATACAAGCAATATGTAATGGAGTTTAACCATCTTTGTTTCTGCTATGAATTAGATATGGCTCTTATGATAAAGTAAAAATTATCCTATCATAATTGCCTTCAATTATTTATTCATAAAATGAATTATTATATTTTATTGGATATTCAAACCAAAAGTTAACTCGACATTTATATTTGGCTACAAATACAACTTATTTAATGATATTTTTAAATCTTTCTCTAACTTTATGAGAACAACTAACTAATTTAGTTCTTGATTTAAGCATTTTATGACATGTAATAGGCATTCTTTTTTTACTTTATTCATTGGTTAAATGTTAAATCTATTAAAAAACAGATTTAAAAGTAGATTATTTCATATTAATCATATCATTTATTTGATTATCATATTTTTTTTCTGGTATAATTTATTTATTTGATTAATGAAATTGAAATCGAATTTATTGATTTTGAATTGATTTGATTTAAGCTGTTACTATTTCTTTATCAATATCCTCAGCATAAATCTAATTGTCTTATCTAGATAAACTTCTTTTATGAATTAAGTTACAAATCTCATAATTGGATAAAAATCTACTTAATCTTCTTCTTGATAATTCATCAATATAATCTTCTTGAAATTACTTTTTATTTGTTAATGTATTTGAAACCTAGCTAATTTAATTTGTTTAACTAGATTTTCTTTCTGTTTTAATTTAAGATTCATATCCAACAACAACAGAATTTCTTCTTGTTTTAATTCTTGTTGTATTAATCTAAGATTAAGAGTATTTCTCAACTATACTATTTTTCCTTTTTAATTACCAAAAAGCTAAGTGTTTTTAATCTGAATTCATTTGTTTAGATTGTAAAAGTTATTCACTGTATTAACATAAAACCTTATTTGTAATTAATTCATAATACATTAACTTTTTTATCATTCGAACATAATTAAGATTATTTTGGTTTATCTTTCCAAGTATAGTAAAAGTATTTTTCATGAGTTTCCATATCAAACTTATAAATAAAATAAAAATAACATATGAATAAAAACAATAATAAACTTAAACAAAATAAATTATTGATCAATATTTATATTTCTAATGTTATTTTTATCATATAAACATTTTTAAATGACTCAAATTATAAGAGAAGAACTAAAATAATATAATAAATATATTATTTACAATATTTATACTAGTCTCAAAGTATATTTTATTTTAATTACTTTATAATCTTGTAAAACTGAATTAGTAGAAGAAAATTCTATTTTTTTTTTAATTAGACAAGGTCTTACAAAGTGACAATAAATCTAAATATCTTAAAAAGCATCTACTCCATTGAAGAAAAAAAGCACACTATATTAGTTCTAATAAGCGCTTATTAAAATAAAACACTATAAAAATAAAATCCATATAATGGATTGAAAAGCAATATATAAAAGTTTTGATTAATTGTAAATAATTTTAGTAAATAATTAAAAAAAAACTAAAATCAGGACAATGAAGAATAGTATATTATTAAACATAAGTTATATCAATTATAAAATTAAATAACATTTTATTATGAAAACTGATATATATTTAATATAAAATAATAAATGAGAAAAAATAAACCAACATATAAAATTATTGTGAATAGAGGAATAACTTCCTTGAGAAACAATTAAGAATAAGAAGAAATAGAATCTTTTCCAGTCATTAAACCTAAATCAATAGCAAGAGGCTCTACAAAGAATTTTGAGATCAAAAAGGTTAGAATTAAAATGGCCATTACAGAGGAAAGATTAGAGATAAACTTAAAATAGGGCAAATTATATCCCATTTAAAAAGAAGAATCTCCTCCATTGAGTGAAACAAGATAGTATCAATCTTTAATTGATTAAAAACTAAAAGAAGATAATAATAGATCGCTATCAACTATCAAAAAAGAAAAATCAAAACATTAGAAATAGGAAGTAAATGAAAATTTAGATGATAATTTAGATGCATATATTAAGATTTATTATTCAATAATTAATTTGATGGATGCAATGAGGAAAGTAATATTATTTCATTTTTAATAGTTAAGAATGTAAGCGATTAAGTAGATTAAATAAATAGGTTTTAAGAAATTATTGATGGAGTGCATTTTTAAGCATTAGAAAATCTTATGATTGAAAATGGCAAGAAATTTAGATAAATTTTAATATTGATAAAATTAGGAGTAATAAATAATAAAATCATAAATATTAGATTGTTGTTATAGTGAATAGTTTTTTTGATTAATAGGTCTACTCAGCAAATAATGTGAATTTCAGAAATTTATTGATTTATAATCTATAAAACTATTTTTTTCTAGGAGAATTCATTATTTAAAAAACATAAAAATAAGAATTGGCTACTATAATTATGCAAAACTAAAAGCATTTCGGCAGTAAGAAAGTAGAGTCAAGTATTTAGATAAGATAAAATGTTGAATTACTATAAGGATTATATAAGTCATTAAGTAAGTAATCCAAAGATCTTTATCAATTTTTAAACTCATTTTTTAGATTGATTCCTAATTAAAAAATAGTTGAAAGCAATTTAATGCTATAAAACTTTATATCCCTATATTTTACTATATAATAAAGTTATCATGGATTATTGGGTATTCCATTGTTAAGTGTAGCTCATAAACCCTATCTTCCTAATGAAACTACCCATTAATTTACACTAATATTAGACATGGATGAAACTTTGATTCATTTCGTTGATTAAACCAAGAGCTTTTTAGTAAGACCATATGCAGAGTAATTTCTATAAGAAATGAGTAAATATTATGAAATTGCAGTATTTACTGCTGGGTTACCAGATTATGCTAATTGGGTTCTTGATTAAGTTATTTTTAATAAATACATCTAATATAGATTATATCGATAACATGCTATGTAATATTAAAAACACTTTGTTAAAGATTTGTCAAGACTGGGCAGAAACATGGCTAAATGTATAATAGTAGATAACATTGCAGCAAATTATCAACATTAAGAAGAAAATGGGATTTAAATTAAGACTTGGTACAATGACTCAGATGATAAAGAATTGCTTAAATTAGGAGTATTTTTAAGAAAAATAGCAGAAGAAAATTGTTAAGATGTTAGAGATGCTCTTAAATAATATAACAATGTCTAAGTATACTGATTCTCTTTATCTAATTAATAAATATCTAAATAAAAATTAATTAATTAACAATGTCTTCATTTAGACCACAATCCTCTTAAGTTATTTCAGTCAGATCACCTAGCAGAAGTGAGTATACTAAATTTTATATTAGTTATTCCTCCTATTATTAATATGGGAAGATCATATGTAATACCTACTGCACAAAATTTGCCTACTACTGTAATTGTAAAGGAAAAGAATGCAGGATCATATAATAATGATAAAGAAGTTGATGAAGGTGCAAGGGATGAATTAGAATAGTGGAAGAAAAAGTGTTTTTCATTAGAAGCTTAATTAGCTAAATATGAGATAGATAATGAAATTGTACTGAATTTTGAGATATTTTTAGAAAGATGAATTATAATCTAGGATATTAGGTTCATAGGAGGATGTTAAAAAGTTTTAAATAGATATTACTAAAGCACAAGCTGATTTAGATAATTAGAAATCTGAGATGAATAAATTGATTATTGAGAATTAAAAATTGTTAAATTAATAAGTAGAGGTTGAAAGACTAAAAAAATTAGTGGCTGAAAGAGAGGATACAATTAGTCAAGTATCTAATAATATTACTTATATAGCTTTTGTAAAAATGCAAAGAATATCAAGAATAATTATAAGAGCTTGAAGCTTTTTAACATGCTCTTTAAGATATGCATAATCAAAATTAAGGGAAAGAATAAATGATTGAATAGTGGAAATAAAAATATTATGAAAATGACAACAAAAAATAAAAAGAAATTGATGAACTAAAAAAAAAACTTGCTGAATTTAATCCAGCAGAAGTTCAATCTTTAAAAAATTAATTTGAAAGAGAAAGATAAGAATGGCAAAATCAATAAAAAAAATACTAAACTGATTTAGCTGATGCCCTTAAATAATTAGATCAATGGAAAATTAAATATAATGTAATAAAATCTTTTATGATAGAATCTTGATCTCTAACATTAATAATTATAATCTAATCAAAAAGAATCACTAGCTAGAGTTGAGACTTTGTCTTAAGAATAAAATAAGTTGTCTGCTCAAATTCATTAATTTAATGATGATAAATAAAAATTATAAATCGAATTGGAATAAACCAAAGGATAGCTTAAACTTCATTAAGGTTTAATTGGAGAATTAGATAGGATTAAAAAATTATTATCAGATAAAAGTACTGAATTATAATAAATTTTGTAATAATCTCAATAAAAAGACATAGATTTAAACAATTAAGAATTGACTATTACTGAATTAAACCAAAAAATTAAATCATTATCACTTTTATAATAAGAAAATTAAAGATTATAACATGAAATTGAAGAATCTCATAGAGAAAACGAAAGACTTAACCAAGATAATTCTTAATTAATGAAAGATATTGATAAATTTAAACTATTAGAATAAGAGAAATAGTAATTAGAAAGTAAAGTAAGTATGTTGGCATCAGAAATAGAGAGATTAAAAGTTTAACTTAAGTAAAAAAATGAAAAGATTTTAGAATAATAAGAAGATTTGAAAAATTTATAAGAATAATTAAGAGAAATAGATTAATTAGAAAATTTAAATCAATAATTATAGAAAGAATTGGAATAAAAAGATAAAATCATATAAGAATTAGAATAGAAATTATAAGAACTTAATATTCTTGAATAAAGATTGGCTGATGCTAATAATAAAATTTATGATTTAGAAAATAAGGTAGCTATGTTAAGTGCTGAATCTTAAAGATTGAGATATTTAAATGATTAAAAAACAGAATAATTGAAAAATGCAGAAGAATAATTGTCCCATTTAAATATTTTAAAAGAAAAATTGAGTTAATTATAGAATAAATTTGATGCATAATAATAAGTCAATTAAAATTATTAAGATGAATTAGAAAAACTTAGAGGCTAATCAAATTAAGCAAATACTAACATCGCTGAATTAAAAAGATAATTAGAAGAATAAAAAGCATAAAATATTGTTCATAAGCAATCAAATTCTGAATCTGTAATTGCAGAATTGTAATAATAGCTTAGTACTTTGTAATAAAGTTATAAGAAAGTCTCAGAATCAAATTTAGCAAATGAGGAGGATCCTACTTTAGATTTATAAAATAGATTAATTCTACTTAAATAAGAAAACCAAAGATTAAATTAAACAATTTAATAAAAGAATTAAGAAGTCCTTAATCATTAATAATTGAATCAAAACTTATAAAAAGAATTATTAGAATTAGACTCTTTAAAAGTCTAAATAAAAGAATTACATGAATCTAATACTGTGTTATAATCACAACTTTAAAATGAGATTCAAGGTAGACAAGATTTAGAATAAAGAATTCAATAAACTGAATCTGAGAAGTATGATCTATAGAGTAAATGTGCAATGTTATCAACACATATAGAAGGAATGAAATATAAATTAGAAAAAATGGAAAATGTTGATGATTTAAAAAAAAGAATTTAAGAATTAGAAGGTTAATTAGCAGAAATGTAAGCTTTGGAATTAGAAATTGAAAGTTTAAAAGATAGAATTGCTGAACTAGAAAAAGAACTAAAATTATGGAAATAAAAGCATGAATAATTAGATTAATCATATTAATAATTACAAATGATAAAAGAATAAATGGAGAACAAATTAGCAATGCTTTCGTCTGAAATAGAAAGACTTAAAGTTTTAAATAAGAAAAAGCAAGATGAAATTGATGAATAGAATTAAGAATTAATAAAATTAGATTAAGAAATGAATGACTTACATAATTAATTAGAAGATATTAATGAATTAAAAACCTAATTAGGTTCTCTTTAGAACCAATTATAATAATAAATTGATGATAATTAAGATAAATTAAATGAAATTACTCATCTCAAATAATAAGTAGCCGAAATTGAAAGTTTATTGGTTAATTAAGAAGATTTACAAAACTAAATAAAAAAGTTACAAACTGAATCATAATCTAAAGATGAAATTATAGAATAATTTAAACAAAAATTAACATAATTAGAAAGCAAAATTGCTGAACTTGAAGATATAAAAGTAAATTATAATTTTAATAATTAGTATAAATATGAAGATAAAATGGCTCTATTAAGTAGTGAAGTTAAAAGACATGAATTCAAAGCTAAAAAATTAGAAGAAAAATCTAATGATTTAGCATCCTAAGTAGATCATTTAACAGTGGAATTGAATGAGGCAGATTAAAAAGTTATTGAATTAGAAAAAGTACATTTTTTATTTATTTTTAGGATTTAAGTTAATGGAAATTTGAATATTCAAAATTAAACAGCCTTCAATATAAGATAGATGAATATAGTTTTTTGTTAGTAGTTTCATTTGCTGAGATAGAAGCATTAAGATCTTAGATTAATTCATTAAATGAGTAATTAAATGGTCATAACAAAACCAAAGTGGCATTAGCATTAGCATAATGAAAGTAATATAATAATACAATAAAATAATAATACAATAAACAAATTTATTTATGAATAAAATTCTTAGAGGGTTTTCAACAGTAAAATCAATGAAATTCATCAAAGATAAATAACCAATAATAAAGATTAGTGAATTACCTTCTGGAATAAAAATATTTACTGAATAAACGGCTTTTCCATTTGCTTCTGACATAGGAATTTGTTTTAAAGCAGGATTAAGAAATGAACTACCTTCAGAAACAGGCTCATTATTCAGTCTAAACTAACACATGTATCATATTTCTGAGAACGATTGTCTAGAAAATTTGTAAGTTTCTAAGCTATTTAGTGAATAAACACTTCGAACTGGATGCATTTTGGATTAAACTTATGACTCAGAATTATCTTATTGGAAGTGTTAATTTATACAGGAAGACTTTGATATGATTGTAGATGTCTTATTAAAACTTGCTTTAACAACTAAAAAAATTGCAAAAGAAACAAGAGATTAATTTAAAACCATGAATATTCCATAAGAAAGAGTATTAAATAGAAATATTTAGATGACTGTAGATGAAGTTATAAAAAAAGCTGCATTTGGTAAGCATCCATTAGCAAATGCTAAGACAACTGCTTAAATACTTCCTAAATAGGAAGACTTTTCTAGATTTTAAGAATAAATGCTTACTAGTTAAAATATGATAATTGGTTATGCTGGAGTTTGGACCCATGAATAATTTAGAGAATATATTGAAAAAAAATTAGTAAATCATCAATAATGTAATTATACCAAAATAAATGATAGTTTTCCAAAGATAATTAAGAAAATAAACAACCCCAGAATTCCTTTCTCAAACCTATGCGTTAAACGATGATAAAAATGATACTATTGATATTGCACTACTATTTAAAGGAATTAAATGGAGTGATAAAAATATGCCCACTTAGCATATATTAAACTAAATTTTAGGATCTTCAAGTATTTAAAGTATCTCATAGGTTCTTGGTCAACTGGTGGTCCTGGAAAAGGAATGAGATCCAGAACAACACTTAATTTAATGTAATCAATATAGTCTGTAGAAGAGGCTTCAGGGATTTCTTCAATATTCTCTGATGCTGGAATATTTGGTTTGAGAGTTTAAGGACCTCCTGGTTCCAAATAAGAATTATACTCAAGTTTAATAGATGAATTCAGATAGTTGGGATAGCCAATGAGTGATGAAGAATTTTTTAGAGGGAAAAATATAGCTATAACATTAATAAATTTGAATTTAGAGAGATAAGCAGATCGATTAGAAGAATAAATTAAAACTGTAAATGATTCAAATTATGCAAGACTTTTTTGATGGGATAAAATGCTGTACCACTTTATGAAAGTTTGTTTGAAAATGTCACTAAAGAATAACTTTAAGATTATATAAAAAACCTTATAAATAATTCTGAACCTACTCTCATGTATTATGGTAAAAATGTGTAGGACATTCCAACTCTGTAATAGATTAAAAGAAATTTGAGAAAATGATAAGTATAGTAATGTTTATTATATATATATATTTTTATGCTTAAAAGTCTTCAATCACTTTTATAAATATTTCTCATCCAATTTTTTCAATAGATTTTCACTTGAATATTAAATTAAGCTTAAAATTTGCATTTTATTTAAATAAAAAACATATTTGCTTAAAATTAATAAATAAAAATAGAGTTTATATATCAATAATAAATTATTTTTGTCATTATAATCTTGGTAATTTGACTTTTGATCTACATTTAATTTCTTTAAATTTTTATGATCTTTCATCTGTGATATCATAAATCTCTAATACAGTGACAAATCTTGAAGCAGCATTACATTCAGCCTTAACATAAATAAAATAATTTACTTCTGATAGGAAGATTTTAGGATCTGAGTTATAAAGTGCCTTGCTTTTTAAGTTTTATTTATAGAGCTTCTCAAATAGTTGAGGATCTACCTTTTTAGTTTATCTTTGTGTTACATTCTTAACTAAAGGTGGAACTGATGTAGATTTCGCTTAAGGAGTCAAATTACCTCCTTTATTTCCAAATTTATAATTTTCCTATAAATCTGAGTGTTGTTATTTTAGCTCTTTAACTATATCATTTTAATTAATCATACTATCTAAATTTATTTATAGGTTTCCTCTTTATGAAATTTAATGCTGATCTTTTTACTGAACCTTATATCTTTACAGTACTTATTCGAGCTTTATTTTTTGAGTAAATTGTTATGAGGCTTATTACTATAATTATTGATTATTATTTCCTTCATCATCTTTTATTATTGGTTTATGATTTTACTCAAATTGTTTATCATCATCAGATGGTTAATTTTACCCTTTAAAATGCCTATTATGTATTCCTTATTTAACCTATTTCTCATGTACTTCCCTTTCTTTAATTTTAACTTATTCAAATAAAGTTTTAATTTTTTATTCATATTTTTCATAATATTCTTTAAATCTTATTTCTAATTTCCATTCAGGATTACTTTTTAGAGTTGATAATTTAGATTGATCTATTTTTTCTAAGTAATAAAATGGATTGAATTCTTCTTGAGGAGATTTCGTTAGCCCAAGAGGATCTGAAATCTTTTCTTCTAAAACTTAAATTTATTGAACTTAAGCACCTTATTCTTCTTATTATTGTTATTGTATTAATTAAGTATATTTGAGATCTACTCTTTCATTTAATTCAGCATTATAAATTTCATCTGTTCCACTTCTTTTTAGAGCAATAGGTCTTGGTTCTTTCCTATCATAATTTTATTGAAATGAATCTATAAATTTACCAGTTTCTGCATCCCAAAGTTTCACTTTCTTATCAAAAGCAGTAGTAATGAGAAAATTTTCTTTTTCTACATATTCTAAAGATTTAATAACTTCATAATGAGCTCTAGTAATCCATTTCATTTTAACTTCTTTTTAAGCTATTTTTGGCAAAGTTAGCATTTGTCTTCCATTTTAAGTAGTTTTAAGTCCTTTAATTCTTTTTATAGCTGCCTCTTCCTTATCTTTTTCGTTGACAATATTAATCAAAAAGTCTACAAGCCAATCAACTTCAAAACATTTAATGAAACCTTTATCATCGCTTAGATAGAGTACTTTTTTATCTTAACTGAATACTGCATTAGAGATTCCTAATAATTAACTAGGAATTTCAGGATCTATATTAGTGAAAGTATAAACTTTGACAAATCTATGTAATACAGGAGGCATTGACATAATTGAGATTCTACCCTAACTATTGGTAACAAACATAAATGGAATTCCTTTGATTAAATTGATAGATGTAATTTCTTCTCCTTATTTAAATTCATTAGCAACTCCATGCAATTTATTTGTATCAGTTTCATAAAATCTAATTTAACCAGAATTAGTTCCTGCTAATAAATGTTTCATTGCAGGATCATAACTTAAGTATGTTAATTATCCATCTTATATTATAAATGTACGTAATAATTCACTTTCTCCAAATTCATTATCTAAAGTCATAAATACATTATTATCCATAGATCCAGTAAAGAATGATCCAATATCAGATGCATGAACAATAGCAACAACTTCACCTGAATGTTTTGGTAGATTCTTGATTTTTGCTCCATTAATTACATTAAATAATGCAACAGTTCCACTACTATCTCCAATAATAAATCTTTTATCTAAATTATCTAATTTAAATGCTGTAATTTCAGTAGTTGTAATATCACTATATATTTTTTTAACATCTCCAGTTAAAGCATTCCATATTTTTATTTTAGTTCCTGCTGGTGTAAAAAATGCCATTTAATTTTCTATAAATTTACAACATACTGCAACATAATCATCTACTGAATTAGGATTATAATTCTTATCATATTCATAAGAATAAATTGATCTACCACCAAAGATTAGCTTTAAAGGTTTAGGTATATAGCATAAACTTGAAGGATTAAACTTATGTTTTTCATCTTATGTTTCAACACTAAATTATTAAACACAATTAAATTTCTTTGTATCCCAAACCTTTACACTACCTTCTTAATCCAAAGAAACTATTTATGATGTACCTTCAATAACTACAACTCCAATAACTGGACTACTATGACCTTGTATTTTGAAAATCAAACTTTCAATATATGGATTCCAAACACATAAATTATGGTCAAATCCAGCAGAAAATAATAATATTAAACTTTCATTAAATGCTAATGAGACTATGCCTCTTGTATGTTCCTTATATGTACGCTCTCTTTTATTATAGAGAGTATTCCACAAAATTAAGTTACCATCCAAACTAGCTGATGCCATAAATTGTAATTTTGGCATAGCAATCATATCCATTACTACATCAGTATGACCACCTTCACTTTACAATTAAGTTTCTGTATCAGTTTTCAAATTCCATATATTAATTTAGCCTTCTTTTTAACCACAATACAAAATTTCATTTATCCCATCCCAAGTCATACTATATATGTCATTATTAAAATGATGTTCTATCATTTCTTCATCATTATCAGGTTAATTGGCTAAAACAAATCCTGAGGATTAATATCTCCACCCCCTTACATAGCCATCATGGGTTGAAGTCAATAATACTTGATACTTAGGGTCATCAATGTAGAGCATTGTCAAAATTTTTGTTTTTTTTTCTATTGTGTCTTCTTTTTTAACAATAACAAACTAGTTCTGAATTAAGTTTATATACATTTTGTTTATCTTTATCTTTTTTTGCTTGTGTTGTCACAACTTTGTCACTAATAGGTACAATTTTTAATGGCTTTAAGCCAAATCCACCATCAGGAGTCATAAATTAAANTATAAATGTACGTAATAATTCACTTTCTCCAAATTCATTATCTAAAGTCATAAATACATTATTATCCATAGATCCAGTAAAGAATGATCCAATATCAGATGCATGAACAATAGCAACAACTTCACCTGAATGTTTTGGTAGATTCTTGATTTTTGCTCCATTAATTACATTAAATAATGCAACAGTTCCACTACTATCTCCAATAATAAATCTTTTATCTAAATTATCTAATTTAAATGCTGTAATTTCAGTAGTTGTAATATCACTATATATTTTTTTAACATCTCCAGTTAAAGCATTCCATATTTTTATTTTAGTTCCTGCTGGTGTAAAAAATGCCATTTAATTTTCTATAAATTTACAACATACTGCAACATAATCATCTACTGAATTAGGATTATAATTCTTATCATATTCATAAGAATAAATTGATCTACCACCAAAGATTAGCTTTAAAGGTTTAGGTATATAGCATAAACTCGAAGGATTAAACTTATGTTTTTCATCTTATGTTTCAACACTAAATTATTAAACACAATTAAATTTCTTTGTATCCCAAACCTTTACACTACCTTCTTAATCCAAAGAAACTATTTATGATGTACCTTCAATAACTACAACTCCAATAACTGGACTACTATGACCTTGTATTTTGAAAATCAAACTTTCAATATATGGATTCCAAACACATAAATTATGGTCAAATCCAGCAGAAAATAATAATATTAAACTCTCATTAAATGCTAAAGACACTATGCCTCTTGTATGTTCCTTATATGTACGCTCTCGTTTTTTAGATAAAGTATTCCACAAAATTAAATTATGGTCTAGACTAGCTGATGCCATAAACTGTAATTTTGGCATCGCGATCATATCCATAACAACATCAGTATGACTTATATCTTCAAATTGAATTTCTGTATCATTTTTCAAATTCCATATATTAATTTAGCCTTCTTTTTAACCACAATACAAAATTTCATTTATCCCATCCCAAGTCATACTATATATGTCATTATTAAAATGATGTTCTATCATTTCTTCATCATTATCAGGTTAATTGGCCTAAACAAATCCTGAAGATTAATATCTCCACCCTCTTACATAGCCATCATGGGTTGAAGTCAATAATATTTGATATTTAGGGTCATCAATGTAGAGCATTGCCAAAATTTATGTCTTTTTTTCTATTGTGTCTTCTTTTTTAACAATAACAAACTAGTTCTGAATTAAGTTTATATACATTTTGTTTATCTTTATCTTTTTTTGCTTGTGTTGTCACAACTTTGTCACTAATAGGTACAATTTTTAATGGCTTTAAGCCAAATCCACCATCAGGAGTCATAAATTAAATTTCATCACTTCCTTCCTCAAAAAATGCTATTTTATCTATTTCCTTTATGTAAATTACCCTAGTAATGATTTATGTGAATTTTTTGAATGGTTTCATATTAGATTTTGTGTATAGTTTGATTTCATCTTATTTAGACTTAATATTATTTAACACTGTTGCTTTTTCAATAATGTAGTTTGTGAATTCTTCCCATTCTAAATTCCCATTACCATTTAAATCAATCTCTTCAAAAAGATTAACAAGTTATCTTATTATAATATCAAATACCTAATTAACTTAATATCTCTATTTGAGATTTCTAATTGCCAACTTAATAAATGTTCCTTGACAACTAAAATGAATTCTGTCACCTCCATAGATCCATGTCGCATTAAAAATTCTGTTCTTAAAACATTAATAGTGAATGGATCAAAATTAAGAGTAAGATCAGCCAATAATGTTTCATCAGTATGTAAAATCTATTTATAAGTTGTACGAGGAGAATAAATTGGTACTGTATGATCTAATTTTGATAGTTTTTTTATCTAAGTTGTCATATTATATTAATTATATAAATTATTAGTAATTAAATTCCAAATTTTTAATAATTTACTGTCTCATATCATACTTTTATCAAATTATATTAGATAAGTATAATATGGTTTTTACGTGGAAAACTATATTAATGGAATTAGATTCTATGTGACTAATAAAAATTTAATTAATCAATAAAACTACAAAAATTTCTATTTATTTATGATGATCATAGATAGAAATGAATTGGAATTTTAAAAAATTTAGAGGATGAATAATTGGATTTCATTAATAAATTATTAAAAATTAAGATAATACGTTTTTGTAAATTATTTACGCTATTAATTAAATTGTTATTAAATTTATAATTATATTCTTAAAATAATATTTACAGGAATTTTAAGGATTTTAAGTATTTCAAATAATCTTAGAGATTTTCATAATTTATTTAAAGATATAGAGTTTATATCTAGATGAAGGATTCAAAAAAAATTGTAATATCTTAAATGAACATAATTTCAGATGTCTATCAG